GGGGTTTATGTTCATCGGCGCCTGCGTTACGTCCAACTGTAATCTTATTGGGGGGCACTTTGTTTACTGCTGAAGGGGAAACATTTTCTCGGCATTGGAGTGGTACGTTATCTAGCGGAAAGTGGTCCCTTCGGGAAAAAAGACTCCTTTTGCTGGCTCAGAAAATAATACTTACTTTTTTAAGCTGTTGCTTGTCGGGTTTGGATTGTAGCGCGTATAATCTTTTATCGTCGGACCAAATTTCTCCCATGTTTCCTTGTCTGATGACGGCGTCTATGAAGGGTGTGTAGCTGTCGGGGAAATCCTTGAACTATCGATCTATTAATGGAGGAAATTTTTCCCTTCATGCTGAGGAATACTATCTGAACTGAATCGTCCGACACTTGAGTTTGCAGGTATGGGGCTCTGACTTGTGGGACTATTATGTTTCGGATATTATCTGTAACTGGAATTTCTTGCACTCTGAAACAAAGAAGATTATGCATTGGTTGTGTGACACATATAAAAAAAACGATTCGTCGTTGCGATAAATACATACGGAGATAGATTTGTGTGTGTGTTACCGGGTCTTCTTTTTTACCGCGACGGGGGGTGTTGATCTGCATCTATACGGACGGTTTGTTTTGTTTGGATATCCTGGATTAGCTCCTTCTATCTTTATGCATCAACACGCATAAAATATTGGCCTGTAAGAATTGATGCAATATATATGATAGAAAGTAGTTACAAGAGGACGTATGTATAATTTTCGATAGGCATAAAAGCAGCGGAAATTTTTGTAGAGTGATTATTTTATCGATGGGTCTGTCTATTGAAAACTGGTTTGTGATAAATCGGCTTGGCCCGGGAGCCAAGATCATTAATGTAATCTTGCAAAAATTTTCTTGTAACCAAAATACCTGTTGCATTACGTAATGGGCACAGCTTCACAAATTTAGCATGAACATCTAGCAGTACAAAAATAAAGGAAAAATTCCTTTTTGAGACTGGCAATGGGCCATGTAGATCGACAGAGACTATACTAAGGAGGTCTTTAGCAACAACTGATTTCATGGGTACATAAGATGATTGTACATTAGTTTTACATCTTTGGCATAACAGACATTGCCTTACAAATTTTTGCACTTTATCTTCCATGCATGGAAAGTGAACAAAGCTTTTTAAATACAAATAGGTTTTAGTAGCACCAAAATGACCAATGTTACAATGCGCAATGTCAATGATGGCAATTTCTAGGGACTCAGGAATACACAGCCGCCACACATTTGTGTTGTTGACATGTTGTGTTGTGTTAAGGTGAACAAGAAAAGGCGTGCAAGCGACACAATAAAGGCAGTAAACACACAAATACGGGAAAAGGGGACGGAAAACTGAAGTTTGATGGGTTTAGCCTCCCGTCAGGGCAATACTTGGTTTTCACTTACAATTTAAAGAAATAATAATTGGCTGTTCTTACAAGGATGACAAGAGAACAACCGACCCGAACACAAACTCGAGGACAGAATGAGAAAAGTGGGGGGCCGAGTAGTGCTAGTAGCCGCCACGCGACCACTAGCGCTCCTTGGTGGGTTAAATTTTTGAAGCATGAAGGGGTAGGGGGGACAGGAGGAAGATCAGATATGTCGAGAAGCAAGGCTTTTGAACAGGGCGATAATGCGCTATTAAAATGAATTGCCCAAGTTGCAAAGATTAGAGATTGTAACTTGGATATGCTTTTTGACTGAAAATGATTACGATTTGAAAAAAATATGGAAAAAAGGCAAAAAGTAGAATATGGGGTCTCCTTGTAATAATGTACACACCACACATCTGTCAAGGAAACTTTGAATTCCCCGCTCACAAGAAAAACAACAGGCTCCTTGAATCAAATTGCGTTCTACAAAGGTTTCGATGGACTCCTTGATCGAGGAACATTCCTTTCTTACCTTAAATTGTTCATCGCGTTGACAATGTGCAACAGGTGAGCCGAAGCACCGAGATTTCAGGTTTCCGTATTTCTGCACCGCAGAGGCTGTTACAGCAACGTTTAATGCACGATTTTACTTGCAAAGACTTTCGTTTTCTCATGAGAGATAGGTTTGAATTCACATAGCCCAAACTGTCGAATATTTTAGTTAGGAGCTAATTTCAATAAATATCATTGCACAAATCGTGTTCCAAGTGAAATTTTGATAAGAAGACTTATATCAGAATGCTTCAATTCGCACCTTGTTCAGTGGTCCATTGTCTAAGACACTCTAGTGTTATACTCCTGGGCCTCAGGGAAATGTATGTTTTTAACATAAGTTGCCATTTCAATGAATCGAATGAAATACTCGTTAGTTGGGTGCCCAACTGACCGGTATTTCTCATAAATCCATATCTTGTCCCAGTCCTAATTTTTATTTTTAGACTGCAACTCCATATGGGGAAAAACTGTGATTATCCTTCATTTTTTTTCTCTCATTTTTTTTTTTGAAATGTCAATCTTTAAGAATTTTTTGTATTTTTGATGATGTTTGTAAATTTAAATCAATGGATTCTGCGATTCTATGTTTTGTTCAGCAGCCCCGAGAATCCACGCCACAGAGAACTTTCATGTTACATATTGCCATTGCTACTGCTTACTGCCACTCAAACAGCTTGAAAAGCAATATTTATGTAGTTTTACTCTATTCTTAAGCTTGCAATTCATTAAACGTAACTCCAAACTTTGTTGTTGATGTCTAATTCAGATAGTGAAGCTAAGGATGCGCAAGACCTGTTCACTCAGACATATTCTCAATATACTGTTATAGATGCACAAACACATACAAAAACAAACATATTGAATCTTGCATATTATCATGCTGTATCAAGATAATAGGCAAATCAAGAAGGGGGAGAGAAATTTAGAACTTAGTAAAGTTGTAGTAGTATGATTTTTAATTTTATGAAGGCAGGTTTTGCAGCTGGCTGTGATCTTAAAATAAGTTTGGCTTAATGACAGAGAAGGTAGTCATTTACTGGATGAGTGAATTACTGTAGTCTCTAAATATATTGGATAGACCCTGCCCATGAGAGACGCACTAAGAATGAGCAGGTTCATTTTTGTTCTATTTCCTGCACGCTTTCATTGAATGACATATTGAATTTTTCTTTCAAGATTGAGCTGTGAAGAAACTTTTTATTGGTGTTTCATTCTTAGAGATTTTAGGCAATAAGTTGTCACTGGGGATAATACCTGCTCCGAGAATTTTTTATTGTCTTCAATGAGTTTATTTATTGTCATGTTAGTCATTTTTAATTGAGTCAAGTATGATTCAATTTATTTAGCTTTCTTACTCAATATTCTATTTTGCTTTAGTGCATCTTCCTTTAATGTTTCAATTTGATTACCTAACCCTAGATTTTCTTTTGACAATGATTTATTTAATTTTTTCATATTAATTATTTCTTTAATTAGAGAGTCGGGTTGGTGCCGGAGTCCTTGCATCCGATCATTACTTTCACAAGTTTTCTTATCAGGAGGTTCCGTTTGAGTGTCTATGGATACAGATGCTGCTGGTTTTTCACAAGTACAGTTTTTGGACAAATACTTATTAGGGCTATAATTTACAGTTTTTGTTGGAGAAGCATATTTATTACTTCGGCCTTTCATCTGTATAGAAGGGCATTTCCGGTTTTGTGAAGTTGCATGAGTGGGGCTTGAATCTGGTAACACACTTTGTAGTGAAGACGTGGGTGAAGCAGTTGTTGTATCGCTGTTAGATGAAGGGGCAAGAGACTTGGAGGATGATAAAAACGCTGTATTTCTCTTCCTGTGCATTGCTGGCAATATTTTGAGAGGCTCGGCTGCTGGGTGTCGCTGTTGTAACCTTTGATTTGAGCTTGGACATAATCCTCTCGCGTTTCGCGGCGCTTTTGCCTACTGCATGGATTGGCGATGAAGATAGTGAGGGCCTGGTGGAATTAAAGACGTTCTTCTTGTCAGATTTTGCGTCTGTCCTCTCTGGCTCCTTCTCTTTGTTCGAATTACTCTTTTGTGCATATGCTTCTGTTTGTGGAGACACTGTCACGGTTTGAGTGCTCGCCGTCGATAGTCCAGCGATCGACTTAATGATATTCCTAATAGTGGTTGATATAATTTTTGCTGTGAGTACGCGCAAAGTATATCGCGATATACCGTGATACTTATCAATCTCCTTGGATCAATCGACTTTACCTTCTTCACTTTACTTTCTTATCGAACCATGCGTTTAGTTTCCTTTCAGTGTGCTTGTTGAATTCCACAAATTCTTGACATTCTTTTGCGCAAGTACAAGTTATGTGTAGGCAGAAAGTTTCAAATGTCTAGGCACACACTAACACTGTTGCACTGAAGGGAAATCAGGTGTTCACATACTTATTTCATACCCGAATTCTAGTGAAGCATTTTTTATTTGTATTTTTTGCTTTTTGAAGTTGTCCTTTATTATGTAAAAAAATTAATACAATACAAATCAAAATAACTGTGATAAGTTAATACAGGAAAAAAAGTTACAGAATAATAAAAGAACAAATATGAAGTTAAATTGAGACATAGAAATTAAAGGAAGAAAGGGGGAAAGGACGCCGGAATTGCATTAGCATACCATCGGCGAAAAACCCGGAGAGAAAGAGGAAGAAGTAGTTAATTAAACGTGAAAAAGATAATAGAATAGGATGAGATAAGAAGCATTGAGCGAGAAAAGGGCTTCACCAGAAGTGGAGCCCAACAAAACCATCCAAGGGCAGAGGAAGAGGGAATCATAGTCATTCGACGTTAAAGATTTCCCAGGTCTGACCCCAAGAACGGGAGGAGGGGGGGGGCGCCAAAAACTGGGAGAATTAGGGGGACCATCCAATTTCGCAAAGCTTCAAGAAGTGGATAAGACCTGAAGAGCGAATAGTTAAAAAAGGGATAATATAATTATATTAGAGCAAAGAAAGAAAAAGGAGGCTAGAAGCACTAATGATTATTATACTAACCCCTCAGAAATTGTTTGCTGCAAAGAGCTCACAATGGAGAGAAGGTGTGAAATCTGTTCAGATTACTACAAGGAAAGACATTGGAAATTTCTCTTTAGCAATCAGGCGCCCCCTAGGCAATGGCCAAAGGTACATATCTCTGGCTAGCTGATCCTTCAAACACCGGAGCAACAGATATGCCAACACGGCGAACCAAAGAGCTCTCAAAACGGCTTTTATCAAGGCCATCCTTGGTAACGACTTCATGTAATATAGAGGGACTATCTCCAAATAAATCTCTTTTACTTAGTTCCTTATGTAAAAAAAAAAATGACTGTGATATACTACTCCTTCAGGAGACCCATAGAGGACCTACAAAATACAGACCTAAGATAGAGGGCATGAAACTAATAATAGAAAGGCAGCATGATCAGTATGGGAGTGCAATATTTGTAAAAAATAACATTGATATCTGCTCAGCTGCTATGACATGTAACGACGATATAGAAATACTGAAGGTAGAATTTCAGTCTTGCGCGGTAACCTTTGTTTGTAAACCACCCGGTGCCAATTTTATATTCCACAAACCGCACAACTTTGACAACAAAAGCACTAAAACCGTCATGGGAGACCTCAACTGTCATAATTCAGCTTTGGGATACGATGAAACGGATGAAGATGGTGGAAAGCTAGAAATATGGGCCGACCACACTGAACTAATACTACTACACGACCTTAAACTCCCCCTCTCATTCAACAGTGGTAGGTGGAAGAGAGGATACAACCCAGATAATATCTTTGTGAGTGAAAGGATAGCCAAACAATGCACCAAATCAGTTGAATATCCAATCCCTCAGACACAACACCGCGCATCAGCTGATTATCAGAGTCAGACTCTTGGCTAGATGAGTCCTCATTCAATCTTCTCCTTTTGATGGTTCTTTCTGATAATTTCCCAAATTTTTCGGGGCGGTCATAATTGCGTCGAGACATGACAAGACAATATTAAAATAAAGTCATCAACATCAAAGAACAAGTACTCAACAAAATTGAAGAATTCGGTTAATTCCTGGCATGTGCAGTTTCCGCCATCTTGGTTAGCGAACCGGCATCACATCACATTCACCAACACTTCAGGAGAACTTCCAACTTACACAGTTACACCATAAGAACGACAGTTCCACAGTTTCTAAATTAGTTTATTTCGCGTGGGTAAATCAGAAACACTTGTATAAATGCTAAATCAAACACGATGAGAGCAAATACCAGACACGAGGCTACCAACAAAGGCAGGCAGAGCGAGCGAAGCGAACAAAATCCGTTGAAGGTGCGCAAGCGGCGAGCCACGCAGACGGACAAATTCTATTGGTCCATTATAGCGCGACGCGAGTGCGGTCTGGCAGCAGCAGCAGCAGTCTGGCGGTATGTTGTCGCGAGACTGCGAGAGTCGTGATTTTATTGCAATGAAGTTGCGATTCTCCGCGCCCCTTGCATCACGCGAATAGGCAACATCCACGCCATTCGATAAGTTGCGATTTTCTTACTACATTAGTACAACATATTGCAACTCATGCTAATTGGGAATAACGTGGTGTATAACAGCTGTTATCAAACCTGACACCGTTCCGCTTAAAAGACGATTCAACTTCAAACGTGCTCAGTGGGGTCCCTTCACATAAGATTTCGACAGCAAAATTACTCAAATCAAGCCTGAGCCACAAGCGTATGAAGACTTAGTAGACCTAGTAAAAGAAGTATCTAGACGACTCATACCTAGAGGCTCCCGCACACAATTTATTGCCGGACTGACAGATAAGTCTAAGGACACCCTGAAGAGATATGAAGAGTTGTATAGCGATGGTGTGTTCGCCTGTCGTACGCAGAACGTGTGGCTCGGCTCCCCAGTTTGTTCCCGTTAGCTTCCTCAATTTGTTATTTCTGGCACATTCTTTTTTCTTGGTATCGTGACAGTGATATTTAAATGTGAGGGTTCTGTCCAGTTTTACTCAAAGGTATTTTGGGGTGCTACAGTGTTCAAGTTCTTGGCCTTGCCAGCTGACCTTCAGTTTCCTTTTGGCTTGTCTGTTTCTAAGGTGAAATGTACACACTTGAGATTTACTCGGGTTAGGGGTAAGGTTGTTATCCTCTAGTAGATTGCAAGTTCACTCAAGGCTTTCGTGAGTTTCTCTTCCACCTCCTCAAAGGTCTTACCTTGTGCAGCGACCGCTATATCGTCGGCGTAGATAAATCTTCTGGTGTGAGGATTAGCTGGCTGGTCATTCGTGTAAATGTTGAACAGTATTGGGACCAGAACGCTTCCTTGGGCGAGTCCATTTTTCTGTCTCCTCCACCGACTGTTTTTGCTCCCCATCGTGACGAAAAAGCGCCTATTTTGTAGCATACATGCGATGAACCTAGTTAGTGTGTGGTCTCTTGTTATTTGGTACACTTTCTGGGAGAGCAACTTGTGATTTACTCTGTCATAGGCAGCAGTGAGGTCCAAAAAAGCTACTAAAGTCACTTGCCCTCTTTCAAAACCGTCCTCTATGTATTGCGTTAAATTTAGAATCTGGCCGCAGCATGATTTGCTTGGTCGAAAGCCCGCTTGTTCCTTAATGAAGGCGTTGTCCACGTGGCACTGGATTCGCTTCAGGACTAGCCTTTCTAGCACTTTGAACAGGTGACAAAGTAGTGAGACAGGTCGATAGTTATTGGGTTCAGTGGGCTCTTTGCCTGGCTTTAGTAAGGCTACGACTCGTGCTTTCCTCCAGCTTTTAGGTATATGCATGCCAGTAACACAGTTTCTCATAAATTCAAGAACCCAAGTTAGCGTTTTTGGTCCAAAGTGTTTTATCTGTTTAGCTCGAATATCGTCTACTCCTGCTGCTTTGTTGTCCTTCATTTCCATAACAGCGTCTTTCAATTCTTGCATCTTGAAAGGGTGGGCCAAAAAATTGTTTTCTCTGTTTCTCTCTCTGATAATTCTTTTTTTTAACGAGGTACGGGTAACGAGGTAATCTTTTAACGATTTTTAATAGTGAATATAGCGGGAGGAGCCTCGAGTTCGATACTTGCCACTGTTGACACTTCGGATTCTCCCTGAGGCTTAGTAACGCTTACGCAATCATTTGATACCTCACAATTATAAATTCTACTTTTAAAATCCTGTCTGGACATAAGTACGTTAGTATCAGGGAATACGAAATGAGATCCGTCCCCGACAATAACAATAAGATAAAATCTAGAACAGGCAGTTCGTAATGTTACATCATTAGTGTATAAAATCTTGGAGGGCATTGCTCCCGCGAATCGGGTATTCATTTTACCAGCCGTAGAGGCGAGTCTACATGGAAAAAATTACCCCGCTATAAAATTTTTATTCGTATATCACACCGCGAAAAATACGAGAAATCGGGAGTAATTTGACGACACATCTGCACCAAATACGTACAACTAGGTACAGAGTCCTGTTTCAGAATGAGTGATTCCAATTTTCTTTAAAAAGAGAACCAATCAGCATCATATTTTAAAGTTTTCACAAGATTTTCCTCCCACAGAAAAGGATAATCACAGAAGTTTTTAAAATTGCCCTTGAGGAGATGTAATCATTTGTAGAAAACAATGATAGTCCCTTTTAATAAAATGGAAACCCCTACCTTATTGAATAAGTATGCCTCCGGGGAGTGATGTCACTCTTGAAAATTCTGGAACATTTCGATGAGAGATACTGAATTGCTTCATGAATACCTCATTATTTTGATTGCGTCGTAGTACCTCAGAAAGGAGTGAGACGAATCGACGGAATAGATTTTAAGGGTGTGTAAAAGGTTGTGCTGGATACCGATGTACAGTGAGAGGAGAATGGATGTGTCTTCATTCGAACACTGTCTTCGTCAAGTAGGTTTAAGCGTATTTTATTTCCGTCCACGGGCAATTGTCCGAAAATAGTACCGCCAACAAGCCTGCCGGTGGCAAGTCGTCAAGTTTCAGTATTCAACTCAACTAGGATCGGATTCGGGTAGCTTCCTTACCAGAAATTAAGCTCACTCGCACTCTTCATTCGTCACTGGCTGAGCTGCTTTGTTTCACATAAACGACAAGAGCGGAATGATTGTTCTGCAACTATGGATTTGATAACCACTGTGATTGCAAATCGTCATGTAACTCCCAAACACCAGATTCCTCCGTATGTGTGTATTAAAATGCCCTCGGGCACAGTTTCCAAGTCCGATAAAGGCGTGCTCTTGTCTTCTTCGCCGAATACAAGATGGTGTTTCGGCAATTATTTCGGGTTCATCATTTCTTTTTTTCTTCTCTGGATGCGACGTCATTCTCTCAGTAGAAGGCTTGTATAATGCAAGCTCTATCCGGATAGCGGGCAAGGCCTTCCAACTGCAACGGCTCGTTTGGACATAGCCCACTTCCAATAGTGTTGGCCGCAAAGCACTGGCCCAGCCAATCCCAGAACATGCACCCCACCTGCTGACCTTCAGGTGGGATGTCGCTTTGAGTTGCTCCTTGACACTGTTGGCGAAAGTCTGGCCGGGATTGCCCGCGATGTAGTCAATTACGTTAGTCCCCCACAATGACTAACTACCAATGATGGTGGTAGCGAACGTCCGTTGTAGGGCATCATGCAGAGCTTGGACCATGGCCTGCGTGTTTGGTTGGTTGGCGGCCCAATTGCTGACCTCATTACGCAGCACTTGCTCCATAGGTTGGACAGCTCGTGCCCATGTCACGAATATATTGGCTTGCATGGGCTTTGGGATCCTGGGTATGTGATAAGAGAAAGTTGCCAACAGGCGGAAGCGGCGGTCATTTTGGAGCCTAGGGCGCATATCGACCGAGTTCAGCGCCGAGTACAGTCCCTTGCGAAAGTGAGAGGACTCACTGCGGATGGTGGGCAGTCGGTACAGGAAGCCGGAGATCTGAGAGAAGGTGGAAGCTCCAGGCATAGGGTTGGGCTGGCCATGACGAGCTACGATGTGGAATTATATTTCATGCCTCTTGACGTAGCAACAATCTGGCTTTCTTTGCCCGGCGGGTACTAACATGGGCACCGGCATGTGCCAGTCACATAAGAAGAGATAAGTCGTTCTCAGAATAGTCGCGGTCTTATTGGAGGATCATGCGACCCTGTGTGATAGCGTTGGAGGTAGAAATGGACACCACACTCATATCTGTTAAATTGGTCCAAGTGACTGGGGCTGCTCCTTCAGGGTAAGTTTCGGAGGCGGGTGCAAGGCCGGAGAAGTTGATCACATCATAGCCCAATAGGCTAACTTGGTATTGAGTCCGGCCACATCATAGTAAAACATGTTAGTGTCGACTGAATTGACCAGCGCACCCATCTGGCACTATCCATAAAACTGGTCATTTGATAAGTTGGATTCTTCTGGCATACCGTATCAACGGTTACAGAGGTGGTCAGAATATCTGTCTTGTTATATCTGAAACATACAACAAACTATCGTCGAGAAAACAAAAGTAGCTCTCTTTTTTGAAAAATGAAGGGGTAGGGGGAAACTTTGTTACACTCTCATAGTCGCTTTTACAATTTTCTCATGTTAGGAGAGAACCACATCATACTAGCAAGTTCCAAGTACAAAAGACCCCCCCATGATTATTCTTCATGCAAAGGATTGCAATGTCCATTAAATGATCATGAGTTATAATGATAATAGGTATAGATTCCATGACGTGAAAGTATCCTATTTGTAAATAATTTTTACGTCCCTGAAATTCCATTTAATTTATAATGATAATAATAAGAGTTAAGTTTTCCAATCCCTTGTACAAGTCGATGTTGAGGGTTGATTGACAAACGTACGTGATTGACTAGACGACGTTCTACTATAAGAACACGATTGGAGGATGGTTTGACACTAATAAATCGAGAAACGGCATATTAATAAAAATAGGCCACGCGACGCGTCGCGAGGATGCGAGTTAAAATTTGTAGGTGAAAGACTTGAAAAAAACATATAGATTTGGTATGAAAAACGAAATAAGGCTAAAAACAAACTAGAACATTACGAAAAATTTAACGACCCCGCACCTGACACCGTGTTGAGGGTGGATCGAGGAGAGAAAAGACGAAACCGAGATAGACTGCTAGGACGCCATCAGGAACTGTATTGGGGGTTGCCGCTACCACACACCCGGGCGGCTAGGCTGACAGGGTTGCCGTGTCGGCACTATATCTAACAGTCGACTTTTCTTGTTGGGGGAAAAGCCGCCGCATTAGACCGCAGTCCTGAGAGAATGCAGATAAGGGAGAAAAACGACCTAGGATTGAAAATTTTCACACTACTTATACGACTGATTGGAAAAAGAGGCGGAGCAATCGCTTTCATTTTCGCTTCCAATTCCTCCAGGGAGCGCATCATTGGCGGTAGATCCTCGTCCGAGTATTCTATAAAATTTCTCATCAGCTCCGCGAAAGAGTGGGCTTCCAGTAATTTCATTGATTCCTCCAGCTTCTCTTGTTTTTCCATCTCCAGTTTTTGTTCTTTTTTCTTCTTTTTGCCGATGAGCCACAAAGCCACACTAATGAACTACATGAACGCAAGAGAAGCTAAAACGATAATTCAGCTCCGAAGGGCTGATTCGAAAGAAAGGAGAAACGTACATCCCGGAAAAGAGACAAGCTTTGATAGCTTTAACATAGAATCATATATTTATAATTAGTCATCCATTACCTGTAGATGCCGCGCAAGGATTTTATAAAGTAGCATCTGCAAGTTGAGTTTTCGTAATTACAGTCGTGGATGACGTGGATGTTCGTGAAGGGGAACAAAGCAGGTTGCGGTTCGGAGGCCAGCCAGGCTTCCGATAACCTGTCCTTCAGGATCTCTGATAGGGTTAAGTCTATAAACGTCGTGTAGAGCTATCGCCTTTGAAGACGGGTGTCAAATTCTTCCATCCACAGTTAAATAAGTTTCTCTTTTCCCGTTTCAAGTTCAGTCCCGCAACTAGCCTAGCTAGTTATTATTCTACGGCTTCAAGAACGCTATTAGCCGTTGGCCTGACTTGTGTTCCTGGGCTTCTCGGATAGCCGCCGAGGCGTTTTGACTGGAGCGGTAGGTGTCATCTGTTCATAGCATGCGAGGGACAGTCGGCAAATACGCGGGCAGAGACAAAGTAGGTACAATGTGATCAAAGTGACGCCATTCGTTTACGGAAGAAGTGCAGAAGTTGCGGTCAAAGCCGCGTAATTTTGCCAAAATTGTAATTCCGGTTTGTTTCGTTAAGTGAAAGTATCCTTTTTGCAAAGGATTGCAATGTCCATTAAATGATCATGAGTTATAATGATTATAATAAGTATGTTCCATAACAGACATTAGTTCTACCAAGTTCCAAAAGCAAAACGCTGAAACTTATGTTCAGTAGTCTTGATGAACTACTGTTTGAGACTTTATAGCCTCAGGTTAACGTCCAAGTCATGAAGTCTGCTTTTGTAAGTTGCAACAGAACTACGAGGGTCGTTCAACAAAGTCTCTTCAATCTCCTTTCTTGCGGGACGGTAGGAGGGCACTTGAATTTGCAAATTCAGTATACCTTGTATCCTCTCACCGTTTGGTCTGACTCCAGATTCACTAAGTATGGTGCTCATGTAAAAAACAGATGGTTATTTGTATTGTAACTTTTTAATGTTAAACTTAATATTTAAAACATCTGCTCCTCTCAAAATTCCCGTATTATCTTCATCGTGTTCCTTCTCACTCACGCTTGCACATAAAATATCATCAAAATATTCAGACACAGTACGCAAATGACCAAAGGATTTAGTGTTGTTAGTTTGGAAGACCTCTAGGGCACAGTTTATACCGGGTGCCATCCTTAAGAATTTTTATGACCCGAAGGATGTATGAAAACTAGATAGTTGGTTGATTCTTTACTTAGTTTGATGTGGTAAAATCCATCTTTGATGTCGAAGACTGTGAAGTGTGTTTTCCCACTAAGACTTTGTTTGATCTCTTCAAACGTTGGGATCAGACAGAAGTCTCTCTTAATACTTTTGTTGAGGTCTTTTGGATCTAAACAAATACGTATACTCTGCGTTGCAGGTTTTTCTACAATCACGAGGTCATTCCACCATATTACATCTTCAGTGTCAGTGCTTAATATATTTAAAGCTACCAACTCATCAACTTTTTGCTTTAGTGGACTGATAATCTTCGCTGGAATTCTTCTGGGGGGTCCAGGGGTTTGTTTGCTGTTCGGATCTATTTTTAATGTATACTCATCTGGATATGAGCCTAGGCCTTGAAACACAGACAAGAATGGCGACAGAATTTTATCACTCGCGTACATTTTATACCTGGACTCCATATCTTCAGAGACATATTCTACAAAACTGATCACTTCTAATGTTTGACATGCTGCAATACCTAGCAGGGGACAAGATTTATAAGGTACAAGAGTGAAATTCAGTTTGTGAATTCTAGATTTACTTTTGCATTCCAGTTCAACAACACCACTGGATTCGATTACCGACCCTCCGTATGCAACAATACTACTGTCAGGCTCTCTTACAAGGTTATCCCCGTTAGCTATTTGTTCAAAGACATGCACAGGCAAAACGTTTACTTCAGCGCCAGTATCGAGTTTTAGTTGTATTGGTACATTGTTAATCTCTACAGTTATATTCCAAAATTTGTTATTAGGTTTCACAAAATCAAGACACCTAGACGATTTCCCATTTTCTGACGAGTCGTTGTAGTGACACCAATTATTGCAGGTACATATGTTATGACAGTTGCAATTATTACATGTAGACATGTCTCTACCGCTGCGCAGATTGTTAGACGAAGTTAAAGTAGTACAGCTGTGAGATTGATTGGAAATTGTTAAGTTGTCGATAGTTAGGAAGCTTTGATAGTTACAAGCGCACAGGCTATCACATTGATGGGGTGCCTTTTCAGCAGTTGAGAGTTGATTTTTAGAACGCCTACAAACACTGGCAAAATTATTATAAATATTACAATTTACACATTGCTTACCGAATGCTGGACAATGACGATACTCATGTTGTGTACCACATTTGCTGCACTTACGCCCTGAACTGTGCGACTGGTGTGAATTTGTGTTCCTGTTTTGGAAGTTTGAAGATTGCTTTTGTTGCGTACCTGCGTGTGTTAATTTGTGACGCGTCTGGTTGCTGGATGATGAATAGTTGTTGACTGTTGAATGGTTGTTGGATGATGATTGGTTCTTTTGATGATGTGTATGTGTACTTAGATGCCCATAGCGTACTGCATCAACAGGAATAACTTCTGTTTTGACGAAGTCCTTGCCTCGGACTTTGCCCGCTTCTACCGCTTGACATAGTTTGACGACCTTGGCTAGCTCATAATCTTCGCCAAGAAGTCTCTCTCTGAGCTGTTGATTATCGATGCCTCCAATAATTCTATCCCGGATGAGGGATTCTCGCAAGTCTCCAAATTGACAGTTCTCTGCTAACTTTTTTATCGCTACGTAGAACGTGTCAAATGGCTCACCTTCTTTTTGTTCCCGCTTGAAGAAGATGAATCTGTTGTGCACCAGATTTGTTTTTGGCCTAGTGTAGTCATCAAGATGCTGTATGATAATGGCCGGATCTTGCAGGTCCCCATGTTCTGCCTCAACGCTGTAGACGAGCTCTCGGGCTTCAGTGCCTAAGAGCCGGAGGAGAGTAGCTGCCTGAACTGCTTTAGTCTTGGAACTTAATTCTTTCTCGATTACATAGAGGCCATATTCATCCTTAAATAACCTCCAGTTCTCAACAAGGTTCCCGGTTAGGCTGAAGGGTCTTGGCTGTGTGATGGCTGATAAGAGCTCCGTTTGAAGTTTGCACAACACGACCTGCTAATTCAATTGATTCTTACTTAAACGAGTACAGGCGACGCTACTTGAGTGCCACCAAAAGTAAGGAATCACAGTATCTCGATTAGCGGATTTCATTTTAAACAAATAAGTTCAAAAACACGTCATGGTTTTAAGCCACACTACCGAAACCGATACGCGATGTTTGCACACTTATAATTTTAGTATGATATAATACATCATCGAAAACCGCGACTGCGCCATGTTGCAGAGGGCAACGAGTGAGGGAGCGAGCGAGAAATGAGACGGAAAATAAAATATATTTTATTTGAGGAAACAGATAACGGTGTGCCCGTGGCACATGCACATAGAATCACATAACAATGGCGGCCAACTACAGTTATGGACATGCGAGATTGCCACATCTCAACTATAACACACCTTCTGTTTTTTCTTTTTCAAAATTTCAACCCTCACTTTCATCCTTTCTTTGAGGATGTGAATTTACAAGTGGAATGAGCCCCTTTTGCTAATTTTGTGGTTTTTTATTTGTTTGTGTAACTATCAGTTAGTTTGGTATAGTGCCTTGGGTTTCTAAACTACAGAGACTTCGTCAATCATAGTTCTCTGGGTTGTTTCTTTCTGTTTCCTTGCCTCTGAGTTTCTCGTCTTTCTGAGTCTTGGAGCCAAACTCTCATTTGACCATTTTGTAATCTCTTTTGGTTTCTGGACTTAACTACATATTTTTGTTTCTAGCTAAGAGATCATTCAATAGGATCCTTTAATGGTCACTTTTTTCATCATCAAGCATCAAAAAATGAAAGAAATAATTTCATCAATATTCATTGCTATTTACTTGCATCTCTATCCTCTCTGGTCAGAACTTTTAAAACTTACTTTTCCAGCAATTAGTTGATTTTATTCTATGGATCATAATTTTGTAATGTGGTTCACTTTTCTGCACAGTGTAAATTGACATGAACAGCTGTGGAAACTCACCAGTAACGCTGCCAGATTACATTCATTTTCTAAACTGAGTAATTATTGTGCGATATTGCTAAATGGTTTTTTTCACAAGTTTTTTTAGTTCTTTTTACCTTTAAATATGTATTTGCATTGGGCAACTTTTCATCAAAATCCACCATTTCTGTATAGAGCGTTTGCATGCTTCTAAAATTAAACCTATTTCCTTTTAAAGAAAACGAAGGCCTGAGCAGGAAAAGATCGTGAGACATCTTCCGTCACTTAAAGATTATGGACACAACACTATTCACACTGAAAATTTTCAAAATCAACTCCCAGATTAAACAAATAGTCACCTTTATTGTTTACATTAAAATTAAAAAATTCCAATATTCAACTCGGTGAGAAAATCAAAAGCTTAAATCGAGCATTGAAAACGAAGGTGTGTTTCCTCTGACGAACAATTTAGTATTCGATTTCATTAACAATCCTTTCATTTCCTCTAAAGTTTCTTACTTGTAAACTTTTCAAAAATAATTTACTTAGATGAGAGATAAAATTATTTCACCGCAAATCACACGAAAATTGGCTAAATTGCTCAAGTAGATTCAGCAAAGTTAGGCTTTTGGCAAAATAATCGTTTGAATGAACACACTAAAATCGTGAATTCTTTCAAGTTCAAGTTAAAAATTTTCAACGTGCTTTATTGTGTTTCATGTAAAATTTTGATGAGATTGATTGTTTTGGGATACTTGGTCTCTAACCTGATGTAGTAGTCCATTGAAACTGTGTAGGGAAGCAATAAAATATCTTAATTTGTTTATTTTATTTTTATTTTATTTTTATTTTACTGTCATTATTCCCTCCCTCTTTTTACATTTAAGCTCATGAAGTGTTCCTCTGTTTTATTTTCTTACTTTTGTATTTTTACTTTAAGGAAATTGTATAAAAATCTCCCATAGCTGTTAACATTGAAGAAAATATTAATTTAAAAAAAAACTGCCATTAAAAGAAGTCGGAAAGTAACAGCAACATCCAAGTGCACAGAACATTTCATTGCTTTCTCCCAACTAGAGATCAAGAAGAATCGTACCTTGATTTATGAAAAAATAACCAGCATATTGTCATCCTTCTGTGGTGTAGTGGTTGTAGCGCTTGCTCAATGATCGGGAAGTCCTTGGTTTGATTCTCAGCCAGGTGACCCGAGCTTGATGGTCTCAAATAACGGTTATCTGGGGTTGGCTTGATTAGGGACGGTAGAGCACAGGATTATAGCTCGTGGAATGTTTGAAGTGTGAACAAAAATAGAAAATTTGGAATTGGTGTAGAAATCAAAACCACACAGTATTTTTCTTTTCAAGACTTTTGTTTTAAGGTAAACACTCATCCAGCAGTTACCAGATTTATAAGTATACATCAGCTGATTTACAAGTGTTCAAATAGGAAACATTATTCTTCTGGTTGTGTCCCTGTGCAGCTTATTTTCTTACCATTTCATTTGTTTTCATTACATTCATTACCTACTTCATTTTTGTAAAGGTTATCAAGAATGAACGTTTCCATAAACTTTGCTTGTTTGGTACTTCATATAAAGTATGAAGGACAGTTTTCCTGAGCTAATGCTCCAAAATCTTCTCTCTCATTCACGTTATTTGTTTTTTAACTCTATTTATTCTAATTAAAGATCAATCTCAAAACATCAAAACCAACATGTGTCCTCGTTTTCAAGTAGAATTGAGTCGTGTAGTTTAAAACATGGCACCTCATTTTCTAGAAAAATGGCTCTTGCGGCCAATCCTCTTCAGTGTTTCTCACTAACAGTCCTTATTCCAACAGGAAAAAAGCATCTCTAGTCTAGAATTAATTATTAAAAGCAGGAAAGCAGTTGAAATAGCTTGGCTTGATTAGGGAAGGCTGAGATGAATAGCTCTAAAATTGGGAAAGGTTGAAATAAAGAGTTCTTAATTAAAAGAAGAGGCTTCTTTACATAAGTCACTTTTCCAGTCTATTTTTTAGGTTTTATTGGCATATGAAAGTGATGCAACTGTTGCGAAGCCAATAGCTTTGAAATGTGGAACGAAAACCAAAGAAAACTTTTGTACACCTCTCTTAACGCTGATGAGCCAGTAGTAAAAGTTTCTCTCCAGCTCATTTTAATGTGAATTGCCAACAAAAGAAGTTGTAGTAAATGTATGTAAAAAATAGATCGAGCTTTTGATACAGTTTCTTGTCTCCTTTTTTTAAGATTGTTGTTACCGTGAAAAGTTTGTTTTTGTTGCAGTTTTCCAAGGAGGTGTAATGTTCCTTCCCACTTAAAATTGTGCGTTTCTACATTTGTTTCCTTATTCGTATTTAGCGTAGTATTATGACTGTCCCACTCATACTTTCCTGGTTACCTTTTTTCTATTTATTTTTGTATTTTTTAAGAATAAAAGAGAGTCATTTTTTAATTCCTTCTTTTTGTCATTTTGCCCCCTTTTTTGTGCCAACAATCCAACCCATAAAGAGCACTTTTCTTCCTCTGTGGGGTCAGTGGTGTTAATTTATTCAGCAGAGGTTTTATTAGGAAAATTTTCATGAGTGGATTTGGTCGAAGTTTGCCACCCTCCATTACAACAAAATGATATTCACTGCGGGTAATGGTGAGCCCTCAACATTGGGTTTTCATGCTGGCAGCAATGATGACCAAATCTAAAATTCTCGACCCAGCTCCCGAGGTGGGTTGAAAAGTGAATGGATGCAAATGTTGACTGAAATTCATTAAGCACTTGAGTTTAGTTTTTCACTGCAGCAGAGGGTTTTTCTCCATTAGTTTGCAAGAATGTTTTAATTATGTCTTAAAGCCTAAGAGCCATGAATACAAGGATCCTTGCTGCGATATATTAAACAATGAATGAGAGCACAAGGTGTATCAGTCAATGCAAGCATAAGTGCAATGCGGTGAAAAACCATGAATGAGAAAGTCAATAAGATAACAAAATGATTGGCAAAATAACGTTTTGAGATAAAACCGTTGAAAACCTTTAAATGTTGCCAAATTTGGTTCATGAGACTGATATTCTAGTTTTTCAACGATAGTAAGACATTCTCATACGCTTCAACTTCTCAGTAGGTTCCTAGGTATTCATTTTCTAGAAAGATATTATCATTCTGAAAAAAAAAGCCATCTACTTCAGCAATGGGTACGCCGTTTTTCCAGACAACTTCAGCAAACTTTCAGCAAAGAAGAATGGCAGATATGTGTCTTAAGAAGAGATAAAACGTAGCTTGGTGAACAAATTTCATCATTTCAAGTCTCATGACTTGCATAATGAGAGAGTCATCCCGCAAAAATGTTTCTTTTCTCTCTGTTTTTCTGCCTACTTACCTTCTCAAAAATTGATACACACCAAACTGAAATGTAGCATAGTAAGATCACCTATGAGCTTTCTTTGAGGTACAACAATTGCTTTCCAGAGATCAACTTTACTGAAAATTATTACAAGGAATATTTTACTTTCTGCATTATTTTCTTGAAACCTATCCTCGTCATGTCAATGACTCATGAATAAAATAAAGCTAGGTTACCTTAGTAAAGTCTGAAAATAGGAAGAGAGTTCTTCAAAATTTTATTTTCGATAAATTAACTCCTGCGTCAGTAAAGTTTGTTTGGGGGCCCTAGTGGACCTGTATATCTTTGAAGAACTGTTAACTTAAATAAATTATTACAGAAAGACCTTGATTTATCAGCTGTCACAGGATTTTCAAATCAATCCATTAAATTGCAGAATCCTTTCTAATAAATTGAGGTCTTACTATGAATAAATAAAATTACAAAATATTAGAGTTGTAACTTCGAGGCGGCTGCTTCTCATCCTTTGGTGTTGGAAAAATAAAATACTACAGCTCAAGTATTCAACAAAAACTAATTTTTTCAGCAAAAAAACTATGAGGATTTACATGGTAAAACAAATATTTTTCAGACTTCAGTTCACAATGTTTGCAAATCATTAAAATCAGATTCACAACAAACGTTTGAGCCACAGCTATTTTGGTGCTCTTCTATAAGTTAAAGCTAGAACTCTACATAGCAATGGTGAAACTGCAGAAATGTGGATCTCGGTTTGCAACATTGCTGACTTTCTGCCGTACTTTAATTCCAACATGGGAAACTACTGGACGTCATTCCATTAGAAATTTCAGTGACTTTTCTTCTTTTCATGGAGAAAATTATATGAAAACTTTAAGCCATGATGTTGGTTCGATCTCCTTTTAAAGTATAAAATAGGAGCAGAGATTTCAAAACTTCACAACCAAGATACGCATTTTTGCAGTTTCACCGTCGATAGCTGTCCTATCAAATACGGAGGAGCATTAGGTTAATCAAAACAATTACTTGCCTAAAGAGTTAGCTTACACTTTTGTCCAACTCATTAGGTTTCAAACAAGCATTTGATAAGTTTTCAGGTAGACTTAGCTCCTTTACAGCAAGCTTGAGCAGGAGGTAGAATAAGTTTTTCTTCGTATTTCCACCTTCCATTTTAATAATTAGTTTCCTTAAGATTGTAGACTGTTGTATATGATGCATTGATTCCACTTCCTTCAACTTAGTAATAATTCAATGATTCAACTTAAAATAAAAATTAAAAGAATGGTCTAATGAAAGTTAACAATTTCCAACTTTAAAGGCTGCTGTTTACCTTGAAAATAGTGAATTTACCCCACAAAAGGGCAAACTGCGAGCAAGCAGCTTTGGAGATTTAATTACATATTAAGTTAACATGGTCACCAAAATTGTGCAAAGGAGATGACAACCGTGAGCACAAAATTGGTTGACAGCAATTTTTTTTCGAAAATTGAAGTGGGAGATTCGAAAACACACCATTTCTTAGAATGTAAAAGGAAATAGTTCTGAGACGAGGCAGTTCAGAACTATTTTCTAAGTTTACTTAAATATGTTTCCGAAATCGACACAGTAATTAAAACTTCGGAAAACTTTTGTAATACTGCAATGTCTTTATTTTTATTATCTTTATGAGCTACTGCATTTTACTAGGTGGCTCATTGCTTCACAAATCCTGAACTTCAAAAAGTAAATTAATGGTTAATGAGAAGATATTGCAAGATTACGTATTTTTACGACATCAATATAAAAATCATGCCACTATTTTTTTATTCTCTGGTGCAGTTTTTGCTGTTATTATAAAACACTTTTACGGTTCTGGATGCCTCCTTGGAAGATAGAAACTATCTTGTGCGACATACACCCCCCCCCCCCCCCCCCNACCGTCTCACACACACACAAATTATTTTATTCTGATCACCTTCTGAAAGAGTCAGAGCAAAATTATATTGTCTCATATTTCCTTTCACCACTCTGAAACAACAATGTCATACTACAACAATCGTAAAAACATGCAATAAAAGTGGTGGACTGACCTAATACATGTATTATGAGTCAACCAGTCTATCTCAGCTAACTTTTGACTACACTGAATATTTGATTGGAAGCTCACAGAAAGACTGCATTTCGTTGAACAGACTCCGTCAGACTGAACACAGATTCGATTTGATGCTGGTAACAGGACACAAGGGGTTTTATACTCTCTTGAATCAGACATAGTTGTAATTAGTATGATCAAATTTAATCGTATCGATTCGCGTATCAAGGCTCTGTGCTCAAAACTCAGGTGAAATAAGACATGAAGCACTCTTACTTCAGTGCAGAAGGTATCTGAGGAAGAATCGATAGCTCCCATAAACTAAGAGTTGATACATGGCATGTACATCCCTCTAAATTAGATTGGATGTACCCGTTTCTTTACAGATTTCACCCACGGGTGCAGAAAATACTCCATCACAGGCTTGCCCGGACTTGTGAAAATGTGGAAAGGACCTTACAAATGTGATGAGAGGAAAATCAAAAGTCAAAAATCAAACGAAAGAATAATAAAAAGGTCCTCACTTTTGAAATTTTGTGAAACACCGATGAGAAAAATGTGAAAAGCCGGCGGGCGGATGCGTGAAAATGTGGAAGCTTGGAAGATTCTGCACCCCTGATTTTACGTGTCTCAGTCAAATCGAATATGTGTCAAATATGATCAAATTGAGTCTACTCACTATAAATGCAGCTTTAAAGTTGTCCTAGGTCAATAGTCTGTTGATCTGATCTTGCTTGTCCAACATGACACTTATGACTCTACAAACTTCCTTAATTAGCACATTTCAACTGGTCTCAAGCCCTTCTTGGAATTTTGTTCTGGGTCTTTCTTTGCTCATATCTTTCCAAATCTCTTTGGCTCTTACTTTGTACTTTTCCTCCAATTCTGGACTTGGCACCACTCCATTACCTTTACGATACATGACACTCAGATTGGCACAAGCATAGGGATTCTCCATTTCGCAGGCTCTTAGCAGTGGATCTACTGCTTTTTTGAAGTTGAGCATGTTCAAGTAGAAGGAACCCAAAGCAAAGCACCCTTCTTCTTGTTTGCTGTGTTCTACTTCACAACTTTTCACCAGGTAGTCGATGTACTGTAAATAAAGAAATTCCATCAAACAATTTCTTGAATTTATAGCTTAGTTTCTAATCAATTTTAATTCTGTAATCAGAAGGAGGATGATCACCTCCTCTCTTTTTCTTACATAACAACCCGAATAATTTTATGTAATATTGAGCCATGCAAAGCGCACACAAGTGGACTGTGATAAATTTTAAGAAAAAAATAACTAGGCCATGGTTTAAGAATTTAAGAACTATTCTTTTCCAGTTTACTGTGATACAATATAAAAAGATTCCTTGCTCCACTTTTTGCGGGCCTTGCCGATTCATAGAGCTTAGCAGAGGGGGTGAATTGAGAGGCTTGTAGGGCATAGGTGCAGTTTTTGACAAACTGAGATATTAATGATTTCTAGCTTTAAAATTAGTTTTGAAATATACTTGTACAAAATTTATGATTGAAATTCAATTTTTAGGCATCCGTAAGCGAATTTGAGTTTTCTTTCTGCCACAAGGCTCCATGTAATTTTGAAATATTAAACACATACTTCTTGAAATAGCAAAAAATTTACTTGTGTGCTTTGTCCTCCAAGCCTCTCAATTCTAAGCCTACTTTGATCATTCTCTGTAAGGGTTTCCTTCCTTGGATTTAGAATTACAGTAAGACTTGTTTCAAAATGAAGAATCCTTTATGCTCTTATTGAACCCTTTCCATACAAATTTTCATCTGCATTAAGTCTGCTTGTTCGTACTGCAATTGTACCTCAATATTCCACCCTCACAGCCAGGCGTATTGGTTGGTTTAAATCTGACCTCATAATCTGAGCATGTTGATCAGATTACCCTGGTCTGAGTGAAGATTAAATAAGCCTGAAAAGGACCTCTACGAATTCTTTTATAATCAGTATATGCTATTTTTGGTATGCTGAGCTAACATGTAAGATTTTACCAATTTATCTTACTTACCTTGGAATATGCGCTTTCCGGAGCAGATTTATCCTTATTCTCGATGAGTTTAATACCACACCTTCCTGCCAGTACGCAAGAATCCAACCGACCTAGATCACAGCCTTTACTTGAATATTCGGTTGACTAAGAGAAACACGAAAGATGAAAAATTACAAGTCAAAGCTGAAGTTTAAAAGGAATCTTCTGTGACAAGATTAACAGAGGTAGTCACAGAGTAAATCAGTTTCAATGATGAAATTTTTTCGTAGGTTTATTATGCTGCACTAGATAGGAGTCCGTAATAAAATTACCTATCATAGATGCGATGAAACCTTTCAAATTTTTTGCAATTGCAGAAGTATAAAGTTGACTGAAGATAATATTTATTTTTATCCAAAAACTAATGATAGTTATAAATAATAATAACACTAATAATTATAAACTAATGATATATATATTAATCATTAGCGATAGAGAAGGAGAGGTAGAATAATACATACATAAAGTAATATAATTAGTAATGGCAAAAAACGGAGGAATAAAAAAATTTACTATACGCAAAGCCTAAGGGGGCAAGCTAGAACAATTTGTTTTCAAAATCACCTTCCGTAGACTTCCAAGAATGCCAATACACAACGTTCAATTCTCTGTACTATTAAGTTTTGATTTTCAAGAAGGGCTGTTTTGTGGCCCACCCTAATTCTCCATCTTAAAATTTTGGCAGGGACAAGATTAGTTCTTTTCAACTTGGGAACATTCCCAAAGTTTCAACCCGATGACTTCATCAGAGAAAAATTTATAGGGGTGAAACATTGCTGTCACTTTTTTTAGCAATTGAATTGTTAAATCAGCACTTTAATTTTTTCCGTGTAGACTTTCAATTAGAATGCAGTCTAAGAACTAGTTAGATGAATCATTACATTTTACAGATTTCATAAGGTAGAGTGTCTATGATCCTTTCAATTCTTCAGGTAGACAATTAGCCGAAGTGATACACTGATCTTCGGAACTTCTTGATACCCTCCATCAACATAAAAGTTGCTTGTATCTATTCCTGTAGCTACCAATATCTTGATTGAACTTGTAAAGGTTATTGTTATCATCAAGAAACGAGAGGGAAGCAAAATACAAATCTTGAAACAATAGGAATTTGATGTATTGGTCATGAGTCTCTTTGAGTGTAAAGGAGATCCCCCCCCCCCCAACCAAATGTACCTATGTGTAGTTCTTCACATCAATAATCAAAGCTTTAATTATGTAGCCACGCAAAGCCACTGGCCTCCAGAAAATCGTTTTAAGCCGTCCAAGAGCGAGGGAAAAAATGCAGCTGGTGGCATAAATGCGTTGAATTACGAAGATCAGAATAATTTAATTCCCATTGCAAGTAAAAAGAGAAAAAACGTAAGTGAAGAGGAACACTCACCAAAGCTAGCTGAGCTGGATTATCTATTTTTTCGCCTTTGATAAGGTAGGCTCCATACTTGCGACAACTGTGACCATAATTATTTTCATCACAATTTTTCTTGTACAATTCACTCGCTTGTTCTGACTTTTTTTCAACCGATTCAAGGTAGTCACCTAGCAGATGACACGCTAAAATAACAAAAAAAAAAAACAAATCATCCGAGTGAAATAGTTTGCCAAAGAGAGAGAGTGTAGCAACGGGGGAGGTTACTTGTCTTCAATGGACAGGACGGCATACAGCAAAAAATTGTCAGTGAAATATTCTTTGACTCCTCTTTTTGGATGTTGGCAAGTCAAGAATCATATTCAATGACACATGATAAAGAAGTAATTGTAGAAAGACTTCTGTCTTACAAAGCACACAAAGCTTCTGATCTAAACCAAAAACGGCTTTAATATTGCCCATGGAAGATCATTCACAGAGTGGTTGTCCGTTGGAGAGATGATAGGTTCGAGAGTTATGGTGAATAGAGGTTAATGTTATGTAGAAAGCGGGAAAAATCCAAGCTTCTTTGATTGCTCTGAACGTCTTCACCCTCCCACTTGAGCGTTGGTAAAGCCTTTCACTGCTGTAAGCTCCTACTCAAATTTCAGCACTTCTCATCTTACTTTCATCTGTTCGAAAGGCTTTCTACAAATTCAGTAAGGCAGGCGCCTGTAATTTTGGGAGGATTCTTTTCTTCAAGAAATGTTAATTGTACTTGTATGTTAGAGAAACATTGGTAATTTTAGTTACTGCATATAAGGTGCGAAGAGCAGCAAATTTAATCTACAAGCTCAATCTGCATTCCTATTCAACAGGATATTAGTGATGGGGTATTGTTCCATGTTGAATTTATCTTATGTTTGAATAATGTAGCAAAAATGGGAGATAATGAAAGGTAAATTAAGACAAATTTTTTAACAATGAACAGGGTGATACCTTCAGGGTTGTTCTCTCTATAGCATCCATATCTGTATTCGATTCCAAGATTTTTAATGAATGTTTTTACATCTTCTTCCTTTTTGAAATCATAAGCAGATGACATTTTTAACTATCACACGAGGTTCTATCGACAGTAATCGTCACTTAATTCTGATTATTTAATGGTAATTACACCTGTGGTTGCAATCATGTTGATAAAACTACAGAACATACAAAACATAACCTAAAAGTGTTGTTGTTATTACTTTTGTGCAAAATGATAACATGTGATAACAGGAACATGTGATTACAAACAGGCCACGCTTTTTGTATCTCGTACTTCGGAAGGAGAGAATATAAGACTGCGCTGTTCACAGTTCAGTTCAGAAGCAGTATTTCTGAACATTATGAAAATCAGATGAAACATATTTTCAATGATGCTGTCAACAGAATGAAGACAATGACACGAAATAGAGTCCCTTTATATCCATGAAACTTCGGCAAATGTGGATTACTTTACTGGATACACCTGCATACTGCCGTGCTAAGGAAGAACGCCGTATGAACATTCGAGTTATCAAATTACCCCGGATAAAACAGTATTTTTGACGAAATTTTTGTATATTAATCCTTAAAATTTTCAGATATTTAAGAATGAATTGCGAACAAAATAGTCTGAAAAATCAGAAGAAACATATTCACAATTTCCCCAATAAATTCGTATTTCATCAGAGGAAATTTGACCACGCCTGGAGGTTCATACATGTTCATGCGGTATTTTTTCCTTAGCATGGCAATACTTCTAATTACCTACATGGAATACTTAAAAAAAATCAGCCGAGGTACGTAGGAGATAATGACAGCGGGCATAATCCGGCATATCCTTGAAAGTAAAAGGCTGCTGATGATGTAGAAATGTAGAATATTGTCAATAAAAAATCATAAGAAGAGACGTCGTATCTTTTTCATTTCCAAGTAACGATCTTATTCTCTTCCCGCCTCTGATTTCATGATTTCAATGAACTGATGGAAAAAAAGAAAAGTTGTAAGTTGCGGAAAACTTTTGTCCCTAATTTGATTGCGCGCGCAATTTGGCGCAATTACTGCACGGATTGCACAATAGGCTTGCGATCCCGCGAGGATGGGTGATAGGTGATTGAGTCCAGCGCATGCGCTATGGCGCATGCGTAATGCATTCGTTACGTTACGTGCGAGCCGTGGAACGGATCGCTGAATCGTTTCGTTGCATCGCTGACTAGGTCCCGGAACATTTTGGCCATTTATCCTGCATCTAATCCCCGTGAATTGTTTTTATCGATCAATTATCATAATGGCACTAGCTCAAAAAGAGCAAATATTGAAGATACACCCTCAAAATGAACTTAAATTCGTCGGTAAGATCGCTATCTATTCACCAATCGTTAATTTTTCCGTTTTTTTCATAGAGACCTTCCCTCTTTTTTAGGCTTTGTCCGTTTATTTTGCACGTTAGAATGCTTATTGATTTTATGCAATGCCCCGTGCTTTTACATTTCCGCCTCCTAGATGTGCCCAAAATTTCGTCTCGTTTATTTGCTGTAGAAATTTGCCACTCTGCTGAGTGAACCAATGATAATTCCAAGGGTTGGTTATTGGGGCATGATCTGGGCTATCGCTGGATGGATCCTGATGATCTTGTCTCTCCAATATGTATATACTTCCTGTTTACACTCATCTGTCTTTGCATCCTGAGCCCCATTATCTACTTTCTCCAACCTATGCATCAAATCAGTAGCCCGTGTTCATGTTTCTTGCCTGGTTTCCCTATCAGTGAGTGTCTCGCAGGATCTAGAGGTCTCGCTCAAACCCGTGAATTATTTTACCAGGGAGGAAAATTATAACGGAGTGTGAGATAGCCATGCAGTCCTCTTTCTTCACTAAACTTCCATACAATAAGTATGTTATTTTAGACTTGCTGAAGTGTTCAGGTAAATTCCCGTGTTCATAGGTATATGATCCTTTTGTTTGGTTACTGTAGGTTAGGAAAGAGCGATGATTATTTTAAAGCTTCCATCAAATAAAATTCCATAACTATTGCTGAGATTAAGTTATTGGTAATTATTTTTTACAGTTAGTAACTATCTTTGTTTTTGTCCCTAGGTCCATTCACTTCTCCAGTCTTCTCTTACATAACCTTGGAGAATCCTTGCGACAAGAAAGTTTGTTTCAAAATCAAGACTACTGCTCCGAAAAAATATTGTGTCAGGCCAAATTCAGGCTCTGTAGACCCTCATCAAAGTGTGCAAGTAGCAGGTACTTCATCTTATCTTATTTCCATTTGTTATCAACTCATCAGGACCTCTATTCTTAATGTGAGGTTTAATTATCTAATGTAATCACCAAGGCTAGGGAAAGAATACATGAAGAGTTTATAAAAGTCACCTAAGCCTATATGCATCAATTATCAGTTGGCTGACTGGTAAGAACCATTGACGTTTAATACAATCTAGGCCGCGCATTTGGAAATTTCGGCGGGACTAGAGTCCCTTCAGGCAAGATGATAGGCAATCCAGCAACACCCAGCAAGTGTACCAGCAATATGTACCGAGGCAATGGAAATGCCAGTCTTGCCAGTGCCGTTGCCTGATACGGGTACACTTCATTCGTATATCCGGATGTATCAACTAAGCTGAAGGCGTGTCTTTACCCTGATTTACCCTGCTAGCTGTTGTTACCTCCCCCGCCTAAAGTCGAGCCTAGTGCACGGTCTAGATTGTGTTATAAGTCAATGGTAAGAACCTACATTTTTGTTGAAATCCAATCTTAAATTTCCCCAGTTCTAATCTCAGACAAGGCCTGGACAGACGGTCAAAGTGAAGCTCTTAAGTGGTGGCTGTTTGGCAAAGTGTTGCCATCAATTATCACCAAAGGAGAGCAGGCTGCTCTCTTTTTTTGCATTGATGCTTAACACTTGACTAAGCAGCCATCACTTAGGAGCTTGACTTTAAATGTCTGTCCAGGACCTGAATCTCAACCATGATTGAATTGTCATCTTCTCTCACCGAACCCATTGACAGATGGTAGTATTGACTTCACTGATTGATGGAGAAATGAGGCTGCTTTGATTACACTTCTTACTTTACAGTCAAATTTCTTCATTCTACCACACATCAGACGAAAATTGGGGCTCCAGGGTCTGATCCCTTAGACATTCTGTGGAATGACACCCTAGTATTTGTCAGAGGACAGAACGCTTTCCAATTCTGGTTCTTTTTAATTTTTTTGCCCTTTACAACCAACTGCGCTTAGTTGGCAGTTAATCAGTATCTCCTGTACGCATTCACTGAGCACTAATGCTTCAAACTTAACTTTTCAGCGATTTTACTTGCTTTTTTATCAGAATTATGGCACCGCAACTGTGTCAGATTCTGAGATGAAGACTTGTCAGCAAATGGGTGATGCTCTGTCCTATTTTCACTTGAAAGAGTTTTGATGCTTTTTTATTTTCATGTCATCCATCTAGCCGTTCATTTTGTTCTACCTGCCTTGAAACAGGAGAATTAATTCCAAGATGCCCTTGTCAAATGGGCATGTGACATCTCCTTGGCAATGGAAAAGGAGTTTCCTCAATTCAATTGGGGTTTGTTTCAATCTTTAAACAGTTGAAATAACATATTAAAGTGACCAGAGAATTCTGGAGTAAAATTAATATTTTGCTGATGTCCCGAAAAATGTGTAATTTTTTTTCCATCTACGCAGATTTTATCTAAAGAAACGACTTTCAAACTTGTCAAAATTTTGACTGATTTCAACCGGAACAATATCATGCCTATAGATTTTTTGACATCTCGCTAAGAATTGACCGCTTCGTCTGTTTCCACCGCGATCCTCTATATTCTAGATCTTTCCACCATTTAAGGCTATTTGCTCTGCTTGTGCTGGAGTCATCATGGTTACTTTTCGGTGTTCTATGCTTGTAGTTCCGGAAACGGACCATGATCACATGGGTGCCAATGTGGAAAAATGGGGGAAGCTAGCGTACCACAGTGTTAAAATGATTCTTCGAAAACTGCAGTGAAATTTCCATATATTTTTTTGCTTTCTTTTTTTTTGCAAAATTGCAGCATTGTGTGAGTAAAGAACAACCAAAAAAGTTTGTAGCATTGAAAATTTTTGGAGGGAAAAAGCCTTTTAAACGGAAAGACCAATTCCCATAATAGAAAGGCTAATAAAAACGGTTGGCACACCTGTTGTACGTTATATTATTTTGATAAATTAATGGTAAAAAGTGACAAGTTTGGTAAAATTTCTGTAATTACATGATTACTATGTAAGCACTAGCTGTGTGGCAGCAGTTTTATTACCATATTCACAGAAGATCTATGGTGACTGAGGTTATACGCTGATACCCTCTAATGATGTCAGAAAGATACAGCCAGTTTGATTTGTTCTTTATGGTACCTATTCTAACTCTTACTTGTTTTCATAAAGCAGCCATATTAGAGATTTTTAAGCTTGCTCATCCATTTCTCACGGAACTTTACTCGAGGTTGTGCCAAATATTGAGTTTATTTCAGGACTATGCCATAGCCTCATTTGCAACAATTTTAATGAACTGTTGGAGCTTTGTTTATTCATTCTTAACCAAATTGTTGAATTCCCTACAAAAGCCTTTTTTCCTCTTTCTATAAAATCTCATTATTTAAATTTCTTTTATCATACTTACAAAGCCTCGTTTAGTTAAATAATGTCCATTATAATTGTATCTCGTAAATTTTTTTCAGTTGTGCTGCAATCAGCTGGTATTGATCCCAATGAGAAGAATAAGCATAAATTTATGGTACAGTCAGTGATTTTGCCTGAGGACACTCCTGTGGAATCTGTCGTAAGTTACCCATTATTATTTCATGAATGATTGTTCACAGTAAGCCTCAACATGCGGTTGGGCAATCCTTTGGCATGAACCTTGTTCAGGCTGGGTCCGTGATCTTGCAGCAGCCCATGAAACTCTAAAACATACATGCAGATCAGTCTGATAACAAAATTAAAAACAATAATATTTGCAAAATGGTGGTTCAGTTTGCCCACATTTCCAAAGTAACTTCCCGTATTTGCATGTGTCACTGTTTAGTTCCTGGGGTCTGATTATATTAAATCAGTTTGTCCTAACTCCTGAATCGTTTGTTTCTCCAGAACCCATGACCACTTACGAAATCCAATGGGAGAATAACTCTGCAAGATTACTTGTTTATCTCCTGTGCTAAGGTAAAACACTGTATGAACATTTGAGTGTTGCCAAATTTCCCCTGCTGGAACATTTATTTTGGAAAAAATGTATGCACATTTTTTCTTGAAATTCTCATACAGGTATATGGTAGAATTATAAATAAAATTGTCTTAAAATTTAAAAAAAAAAATTTCAACCACTCCAAAATTTTCTTTTTTTATCAAAGATAATTTTGTAATGTCTGAAGTTTCACAAGTATGGTGTTTTTCCTTAGCACAGCAGTGTTTTAGTTTAGGTTCTCTAACATCTGTTTCTTGGCAAACCTGGTTGCTGACAACTCAGAAAAACTGTCCACAGATGCAAGAAAAAGAAGAGTTAGTAATTTGGCAAATTCTGGGGCTAAAAAGTGGATTACAGGCTTTTTGAATGTGCCCATCTGGAATTTTATGTGATTTTACCTGTGTAAAGTCAATTCATGTAGTTGTGTCTCCTGCACAAAGAAATTTTGCAGGACGTGTGTAAGCCAAATAGCAAGCTCTCTTGTAATGTTTTCTTCTTTTAATCTTATTTTTAATCATTGATTTGTTGCATTTTCAGTGGAAAGATGTCAAGCCAGAGTGCTTAGTTGATTACAAATTGAAATGTGTTTTTGAGATGAATGAGTCAGAAGATGAAAATGTGCAAGAAAAAGAAAAGAAATCTGTCACTGTTTTAGTAAGTATTATCCTGCTATCAGTTTTTTGTCACTAACCTACTTTAAATTATTAATATGATAAGGCTTTGTGTAGGATGTCGACATTTTTTTAAATGCTGATGCCTTCAATTGGAATTCTCACAAGCAATAGACAAACCGCAATCAAATTGTGCCACCCTCATAAAGTGTGGCAAAGTAATTGATATTAAAACAGTTCTTACATCCTGGGTAGAATCATTGGGTGTAGAGGCTATCGTATGACATCTCTAAATCAGTCTGTATCCGTTGTGCCAGTATGGAGCGCCTTCAACATTGTAGATGTAATTCAAACGCTATGCAGTTACACATAAGTTCTGATTTGCTAATTGCCTCTCCTGCGCTTGCCAGCATGTGCAACGTGATTTGAAACGCACACCTTTCACGGACAAACTATGGTTTGCTGTTAGAGCCCATTCTGCACACCTGATCCCTATCTTTTCTTATGAAATAACAAACTGCCTTGCTGCCCACAATTTACCCATCATTTTACTTTGATAATAATGTATGGTGCAGAGGAAATGTGGCGAAGACTCCAATGCTCTGAAGCTTTGAATATCATTCTGCTTCAGTATCTGCAAGGTTCATGAAAGATATGGTATTGATATTATGTGTGGGTTCAACTACAAACTGTTGGTTCTGCTCAGAAGCATGGACTGTGCTGGATAGTTTGATGCGAAAGCTTGAATTTTTCTGAAATTATGCTTCAGCGCTGAATTATTTACCAACACAGGGGAAATTCAGAGAAAACTCAGAGATAATTGAAACTTCCATATAATGGTAATCTTTGATGTGCCAGGCCTTGCCTAGGGTACAAACAATGCAAAATGGATTTTTGTCTCTTTTTTCTACCTTTTTGTAAAACTGCCTCTTTAATGGATTCTTTCGACTTTACAGCCACCAGAAACGTGTGAGGAACAAGAGCATGCTAAGACATCCAGTGAAACAAAAACTTGCAGCCAAGAAGAAGCAAACCTTAGACTAGAGAATACTGAACTCAAGGTACTGTTTTTTTTCCTGCCCTTTTTTACTTTTTCCGTATTTTCTTTGATTCATTAGTTCAGTTGATTCAGGAAATATGTTCTTTCTCTGCCTAAGAATAGATTGTTAAAAGGAGTTATTAGCTTAACTTCAAAAGAAAGTAGAAATTTTAAGCTTCCATTTTGACAGTATGATTCTCAAGGTTGACATTTTTTTCTGATATGTAATGGAAGATGACACTTTCGTCCGTCAAAAAAATTGAATGTGTTAATATTTATTGAGGAAGTCCATAGCATCAAACGTTTCCAACGTTTGGCTTTCCCCCCCCCCCTTTTTTTTTCTTAATATGCTTAATGCTAAATCCAAAACTGTGTAAGTAAATGAGAAGAAGAAGGGGGAAAAAAAACACTGTTTGACTGCAATACAGTGTGACCAGTCTTCTAATGTGTAAATTATTTAGCCCATTCTAGTTATTGGATTTTAATTTCAAATTCCAAACAAGGTGCAAAATCTCTTTTGGGAATTTACCTTTCATCAACTCAGATGATACTTAAATGTACTCACTGATCATCCTTAATAAAATTTCTTTGCGCAATGCATGCTTTGAAAATTCGGAAAAGTATGTCAGAAAATGAGGAAACCGGTTTACATCTCCAACTCGCTTGACCTGGTGTAATTCTCTGGTCCCGATGCTAGCATAGTAATGGCTGTCTCATGGTGTTCTTTTCCAAACATCAAGATACATGTAACCCCTGCTAAGTCACATGTGGGGGAAGACAAATTTTCCGCCAAGTAGAATTTTTGCTTGGTCCTGTCAAATTCCTGTGAGGCTGCTGATTACAATAATTCAGTGCTAACTTGAATTGGGATCAGAATTGTGACATTTCATCCCAAAAAATTGGTGCTCCTCAAGCACAAAAGCGTAACAGCATTCGAGGTGAGCCTTCTCCCCCACATACCTAACCTCAAAAAAAGAAGCGAGTCTCCAGTGGAAATGGAGTTTCGCCCATATGTCAAAGAGGCGACAAAGTTTTACTCATGAGAATTTTATTTTTACTTACTTCAGCTATTCCGGCTGATACGGCGAGTGTAGAAGAGAGCGGTCGTGAATATTTAAGGATCATCAGACTAGATTGATGGATTGTTCGCTGAAGAGGTATTTCACTTGCCAAATAAAGATGAAGATTCCTTTCAGAGTTAAAGGCACTGAATCTCACTGAAATTTGATATTTTCAGAAACTGATCCAAGCATGGAAGGGGGGAAACCCGCACTGGACGTATGGTGGCTATGACCAGCAGAAGCAAATGCACACGTGGAAACGCATCAATCCACCAAAAGGCGATTCAGAAGACCAGGGACTCCTTGACAGATATTCCCTCACTTCTGTCTTTCTTGCTATCATTGTCGGCTTAATCGGTGTACTAATTGGCAAGTACGCAATTTAGAGGCCTCTATTTCATCTATCCTTTCTTACATTGCCCATGAAGCATTCAAATTTTATCTTTCTCCCATCGTTAATCTCCCTGTCTCTTTCCTCTCCTATTTTTACATTTATTCCCTCGTCGAATCTATGCTTTCTTTTTGAAAACCTGCCCCCCCACGAACCAATTTTCAGTGACCGTCCTGCGGATTTTTTGCCGCGTAATGAATAGAAATATCTTGAATAGAAATTTTCAGTTGCCCGTTCTTCAAGCAAACACAAGCTGCTCTTTGGTTGGGGGTTTCTTGCTTTTAATTTGTGCTGCTCTTGCCGTAAGTCAGGGCTGCAGGTTAAATTTTTAATGTCATGTTTTGAGGTTCTCGGTTTTGAAAAGTGGCCTTTTTATAAGTGAGTCTCATCAAAAAGTTGAAATTCGTTGAGATATTGGGAGAAAGCAGAATTAAATACTTGGAAATGGATTTGTGATCTAACAGGAGCGGAACTTTAAAAGGCACAGGTGGAGGTTTGGGAGTGGAATGTCGATGAATTGAATATCGATAAATTTTAAATTAATGCAACTCTAGATATACTTACCATTTGTTAACTTTTTTTGGAATTAAGTTTTCAGGCCTCATTATCTATTCAGAATAAACTCGAATATAAGGCAGTGAATTTTCCATGTATTCATCTTCATGAATTATTTTTACAACATTTTTAGAGAATGAACTGGAGGATATTGCTTTTAAAATTTCTCATTTCTCTAGAAAGAATGGAATTTTGAAATCAAATTTATTATCAACAGCCTTGGAAATATATCATGATCTTAATCTTGCACTTTGAATCTGGATGTATCTAATGTCAAAAACGATCATGTATTTCATGGTTAATCGTAAATATTCATTATTTATATCTGGCTTCTCACAGTTCTTGAAGTTGTGTCCGGACTGTGAGCATCATTAATCCAATCTGCAGGTTTTTTGCGAAAAGAATCAATTATCCAATGACTTGGCAAATGTGTTAAACTTTAATACTGGAGCATAATCTCAGAGTGTCTAACCTGTTCAAAAAGTTACATACTGGATAATTCCAGGAGTAAAAAGCAAGTTTTACCTTTTAAACATTTTAAAAGGTGAGAATTTCATCACCACTCAGTTGAAGAATAAAATTGAGTAGCTAGCTCTTGTACGACTTGGAAGAGTGCTAAATAATGGCGAATTTCCTCCTGTTGAAGACTCTCACACCTCTCTCAGTTGAATGAACATCTCTATCAATGACGATTAGGTTTATAAGCCTCCGACAGGAAATATTCATCAAAACCCTACAAAAAGAATAGAAAAACAGGATGGACTGGCAAGACTTGGCTGAGAGTTACCGACCGATCATGGTTGGAGAATTGTCACATCATTATAAACCCTTGCTTGCCTCATCTTTAATCAAAGTTTGTATCTAAGTAGACGTTAATGTAAATAATTAAAAGTTGTTACATCTTTCCGTTAGACATTTTTGGAATTTCTTTTTTGATTATTCATTAATTTATTTATTTATTGACACCTCTTTTTTATGATCCTGTTTTCTTAACAGAGTCGTTAGTGTATTCTAATTTTAGACCCAACATGTTAATTGTGAGCCTGGCGGTTTATCATGCATGGTCCTCACCAATAACATTGCCATATTGCTGACCCATGAACATAGGCAATGCTACCTAGGGACCCAAAACCAAGCTCTGAACCGTTGGCTTAGTCAGGAGAGAGTTTTACCTATTCCTACCATGAGTTTCCTCTTTTATTTTTTATCATTGAACACCCAATTCTGTTGTTAAAAGCAATAACACCGTAACCTCATTCCAGATTTTGCATTTTACCTTCACTTACAATCGATTATCTAAAAAGAACATTACCTTCATGCTTCATTTTTTCAGGTTGAGTTTTTAATGGTATGACACGGTTTTTTCAAAAGAAAGGGGGAAAAAATGATGGAGTGTGATCAATGGTCTATTTTCTTGTCTGAAAAAATATTTTAAATTGAGTTACGGTGTTCCTGCTTTCGATAGCAGAAGTTTTTCAGTTCAATTCTTTTTCTGGGCAGAACTATTGTTAATAGGGCTATTGTAGTTCATGTGTTGGCCATTTTTAATGCATGTGCTTTGTTTTAAGAGAGACGTGGTCTCTGTGTGAGGCCTGTTGATTCAGCTCCTGACTATGCTGAAAGACCAAGGAGTTGGAATGTTGACGGCTCTGTTGTTGTTAAGCCCTCGCTTTTTATTCATGTTATTTTAACTTTTGAGAAAAAATTTTCCCTTGAAAATTGGACTGTGAAAAGCTGTTGTAATGGGAAGGGGTCTCTAATAATTGGGATGTTCTAATGTCCTAGTGTATTTTCCACCTATAAATTCCTCCCATAATTTTGTGGGCTGTTGTCAGTGGCGCAGCCCTTTGTTTCGTGATCTTGGATTTGTAAGATTTTTGTGAATTCCACTGTGTGAGTTTCCAATTTGTCTGGTTTTTGACCTTGCTATTAGCATTTGTTGATTTTCAGAATTTTTCACCAATTTTTAGGTCCCAGTAAATGTTTGTTTTTGATGTTCTTTAATCCTATGTTCTGGCCTAAAGTGGGAAATGATGACACATTTTTCATGCATGAAAATTAGACGAATCCTAACACTAACTACTTATGAACTCGTGCAAAGAATTATTACTAGTTGATGATATCATCGATTTTCTCAGTGACTGCCATATTCTTGTCTCCAAGTAGTGTCAAACCCTAATAGCATTCTTTGCTGTCATTTATGGCATCATTCTTTCTTTGATCATACCAAGCCTGCGTAAATCTTTTTGCATAATAAAAATTTTCCAGTATTAAGATCTGAAGCTATTTCAAGCCAATTCTGCAGCTTCAATTAATGGCGGGTGCCAAGCAGGACAGAAATTCATTTTATGGCAGTTGAAATTTTTTATCTTTCGCCCTGTTCAATTATGCAAATCTCTGCTTCTTTTACACCGCTCTTTATGCAAATGTATCTGCTTAGTCCTTTGTTAGTCTCAAGAACTTTACTGTCCCTCTCACAGTATGATGGTGCAGATAAAGTGACCAGGATGTGAATCTTCATTTCCTTCTTTTAAAGCGATCGCTGAGGTTTTTTAAATCTATCTGATCATTTGTAATCTGATGACAGGAGACTCTACCTTCAAATCTTGCTTTTTAATCACAAAGCATTTTATTATGCAGAAGTTGAAATACATTTAATAAAAATCGTCAGACTTGGATCAAGTGAAGACTTCAGACTGTCGTAAAAAAAGTCAGTGTGATCAAAATAATGTTTCAGTTTCTCCTTGAGATCATCTGTTTTTTTGTGAAAATTGTCTTGCCATCTTTTTGGGAACTCCCTCAGTTTTTTCCACCTTATCTATGTCACTAGCAGAATATTCATGCTCCTGGCAGAATCACCTCCGTTTAAAAGCATATTACATTCTTTAAAATCTGTGGAAACTAAAATAGACTTGTGCATCTTCATTGTGTTGACACAGAATGCTCCCAAAATTTTTATTGTGATGATGTTTTTTTCAAATATTTCACTACATTCTCACTTGATGAAAATATTTTGTGAACAAGGAATTTTCCAGATCTGTCCATGAATCATAAATGTTGCGTGATGTAATCTTTGGCACCAGTAGAATGGTCCCGGTGTATTTTAATTTTACTTTTCAGTGACCTAAGTACTTATGTTTTCTAAATACTAGTCGCTGATACTCATAAGCATGTAGTAATAGTGTAAAAAAAAAAACCCAACTGTATATTGCAAAATATTATTTGTAAATTGCAAAAATAATGTATTTGTTTTTTAAGCATTTTGCAGCATTTAACATTGTTATGGTGATTGTTCTGGGACCCAATGACCCCGGTGATTGTTTCACCCCAAGCTGATAAACAGTACATAATGCCACACCTAGCCAGTAGGGATCACTTATTTCCTGTGTGAACCCACTATTAGAGCATTCTCTGTCCTTTTGTTTTAAAATTTGCTGCCAGATCTTGAATTTACTATTTTGAATGAAAGAAATTTCAGAGTGCTCTTCATCATCGATTTTTAAACAATTTAAACACCAATATTAAAAAAAAAAAAAGATGTATTCCATCTCGTAGTCTTGGGGTAGTCTATAAAATCTCTCTCCACCTGTTCTTAAAGAAAACATACTTCGCAAGAATGCAATGAATTGCATTGGTCCTTTGTCTCAAGGTATGGCAATTAACGCAGAAAATTTCTTCCTCGGCTGGGCAGAGACGATGCATCTAAATCTGGGAAGAATTAAACTCACAAAGGAATGAAGAACTCTGACCATATCAATGATTGTTTTTATTCGGGGGTGCAGGGAGACTTTTGCCTCTCAATTCCTCAAAACATACCCCCCATTCACTGATGAAGTGGCTTAGTCTCTCTATGTATTCATCGGCAACGTATTTGAAACACATAATTAACTTAAAATATTTGGGGAGTCCAAAATATTCTCACTAATCTCATGGAATATTGTATTTTTAACTTAACATTAACTCATTAACTTGTGGTGATAGCTAGTTGTTCCTCATTAATGGAGAAGTGACTTTAAAATTAAAAAGGGAGAGAATACCATTACATATTAATGAATGATATCACTAAACGTTTCCCTCTTACAACTTCTTTCCGTGTTAGCTCACATGGGAGTGAATTGCGAGAGAATCTCTCAAGTTTTTGATTCTGCAATTTAATATTGTTTACTGAAATAGAACCGTGTGCTTGATGATTGCCATGGCTAGACACAGTTGAAAAGAACATAGCTATGACAGCAAATAAAGTCAGTGAGGCAAAGGCAAATAAGGTCAATATCTTTTCCGTACCAGCGATCTGTTTCTTGAGCCTAACCTTTATGTATGCCTAGTCTTTGGGTCCCATCTACTTCATGAATTTTATTCTCGAAGAAAAATTATCTACCCTATGAAAAATGTTAAAATTTTGGTTAATTTTTCTCAAAATGCCTTTTTTTGCCCTTGGAGTCATTTTTCCATCTAAATCCGCTAATTCCCCCATGTGATAGGTTAAGTATTATCGCATAACTTTTTCTTTGTGAAACATTTAAGGTAATGAAGAAAGACTAAGCCATTGAATCATTGAATTCATAATAGTATCCTTGCACAGCAAGGCTCAGATTTTTTCCACCACAGAAGTGGTGTACATACTCATTTGATATTTGCCAAAATCAGTGCAAGAAACGACTATCAACTGTTTCTCATCAACTTCTTGTGTCAAGAAGTCAGTTTTGCAGAACCATTCTGCCTACAAAATGTTGCGCAAGAATGAGAAGAAATGAAAAATTTTGAACAACTTAAATTTTTACAGTTCCAAATTGACTTAATGTTATACGTACTATTTGAGAATATCCTGCACCCCTGCTTGTACTGATTTGTTTCTTAGCAGGGGAAATCTAATCAAGTTCCCTAATTGAGCTGCACTTCATGATGAGAAGTTCCACCTAGTTTCTTTTCTCTTTTATTGGCTGTTAGTTCATAATTACAATTAAGAATTTATTTATTTTTTAAAAGGAAAATAGTACAAGCAGTTTTCCATAACCACCTCTTGCTGAGTCAAGTGAAAAAGTGTTGTTAAATTGTTTTTGGTGCCTTGCATTTTTAGGGAACTTGATTACATTCCTTGTTTTCGTTCATCCTTCGCGTCTAAAGCGGTATTTATTTTAAATGTATTATTATTTAATCCAATAAAGTGATATACTTGGATTTACAAATTGTGATTTTTACAATATTTTCCTTCTCTTACCACAGGCCAAACTGCTCGCAATCTGAAGAGGGAAGTATTTAAGTTTTTTCTTGGCAAATTGAAAGTTTCTTATACATTGCCATCAGCAATTGTCGCATAAGCTGATTTACCGGGTCTCATGCATTTTTTCCATAAGGCATATCGAAGGTGTAAGTTGGCAATCACATAACTCGGTTTGCGACATCGCAGACTTCCTGTCATACTTTATTTTTTAAACAGAAAACTACTCAACAGCAATTCTTTAAAACTGCTGATTTTTCTTCTCTGGGCAGAGAAAATTCTGCATAAACTTCGAGGAATGATGTCTATTTGTTCTCCTTTTAAAAATTGACAAGAAGGCGGAGATTTTCAGACACCGCAAACAAGATATTTGATTGTGGACTTCCGCTGTCGATAATTGGTTTTTTACTATTAATGGAAAACCCATGTGAGAAGTCTTGATGAAAATTGCCCCTGGCAGCCAAGTTCCTTGTCGAATTTTCAAATGAACTTTTTTCCGTCATCATGACATCGTGAGGACCCCTGTTTCTGTGAAGAGACGGGTAAACGGAATTTTTTCGAGCTTATATATTTTGGACTAGAGAATGAAAGTGAATGTTGCAAAGAATTCAACAATTCTATTCAAGATAATTGGTATAAAAATTTACGATGCAAAAAGTTGTTTCTAGGACATTAACAATTTTTTACAGCATTCAAGGTCAAAAGTTGACAGAGAAACATAGCATGAGGTCTTGGGTGGCATTTAAGTTTCTTAGCGGCGAATTCAGTAAACTCAGAAGGTAAATGTAGCAGTTTCTGCAGAAATAGCATCATAGATGAATGTGTTGTTAATGGGTTTATACTGTTTTGTTATGAGTTTTATTATTTCATGGCTAACAGCTCCCCCTGGAAAAGAAAACCGATGATGGATTAGATAAACTGAATTTCTTTTTTCAAGGAAATAAGGCTCGAGAATAATAGTTACCACTAAAAGGGTAGTCTGTTTGATATTTTATCCCAACAAAGGGAATTTTGAAGGTTCTACATGCTGTTATTTGTCTCATTCACAAGAAATGAGCCCGATTACAGAAAGGTATTTGTCTAGTAGACAAGACAAGTTTGTGAGGAATGAGTTACTAAACCTTGCGGTTTTCAATTAATATTCCAAAAGTACCAGGTAAATGGATTAAATGGTGCTTTGCTGCGTATTTTTAGAGCAAAAATCTCGGACAAATCCCCATTTAAAAAGTCCAATGACTCAGGAGGAATTTCAAACGCTCAGCAAAAATGATAAAGGTGATGTACTGCAGCAGTCTAATAGCCATCTCCTCTCATTTTCCATTCGTGTAAGTTGAAAAAAGAAACTTATTTCAGTGTGAAATTGTTGCTAGTTTACTAGAGACCACAAGAATAAGATTTGATTCTGATATAGTTTCGACTTTCCCATAGTTTCCATACACAAGGAGTAGAAAGAATTTTGACAGAAGTCGTAGAAACCCATGCTTGCTTCTAATTGGTGTCCGATGACATCATTTGGTCCGGCGTAAAACCAGGGCATTTTCAATTTGCAGAAAAGTTGTGCTTTCTGAACTGCGTGTTTCTCGATTTTTGAGTTAAATTTTTAATGTGCGCATCTCATACTAAGTATCCATTACCTTTGAAAAAATGTATTCGCAAGACAAAATTTGTTCATGATTTAATGACCCATTGAAGCTATGTGATTGGTGGGCTATCTTGTTCCGTCAACTGAGTCCGAGCAAGTTCAGCAAGCTCCTTATCCGGTGGAAGTTAAACTGGTTATCGGCTACCGAGGAGGTGCCTAAAGCTAGTCAATTATTTGGCCAGATAAGGGGCAGCTTGTGTCGCGGATCTCGGTAGACTGAAGGAGATAGCTCACCGATCACCAATCAGCTCAATTCCTCTTTAATCTTGCCCAGTCCACAAATTCAAAATTCCCATAATTGGGCCGCTGCCCCTTCTCACTTAGGAGGGGGGCACTTGTCCCTGCCGTTTTCCACGTTTTGGACATCACAACAAATGACACATTACTGACTAAACACCTAATCATACTCTCAAATTTTAACAAGCCAACCTCAGAGGTGTTGGCTGAGAGTGTGATGGCCTCTGAAAAGATTGTCCTTGCTAAAATTGAGATTTTCTTCACTAAAAGAGCGAATGAAGCTTCTAATATAACTGATTGTGAAACATTGTTCTTCATTACAAGTAACCTAGTCCAAAGCTCTACCATGAATTTTTGAATCTGCTCTGTATTTTTCTCACAATATATAATTTTGTATGGAAGTAAATTGATTGCGAACGAATTTCGTTTTCTGCAAATGTGATGAAAAATTGAGGTCTTAAATGCCCATGCTAATGAAATGGAATTGCTAATTACACATTTTCTCGAGGACCCATGTTGGTTGCGATTAAATTTAAGACTGAAAATGGCAACATTGTCAATAAAGTTGTTGTCATTTTCTTAAAAATCAATACTTTAAAGCTGATAAATACAGAGTTATGCCCAGCCAAAAATGAATAATACCTGATTCGCTAAGTTCTACAGCTAGACTTAAATGTAGCAGTCCAATCTTTAAGAGTTCACTAACAGACTCAAAAGGATGAACTTGCACCCATTCTTACAACAATGGGATCACTCTAGATAGGGCACTGACTCTGTTCATAAACTCACTGCCCAGTATGCACTTATTTAATGAGGCTGCAGCGAAGTATTTGTTCATGTGACTTCGCATCTTTCGGACAAGCTAAACAGGTAAGACGATTTTTTGGCCAATCAAAGAACAGTTAGAGTTGGACACAGTTAGTATACAGGGTGAGCGAAAAGTCCCCGACCCCCCCTCTAACTTTTGAACGAATTGAGCTAAGGAAATGAAACTTTGGGAATCATCCTATCTCAAAGGGGACCATCTTTTGAGGGGGTCAAAATTTTGGTCCCCCCCTCAGGGGGGGACAGGGGCCCCCCAACTTTTTTTTTCAAATAGCAACCCCTATCTTGTGATACCTCATTCGAAAGAGCATAAAAANTTAGAGTTGGATACAGTTAGTATATAGATGAAATAATGCAGATTAATCTTTCTTTTCATAACTGATGGAAAAAATGTTTACCTAGGAATGCAGAAACGGAGTGAAGTTCAGCACCACCATACCTACAAATCTCATGAACAAAATCATCTTTGCTAAAAGAGCTACAGCCCCACTCCGATATCAGTCGAGAAATGCAGGCCTGAAAATAAAACTTGGTTGATAATATATCTGCTTAAGCATAGAGATGCATGTTTGACAGGAATGTTCAAAGAAATCACCTGTAGTTACAATTGAAACTACACCTAGAGGCGAGTTCTTTTTCTCTATCTGGTCCCAAGCCCAGGAAAAGGAAGAGAGTTGTGTATGGAAGAAGTTGCAGAAAGAATCAGAAGAATAAAAAATAACAAAGCTCCAGGCAAAGATGGAATTACAGCAGAGCCACTTAAAAATGGAGGACAAATGTTAATCAAAGAAATACACAAATTGGTAAAAGCAATATGGAAATCTGAAAAAATGCCATCAAAATGATTTATCGGAACAATTTGTCCAATATTCAAAAAAGGAGACAAATTAGAATGCAAAAATTACAGAAGCATTACACTCTTAAGCACGGCATATAAAATAATGTCATCAATTTTCAATGAAAGACTGAAGAAGGTAGTCGAAAAGGAGATAGGTGAATACCAATGCGGCTTTCGACCAGGAAGATGCACAGCCGATCAATTATTTGTGATCAGACAGACCATGGAAAAATGTCATGGGTATGGAATCGATTTACACATGCTCTTCGTAGAATTCAAGGAAACATTCGACAGTGTCAATTGAAAGGCACTTATAAAGGCCCTGGATGAGATGAAAGTACCAAGAAAGCTTACCAAACTTACAACAATGACCATGAGTAGCACCAAAGCCAAGGTTAAAATAGGAAGTAAAGTGAGCAATGTATTCGACTTTAACAAAGGCCTGAAGCAAGGGGATGGATTGTCAAGTACAGTATTTATGATAGCACTGCACATGGCAGTCAAACATGTCGACCAAAGAGGGACAATATTCACGAAATTTAGTCAATCGTATGCCTATGATATTGCCCTAATTGCGAGAACTAAAGAAAAACTAATAGAGATCTATAAAGAATTGGAAAAAAGAGCAAGAGAATTAGGACTAGTGGTAAATGTAATTAAAACCAAGTACATGGTATTATCATCCTCAGAGTCAAAAAGAAAACCGCAAAACTTAATAATTGATGGCAAAGAATTTGAAGGAGTCAAAAAATTCAAGTATCTGGGAAACCTAATCGATAATGAAGCCAGAACAACTACTCCAATTAAGGATAGAATACAAACTGGTAATGCAGCATATTACGCCAATTTGAAGCTAATTAAAAGCAGAATGATATCTCGGAAGACCAAGTTACAAATATATAAGACCCTGATTAAACCAATCGTTACATATGGCAGAGAAACGTGGACTATGATAGAGAATGATAGGAGCATGCTGAGAGGATTTGAGAGAAAAATTATAAGAAGGATTTTTGGAGCCATCAAAGAAAATGGAGAATGGAGAATTCGAAACAACAGCGAAATCGACATGATACTGGAACAAGAAGATACAGTTCGATTCATCAAATCGCAAAGAATTCGATGGCTAGGACACGTTAGCAGAATGGAGGAGGAAAAAATGCTGAAGAGAATCATGAAAGCCAAAGTTCTATCGAAGAGAAAGATAGGGAGGCCAGGGCTAAGATGGCAAGATGAGGTAGAGAAAGATCTTAGAGTTATGAACGTGTCAGGATGGAAGGAAAAGACCATGGACAGAATAAGATGGGGACGCGTCGTCTTGGAGGCCAAAGCCCTCCCAGGGCTGTAGCACCATTAGTAAGTAAGCAAGTAGTTACAATTGAAGAAGTTTTAGGTAAATACGTGATTGATTATGGTTAAAAAATCAAATTAATGTTAAATTCTTATGTATTAAATGTGACTTGAGATGGAGTGCTGTTGCCGAAAAATATGAAAAATTTGAATTTGACCTTGAAAATTATTGGGTTCAATGCAGAATGAAACTTAGGACCTCATAAGTGCAAGGCCAGCACTCTTCCGTAGAGCTGCCGCTCGATAAATCTGCCACTATGGACTCATGCTGCTTTGTCTTGCCTTGTCCTTCCGGCAAAGCTCAACTGGGTGTCTGATGCTCACTCAGAATCCGAATTTTTGTAATATTTTATGCTGTTTGTAGAGTGCATAGGAAAAAACCACAGGTACAATGAACTCATCCAAGAGTCCATCGAGAAAATTTCAGTCCAAATGGAGGCTACAGCTTGGAAAATTCCCATTGTGAGTTATCAAAATTCAAGAAAGAAAAAACAAATGCAAAAATATAGCTAAACGCTGAAATGCTGTTTCAAGGCAGAGCAGAAAAGTAACACCTTTCTTCTCCCGAAAGAGGAGGAAACAACATGGAACAGAAATATGCATGGTGGGAAGAGGAGGGCTTCTGACTTACTGACAAAGGGCACTGTTGTGCTAACTCTGACCCCTGGGATGTAAATGCTGATGAAGACGAAGGCAAATAACTCTCATCAGCAGAGGAGAACAGCCCAGCTATACCAAAAATGTGTGGGGACTGTTTAGAAATAAGACAGGATCTCTTCCCCATCATTTAGAGTCAGGGTTGCTGCATAGTAGGTTATGCGGATTACAGCTTTTGCTTCTTCTTGTATAAAAATTGAATGTTTGGGTACACTGTGCGTTGTGCGTGGAGGTCATAGAAAATTCTGAGGGAAAACATCCAGCCAGAGCTACAAATGGATTGCAATTTGCAAAATGGAGCCAAGAGCAATCCAGTGTTGCTAAGATTGTACAACTTGCATTCTTCGCGATAAAATTACTGAAATCATGCAAAAATGTAAAACAGTGGTAATCTTCGTCTTGAAATGATAATTTATTGAGAATAAAAAACTTGTTTAAATGATCAGTTTTGAATTGCAAGGTAAAAACAGTTGCACAATCTTAGAGATGTTGGAATGCTCTTGATTCCTTTTTGCAAAATGCAGACAAAAAGATAAGATTTTAAGCCTAACAATTACATTTCTCACTGCTTCACAGACTAAACAATTTATGGCAAGAGATATCTTTTATGCTGTTTCCACCTTCTGGGTAACATTACCCTAAATTGCCTTTAGTGAGACTCAAAAAGAGAAATACAAACCTTCATTTTGACAATATCTGGTTCCACCTGATCATTATAAACCCCAGGATATGTGTTGTATTCAGAGTAAAATCTATCTAAACCACGTAGCATCACATAGTACACCATTAGATTATGAGGAGATTCCAGGTCAGTAACTGAAACCAAAGAATCACATCAAGTTATTAGTCTTGCTTATGAAGACAGTGAGTTATGAATTATCTCTAAGATCCACCCATTTCTCTTGACCAAAATTATAACTCTTGTTTAATGCTGAATAGGCAATTACACCAAATAAGAAATCATAACATGTGTACAAAAAAATATTTGTTAGTTGAGATAATATTATTTGGAGTATAATTTAGATAAGCTGCTGTATTGAAAGTGAAATGTGCGTGCGAAATGGGTATAGAGTAAGTATGTATGCATGGTAATTGTTTTCCTTTTTCACGATGACATTCCAGAAATTGGAACATCACATCAGCAGGGCACTATTACACAGAGGTAGTTGAATAAAATCCCAGATGATACCCTTAGGAAACCGCAAAACCCTGGGGGCATATTTTAGGGGTCATCTATAAATTACATCAGCCACCCAACGAGGAGGAGGGAGTCTAGAGCTGAGTGGCGAAAGGAAAGAAGGTCAAGCAAAAGTGGCATCACCGTATCCTGATAGTGTAATCTTGTAAATTCAAAAGCAAAAAAGCAAACCATTCAAGGGCAGCCAATAGGGGGAGTGGTCTACTGGATTTTGTCTTAAATTTGTTAAATTGGCACTCATAAGGGGAGGTCACAATGAGTAAACCTCCAATTTTAATGATTGTGGTATTAAATGAAAATTATCTCTACAAAAAGGTGGAATGATACAGATCTGTGAGGAAGAGCATAAAATGAGATCTTAGTGGTGAAAAAACCAGAACATTTATCATTCTATGAAAGTAATGAGCCTGTAAAATTTTTTGGAGAGAGTGAGCCGAGTTATTTTACCTATTTTTTGGGATATGTTCCTAAAAGTGTATTCATCAGCTATAGAACTGCCCCTTATGACGCTGATGGAGCTTGCGTGTTTGCAAAACTGCCTCACTTCATTTTCTGTGATTGTGTCATCCGGTTGATTCAACTGCCTTAACAACTGCTGCACTCTCCGGAACACAATTTCTGCATCTTTTGCAGCTTGATCTCGATAACTGAAAAACAAAACAAACTAATAATATATAATATAAAGAAATATTTCACAGCTTTGAAGCACTCCATTGTGACCTTTATTAATGTGTGATGAGTATAAATAAGTGGGTAAAAAAATATGAGGTTGTAGGAAGGTTATCAATAACATTACATTTCCTCTTTGTGATAACATCCAGAGGTGCTTCCTTGACCATCTCAGGGTTAGCAGTCAAAAAATTTTTTTTTCATACCCTGGCTTTTCTCTGCTATAAAGGGGCACCTGCAAAACGGGCCATGTCAGGCTCAAGGCGGATACCTCTGAGACTTGCCCTATTCATTCACCAAACAATGCCCCATCTTTTCCCAAAGTTTCGAGCCCCCAAAAATTTTTGGGAGGCGCAGCGGGGGATCAAGGTTAAAATTGAGCAAAGTCTTTGTGAATATGTTATTCGAGAACCAAGAAGTTTTGAAAAACGCGGATTAAACGAGCATTTTCAGCGGGACAAGAGCTTTCAGAAAATGTATAACACCATACAGTTTTGTCAACTTTAGCTCTAGTTATTGCCTCCAAAGCGCCGGAACGCTAAGAAAAGACCTCCTTTTTTTCATGTCCGGGCCGATTCCAAAAAAGCCATATTTTAATTTTGATGAAAAACTGATATGTTGTTCCTGACTCTCTGTAGCTCCTCTAGCTCTTGACCGTACGCTGGGGAGATGTTTTGATTGCGAGTTATAAGAGTGGAAAGGAGCGAAGGTCGGGAAAATCGGTTATTTTAAACTACATGTGCGGTGTTGATCAGAAAAAGAACGTCCCCTCCCGCTCAGTTCTGCAAATCACACTCCTCGGCCGAACTCGCATTGTTGCCAGTCTCCTCCGATCAACGGGTTTCAACAATTTTGTTGTGATTTTATTTGCTGATTCCATGACAGTGGATATCTAAGAGTGGAATTAAGGTTTGAATAGCTTTCTGCCAAACATCAGAAAATCCGACATTTGAGCAGCTAGATTGACCGTTCTTCCCACTGTGCGGCGGTTCATTAAGAAGCACATTTTCAGTCAAGGTTTCCATTATTTCTTCATTTTCCAATTCCCTAACTTTTTCCCGACTTCTTGAGCTTTGAGCACTCTAAAATTTCCGAATTTCGAATCTTTTTCCTGACTTTTCCTAAACTCCAATAAGAACCCCCATTTAGATTTTTTCTTCTGACCAAGCTGACTTTTGCTGAAATATGAATGAAATCTTCAGTTCTAGAAATTAAAATAAAGAAAAAAAACACTCTAAAATTATTTCCGCTCTCTTGAATGGCATCAGCTGAAGTTGCTAAACTGATGTGCTACTCGCAAACTTCAATGATTTTCCTCATGAATTTCTTGACTTTTCCAGGTCTCTGTGAATTTCCTGACTTCCAAGGGTTTTCCACAGCCAGAAACCTTGTCAGTGCGAGGACCATTTTTAAAAAATTAATTGTATAGTTCAATTTTATAATATTTGTAGTTTCAATCAAAAAACAAAAAGCAAAATAAATGTACTTTTTCCACTCACTAAAGACTGAGACAAAGATTTCTGAAACCTAAGATGTTAAACTCAACAAAGTGAACCCTGTCAAGAAAAGCACTTGGTGGTAAAGAAATCATTTCTCATTGGATTTTAACAATTAATTTGTCAGAGGTTTTCGAATTTCTTTTATTTAATCTTATCCAAATAATATCTTGAAAGTTCGATGAGTTGATAGGCTTATCGCTGAGCATTTTTGAAAAGTTACGATGCCTGATTTTAAACTCAGAAGGTTTGCGCAGGTATTAATTCACTATTAAACTGAAAACATCTAAGATAATAAATAAAAGCTTTAACTAACATTAAGTGCATTCGTAAAAGTCTTATCCTCCAACACGTTAATTTTCTCTGAAGAGAAATTCTTTAAAGATGTAGAGGCTGTGGAAAATTCGGAACTTCATACAATTAATGCATCAGTTACAAATACTTTTGTGAAAATAAAACTTGGCACTTGCCATACATGATTTCCTAAAATTGAGTTTGACGGAAAATTTCTTCAATTCATGGATAATACTTACAGTTGTTGAAGTGCTACATATTTGGCTGTGTCCGCCGTCATATCTGGTAACGTGCCTCTAAGTGGTAAGTACCCATTACCTTCATTTTCTACAAAATCTTTGATTGCTTTTGCTATTATCCAGAAAGGCTTACTCTGCACATAGAAATGATCGATGGGAGTGAGAAATCAAAATATAAGTAAAAAGATCAACACTAATTATGATAAAAAGAAGAAAAAGAAAAGAAAATCCCTGGGCTTACGAGAGGCATTTCATCTCCTACCTGCAGGACTACAATCATATGAAATCTACAATCTACAATCATATCACACTCCTGGATATTGTGGTGGTAATTAAGAGGGTCTGAAATCTTTCAAATCATACATTACGTTCATGATGTTAAATACATTGGCTTTCAATCACATCAACGACTTCTTCTGACAAAATATCTACGACTGAAATGATTAGCTTTTGTTTGTCAAGGTATTATGTAGAAGAATAACAATACCTTTCCAGTTAAATTGATACAAGAACCATCATTTAAGATATCTTTGATGCTTTGTGGAATTTCGGATGTGGAAATGGCATAGTTCACCGCTCGGATGGCCTCTTCGAAATTTTCTTCTGCTAATGGATTCCCCTGCTCATCTCGGTGAATTCCTGAAAAATTCAAGTAGACTTGAGATATATTTACTTGCTGACTTGTATCAAACAAAATGAAAATTTCTGATACAGGATAGTGAGAAACTGACAGTGATCCTTTGAATCAAGGTTTATGCAACCTGTTATAGTGAGAACAAAATTAACATTAACATTTCTTTAACTTCACCTAATGTTAATGAAATAAATGTTCATCTGTACCATTACATACATACAATGACTCATAAATGTAAAAACTTTACAGATCCGGTTACTGAAACCTTTAGGGTCGAATTCTAAAAAAGTGATTGCAACATCCCAGTGCTTCACAAAGTTTGGAGAATCATATAACATTAAAAAAGCTTCTGTGCTTGTAGAAATTTTTCTAGAAAATTGAAGATCGACTTTTTTATTTAATGAGGGTTCCAAAAATGTTTAGAGAGGTTGAAAAGGTATCTTTCCAAAGTTTTTATGACTGGTCATAAACCATGGCTTTTAAATGCTAATTTACCATCAAAACCAGGTTAATTTGCTGAAAGCGCACCTTAGAATCCGTTTATGCTTCATGAAATTCTTAGTGATTGTGAGTATTTCCGGGGTGATAAGATATAGAACGCTTAATGTAAGGTGTGTTGAAGCCTTCTTTGAAGAAGTAATTTAAATTCATTTTACAGAAATTGGTAAGACTCATTACAGGAAGAATAAAAAATGTGAGTATGGTACACAGAAACAGACATGTCTGAGGTCTTTTGGAAAGAAAAAAGAAAAGAAGAAAACTTGCTCTTCAACTCGATGAATTTACATCAGCAGCCAATGCATCAAACACATAATTCCATGATTTGTTGTGGAAAACATTTTGCTACCTACTGCTGGAAAAATCTGCCCCCCCCCCAAAAAAAAAATCTGATATTGATTATAAAGATCTCTCAATTTGATCCTCTTTCAAAAGTAATTTTCTTTGATTAATCTACAGGAGTATTAATACCATTATTCTTTCTAATTATAGTATTATGACACAATCTTTGTGCTATAAGTCTATGTTTTTTACAATTTTAGGTTGACACGGATTAATTTCTGAAATTCCTCACCACTCTTAATGAGTTCGCGTAAGCTTGCTTTTTCTTTGAAATTTGAGGGTCCCTTGGATGAGTTATGAAGTTTTTTCCACTTCTCTAGATACTTATAAAGAATGACAACAAAGGGTGTGTGGGCGTGGTCTTTAAATTCCATTGCCTCGAGGTCGATTTGATCGAAATACTCCTTCAATGAAGGGAATGGACAGTCTAGGCGTAAGTCTGGGTTCTGATTCTCTGGGTGCGACTCAACGACTGTGTGTTCTTGAACTTGTAGTCTCCCACTGCCAATGAAACCAATGCTTTGACAGACAATGAGTGGAATGTCAGCTTCCCACAGCTTCTTTGACAAAGTTATTATTTCTCTGAAAATACATAATTAAAATTGAAATTAAATTTTGAATTTTTTCACCTCTTCATGGGATTCCAAACTAGAGTCTATTAAGAGTTATTCTAAATAGGGTGACCCAGACCACCCATACCAGGCTTTTTCCTCTGTTATTTTAGGTTGGTAAATTCTGTGCTAAATGTCATGAAAACAAAAATTTAGGAAAATTACAATAGCTTTCCTCCATTTTTCATCATTCTGAGAGGGCTTCCTCTTTTTCATGCGAGCAGCCTAGCCACTTGGTTGGAAAGTTTCTGCAGTCCTGCTTGGCGCTGCATCAGACATTGACTGTCATCTGACATGGCCTAATGAGACTAGGTCTGTCCTTGCGCAGATCCCCCCACCTGCGCGACTGCACAGCCACCCCTCACCCATCGGAGTTTTGCCATGACGTCAGCAGGAGCCCACTTGAGATAACCTCCCGCCCCCCTTCCTCCGCGGGATAGCCTACCGTTTTCAAACTTTCCGCTCGAGTGGGCTCCTGCTGACGTCATGCCCAATAGAGGTCTTATTTTTGTTTTCGGAAGGACAGACCTAGTCTCATTAGGCCATGGTCATCAGATGTCCGAATACTAACAGGAAATTGACAATAACTACGTACTAATTCGCGTGAAAAACATTTTGACCCTAGTTTAGGTGGTTCTTCAATTATTCACCTAAGTTTACTATTTTTTTGCTTGGTTTTCTAGTACAGACAACTACCCAACAACACTTTTACAGTCAATACATTACATACATATTTTGAATTAGGCTTTTTGTAAATAGGGTGATTATTCTCTTACAAATTGGACGGTGTAAATTATTGCATTATTTATGAAATTCTTTGTCAGTAATTTCGGTCGATTTTTGGAAAAGAACTCTCTAAAGTTAACTAGGTACTAGTTGCGTCTAAAGTTAACTAGGTACTAGTTGCGTCTAAAGTTAACTAGGTACTAGTTGCGTCTAAAGTTAACTAGGTACTAGTTGCGACTAACCTAAGAGCTTTCATTACGTTGTTAATTATTGAAAGAAAAAAAAAAGAGGAAGAGAGAGAAAGAGTGGAACAGTAAGCAGAAACTTTTTTCTCTAAGCATTTTAAAACTTGGGCCTAGACCTGTGTGATAAGATCAGGATTATGTAGAATCCATGAAAGTGTTAATGAATTTCTACTTTTTTTGGATTGTGACAATGTTACACTTACTTTTCGGATAGGCGAGTGGCAACAATGACTGAAAAATTGTTGAAAAAATCTGGATTATTAGTAAGGAGTTTATCTAGGCTTTCATCTATCGCATCACCACGCACATCAGGGTTCAGTTCCAATAACAATTGAGTTGTGATCTCACCTCGTGGTTGGCCAATGCTATCAGGATCTAAGAAGAAGCTGGAAAACCAAGGGAATGGATTAACACTGGAAGAATACACAAAGAGAGTCTTCTGAAGATATCAGGGGTGAACTATTACAGAAAATACCCTTGCTATCCCCCTTCAATTTCCACAAAATTTTGGAGAATAGTAGTCCTCTAAAAATTGTTGGGCAGAGCAGGGTGTCCAGCCACTGAGGAAAAAATATTTTCTTGACTCCTTCAGGTTTTTTCAGGTTTTCTAGACCAAATGGAAAGTCGACCCTGATGTCTTCTGGAGAAGAATTTGATATACCTACTGTACTGTAAATTAGATGCAGTGTGCCATTTTAAAAATGTTGCCAAGACCTATCGATGGCCAAAGTGCGAAAACGCAGCCTTCCTGGCATACTTCATTTCTTCTTTAAAAAACAAGTCAACATAGTTTCTTGAAAACTCCTGTGATTTTTCTTCACTGTTACAAGAATATTCTCTTTAAATTTCAAGCTCTATAGTTGGCTTGCTTCTCTTTGAAAAAATGAAGTAGGAGCGTAAATTTCCGAACACCTCAATAAAGATATATGGTTTCGCACTTTGACCATCACTATATTACTGCTAATCGATTAGATTCAGATTTATTTTGAGAAATAATCCAGACCATGTAGGTGCCATAATTTGTGATGAGTGATGCTGCGGACACTACACAAAATTCTCCTCTGCACTCTACCTGTCCGCAGACATAACCCAAACAGAGTCAAATAGCTTGGGCTATTTCCAGGTTCTGAATTGTATTCTCAGTGGTGGGAAACTTAAAAATACAAAATAGTGTATTTTCTTCAGAAAATACACTAAAAATTGAATCAAACAGTGGAGATCTCATTTTTTTCCTTTGATTCTAAGTCTTTAGACAAATCCTCAGACATTTCACACCTTTTAGGGCAATGCCCTGACTTTCCTAGGTCTTCAAAGTAGTTTATCTCCCCATGACAATTCCAGGTTTTCACGGACTGTTGGGAACCCTGGGAGAACTAAGTCCTTTCTCACTGATAGATCTTAAAAAAACTACAATTAATTTGAGGTATACACAAAAATTAGTCTGATAAGACATGTGTGCCTCCTCTTCTTTGTAGTCAAAAATTAAACTGTAGTGCATCTCTGTAAGAGTGGGGTCAGACCCTGCTCAATCATACCTTTGATTTCACTTGATATGTGTCACTTCCCCATTAGTTCTAATCATCTTGTAATTGTTGATGACAGATACATACAATGGTAACATCAGAGCAAATTCAACAGAAAATATGATTTTCAGATCATCAAAATGCATACATGAAGGGCCATTCATGAGCGTTCCAGCATTGATCATTTTGATTTGTCACTCAATGATAAAAAATCTTTTAAAAAGAAAATAAGAGTGAACTGACAAGGGGAGCTTCCCAAGTGTAACCGGAATTTCGAGTTGAAATTTCGCATGAAGATACTAGAGATGATTTTAGGGATGCCGTATTTTTTCGTTTTTTCGAATGGGGTCGGGAAAGCCCTCAAAAAAAGGGCTAAAGATGCGGAAAAAACGCGTGCGCTAGCGGCACAAGGTAAACATAGGTGATAGAAACACTACATCCTTATCAGAACCGCATGGCCAATCGGTAGCGCGTTCGCCTCGCAGGCGGGAGATCCTAGGATCGGATCCTGAATACAGCTCATAATTTTATTTTACTTTATGTTTGTTTATTTTTCACTTACTTTATTTTGCATCATTCGCTCCGCAAACCGACTTACGAGGTAGAACACGTAGTGACTGAAGATTTTTTACATGCTGATAAAAACTCGAAGTTTCTCTTGGATTGAAACGTTATATATAATTGAATAAACAAAACACTCTAAAACTCACCAAATTTCGTCGCCAAGCTGAATTTCCGGAGTATCGGTCGAATCTGTATCTGTATCTGACTGATACTCCGGGAATTCAGCTTGGCAACGAAATTTGGTGAGTTTTAGAGTGCTTTGTTTATTCAATTATATATAACGTTTTAATCCAAGAGAAACTTCGAGTTTTTATCAGCATGTAAAAAATCTTCAGTCACTACGTGTTCTACCTCGTAAGTCGGTTTGCGGAGCGAATGGTGCAAAATAAAGTAAGTGAAAAATAAACAAACATAAAGTAAAATAAAATTATGAGCTGTATTCAGGATCCGATCTTAGGATCTCCCGCCTGCGAGGCGAGCGCGCTACCGTTTGGCCACGCGGTACTGATAAGGATGCAGTGCCTCTATCACCTATGTTTACCTTGTGCCGCTAGCGCACGCGTTTTTTCCGCATCTTTAGCCCTTTTTTTGAGGGCTTTCCCGACCCCATTCGAAAAAACTAAAAAATACGGCATCCCTAAAATCATCTCTAGTATCTTCATGCGAAATTTCAACTCGAAATTCCGGTTACACTTGGGAAGCTCCCCTTGTGAGACAAACTTATTAACTTCATTGATATTAATAACTACATTAATCTAATTTTTTGGCATACTCAATGACAGGGATTCAAAAAATGCTAAGGCGCATTCTCGCAGTGCTTTTGCACTTTTTAGGGAAAGCAGTGAAAGACGAGTTATTTCAGTAAAAGCAGTTCCCCCCCCCTCTCCCAATATATGTTCTAAATTATCTGTCCATATCCCTGACAAAAATCTTTGTTGATTTAAGAGGAAGAGATGGTAAGTTGGTTTTGGTGAAGAGAGTAACTGAAAGTACAGCGTATTAGTGAAAACGGAGTCTTTCTTAAGCACTGAGCCTCTTCTCTGAAAGGGTATTTTTGTAAAAGCAAAGAACTTTTTGCACTCCTGCTCAACGAAAGGCTATCATATGCATGAACTTTTACTAGTGATAGAGATAAGGCTTCTCTCATTTGCTGCTAAGTAAAGAACCTAAGAGACCAGGAAAAAATATATGACTTTAACTTAATTTCTTACTTGACTCCAACATCTTCATCGGAAATTTTTTCGCCATCTACAATTGTGAAAGCTCCTACTCCAGCAAGAACCAAAGACTTCAATATCTCAGAACCAAGGCCAGTTGCGTTTATCAGACAAACGTGAGCATACTCTAATGCAGCTTGTCCATGGTCTCCCCACAGTCTGAAAAAAAAGCAGGACTATCAGAGTAAAATTTACCTCAACATAATATATGATGTACTGAAAAGTCTCCTAAAATGTCAAAAAGCTAGATAAATAGTTAGAATTTTTTCTTGGGATACTTTTGACCAAAAATGTCTTCATATATCAGGCAATCCGCAGCGGTGCAGATGGTACACTACACACTACATCACCAAAAAATTGGCGTAAAAATCTTCAAAACTAGCTGAGATTTAAGCTTCCTAATCTTCCAAAATAATTAACATTTGAAAAAATATGGATACATAATTGGATAAAGACATATACCATACAAATGTATTGATGGCTGAAGTGCAAAAAATTGTACCTTCGATTGCGATAATGCATCTTTCCTGTCTTACATTCTTTTATGTGTGCAAAACTGGTTGACATAATTTCTTGAAAACTTCCTTAATCTTTCTCCTGTATTAGCAGAATATTCAGTATGAATTTCAAGCCATAAAGTTTGGTTGGTCCTCCTTAAAAAAATAAAACAGGAAGTCACATTTTGACAGGGATGTAAGTTGTTCTGGGCCTCCTTAATCAACAAAAACCGGCTGTGTTTTCGTCAACAGGTCAACACAATGTGCTGATCAAATTTTTTCCCTAATTTTAATGTGTGCAAAAGTCGCAATATTCCACTAGAGTTGAAAACAGAAAAATTAAAATTAAAAAATTCTCTGCCTCCGCAATTTGTGGAGAAGAACCACAATTAGGTTGAGAAGTCCGGAACAATTTGCACCTCTGCTTTGTGAAACATCGTGACGGAGATACTGGATTTTGCACTTTGGCCATATATATATGTAGTAAGAAGATCTGCAGCCTGATTGCTGAAATTTTGTGTTTGTCGGGTGGAAATGAATGACAGAGGTTAAAGAGCGAAGCGTGATTGGTTGGCTATGTCTTATCATTGCTTTGTCGGGTAGAATGGACAACATACTTTCGGATACTCAAGAAGAGCCTTTAGTTTGTTGTCCATTCCAACCGACTAAGCAACGATAAGACATAGCTATATCCACCCGACAAACACAAAATTTCAAAAATCAGACTGCTGAACAGCTGTCGTAGTTGCATTCTACAGCCGCATCTGGTTCTCTTTGGAAGATCTGGTGAATCAGGGAAGCTTGTAAGGATGTATTCGCCTTCCGAAAATACCCTAAGAATGCAGGAATAAAGCACTAGCACTCACCTTAGTTGTCGATCATACTTCTTACTCTTCTCTGACTGATCCGGTGATTTAGGGGATAAAGAGGACATGATCACTGACTGTTTTTCTAATGACTAAAATTAAACAGGGCACAAAACATGAAAATTTGTACTTGAGTGAAGAGGTTTTGCCATCAATCAAATGAGAAAAGGGTACAGGATTGTAGAAGGAATCAAAAACCCTGTGGACTCATGCTCATGCAGTCTTGAGTGTGGGGGAATGTAAACAAACTTCTTTTGGCAAGTGCTACCTGTGCTACCTGAGTTTGTCCTAGTTACATCGTTATGTGATTGGTCAGTACCTCCTAGAGGGTATCAGATTGGTTAATAATAATGAAAATATTTACATAACCTCCAAATTTATTATTAGAAGATGAATACCATCTAAAGACAAAGTAACAAGTGAAAACAATATTTTTCTGTATATATTCTCTGTAGAATACAATATTTTTTTGTGATTCGGATTTGTTATGTGATATATCGAATGGCAGAAGCTTCTGAAAGTCTTCGTATCAGATTAAGCATTCTTTTAGCACGATCTTAGGGTCACGTAAAGAATTAACCGATCACTGCAGTCCATTGCATACCAGAGGCGTGTGCAATAGAAATCTCTTTATGTTTTAACTATCCCCCAGAACCTCTTTGTGTTTTTCTCTTTCATTTCAGTTTCTTCAAAACGTTAGTATGATTAGCTTAAGGATTGTGACGGATGAGCTGCTTCTAATGCTCAAGCATTCCTAACGTCTGGTAGCTCCCTTTGTTGTAGGTTCATTAAACATAGTAAAATTTCTTCAACAAAATCAGGTCTTCTAGTTTTTATGCTGAGAAGCTTGTTAGCCTTTCGTCCAGCAGTATCCACCGCTGTTATGTCGTTTTATTATGGTGTCATTGGTCCAAAAGCAGGCATTTTTAATACATGGTAATTTTTTTCATCGCTTTCCTTTTTCAAATTGGATGTGCTAAAAGGAGAAGGGTGGAAGTCTTGCCCTTTTCCACCTGATAGTCGAAGATCTTTTCAGAACTTCTTGTTGGCCTCCTGCGGTGTAGTTTTTGTAACGTTTGCTCTATGATCGGGATATCCTGGGTTCGATTCCCAAGTTTGATGGTCTCAAACAATGGTTACCTGGGACTGGCTTAATTAGAGACTGAAGGGGATGGGACTTTAGGGACTGTAAGCGTCAGATTATCCGCTCAGGGATGTTTGAAGTGAAAAAAAAAGAGAACAGATAGCTTTTTGTGATAGATTCTTAGATATAGCAGTACAACAAAAGATGTGTCACTCAGGAAATTTTGATTCCCGAATAGATATTGTTTTATAAAACCCGGATTTCCCTCATGCCACCTTTGGAATTCAAATTCCAATCCAACTCTGTCTTTGAATCCAGATTTTTAGTTCAGTGTAAATCTAGGTAGCTATTTTTTCAACAGTGGCTTGTATAAGACAAAATTTCCAAAGTCCCTCCATCCACTACAAGCTTTCATTCCCCAATGAGACAAATTGTGTACTTCTACCAAGAAAAGATTCGTTATTTTGGAGTTTTCGAAAGATATTGACAATTCATCAATTGTCTCTCATCAATCAATAGAACACTTTAGTTCATGAAATAACTCACACTAAATAATGGCGTCGTTCTGCCAGATCTGTAAAGATCAATAGAAGTCTGTGTTTAAATTTTAAATGGTTTTAATGAATGCATGTTGTGAAATGTATGTTACCTAAATATGGAAACAAAAAGTAAGCATGTGCCTTGAATGAGAGGTTATATTGCAGTGAAAAAAATTCGATTTTCTTAACAACTGGTTGTTCAAAAACGCAGTACCAATACACTGGAAAGCTAAGAATATGTAGATGAACATAAATTTAATACCGCTGCTTCCAGGGTCCTTCATTTTGTAGGAAATTCTGGGAGAATCAAATGAGGGATCCACATAGAGACAGTTTGTACCTATCCTAGGTGAAATCGATTCTCCTACAAACTGTTGGAAAATTTTCAAAATCTTGGTCCTCTCCATGCTTTTCCTCAATTGTCATATTAAACATTTTCTCTTTTTCCAGGGATAAAGCAAAAGCTTGCACTAATGGCGTCAGTGGGGCACGCTGCAAGAAGTTCAAAACCCTTAAAGAAGCACAAGATTACCTAGCTGATCACAACCATGAGTTTTATTCAACTGGGCAGCTATCAGATAATAAAATTCTTCCTGAAAATGGGGTAGCATCTCAAAGCAGGATCGCCAGTAAAATTTTGCTCAAAAGTGACTTTGATTTCTCCAAGCCAGTAGCTGTGAAAAAAAAGTTTGAGACCAAATCAACTTCCAAGTTCCGCTCTTATGATGAGCTCTCAAAAAGATTAGAGAAATTAAATCAAACGAGGAGAGGAAATCCAAATCCTCCACCATCTGCAAAAAGCTCACCCCTAACTGAGGTCAAAGACTGCAATTCTAAAAGAAGCAGGTTAGCATTCTTTAACTTTTACTCTTCTCTAGCTTACTTCTTAAAATTCTCCCATTATATGTGCATACAGAATACATTAAATATTGGACTATCAATTAATTGAACTTTTTTTGACTTCATGAAGCAATAAATTTTCATTATTCCATTATACTGTCATTTTAAAATTTCTTTTACATGAGAGTCCTTATACATTTACGTATATGATCAGGATAAGTCTCAATGCAGGCCAAACTTTTTCTATAGGTAACAATGTCCAACTGCGAGTACGACAACTCCTCTTTACCTGTTACTAGTCACGAAGTATGTCCTGACTTAAGTTGCTGATAATGACCCAACTCCAAAATAATGACTGAAAATGGTACTTAATTAGGTGTATCTTTTTTCATGAATTGTCTCATTTGAGTTTATTTTTCCCCTCTCAGAAGTCCGTCTGTCCTTGCAAGCAATGAGACAACAGAAAACATCAAACGCAGACGCCTAATTGACACCGTGTCGATATCAGATTCTGACGAAGAAATCCCAGAGACAAAGAAAGTAGTTCCTGCAAAACCTTCACGAGTGATAGAAGTGATTTCTTCATCTGGTAGTGATTCTGAGCCAAGCTCTAACATCTGGGAGGATGATGACATTTTTGAAGAAGTACCTGAATTTTTACTTACACCGGCATCATCTCTCTGCTCTGCAAATTCTAATCATCATGACCACCCATCCAGCTCCTCCATTCCTCTTATGAAGGGGCCAAGTGGTAAGTACTTGTTCGGGGGAAGGGGGGGTGTCAGGCATCAGCATTTCCTTTCAATCCTTGCATTATAAGTCTTACTTTCTCATTCCCCTCGTGAGTAGAGGAAGTATTGGTTTTAACAACCCAAGTACCAAACTATTTTAGTGCAACTCTGGAAATTTTTTGAAGCTTAAACTCTTTCCCCAAGATTTGGCTGCAATGATGCCTCCCCAACTCAACTATATCATGCTTTTATTCCCACAGTTTGTTAGTTTAGCTGAAAACAGGACATACTTGCAAATAAGTTGGTGCTGTTATTTCTCCTGGTTTAAAGCTAAGTATTTCAAAATTTTGTTCATGGATGATGAAAAGTACCATTGAACTGTAGAATGACTATAGCCCTGACGTAGAACAATAATAAAAGCGTGTCGGAATCTGTGAGAGGGATTATTGAAATTATGCATTAGCATACTGAGACAATGAATTGCGATGGAAGCTATAACTTTGTCTTGTTGTGCTAACATAGTTTCAATAACTAGTGGGCTAAGCCACGAAAGGCCAATAGATGGCCTTGGAATGCTTTGCCATTGGTTCTTTCGGTGTTCTGTGTGGATTTTGCATCACTCTACAAGCTCGTCAATCAAAGCATAGATTACAGAAGTGGTTAGCCAGGACAAAAATCAAATGAACTCGATTTTTGCCAAAAATTATATGATTCAATAACTGTTGGCAAAAATTTATTTCATCCAAAATTGATCTCTTCAATTTTCGAGACTGAAAGAATGAAATGTTTCCAAGATTGCATTGTTGCAGTCAACGCTTTCAAATTTTTGGGCCAAAATTACAAAAAACTCTTTGACTTAAAACGTTTGTGAACTTCAAATGTTTGCCAGTTTGTAATATTAATTCAGATTTTAAAGCAACAGAGAAAAATTGGTGCTACGTTTCTGAATGTGTTTGTTTAAGATCAATGCCTAGTAATAATCGATAGGATGTTGCCAACTTTAAGGTCACCCGCTTTCATTCAAGGTCTTAGGAAATAGTCAATTGCAAACATTGCTGAGGCGCTTCTTTTAGCAAAGCTATAATTATTCTGTGACTGGACAAACTTGCTCACTTTATGAATAGTGACTTAGTTAAGGAAGCCGAGTTTGAGATTAGTCTCGCAGGTGGGAGTTCCCTCTGTTTGATGAAATCGAGATGCCTCCAACTTTGTGTGTTCCTCGGGCTTCAGTCTGTTAAGAATTCAAAACAGCTCTGATAAGAGAGAATACGTAGCCATATAATTCTTTTACTGGAAGCTTGTGCTTTAGAGAGAGAGAGAGAGAGAGCATAAATAGATTAACCTGATTTTTTGGAGTGAAATTAGAGGGGATGCTGCCAACTTTTGACTTCTTAAGGGCCTATCACTATTCACAAACCAAAGTTTCTCATTATCAAACATTATTGTTTCATGAGAAGAAGTAAGCTAACAATAAGATGCTATTAAAAAGAAAGTACACCCCAATCCCCGGATAATTGCATAGTTTTGCTATATTTCAGGAAAACCTGTAAGCTTCAAATTCAATAGCTATGGTGTTGTAGTGGTTTATACTGATGGTGCCTGCAGCAATAATGGAAGAATTCGTGCTCAAGCTGGTCTCGGAGTTTGGTTTAATCACAATCATCCTTTGTAAGCCTACCACGTTTTCCTTTTTTATTTTCTTATGATAGCAATGAATATATGGATGTATTTCTATCAAACAGAACTAAGCGCCATAGGGGGAGGAAGGTAGAGGGGGTCTTGGATTGGCGGCAGAAACGGGCGTTGGGCTCGTTCCGTCCTATACCCGCAATGCTTTTCCATGGCGCTTAGTTCCGTTTGACAGAACACGCTATCCGGCATTCTAAATTCCTCAAAAGGAACTCAAATTGGCGCTTAGTTCCATTTGACAGAAATGCGTCCACATGATTGTTACTCCTGATTGAATTTTCATGAACTTTCGCTGAACTCTAGTAATAAAATGTGACTCTTCCTGGTAAGGCTAATTTTAAGTTCTGTGAACAAATCACTCAGAATCGTCACTTCCTCAATGTTTTAAGAACGTTAAATTGTAATGTCCCATGCTCAAAAGATTGTAACTGGTTCATCATGTAAAAAACATAAGGAGGAAGCTCATCGCACATCGTCATAATGTATGGTGAGCTGTATTCACCTCTCCATTTTTTTTTGAGTCTCAACTTCTAATATTCAACACTTATCTGTCGTTCAAAAAACTGCAACCACTCTCACATTCGTTCTGTAATCTCAAAATTTTACTTCTTTAATGCAAAAAATTTCAGATTTTATTCAAACCCTCTCAAATTCTTTATCATCTTAAAAACATACACTTTGCTTATAAGCCTGTGTCACACTTTCAAAATACTCCAACAAAATGTCAAAGTCAAGTGCTTTGATTGGTCCAAGACATCGAATTAGCCAATCACAACACTTGACCTTGATATTTTGATGGCTAGCTTTGATAGTGTGACACAGACAATACTGATGCAATTCTTACAAATAAACTACTCTGGACTTAGTAGATTTTATTGTATGTAAGGAAATGAAATGTACCATAAGATATTGCTAATTTGTTGCCAGAGGTGCAGAAAGTTCCCAGCCTTGTCAGGTTTCGAAGTGGCCTCTCTCCTCTCAAAATCCATTTTTTGTCCAGAATTCTCACATCCATGGCCTTTTTGTCGTATTTTATTCACTAATTGGCACAATTTTGGAACAGAAAACCCCACGAATTTTACTGCAATTGGTAAAAAAATATCGACGGTGAAAGTCGGCAATCACATAACTCGGTTTGCGACGTCGATGACTTCCTGTCATACTTTATTTTTTAAATGGAAAACTACTCAACGGCAATTCCTTAAAACTGTCATGATTTTCTTCTCAATGCGAAGAAAATTCTGCAAAAACTTCAAGAAATAATATCAATTTGTTCTCCCTTAAAAAAATGACGTAGAGGCGGAGATTTTCAAACACCGCAAACGAGTTATGTGATTGCCGACTTTCACCGTCGATATGCAATTTCAATGCTGTTGAAGGCTGGCCTTACCTTTTTTTGCGAGCAGCCTGCGCTCATGATTACGTGATCGGAAAGTTTGTGCACCTCTAATAGTTACTTCAGAAGGTGCAGGTTTTGAGGGGAAGCTTTTAAAAGTGTCAAAATTCTCTCAGTAATTTCTCAAATCATCAGCTCATTACATAATTTATTAATTTATTGCAGAAATTTGTCTGAACCTGTGGTTGGGCCTGCCACGAATAACAATGCTGAGATTCAAGCAGCAACTCGTGCCATGCAGCAAGCCTTAAAAGCAGGTACTTATCTAAGTATTATTACATGATGTTTGAAGAGATAGCCTGTAAAGAGGGAAAGGCAAATCTATGAGACAAATCCTATTTTGGTTACGACCACATCTTAATGTTTTGAAACTTAATGGAAACATGAATCATCTTTTAATTTTATACCCTTGTGATAATTTTTCCTGACTACTTTTCAATGCCTTAGAGACTTGGTGATCATCCATGGTAGAGGAACATTACTTAAAGAGCTGTTCGTTAAAATGCAATCCTCTAGGAGGAGTGGGGGTTGACAAGAGTGTTACGCCATTTTGTTTTTTCGCGTCAAAATGTCGGATCCTACATCACAAAACTGTTACAAAGGTAGGAGGAGGGGGTGTCAAAAAATCCGAAGCACAGTGTTAAATATTTCCTAAACGGTCTCTAAGGAGATAAAATCCCAATTTTTAATTAAGTATATTATAGAATAAGGATTTTCGATCACAATTTCTTCACCGCTGATGGCTAAGTCAGACCAAGGTCCATAGACTCAAGTTTGCCTACTGACAAGATAATCTTTGAAGTTATGACCTATGTAGCTGTACCAGAAATTCACATTTTCTTGATTTGGACTTCATTTTGCAATTAGGAACCATAATTTCTAACTCATCCGTGAAAACACTCATGTGCACAGGGAAACTAATGGCACACACGTTGTCTCTCAACTGAGCCAGGAGGTGTAGTTCCAAATTACAAAATGTGTTCCATTTGGTCCTCCTACCAGAGGCTTTCCCCGTTCATCTGTTCCATTTACTAACATTCCTCCGATTTTGGCCCTACCTATTTTTAATGCTTTAATAATTTGATAGGAAAGTTCCCACAGTCCCTACTCATCTAGCCAATGGCCCATCTCCTGAAAATTCATAGCACGGTTGCCAAATGTCCAAAATGTTTTTTTGAAGTAAAACAACATTGCAGTAACTGATTTCAGAGATCGTTTATGTGATGACTTAAATTTGAGACATAATTCTTCTCGCCTATCAAAACGAAAAATGCTAAAAATTTCCAAATAAATGGTACCGTGTTCAATTCTTTTTCATATTCCCTCAAATGTTTAAAAAATCCATGGTTCCTATCCAAAAGTGGGTGAAAAATTTCTCCTAAATCAATTTAATTAATTGTGACTTCCAATTGTCTCACCTTACCTCTCTCAATCTTCATTTTTTGAAAGGTATTACGGATTTGGACATAAATACAGACTCACAGTTCTTAATCCAGTGCATAACGCGTTGGATTCACAAATGGAAGACGAACAACTGGCAGCTTTCAACAGGTGGACCTGTCAAGAATAAGGAAAAATTAGTTGAATTAGACCAAGCAATAAAGTCTATGACCTCCGTTTCTTGGGTATGATATCCTCCTCTCGTTTTTTTGTAATAATGAATAATCAGTGATGTTAGGGTTAATCACAAATGATCTGTGTAGAATTCTGCAAAAGAATGGCATGCAAAGGAATTTTGTGCTATCTAAATTTTGTTATAATCTGGTATGATGTTTTTTATGCTCACCTAAGCACAGTCAGCTTTTAAATCAAACTTTATCTGTGGCAAATTTGAAGAATGCTAATATGTGAATTTTTCAGCATTTTAATGCACATTATTTAGTAGAGTTGTTAGTGATCACAGAGAGTTCCCCTTACCTAGCTGCGCGCTGGCTGAGATGGTAAGTCAGACGCCGCTCAACCATGCATCAATTTTTTTTTGAAAGAAAAGCTTTACATATTCAACACAGAAGCAGTGTTGTTGTCTTTGAAAGTAAAACCCTGTAACAATTCCAAAACATCCCCTACTCATCTCTACTTTCTGGAAACAGCACGCATAGAAAGTTGGATTTCAAAAGTTCATTGTCCCTAGGAGATCATACAGAATGTCCGAATTCCAACTTACTTTTTTTATTTCCTAAGCAGGTTCCTTTCATGAAATTTTTATCATTCTATAATGGCTGTGATTTATATAAATCATATTAATTTGTATGTGTAGTGCAAATCAAGTAAAAGAAAACAAATTATCAAATTCCTAAAAGTATATCATTCACCAGTCTGATTGTCCTTTGTCATTTTAAGTTGTTTCTCATTTTATAACTGCAAATGAATTCATAGCCAATAAGTGGGTCTGAGCGCAGCAGTTTTTAAACTATCACAGCCGAATCACTGATGAAAACTGTAGTAGTGCTAAATAGGACTCGTTTAATTAAATTAAATTTTCAATTTCTTAATTTTTTTTATCTTATAAATAATACTCGATCTGGTTCAATCTCAGAGGACAAGTTATTTTTGGGAAGTATGAATAGAATCACTGTTATACATAATAGTTTTAAGTAGGCATTCTTTGCATATTTGAGGTCTTCCCTTGCCTAAAGGGTCAAGTTTCATGTCGTGGAATTTTATGTCATCCATCGTACAATAGTGTCTACTTTTGGTAAGTTGTATATTTTTGCTGCTCCTCATTACTGTATCTATTCCATCTGATCAAAGAAGCTGTCCTCTTACCGATTTCCAAGTGAATCTTTTGAAATCCATGCCGATACATACCGGGTGTCCATAAAGTAACTGAAAAGTGGGTACAATTTTTGAACAAAAAAAGATAGAAGGTCACAGTTTGTGGCATTCTTCATCATCCAAAAAAGGAAATTTTTCGATGGGGGATTTTTCTTGGTGGATCCTCCCCCCCCCCTGGGGGGTCCTAGGGGGGGCAACTTTAAAAATTCTAATAGCAACCCCCATTTTTTTAGACATGGTTAAAAAGAACTTAAAAAGACAAGAAAAATGACGCTAATAAAATTAAAATCGGTTCTTTCGTGTTCACACACATTTTTTAATCTGAAAGGGCATATGAACAGTACCAGTTTCTAGGTACAGGTTAGTACGAACCAATCCAGCAAAGAATTGGCTAGGGATCTTTTCAAATCAAATGGAATGGATAAAGCTGCTGGATGAAGAGTAATGAAATATCAAAGTTTGCCAACATTTCTCAATCACTGCAACTGTCCTAGAATTATGTATTGTGAAGAAGGCCTCTCCTAATTCATAGAGTTTTTCTTTTGCTAGACATATGTACGGGGCCATGATGGAAATGAAGGAAATGAAGCAGCGGACGCTTTGGCTCGACAAGGAGCCCTCTTGTACAAACCAGATCCTTCTCATAAAAATCGTCAAAATAAGAAAAAAAAAACCCGGAAGTAAATCCTTTTCCTTTTTATATTTTATCAGTTATTTGTCTTAATTATTTTCTTAAACCTCATTTTAGTAGTACTATGTTGCCTGAAAGGAATGAATCTAAATTCTGAATGAATCTGATGTCTCCTTTTGATTGTCTGTTAATTGTACGAATATTGGTTTAACCTCAAATTGTCTTTCTTTTCTCATATTTTTTATTTTCTTTTTTCCAAATGAGGATATGTATCTATACTATAAGCTCCGAGAGCTCCCATATTAGTATACACACTCTATGCAAAGCTGTGAACCTGAAAATCGAACTGATTTTTTTCCAGTTTATATTTGTTTTTTGTGCCTCATTTGATGTCACTGAAGTTTGTCTCTTTCTGATCTGAATTCCTGAAGCTTTCAATTTATGGCAGGGGTGTTCTGACTCAGTGACTAAAGATAAAGCTAAGAGATCTTTGTACTAAAGTTATGGTCATCCACTATATCTTGTTAAAAATTCAATGGTAATTTGCTATGTTGGGTTTTTTGTGTTTGGGGCCTATTTCAGAATTTTAACAGAAGTTAAACAATAAAAATAGGCCATTAGATTCATTTTACAAAGATACCTTTGATACTTTTTATGTTCCCTGTCTTTTTTCTTTTGAATAAATTTCCGCTGAGGAATAATCTTTCCTGCCTTTATCTGACACTGTGAGATCCAAGGTAGATTTACACTGGTATGGACAGAACTTAACAACTGGCCTCTGATTGGCTCTCCAGCGGCCCCTTAACGTCAGCCATTTTGAATGTTTTGATTATTTTGATTTATTATGTTCGGTTTATCGTTTTTCAAAATTTTGTGGGATTTTTTGCACAATTTTGATAGTGCGATATTAATTTTAACGTTTAAACGCACAAACGTTTGAATGTTAATTTGATTGTAATTTAATTAAAAAACGGGCCCCTTAACCTACGTCACGTAGTCATGTGACACGTTCTGAGGCTCATGGGAAATTTTCAACTTTTCCATACCTGTGTAAATCTACCTTGGTGAGATCATCTCCTTCTTGAAAAAATATCAAAAGCAATTTCTACAATATACAATTGCCGTCATAATCTAGATTACAGCTCCTAACACTCAACCATGGTTCAGGATTGGATTTTTTTTCTGATTCATGTAACAATAGAAGAAATTTGTTGAATAAGGTTATTTGTTCATGGCAATCTTTCAGAGAAACCGCCTTAGCATTTAAGACAGCCTCAATTTTTATCTGAGTTTGACTGCTAAATTACGAGTATTACCTGCTTTTAATCAATAACTGCCATGAACTGTCAAGTTTTATGCTGCCTTCAATTTTTTTTTAAACAAAAACGCAAACAATACTTTGCCTAATAAAGGATAAGGTACCAGGGATGCACCATACCATACTTGATCAGAGATGCCTCTGTGTTAAACAGTTACATTCAAATTGTTTTGAAAAAAATAAGGAATGCAAAGAAAAGAAGTTCACAAGACACAGTTTTCACAAGACAGATAATAAATTATATTTTAAAAGACTGTCGACAATGTACAGTTCTTGAAGTAAATGTAAAACCTAGCTGTGGTAAACAAAAGAAAATTTTACTGGCCAAAAACTCATCTGGCCATAGGTTGAGACTGATGACAACTGTACAGGATTCAAAATATTAAACTTAAAATTAAAACTCAGTCAACCAAACATTTAAAATGTTGTGAACTATTTCTTTTCTCTAGGAAGTCTTTAAATCAAATTCACCAAGTTTTTAACCTGGAAAATAAACATGTTTGACTAATTTTCACAAAATTGCTTGTGAAGCAGACTGCAGGAGTTGAAACTCCAAGACAACAATATCACAGCTTTCACTGAAACACTTAATTAACTCATGACAAAACAGTTTGCTTAGCTTAAATTTTTGAGACTGAAGGAAAACCTGGCAGTTTCTTAGATGAAAACCAAATTGATGCGTATTTCATGTAAATACATTAAAGAGAAATTCATATGAAATGTAGTGTAAAAATAAGTGTGACTGGGTAACATCTATTACACTTGCTGTGCAACGCCTGAAGTACGCCCATGCTGAAACTTAAGTGATTTCAAAGGTGATAAATGACCAAAATTCATTTACCTACAAGGTTCTCTGAAACTATTCTTTTAGAATGAAACGTTCATTTTGCCAATTTTCCTGTAATTTTTTTATTTAACATGTTTCATGAGAGTGAAAATAGAGAACAAAGTTCTAGCCATCTCCTTTGCAGTCATCGTTTTATTTCACTCCTGGCTTTTAACCTTTTCCAGTTAAGGAACTTTTTAAGGGTCAGAGTGTAAGGTCAATTACGATCTGAGCGGTTGAGTATTATTGAGAGAAAAAAAAAAAAATAGACAGCTTGGGGCTGATTATTCAGAAAATTTTTAAAAAACGTAATTTTTGAGAATTTTCACAAAAAAGTTGAGCAGATTAAGAACAGTAGATCTATACTGTTAACAAAGCATCTTTGGCTGATTGTCATTTTGAAATGTCTGTGACGAATTTAGCCTTGTCATTGACGATGTTGGCCAGCCAGTTTGGCCACAGCCCAATTTAGTGCAATAGATAACGATGTCCTGGATTTCTGGTATTAGCTGTCCTATGCTGGGTACCTCTGCATAGCTGCCCCTAGTGGATCGGGTGACATGTTACAACATGTCAAATTTTTGAGAATTTTCGTTTTAGCAAGATGGTCCTTTGCTCAGCATGCGTGCCAAAAATGTGGCAAAATCTGACTGACAGTACCATCCTCTGATTGGATGCAGGCAACAACTGGTATTTTAGTGGACATTTTTAGTGATTTTGAAGTAATTCTTTCAGAGTAGATCACAAATAATGCCTTTCACTATGTTAGAGTGTTTCAGTTGATATACAGCACTATTTAGCTGTTTTTCAAGACTAAAATAAAAGGCAACATCTAAAGGCAAGAGTCATCAGACAAGAAGAATAAAATACGGCAAAAAGAGATATTGGAGACCAATTAAACCGCAATTGATGATGCAACTCTTCAACTTCAGATTTCTGAAGAAAAGGAAATTACAAGTGACAGTACAAGTGGACTGTATTTTGCAATTTGGAACTATGAATTCTGGCTCATTTGAAAAAACACTTATGTGCATACGGAAACTAATGGCACATACGTTGTTTTTAAACCGGGCCGGAATTTATAGTTCCAAATTGCAAAATGCAGTCCAATTGACAGTACAACTCATGGAGTTGATGATCCTGGAAAATAAATCATTCATAACTGATGCTAAAAATTGTAAAAATCAGATTTTTGAAGAAACTTCACCCTAAGGCAAAAAGCCTTTATAATGATGAACAGATGAGTATTTTTCATAAAACAACATCTGATTTATGTTTCTGATGATATGACAATGCTTCTGCACCTTGGAGTAATGTCAACTTTGCTTCCTCCATTTCACCTAACCATTTAAACCCTAACTTTTTCAGAATGGTCATCAAGTGCCCTTGCACTATCTATCCGCATCAGAGACAGTGCCTTTAACATATGTATACATAAAAATAGCTGGCTCAAGCTTCTGAATAAAGCTTCAAGATACTAATAATTTAATGTTAAGAGAAAAACTCTACCCATCCTCTCAAATATTTTGCCTAACATTGTAGCATTTTTGAGATTTTTTACCGCTTTTGTAAAAACAGCACGAAAAACTATATAAAAATTAGTGAACAAGAAATTACAAAAGCTGATAGTCCAACAATATACACAGCAACTGTATCTTGTACACCTAAAAAGGATTCCTATATTAAATGCACTCAAATGCAAATTTATAGAACTTAAATTGCGAATCATGAAATAGCAGATGAAAATCTGACCGATCAGTGTATCTACCCTACAGATTTATTAGGATCACCGCTTTGCAAAGCACTTTATCATGTGAAATTCAAGGGGACTATCAATACTAAAAACCATGCAGCTTGGTCTCAGAGGACATCATGGGCGTGACTTCCACCCTTTAGATCAGCATAAATCATTCAGAACTCCAATGCATACTCTTTCCTGCCTAGTGTGTAGACTGTACAAAATATGCATCATAGTTACTTGGCGGATGAACCATTACGTAGATAATTTTTCATAGTGAGATAAGATTCTAATTAGTTTCAACGATCAATTCATGGTATTCCTTTTTGGGAATTCTCAAAAATTGTTTAAAAGTTACTCATATAGAACAAGATCAGCTCAACAGGCATCTTGTGGCACATTTCACACAGACGAAATGAACTTAAGTTAACCTAATTACGCACAGGTCAGATCATAACAAAAATTAATTTAACTTATATGTATATCCAGGAGCTCTTCCCAAACTTCTTTCAGAGACGTGCTATCTACATTTTTTCTGTGTCTCGGGTGTTGACGTGATTACTGCATTAAAATGGGCCACTAGCCATGGTTTGAAGTAGAAGAAAACGTCACATGTCTCCTCTGCAAAATCTTATGTCGAAAACAATTTACACAATGGGAAGTTTTGAAATCAACTCCTGAACAAAATATTAACAAGTCTTTTGGACACAGATCAAATGAAAGTCCGATCATACAAATGACGTCATTTGTATATTTGCGATTTAACCTGTGTCAATAGAAAACACTTATATCTTGATCAGGGGTAGATTTTCAGACTTCCCATTGGGCGATTCGTTATCCTAGTGGAATTTTAGAGAGAAAACTTGTAGCATTGTGATTTCATTAATACTTTGTCTAGAGGCCCATTAACACATTAGAAGTATGGACCGGATGAAAAAAGAGCGCCAGGTCTCAGAAATGCAACTGGAAGGAGCTCTTAAAACATTAGTGAATTGAATTGTCATTATGATAAAAAATGTACATTATCAACTTGATAGCTTGCTGTTTTAAAACTTATGCTAAAAAGTTCCTAAAAGCTATTCTCTTTGGTAAAGAACCAGAATTTGATTCCTGGACTTTAGTCTTTTTGGTCCAGAAGACGCTTCCATTTTGTGTGAAAAGGGACTCATCAACACTCTTCTGATTCCTTTCCATTCCAAGTTGTTGTTCTAGTAGCTTATCCACTAGATGTCTGCTGTTTGATTGCAGTCTTTATTAATCTTAGCTAGGCGGCAAAATTTGTTACATTTGACCTGCAGATGACTCCATGGATACTCTGAAAAACAGAGAAGTAGATTAACTGCGATGCAAGTAAGAGACAGATTCTACATCCATTCTATACATAAATTTGCTATAACTCAGACTAAAAATAAGTTTTTGAGTGCTCAAGTATTTTTGATTACTGTCTGCAGGTTTAAACTGGGTAATTTGATTTCATTGTGTTGTGGCAAAATATCAAGAGAACGTAATTGCTACCATACCTGCTACATTATTTTGTTTTTATTCAAGAGTGACTTCTTCATTTAAAGATTAGGGAAATAATAGAAACTGAGAGAAGTGGGGAAATGTTGGAGACTAATTTACATGTGAATCATATATCAAGCATTTTCTGCTGATGATTGAAATGGTTTTTCTCCGAGGCGATTGAGTAGAAAATCTTAGCTGAATAATTGATTAGTCCGGAATTTGCAAGCTCATTTTATAGTGCAAGGCTGACCGAGTGATTTTACATGAACTGCTGTGGCAGTTACATCACAGAACGTACTATTGAGCATACAAGCACACTACCTGTTACAGACACACTATTTCAATCATGTCTTGGCAATTATTAATCTCACAAGACTCTTAAATAAGCAAGAGTTCCTGTTAAGAACTAAGATTCATCAGCTTTTTACACTTTCTTCTTAGAAAATTAAATGGTGCTTGAATACAATTATGCTCATTTTATTATAAGTCATTCCAAATACCTGTGTTTGTCTTCATTCTTCCAACTACTGACAGCAATATGTGGAGGAGGTAAGCATGATCTCAAGGACTGGACTAACTGAATAGTATCAATTAATGCTGAAAGGAAATAAAGATTTGAATTAGAAACCAAGGAGCAAAGTTATTAGCTAGTGCCAGAATATAACCTATCTCTTTTCTGCCTTTTCTGTTTTATGCTAAGTTCCATCGCTCAACAACAGAAGGGAATAGCTAGATGAAAGTTACAATCTTCCTCCTGAAAAATATACTCTTTAAGCGAAACAAGCAAAGACAAATTCATAGGCTAAGTATCAAAAAGGGAGGCCAATATTGGCAAAGAACAAAACATGCACCATAGATTGCCATACCAGATGGAAACGGACAATTTATTTTAAATACAAATTTCTGCTGTTAAGAGACCGCTTCTTCAATATTTATTTGCAGAGGTACGAATTTAAAATTGGGTTAGTCTCGATTAGAGACAAGATTCATTTTCGCTGAGTAGAAATTGTTCATTGAAAATTGGTCAACAGACCTCATTGAAGCACTTCCGTGGCAAGTGCGATGTTTGAGGAAATTTTTTCTTAAATCCACACCTTCAAATCTGCAAACTCATAGATTTTCATTTAGATTCGTTCATTTCTTTAAAAGATACGATATTTTACTTCGAAACAAAGGTTATTTTAGAGGTACAAAGTTTTAAACAGATTTTCCTGTTCATTTACAAAAAAAAAAAAAAATGAATTTATGAGTTCACTGCTTCGTATTATAATTAAGTATGTAAACAAGTGTTCATTGAAATGACAGGCATTTGGGTAGTTGCGGCCCATAGACCCCTGTGTGCAGTACACAAATTCAGGCAGCATCATATACAGGGTGATTCAAAAGTCTCACACCACCAGTACCACGAACAACAATTCTAACTTTTGAACAAATTGAGAAGGAGCCTCCAAATTTTGTGAGTACTAATAGGTCAAATATAACGACTTTTGGGATCCCTTAAAAGTTTAGGGGGACCTCTTTGAAAGGAAGTTAAAAAACCTAAGGTTTACAGGGATGGCGCGGGATTTTAGTATCACTATGTGTCCTCAACTCCTGCGGGGAGGAGGGCTTTGTTCCATATGCAGGGTAAATGGTTAGCTGTCAGACAGTGCAAACCTAATAATTTCCCAACTTCTGGTGAGAGCAGTGAAAATCGATTCCATTAACATAGTCCGCCATCATAGGCATTTCAATATTAGTGGTTCCTACGGTAAAGACTGTGTAGACAATCTAAAATTTAATCCCATGAAGAAAGTGTTTAGGATAGAAAACAATAAAGATAAGGAAAAGCTCTTACTCTTTTGTAGAGCTTCTGACTGCTTTCCGTACGGTTTGCACATTGCTGGCCTCACACAAGTTTTCATTCGACCCATGTTCTTCATGATTTCAGCAAATGCACGTACAATCTTTTCTTGTCCAGCTGTAAAATGGCAAAAAAAGAACACAACATTACTTGATATCTGATATGGGTGAAATGTCAGTTTTGAGTGTTCCACCAATGACTCTAAGAAATAGGGGCAATACTAATGCAACGGCTTGTTATGTCGTGTAAACAAAATAAAGCTAATGCAGGGTTTACACACGTCTAGAAAACCTACAGAAACCCAGAAAAATCTGAGCTAGGAGTAACCTGAAAACAACAAGGAGAACTCAGGAACTAAAGGGCTAAATCGAATGGTCACATCCAGAAAATCTTCTTTCCAACAATTTACGACCTGTCCTACACAAAGCAACAAATGTAACTGGCCAGTAACATCCCAAAAATATAGAGATGAGATATTGAAGTGCAATTGAGTCAACCTTCAATCAACTGGAGTATTCCAGTTAATAATCCATATAGCTTCAGCGGTTGCGAACCAACGCTTCTTAGAGGCATGCCTTTACTACCTTTAGATTTCTTTGATACTTTATTAGTTTTTCAGTTTCTCATGAGAACTATTTTCCTACTCAGAGAAAAATCGGAGTGCTTCCAATTTGACACTGACATAATGAGTCTGTTGCAAGCATAGAGTACAATAGAGTTGCAATGTACTGGAGCGCAGATGAAGTCACTTTTTGAGACTGTTTTGTCCAGGACTTCTGAGACTAGTGTGCGGCGATTAGCGATACTGTATCCGCGGAGTCCGAGCTCCGGGGTCCGCTCAGAAAATCCAGGTATAAAATTTATCTCATTAAAACCGCAAGCTCCGTACATTTTTTAATTTGTAATGATATTGGTCAATATAATTTGCCAAATTTCGCGAAAATAGTTATTGATTCAAAATAATAAATCCCAAAAACCACTCACAGTCCGCGATTCTCTCATCAGCCGCCATGTTACAAAATGCTGTCGGGTTCACACTTGGTTCACATTTTCCAGCAAACAAGGGGCTCGAAATGGCCTGTTCATGGATTGACTTCATTGGCGCTCTAGTACATTGCGACTCTATTGTTGTACTTTATGGTTGCAAGCAAGAGGTACAGCCAACTGAATACACAATATATAAGGGAAAATTCGCTCAAAAATCACATTGGACACATGAAAAAAGTCTGAAATCCGCTACTTAGGGCCGAATCTGTGTAGTTTGTGACAAGAATTTTCAAATTTTACCACGCATACAGATATAATAGTTTTTCATGTCGGCCGGCAGTCAGGTTTGCCCGAAGAGAGACCTAACCTAAATAAACAAACAATCTTGCAAACAGTTATTAACTCTCCTTGCGGAAGAATTAAATTGATTCAAAGCTTTTGTTTTTGCAAAATAAAGAAAGAAAAAGGAAACAAATGCTTGAGAACAAATGAAATCATACAATAGAAAAAGTTAGTTAATCGTTTGTTTACCTTGGGGTTACCCTGCAAACCTGGTAGCCGGGACTGAGGAAAACTGGCCGCAGATGCAGGAAACTTGGAAAGCGTGTTACGAACAACACAGATTGCGCGCTAAGGCGCAGATTTCAGACTTTTTTTTAATGAGCCCAACGTGATTTTTGAGCGATTTCACCCTCAGACAGGGATTGGGTAAATGGAAAAAAAAAAATAATGATAGATCATTTCATCCAATACTTTTGAAAAATGTCATGAACCAAGGTGGTCAAGCTGAATAACAATGGACCAACAGACAAGGTGCAAATTTAAGCATTATCATAAATGTTTTCTCGTCAAAATTTCACGTAATATACAATCATGTGACAAAAATTCTGAAAATATTTCCAAACCAAGATATTAACCATTTTCGATGCATGAAGTCAAACCCCCTCATAAGCAAAAACCATTATTGACTTGCATTAAAACGCATACTGAACATTGCCGTAACAGTCTTTGCAGGATGAAAATCAAGTGATCTTAATCTCAGCACTTCGGCTCAACTGCTATATGTTGTTTACACTTTAAAAAACCCAACTTTGAAAAAAAAACTGCTAGATTAAAGAGGCCTGCCAAAACCGTTGTAGTGCCCAATTTGATTGCCTTAGACTTTGATTTTTTTTGTGAACGGAAAATTCAAATTTTTCATGACTAGTAGTACTCAATAAAAACGTTAATATTTTTGTTTGGCATTAATTTCGGCAATAATCGTTGCAAAAATTGTGTTCAAGGTGACTTTTAAACAGGAAATATGATATGATGCTTAAGGTAGTTAAGTCTAGCAGTCCATTTAAATCAAACTTCGTCATTTGATAAAAGCCAAAAAATAATCTTGGAGCCTTAGACAACACCTTGATAGGCACTTGTGACCCGTCAAAACCTCCTTTCAAGACACTCTCAAAATAAGAGAAATGGATTCGTACACTTGAAAACTTATAATTAATTAAAGTATGTGGTTATAAAAAGTGACTGCTACTTGGGATGACATACATCTTTTACCTTCAGTCAAGGAAGACTGTGTTCGCTTTCCGGGGGGTTCATGAGAATCATGGTGTGTGATTGTGGTCCATGCTCCGTTGTGTGCTGCCAATAATTCCTGAAGGAATAAAAATATTTCAATTTAACTTAAATCATAAGTGGACTACTCCTATAGCATTCCCTTGCTTGAGATTAAGAAAACTTCATGTTTTTGACACAATCCTAAGTGTTTAGCAATCACCATTTCAAAGTGGCCGCTGGTTAAAATTTTGAATTTTCATTTTTAAATGATTAATTTGACAAAGAAACTGAAATATGCCCAATTTTACTTTTCTACAATAAAGGTATTACTTCATGGGATTTACAGGTACAGATGGAAATTAAAATTTTACTAATAAAATTGAAATTAGATCGTGCAAAAGTGTGAATACCTCAATAATTAATTTTTCGGGACACCCAGGTGAACTAATTCAATTTAAAACAAGATTTTCCTTTGAAAAGTCTGCTTGTATATTTCTAATATCTTTCCTGATTTTACCAACGACCATCTCGTTTTATCCACTGCTTTTCAGTTGATACTAAGACTTTCAACAGCTTATTATACAAACTTTCTTCTGCAATGTACCTTGTTGGAAGAACTGAGAGAGTCAAGGTTTTCTAAATTAGCTTTCAGGAAGTCTGCTAATTTGTTGTTGTGTGACGTAGGTGTTGAGGCTGTGGTTGAAGTGGAGCCTGCAACAGAGTTGGAAGCTGACGAAGACTGACGCGAAAATGACTGTTGCGATGAGGACGGCTTTTCTTGTTGCTGTTGCTGCTGCTGTTGGTGTAACAGCTGTTGCTGCTGTTGCTGTTGATGGTGCCTTTGCTGCATCTGCTGCTGCTGGGCTTGGGCAGTAGCGGCAGCAAGGCTTGCCTCAAAAGCTGCAGTCAGGTCCACAGGCAGCGGTAATGAAGACAGTGACCCTCCTCCAGAACCAGATCCTTTGGAGTCTGAGTTTCCTACAAACAAACAAAATCTTCAAATTAAATCATACTCCATAATATAAAATCATTAAGGTAGCATATCACGCTAATCATACCGCAAACCAGTTTTTCCTCCCCTTTTCATGCCCACTTTTACTTCATTAGATACCGGTAAAAGTACCAGTTTACCTTTTTTAGTCAATTGAACCCAGTTTACCTTCCTCTTGCATTTGTTATGAGGATGAATAAATCCCAGGGTCAATGTGATGATCAAACCGGTTTTTATATCCATCGACCCTTTTTCAGTCACAGGCAACTTCACAATGCATTATCAAGATATAAATCGAAACATGCAAAGCGCCTAGGGGCATAGGGCTGCAAAAAGGCCAGAAGGCGAAGCTTCCTCGTATCTTAAAATACTAATAACCCTGCATAAATTGATCTTTCCTGAAAAAACTGGTTCGATTCAATTACTGTCAATTCTTACTGAAGCTCAGATTCCAGGTCTTAAAACTGGATACTTAAGAATAAGGAAGTCACAGTGTCAGTCGAGTTATTCTGCCTTGAGGGTATGTAGGTGTGATAATTGTGCATTACTTTGTAATATAGTGGTCTAGAAGTAAAACTGTGCATGGTCCTGTTTAAACTTAAACAGATAAAAAAGAGGGATTTGGAAGTAAAAGTTTGCCAAACCTGCTTAAAATTTTTATTTTTAAGGATTCAAAAATCCTTCGGAAGGCTTGATCAGCGATCACCTTTTTAGGCTAATAGTACAGGGGCTATCGCAGAGTTCTGTGATCCTGTACATTGATGTCCCTGCTGTGTTGAGATCTTTAATTTTTTATGAGAGATTCAAACAGGGCGAGATACTAATAGCAAAAGAGCACAAATAATGTTGATTGGTCACTAAGGACTCCTCTGATTGATGTGCAACTGCTGGCGAAACTGCTTAAGCTTCTGATCTTAGGTTTCATATACTGCTCACTGATTCAATACAGCTGCAACTTCGAAACTACTATAATGAAAATTACTGAGTGACCATTTCCTTCACTTTGTAACTTTGACCATTTCACTAAGTCAAAAAGCTGTGCATCATGTAAAGATTTTTTAACAGAGGCACTTTCCCCGACAATAGCAGAAATGATTTAAAAGCAAGTACAGGAGAGCTTTCTCCCAAAGAACTGGCCGTACTTCTTGGAAAATCTACACCGCTTAGTCAGTAGCTCAACCCACCACTGAGATGGTTATCATTATTTTTTGTAAATATACCTTTGCTTGACATTTTAGTCTTTGCTGGAAGTTCTGGGATGAATGAAGCTTTAGAATGCGGCATGTCAAGCTGATTTTTATAGTAACGGCAAGCAGGATTTGGACAGTTTTGTATCACTTCAATAATGAATTCTTTCTCCATTCCAAATTGCTCTCGGCCGATTGTGTAGGAATCCATGACCTATGAAAAAAGATTCTTGTTGTTAAGAAATTCACATTTGCTTTAAATATTTTTGTAAGTAAAAGCTCCATATTCAGGTGGAGTTACTATATCACTGAAACACTTTCTCTGTAGTAGAGGAACAAACCGTACTCTATAATATAAAATCATGAGAGTATCACATAACGCATAAAGCTGTGTCAGTTCAGTACCTCTTCCATTCAACGGCAGCTTTCAGCTAACCAAACCGCTACGCCTCCTCATACAGAGCTCTAACTCCACCCTAATTTTCTCTCCCACCTTTTCCCCACATTCTACTTCAACCATTTATGATTGACAGTCCAGTTTTCTCTACATCTTTGCGACATGAAGATCTTCTACACTCTTTTGTGCTACCTTGTCACTCTTACCTGTTAACTTTCCACCCTTCTTTTTCTTCATCTTGGCTTATTTTTTTTGTTATTAGTTTAGTATTTTGACAGTATCAATTGTTTTCTCTTTTTTTAAAAATTATTATCTTTTATTAGAGCAGGGATAAAGATGGAGGGCTTTTTTAATTCAGTAAGTCCTATCATAGGGCCCGGTCCGCCCGGTTGAAGATTGCATTCGGCTCAACCCTTTCCTTATACTTGTGGGTTTAGGAAGGTTTTTTTCTTTCTTTTATTTTTACTCATGTTCAATTACTGGGTAATTTTTAGCATAGTTTCCTTTCTTAGCCACTCTTCATAAGACAATGTCCTTTTTTATTGTAAATAATCTTCACTATCTCCATTCTCAATTTATTTGTTTTTTGTTAATTTTACTCCAAACCAGATTCATTATTCCTACAATTTATTTTATTTTTTCTATTTACTTAATTTATTTCATTTTATCAACATGATAAAAACACCTTTGCTCTAGAAAGCATGTACATAAGAGGTGCAAAGCTCCTTGCGCAGGGGAGGGAGAGGAGTGAAAGGTTACAGCCCCATTGTAGTGGTGAAGGAAAAATAGGATTTAACCTTTCCTAATCGATTGATTTTTGGTCAAATATTATGTAATTAACAAGACAATAAGTAATTGGAAGATAAAGTTCATTTGATTTGAAAGCTCATTATGTAATAAAAGTGATTTTTAAAACAATTAACATCTTGCTCAAAATTTGGGTAAGAAAACATCATGACAGCCCTGAGGTCTGGACTAACTATCACCACTCTAACCATTAGAGACTCCTTCCTGGATAAGTATCTCGAATGTTCGGGAACAATTCAATTATCAAGAGGGAATGGACCTCAATCGGGTACCAAAAGATGGAGTTGAAAAATTTAGTTGATCAAAGTTAAGAAAATACAATACTGCCTTGAGGTGTATGCAATTAAAGCATTAAAATAATGATTACTCAATTGGTTTCAGTCATCGCTTTAAATCACAGGTTTGAGCTCTGCCTGAAAAAGTAATTGAAAATCAAGGTAACTTTTTTTTCAGATACTTACAGCTCTGATAGTTCCCTCAACGCCCAGGTGAAGTCCATGGGGTCCATTCATATGTTTCAACATCACTGCATTAGCGAAATGTTCAAAGGGTAAGATGATCTTTCCTGATTCCCGCAGAATAAGTCTATTTTGAGAATCCAGAGTAACTCGGGAAGCAATCATTCTGAAAAATGGAGGGAAGCGATTTTATATACGAGTCCATTCTGAACGATAAGTTATCTCTCATGTGAGGGACAGCCATGACTACAGAATCCAAATGGTGGGCAGGGAAACCTTACTGGTCACATTTGCTTAAAAAAAGTCATGCTGTATTCCAATATCTTTGGAAGTGGAGGGCCTTTCTGGATGACTCTAAGAGATGAAATACTATTATTTTGTCTCATTCAAATGACTTCATCATCACTGAAAGGAGAGTATTGGAAGTAATTAAATATATTGTTGTCGATCTTTCAATTCTTTTGATCGTTTATAATTTAAGTATAAGGTACAAATGCAAGGCTGGTTGTTGTAATTAAGGACTAAAACTTAAAACCAAGAAATTCAGAACTTTCAATGTTCCGTTAAATTAGGAATTTCCCCATGCTTAACATATGCTCTGTCCTCCATCTCCTCACTCGCAGGCTTAGGCCCAATTCACAATATGAGACTTTTCACCTGATATAATTGAACGAAAAGTTGGATGGAAAGTTGAATGCAAAAACATTTGATTCAATTACCATTGCAGTGTGATATTGTCGTCAGTCTTCAGATCGCAAATCCAGCTTTGGCTGATGTCAGTCGGAAGATTTCATTTCAACTCTCCGTTTAACTTTCCATCCAATTGGCAGTGCTTATTGGGTGGAAAGTTGAACGAAAAGTTGCATGTGACGTCACATTCAATTTTCCATTCAATATTTCATCAAATCGTCATTGTTTCACATCAGCATCACACTGTCCAACTTTTCATTTGACAGGTTGCATTCAAGAGTTGAATAAAAAGTTTGCTGGTGTGAATTGTGCTTTGTGGGGACTGAGAGAGACTCTTCTTGCCTGTCAGCAAAGCTTATGCCTCATTCTAGCGTAACGACTTCGTTACAACTCATTGAATTAACTAGATATTCCAAGATTAAAGATTCAAAATGTCTTAGTAACAGCGCTTCAGTTGCATGTGGCATCGTAGTAGAGACCTCCCCGTTGTTAAGTTAGCATATCATCTGTAAGTGTACGGGCGTTAGCCAATGCAAAATCAGCTATTTCACGGAACTTAGAGAGTTCATAACTTTGTTACCCTTCATTTCAGACGCTTTAAATGTCAGGCTTCCTTCTCTAACAGTGATCCAATCCCTGAAAATGGTAAGTAAAAAATTTGGCAGTCTATGTACTATAGGACAATCAATTGATCAACTAGTTAAATGCACCCCCTTGCTGGCTGACAACTAGTTGATTATTCGACTTGATGAATGCCTCAGAATGATGCCATTGTTACAAATACATCGAAAACGACCGATCACATAAGGCCATTTTATCTTGGTCTTATCATGTCCGGTCGATAAATGCAATAACTGGCTCGAAGATTGTCCATCAAATCCAGGTAATTAATTTGGATATGGAATCTTCAAAAGTCCCTGAGAGTAGAGACTAAGTGGAAACTGATGTAGAGAACCACAGAATAGCAAAGTGGTGTAAGATTTTGCGACTGTATCTTCAGCGGTAGTGCAAATGAGAAAATTAAAACATTGAGAGAATGAAGTACTCACTGCAGGTATGATAAGCTTGGTAGCATTGAAGCTTCTTTCAACTCTGAGAAACATTGTAAGAGTTCAGCAGAATTCCAGCCCTTGTTTTGGAGATAAACTTGAAGGAGCGGGTACACTTTTTCGGTAATGTAGCTTGACTGGGGAAAATGACTCCCCATTTCCGATATTCCTTTTCCTAAAATTTTCTGCATTGCTTCCGATAGACCTACACCTAACTCCATGGCAGGACAGTGGTCTGGGTCAACAATTCAGCACTCTGCAGCTGATTCTATTGCAGGCAGGCGGGGAAACAAAACACACGAAATAAAAGAAAGAGGCAGAATATGAACTCAATTAATTGCGCACGGTCAAATTGCTAAAGTTGCAATATAAACGCTCATTTTCGCACCGATACTAGGATGTCCGTGTCCGATCAAAATAACCTAAAACATGCCAAAAACAACCTAGATTGCCTTGCCTAGCCATTGCCTTGCCATTACCTTGCCTATATTATGCCTATACCATTCTATACGAAGCTTCAGCCATGATTGTTTGTTTACCCTGCAATGTTCGAAGTTCGGCCGATAGGAGAACTTTAGCGCTATTGATGCTTGGCCAGGCTTGGCTCGTGGTCATTCGTGGTTTTGAAGGTTACGTCGCAATGTTTATTTTGGAATTCTTGAGCGTCTTTCATCCATGGCGCTGAAATGTGATAATTGTGCATAGTCTCAGAGACTTGTAAACTGAAAATTCCTCTTAAAACTTCGCATTTTACTTTTCGCTCCATTAGTAAGTCTCAGTCTTTCTTTTAAACATATCCCTGGCTTGTTACAATCCTGCCATTTTTATTATCCCTGTCAGTTTGCCTCTAGCTTCAACAGCTCTCAACCCCTGAGCCTGTAACCTTGATACTGCTGTTTGATTCAGCTTCTGGAATTCGTGTGTTTTGTTGTTGTCTCCAACCGATTTGTCGTTTGCCACCTTTTTATTTTTTTTTGTTTTTGGTGATGCCGCTCAATTTATGATCAAACGGCTTATCATGTTCAGAGTCTCCCTGAGCTTGCCTTTCGTGCGTGGGTGTGTTCAAGAATCATGTTACACATGGTATTTACTCTTCCCCTTTACATCCAATTACCAACCAATTACTCATCGATTTTTTATCATTTTCCTACAGATTTTTGTAAGCTGTTAAACTGGAGAGACTCGATCTTCGGGTTGGAGGCCATGGTCTCCATTCAGTCCAAAACTGGCCTGATGTTAATGACGATGCGCTAAATGGGAATCTTCCTGGGAAGACAACATTCATCCCTATATCTCTTGACTATCATCCATTGGATGAGAAAATGTTAAGTGGAGAAACAACCCAAGATCAAAATGACACTGCTCTGGATAGCGAAGCTGCAAAGTCTCGAGCCACTTTGGTTCGCTCTGATGGTGTGGATGACACTGACTCAGTTTTTCAGATTGAACTCCCCTCTTCGCCTGAAACTAATGGTGAGGCTTCAATTACTGGGTTCTCTCTCTGTAGAATCACGAAATGCTTCAATTTTCCAGTTGTGTCTCTAGATTAAAAAAGGAGGAAAATGAAGAATTATGCAACCAATGTCTAGTTAGAGCTGGGGAAACAAAAGATTGTACAAAATTCTTATCAACCTGTATGCGTCAATCATCAAGTAGCCCATTGACTAGTACCTACATTTCTGTTGAATGGTGCCATTTTCTGATGTGACATTTGACCAATCTCTCAGTGTTACTATTCTGCGTAATCGAGGGTCGCTGCATAGTGGCTGCGCAATGCGTAATAGCTGCGTAATTTAAAGAAATCTACGTAATTCGTGCGTAATTGAAGCTTTTTAAAAATTTTAGTTTATTATTGTTGATTTTAGGTTAGGTGAGTCTTGCTGATCTTGGTAAACCAGTGGTAAACGATCGTAGTGAAGATAGTTTTTTATCTAGAAGCAATGTTGCAGACTTTGCTTCCGGATTCCTACCTTGTATAGGAAACATGAATATTTCAGAATCTTTAAATAAGTACAAAATTGTGTATAATTTGAATTATTTTGCACAATTGCTGTGCAATTCAAAAAATTATCTGCGCAATTAGGAAAATATCTGTGTATTGTTACATAATTTGCCATCGGGATTGCTTAAGCACAACGATAACACTGCAATCTCTTTTTCCCCGCATTCCATTACATTTTTTCTCTCTTTAAATGAATGATTTCATCTGTGAAATGAAGTAAAGTGGAAAGCTACCAAAATGCAGTGGCGTGCGGTGGGTTTAGTGACAGGGCAAGCTCTAGCGTTCGCCGTTCGGNCGTTGGGGGGTGGTTAACGTGGTTAACGGGTGGTTAAAATTTTACTCTCTTGGCTCTATTTTTCGGATGAAATCTGATGGAATGTCTCGATAAACTGTGGTTTTATTTCTTTCTCTCTTACTTATGATTTCGTTCACTCAACTTGTTTCGAATGTTATTGAGCATTGGAGGACGGCTCCATGCTCTTAACTCCTAATTTTGTACTTATTTGAGGTATTACAGTCTTTATTCTACGGCATTTAGAATTTTTTGAGTTACTTAAATTTCCGCCCCACAAAACAGCTTTCTGCGTTTAAAACATGATTGAGAATTGTCTAATTCATCACCAATCAGATCCAAATGAGCGACATTTTATAGAATTTAAGGGCATTTGCTCCGGAGGGGCAATTACAACCGCGACGGAAAAAGGGAATAGGATAGCGCATCGGAAGCAGAAGCAGCGCGCTGCGGTGACGGGCCAAGAGATGGCCAAGAGATGGCCAAGAGAAGCGAGCTGCGATCGCGCAGCGAAGGGCTCGGACTCGGAACGTACCGCACTCCCCGCCTGCCTTGATTCCGCCGCTGAGCAGTGGCGCTCCGCTCAGCTGATCGCAAGCGATTCTCCATCGCATGAGTCGGCCCGTGTTCAGGCCGCGCAGCGCGCTGCGCCACCTCCATTCGCTCTGCCGCTTCCCTACTTTGGTGGCTCTATACGTATTTCTGTCTCCCTCTCTTTCTATTTTTAATGCAATTTACTTACTGAACACATTTTATAAATTATATTTGCTAAAATGTAAAACATTTAATAGGTGTAATTTTCTTCTTTCTTTTGAAATCTTTGGGCAAGCAGTGCTTGCCTTGCTTATCCGGACCGCACGCCACTGCCAAAATGCTCTGTTTGAAGGGCTGGCTCTTAAGGTTTTTGAGCAGATGATAAATCTGTCATTTGAGGCAGCAAAATCAGGCCTTAGGAAAGTAGGATTTGTCAAACATGACTGAGAAACACTTAAAGCTGCCAGTGGATTTTATGATGTGCCACTAAGTCAGTAATCTCCAAAACATGACCGTTTGTTGGGATCTTAAGTTTATGCCTCATCATGGTCATATTCTCGATTCGTGTCATCAGGGACATGGAAAGTTCTTTGTAGACATGTAAGGTCGCATTCGAGTGAATTAGTTGTAGAATATCAGGTCTTGGTCCTAAAATTTCTTCAATGTGGATGTCTAGTTTAATCATGAGAGGTTTTTAGGTTTGAGTTTGAATCAAATATCGGGAAAAAGATTTGAACTCGAATATTCACCCAGCCCTAATTGTTATTGAAAACTGCCTCTTGACCCAAAATTTTCCATTACCAAATAACTAATACAGATTATTAGTTTACCTGCAACAGAGTTTAAATTAGTGTTCAATTTACCGTTTCAATTTTACGTTGAAAAAATAATAATAGAGAGTAAAATGAAAAGAAAACATAATGTGAAGAAGGGGGCCGATTTTACCTTGCTGATAATAATCTCATGTTCTTTTTTATTACAGATAAAAAATTGAATCGAGGTATATCAAGAGCAACAGATAATGTGAACATTGTCATGCGAGCCAGAACAGAGTTGGACAATGTGAATGAAGATAGCAATGTGTTCGAGTTTCCAGTTTATAATTTCACACTGCCTGACCTGTCAACACTTCCAGGTTTGTTTGACATACTTTTAAATGGGCTTAGTATCTTTTCAAATCTTAAATAGACTAGAAGTTTGAGTGGAAGTTTGGAAGTTTTACTTTAATGAACGATGATGATGAGTAGTCAATGAAATTTTGATGAACATTTGATTCTGATCTGAAGCTGCTTTCATCTTTGATATTGCGCTGCATTTGAAAGTAGTATCTCTTATTCTTGATTCTAGAAATAAATCAAGAATTTTAAATGTGTCTACATTAGTTAATCCTCTAAAAAATGTGACAGTATGGTTCAGTACACCGATAAAAGACCTGCAGATAACACTGTAGAAAAGACTTTAAGCCAAGTGCAGTCAAACAGCTGAAATATTGGTCACTGAAATATAAAATTCTGAAGTATGTCAGAACTACCATGAAACTTTTAAAATGCGTGTGGAAAAGGTTTTGTAAGCACAGTTAGAAAAGCAAGTTCTTTTTATGAAGCGTACTGTCTGAGAATGACTTGTGAAACTCTGAGTGGAATCCTGCATTTCTTACTTAGCACAACAGCGTAGCCTCTCTGTGAAACATCTCTAGATAGAAATCTCAACTTAATTTAATTTGCCTGGTTGAAGAATGTTGGGTCTCCAAAGTAGGATGATTAAAAAAACAATGATACAAGAAATATTCATTTCCACCAATAGAGTAAGTCACATATGCAGAAAGTATTTCTTCTCCTGAACTTAAAAGTAAAATTGAGATTTGAAGAAATGGGACTTAAAATTCTTAATGAATGTGTGATTCCGGAAGATGAAGTCTTTTTATGATGTTTCAAAAACGGAGTTCTTGGCCTAAACTTTGATGACCGAAATAAACTGTATCGCTTCGAACTCCAGAAAGTATGATTATTTTTTTTCTTTCTCTTTTTTTAAATCTTACTGCAAAAAAATGGGCTGTGTGACAAGGTCCAAACTAGTAGCAAACGTCACGTGTCCTTTTCAAAATCTTTTGTAGAAAGAAAGTCACAGAATGGAAAGTTCTGAAACCAACTCCTAAATAAGATATTGACGTACATTTGGAACTGGATCAAATGGAAACAAGGTTATTTAAATGGCATCATCTGTATTTTTACAATTTGATCAATGTTAATTATGAACACTCATATCTTGTTTAGTAGTTAATATTCGAACTCTCCATTGTATGATTTGTTTTCCTCATGACATTTTGAAGAAAAAACATGTTGCTTTAATTCATACCTTTCTCAGAAGCCCATTGTCTTCTAGGAGGTATGGTCCCTTTTTTGCAAATTCAGTCACAAATGCCTCTATCATAACTGTTCATTGTTTGGCATTGCAGAGGATTTTCGTGTTTTCATTGAGAAGGATTTGATGGCTCTTTCAACATTGTCATCATTGGAGCAAGCAAATCGGCTGAACTGGTGGACAAATTTTACTCAGAAGCTCTGGCCTCTTTCCACATCAGGCGATGGCAATTGCTTATTGCATGCTGCTTCCTTAGGTATTTCCAATCATCTCTTTTTATCATCCATTTACTATGCAAAATTGTTTATATCTTCTTAAAAAGTAGCCCTCATTTCATGTATATTTTTTTGAAAAACTGATTTGACTAAAAAAATAACAAGCTTTACATGATGGTAAACTAATTAGTCATAATTTTTGCACCTGCTATCTTCCTTGAAGAAGTGACCTCCCACCTGGATGTATTTTTACCAATATCACCCTAATTTAGAAAAGTGGCCTTTAAGTGGGCCTGTTGCAAACTCTTGCCAGAGCAAATATAAGATTTTTCTCTATCAGTAATGTCTCAAAAATCACGATGAGCGCATTAATAAAGTTTGAAATGCACTCCTAACTTTACAATTTGCGCAAGAAATTTGCGTTTCTTTAAGCTTCCTGCTTCAAAATCGATACTATGGCACAGGTGAACATTTCGTTAGAGGCGTCGTTCCATTCAACCCTTTTACAATAGCAATACCCAACATAGCCGACGCTTCCGCGCAAAAATCGCAATCGGGAGCACAAGGTCAACCAAAGCGGATCTTTACCCAAACAAAGAAATCGAGAATGCAAACACGCCAGTTTGTTGACAAATGGGTAGAATCTCGTCCAGGCACTTGTGTTTTGACGGATTGAAGTTGGCCATTCTGAATATTGTGTAGTATCCTAGTGCACAGGGGTTGGATAGAACGACACCTCTAATGTAATGTTCATCTGTGTCGCAGTATCGTTTTTAAAGCGGTAAGCTCAAAAAAACGCAAATCTCTTACACAAATTGTGAAGTTGAAAGTGCATTTTAAACTTTGCCAATGTGCTCATTGTGATTTTTGAGACATTTACTGATAGAAACAACTCTTATTTTTGCCCTAGCAAAAGTTTGCAATAGGCCCATTCTTCAGATTTGAGTGCGCTTTCAAAGAATTTTCCTGGATCTCTGCTACTAACACTTTCCAGGTCTTATAATGCCTACTCTAGGTTTGGAAACAAAAAATTCTGAAGCTGCTAGATCAGGTAAATATGGTGAGTGATGAAAGATATTCATCCTGCTTGGTCACAATCAGGCACGTAGCCAAGATTTTGTATTGAGGGGGGCTTGGTCGGGTGAACAGGGTTCTCCTCCCCCTCCCTGGTTAAGGGAGAAGTTCGAGGGGTATGGAATAACTCCCAGTTCAGAGGGGGGGGGTTTGAGGGACTTCCCCCGGCAAATTTTTGAAATTTTAATTCTATTTGGACGCATTCTGAGGCTTCTGTGACGCAGATTTTTCAGCAGTTTCTGCGAAGTTGCATTCAACACATCTGGAAATTTTTTGAAATTTTAAATCTATCTCAACGCATTTTGAAAGTTAAAACTTCCTCTTTTCTCGCCTTTTTGTATTTTTTGACTCCCCTTTTCTTCATTTTTTCCCTCCTTTTTTTGCTTTCGGAGGGGGCTTGAGCCCCCTAAGCCGCCCCTCTGGCTACGTGCCTGGTCACAATACTTACTTCTTCCTTTTGTTTGGAAAAAATCTCAGTGTACATCACTTCATGCTTTGTGTTTTTGCTAGGAATTTTTGGATTTCATGATAGAAGGCTGTCACTACGAAAAGCTCTTCACAATTTCCTAACACATAGTGGTTTCATTGATGCTCTTTGGCGACGCTGGAAGCGGCAGCAGAGTGTGCTGAATGTGCAGTCAGGACTTGTATACTCAGAGATTGAATGGCGCCAGGAGTGGAATGCCATCGTCTCCATGGCCTCTATCACGCCACGCATTAGGCGGCAGAGTTTTGCAGGGTAATTTTTTTTTCCTTTCAAAAAGCTCAGAATGATTTTTCAAAAATGCATCACTCTTTGCAAACCTCACACTAATTTTCTTCTCTTGTTTCTTTCTCCAATTTTTTTTAGGTTTTTTTATTATCATTATCATCATTTTCAAACTGATAATCAATAATCTGATAATCTGATTTCTCTGATCTTTCTAATTTTGGGAAGGTTAAAATCATGGAGGTTGATTTTTTTCTATCATGTTCAAGTAAAAACTTGGAATTTCCTTGAGACGTTCTTTCTCTTTCTTTCAGTGCTTTTCTGGAACCCAGGCTCAAAATTGTGGCCGTTTTTGAGTGTCAAAATCGAAAATAGAGTGCTTTAAATTTAATACATCTTTGATCTAAAGTTTCGTCCTTGAATTCTTTTTAGAAGTTTTGATGAATCAAACTTTTAATTTTCAAATTCAAAGTTGTGGCTGTTTTTGAGTGTCAAAATCGAAAATAGAGTGCTTTAAATTTAATACATCTTTGATCTAAAGTTTTGTCATTGAATTCTTTTTAGAAGTTTTGATGAATGAAACTTTAGATTTTCAAATTCAATTTTAAAGAAGCAGAAGAGTCAAAATGATCTGAAGAAACAATGTTGCACCATCAAGTAAACATAATCTACCAAAACTGGAAGATTTAAAATGAACTGATTTCCCGAATTGAGGGAGTAATAAAAAGCTGCAAAGTTTTTGGTTTTTCCAACTTAGAGAGATGATGTATTTTGAGTTCTAAGCTCAGGTTTAAGCTCAATCTGAAAGGCACAACTGTTTGAACTGTATGCTAAACGATTTCTTCTCATTAAGGAGCTAGCCCTAGCATAAGAAGTAACTTGAGTTTTTATTCCACCAGTAATGATGCTGGTGACTTGGCTGGAGCTGTTTACGAAAGTTTAGAAGAAATCCATGTTCTTGCTCTGGCTCATGTCCTCAAACGACCTATCATTGTTGTTGCTGACACAGTCCTCAAAGTAAATATACCACCTAAGTATTTTACTAACCGTATATTCCGTTATATTTCATGTAGTAATGTGGATTCTGCGGTCTGATCATTTCAAAATCTCTAAATGGATCACCAAAAAAAATTTGAATTTCAACATTCTGATAAATTTTCCTCTTGAAAATTTCATGCAGAACATGATTAACCCAACAAATAATTACTGCCATCAACTTCTAATGAAGATTTTAATGTTCTTATTTAGCACTGGTTACAAAAAATTTAAATTTCTTGCATAGGTAAAAACCCAGAGTCTACAAGAATCAAATCACGAGTTACAACTGTTTTGGTATGCTTTTTAATCGAGCCATTTTTCCTTCCCCACCCCTGTGTTGTCCAAAGTGTGAACATTGTGCAACTGCTGAGCTGAAGTGCCAAGATAGAAGTTGCCATATTTCCATAAGGTACCTTTTCAGTAACATTCAGGATGCTGTTTTACTCAGTTAGATTATTGTTTCTTCATGAGTGGGAAGTTACAATTTATAGAGTGGAAAATGTTAACATCTCGACAAGAAGTTATTTTCAATAATTTTCGTTGCCCAAATCATATTCTACATGAAATTTTGATGAGAAAACATTTATCGTAACGTTTTAGTTTGCACCTTATATCACACACCAGTTCGACCATGCTAGAAACAGAGATGAATCACTTTAAATTTCTCAGTGTTTTGCAATAAACCGGTCCATCAATTCTTAAGTAATTTTGAATTTTTTTATAAACTGAGGCTGAACATAGAGTTTAATTATATTAGCCAAATGATGGGTCAGTGGCACCCATTTTTTTGGAAATTTATTTTTTGAAAGCATGGAGCTGAGCTAAGCCTCTAGGATTTCTCTTAGATTTTTACTTTAAACCTGTAATGACAAAGAAACTTCGTTTTGAAAGTGCCAAAAATTTGAACCCGTTAGAAACAATATTTTTGGCATTTGGCGAGCGCCGATAACGTAACCAGGCGGAAGAACCGGCATTTGCTAATTGACTGAATCGTCTTCTGGCATTGCCTTGCCTCGGCTTTTTATTAGCCGACTTTGTCTCCACTTTAAAAATATTTGTTCAACACTTTTTAATGAACTTTTTGGCGTTTTCTCAAAATCTTATGCAAGTATAACTAAATTTCAACCCTGAAAAAATTCCTTGCCATTGCGCAGTGCACTGTGGTTTGCTGGTTATTTTTTGTCCAAAATTTTTGTTAGCTCTTGTATTTACTCATTTTATCATCTGTGAGTTTTCAATCCTATGACTTTTTAACTTACTGTGTAGGACATGAATGGAGATGCATTGGCTCCCATTCCATTCGGTGGAATATATTTGCCTCTCGAGATACCAGCAGAGGAGTGTGAAAGATCACCTCTGCTACTTGCCTATGATGGTGGTCATTTTTCAGCTCTAGTCATTATGGATAATAGTCCCTTACCAGGTAAGTTTCCTATTTTCCTCTGAAGGAAGAATATCTAATCACCAAAATGAACTTTTCTCACCACTGAAGAACTCCAAGAGCTTAGAATCATTGATTGTATAATTTTTTGGTACCCTATCAACCACTCAAACAGCTACCAGTCTACCAATTCATCATGCTAAGGTAAAATGCTTCATGGACAATCGAATGTTGCCAGAACCTTCCCCCCACCCACCTCCCTCCCCCATGCAATGAAACAGTTCATTTCATAGACAATCAACGAAAATTTTTCTTTGAATTTTTCAGAGGCATTAGACTAAATTGGAGGGGAAAAAAAGGAAAAAAACTAGCTGAAAAATGCACAGTGTCTGATTTCCACTATGGGTCTAAGGTTTGCTTTCATTCTGTTGCAGCCGCAATTCCACTAACAGATTCGTCACATGAACTACTTCCTATCCAGTTCAGTATTGATCCAAATGATGCTGAAGAAGAAAATCTAGAGTTTGAACTATCTTTTTCGGAAAAAATAGACCTACTCAATAAATTCCTCGATGTTGTTAAGTTGGATCCTGTGGTAAGTCATTTCCTCAAAAATCACAAAATCTAAAATCATTAAAAATAAACTTCAGACTTTATATACTCAAACAAGTCAAAAGTGAATTTCCAACATCGATAAAATACTAAATACTGACTCATAGCATGAGTCCGGTATAGTGTTTTTATGGAAAAATCAATAGAACAAAGCAAAAACCAACCTCTATGAAAGATTCTAGTCTTTGCCAGTCTAGCTGAACAAAATATCACTCTATCTGACTTCATATGCCTTTTAATAAAAAGTCTCTGAGGATCAGTTATCACCATTAGTTGAAAATCCTAGGAAACTTATTAAATTATTAATTTTTCATTTCATTTTTGCCATTTTTCGAAAGAAATTTATGAAATTTTCTTATTTCAGATCACAGAGCACACAGAAAAGAATGGGGTGTTTGGAAGCATAGGCAAAAGTGTAAGTCAGAAATTAAGACTGAAGTTAAGTCGCTCAGATTCGCACAAAAGTACAGCACAAAATAAAGAGCATGAAGCTTATTTGTGCGCTCTTCTTCATATTAAAAGATCTGACTACCATGATACTCTAAAGAACAACTATCTGCAGTCAGCCAAAAGCCGCTTCCATGAAACTAATCATGTAAGTACTGTAACTCCGTATTTTTTCGTATCTTTTTTTATGAACTGTACATTTGGTCAACTTCAAATTCCACAACATAAGAGAACAGCAAGTAAGCAAGATTAACTAGTCTTGTCTTTTTACTCTTTCTACTCATTTACCTATTACATAAGCCTGCAAAGGTTATAAAAAAAAGCTTTTGAAATTGCGGAGGGTTTGATAGGTAAATTTGATGTAATGAGCCTGTCGCATAATTTTTTTTTATTGCTTGCATCAAAAGAACTAAGGCTCCTGATGTCGCTGGAATTTTCCTGGAATTTTTTGACCACAGGAAACCCCCAAAAAATAACCCCCACTTAAAAACATCCCCGATTTCGGATTTTCTAAACGGTCACTTTTACATGGGAACGGATCTGGTACACTCGCTGCATCACAGTTTATGACAAACCTGGTCTTTAGGTCTGACCAGTATCATGTCCATTGGTTAGTACCTTGAAGGCAATTGAAGCCTAAATGCTGCAGGCAAATGCATTATCCAAAAAAGAAATAAAAACCCCTTCGATTCTTCCCAGGCAGACGAAGCAATTCTTCGTCCCTTTGTTTTTGTGAATGGTGAATTTGTGATGGGCTCACCATGAAAAAATTTTTGTCCGCAGAAAATGAAGGACAGTGATCTAGCGCCACGCTATGGAGCAGGAAAATCACAGTTCTATGCAGAGGCCGATCTAGAGTCGCATGAAAAGGTGAACCAGCTAGCCAGTGTGAAGCCAGCCACAAATAATGACCGAACAGTCTATTTGAGTAAGTCCACGTTTTATGACACAAGTCAACATTGTCGGGCGAAAGACTGCCCTTATTTTGGGAACCCAGCAACGCAGAATTTCTGCTCTGCATGCTACCGTGATATGATCTTGGCTCTTACTAAGTCCACCTGATTCACTTGATCCTCGTCTCTTTATACACCGTATTCTGTACATATTTGTCTTTTGTTATGCTTTGTTTTAGTCCAAAGTTGTTGGATCAAAACTCTTGCGTCCTTTTGAACCCTTTGCAGCTTTTCTGTATGTTACATACCTTTTTTTTCTTTTATGGAAGACATAAAAATCCATCAATGTTACTCTGCAAACACATTGCTTGTCTGCTCCATTGAATAAACCAAAATTTTTAATATCACAATCTGCTAAGTGTGTTCAGTGAGAAGAACTGTAATCTATAAGAGGATCAAGAACAGCGAAGAGACTCTAGTCAGCTAAATTGTGTAGGTGAAAAGTAAGATATTGCTCTCTGGTAAGAGGAGAAATATTGTAGAATTCTGTCGAAATTTTGCCCTTTTCTCATCAAAGTACCTTCGTAACCCTGTGGTTTCTCTGTAGAGCATGCAAGGTATTTATGTACATTTGATGGTTGTATATAACATAGGAATAAATTTCCAGCCTAAATTTAGAAGGCGCATTACATGGACTTCAGAGACACCAAGATTGTAGGAAGCAAATCTGAAAATATCAAACATAGGGTCAGACATTTTGGCACACACTTGTGCTTTTGTCCGTTTTTAAAAGTAAAAGTTAAAACATCAAGTATCTAAGGAATGTTGGAGTTATACTTTGACAGAACCAAGCCCAGCAACAAGACTAAGAATTTTTGGATTCAATGTAAACAATCAACAGCTAATCACCGGTGCTCAGAAAGTGACTCATACATGCACCCCTGTAAACAGTGACAAATGCATGCTAGAGAAAAATTTAGTGGTCAATAATGCTCCGGTTTTTTGTGGATGACCTAAAATTTTATACTCTATAAGATAAGATACTTAAAAATATAAGTAATTGAAAACATTATGTGGCCAAGTAGTTTTTGATGAGCGCAGAACTTGGAATTATTGATGTTTTGAGGTATCATGACAGCATGGTGTAATTTTAGTCCAGAAATGTTTACCATAACATTTTGTTCAACACTCTCAATCTGATGCCATAGTATAACTCCAGCTATTCTTTAATATTTTGAATTGAATTTTCGGTGACTGAAGGATACATAGGTGAGTGCTGAAATGTCTCGCCCAATGTTTTTGTGTTTTCATCTTGTTTTCTGCAGTTTAAGCATCTGTTAAACACAAAAACATGTATTTCTTGCTATTGGTCTGAATAAGTTTTGCTTAATTTGTTTGGCTCTGACAATTTATGGTTCTTTAGCTGGGGCTTTCCATCATTCTAATGAATTTCTCTCTAACCAATTTTGACATATCTCTCCGTATTAGAAGCTGAATTTTTGAGTTTCTCCCTGCTGTTCAGTGATTCACCAAGGTGTCCAATACAGAATAAAAACAAATATCCCTTTAAATGTTCCATGTATAAGATTTATTCACCCGTAGTTGCTGTAAGGGCTGAATTTTTATTCGTTTTATCCTTTTCTGAATAGTGCAAGAGTTATTGTAACTGAAATTATAAAAAATCCTTTGTTAAAGTTTTGAACTCAAGCAATTGTAACACACTGCCTAACATAGACAGTTTCATGTGATTTTCTGTCCAATTAATGTCTCAACAAACACCTGAAATATTTTCTCTTAGTCTCTAAATAACTTTTCACTCAGCTGTTCCGTAGCTATAAGAGCAAACCGAACAATTTTACACTTTGCTAACTTTACAGATAGCTTTTGAATTCACTATACCATCCAAAACATTTGCAATAGTTTCTCTTAATAATTAGAATTTTTAATTCTCTGTTGCAAATTTTTTTTTTCCTCTCTCTTTTTTAATAAGTAATCCTTTCTAATTTGATGTATAGAGGCCATTGAAACAAAGGAAAGATGCATTCACTCTAAGGTTTTTATATAGCATGGCTTATGTGGAGACTCGAGCATTTTTACAATGTTTTTGGACAAAAGGTCTCCTATGCATCTGAGAAGGATCATTCACATGTTTATTCTAAGTTTATTTTGATGGCATGATTTTTTATTAATGCAGGTGCTTTTCTCTCTTCCTTTTTTGAAAGATTCGTACTTCTGCCTTTTTTTTTATGCTTTCCTAAAAAATGTTCTTGAATGTGGACAGTAGTAGACTTGGACACTTTTGCCGGGGTAAATTGAGCATATTTACAAATACTGCATACCAGTAACTTCCTAGCCAATAGAACAATCTGCTCTTTTGGGCAAGTATTGTAAAACTCTGTTTTTAACAACTGTACAACATTTGTAATTTTTAAGATGTTTCTCATCATTTGGAAAGTCTGTTGTATAATCTGAGTCAGTGAGGCTTATTATTTGAGTCGCTATTTTCATTTTTAGCTTGACACCTTTAAATTAAAAACAACCTATGTTTAATCAGTATAAATCATCTGAAAGATGTAAGCCCACATATTAACAGTTAGTCTGGAGCATAGAGGCGAACCTAACATAATCAAAAAACTGACTCATCAGTTTAAAAGCCCTGCAAATGAAATCACACTTTAAGAGAATGTTCTATCTGCATTTTTTCTCTCCTTTCTTCTCCTCATAACTTGCAAGTACACCTTTTTTTACACTGAAAATGAATCCGCTTTTAAATTTTCAAGTCTCAAGTTAAAATTATTTTTTTGTTAGTGGTCAGTCAGGTTTTTGTCCTGAAGAAAAATGCATTAAGATTTGAGCACAATTTTTACAGGACCCTCCAGTGAAGTAAGGATTTTTTAGCACTATTTCAGTGGTCTCACCCCTCCATCTCCCCTTTTCTTCTTAGTGAACCAATTTATATTTTTCCCCCTTACATCAAGTATGAAAAAAATACCCTTATCTGTCATAAATAGTACGAATTAAACTCTTTCCCACAAAATGTATAATTTTTATCTTATTTTATTGAATTATCGTCAAAACACGATAAAGTCTTTTCCTTAGCTTCAGAAGATCAAAGTATTTTATTGTAACATTGATCACCAACATAGGTAGTTTCTATTCATGTCGGTAATCTTTTATTTTGTGTTGACATATTCAAAAGAATGTCTGAAAGCTATTTTTGTAACAAAGAAAAGTCAAATTGTTCTGTTTGTGAAGTTTTTGTTTTTCCTAAGAGCTAGTTCAAATAACCTTCTTGATTAATCTTCTTGTTTAAGCTAAGTTAATTATTTCGTTTTCAACTCGTTGTTTTATTTTGTTGAATTTTCATTTTGAACAAAAGATGCCTCAAATCACAAATATTTTTACTATTAACCTATTTTCTCGGTACTCCTCTTGTTGTGTTAATTTTTCTTGACATGATATTGACTTGCTTTGTAATAATGTCAAACTATTTTTGAAATGCAGTATTAAACTATTTTATCAAAATATCGAAGTAAGAATTAATTTTTGTCATAATATCCTCCATTTTATACGAAGGAACAATGAAGATGACTATTTCCTCGGTGGCTTCAGAAGTTCATTTTCAATCATAAATAGTAATCTATTCAAGCCGATAATCAACTTTCTTCTCTCACATTACTATCCCATCAAAAACATATATATGCGAAAATGTTATGCCAAGTGGAAAATATCAGGAATGATTTATCCCTAAAAATGTAGTGACGTCATCTGAAAGAGCCATATTATTTATACAAGGTTTTTGTCAGGGTTTACGAGTTTGACTAGAGAAATTGTGGGAGAGCAGGAAATAAAATAAGTACACTTGACCAACCTTAATCACCACAATAACACTTAAGCACTAAACACAATGATCCAGGTGGACGGAAAGTCTTTTAAGCACAGTTCAGAAAATATCACAGAAAAGGCGAGAAGTCGAAGAAAAGAGGCAGAAACGGCTGAAGTCTTGAGGCCAAAGAGAAAGATAGAGCCAGAGATCACAAAGAGTCAAAGTCTGGATGGTGGTATATGTCTTTTTTTTCACTCTGCTATGCACAAGGGAAAGGGTAACTCCGTAATAACTGCTCATCTGTTCCGGTTGGAACAGGAACTTCTCTTCTTTTCTGTTGAAAAGGAACTTCAAAAAAAAAAATTGCGGAGTGCCAAGCGCAAAACAGGTTGGTGGAAGTTACACTGCCAGTTGCACGTTGGGGAGAGAGGAATCCGAACCATACCTCCTGCGTAAGTCGAGAAGGCTGGTTTCGGCACCATGTCAGGGTTTACGAGTTTGACTAGAGAAATTGTGGGAGAGCAGGAAATAATTGAAGAAAATGTTTAAAGGGCCGAAAGATGTATTAAGTTGAATTTGGAAGAGAATTACAGATTTACAAAGATTGAATAGTCACACTTAGAGGCTCACAACCTTTCGAAGGAGGCCCCCCGGACCCCCCTCCCCTAGACTTGAGGGGTATTCGATACCCTCCAGACCCCCCAGCAAAATGACCTTGGTATATTAATGGTATTATCACACCAAATGAATCTTCAATTGTATATTGAAATTACCAGGGGTTGCGCCCCCTGATTGCCTCGCGGTCCATATGTCCAATCCCCTGCGAAGACTTTCGTGCCGCAGATTTCGCGAAATTGCATTTTTTCTGCAATCGTTATGCAGTGTCTAAATGGACTGCATTTTGCAATTTGGAACTATAAATTCTGGCTCTTATGGAAAAACACTTATGTGCATAGGGAAACTAATGGCACATACGTTGTTTTTAAACCGGGCTAGAATTTATAGTTCAAAATTGCAAAATGTAGTCCAAATCATCCATCCAAAAACATAATTTGTTTCTGTTTGATCAAAATCGTATCGTTTAGCTTTTGCACGAAACTACGAATCTGAGTCTTGTAAAAATCACGTCTTGAGGGACAGGACCAGGAGCTCAGAACAAGAGCAAAATTTAATAAAGTTTTCCGATATAGGTGGAACTGGCCAAACTACTGCTCCAAGTCGGAGCATGGGACATGGGATATGGAAGATCTTTCTTGCTCCAAGTTGGAGCATCGGAAGAACTTTTGCTCTTAGGTGGAGCACCGGAGGACATGGTTCAAGTTCAAGCCATACCACCATAGTAAATAAACAACTGCTCCAATTTAATTAAGTTAGTCATGGTCAGTTGCAGAAAACTTCATATTTTCAAACCGACAACTATTTCTTGTCTCATGCATTTTCTGTGTCATGAACAAGATGGACGGCAACCCCTTAAAATCAGGGATTTGGGGATACTTCCTCGGAAACATTAAAATTAATCATCTCTGTTTAGCAGTAACAACTTGTGCTGCCTACCGTGCAAACCTGAACAACAAGCATTTCAACATGTCCGAATTGTTATTGCGAATGCGAAGTGTCATTATTCTCTGACGTGATGATTGGATTTAGCTAGTCTAGACTTAGTTTTTTTCCCCTTGCAATCCTTTGAGTCGAATCCCTAGTGGCCATTTTAGTGAAATTGTGATGGGCGCTAAATCTAGCACAGCGAATGGGGACGATTCTAGTGCAAGGGATAGGACTTTTTCAACTAGCAGCAGTTCAGATGTCTCCGTCGTTACGGGCAGTGGCGGGCTTAGTTTGCTACGTTCTTTGCCCAGCGTAGTCTCCAGTGACAACCGGCAGAGGGCTAGATCCTTATCCAGTGTCCCAGATAGTCATGAAAACATAGGTGTAACCAATCGGAATGATGGCAACTATAACATCTCAGAGTCACCCGAGACAGATAGCAGCTCCGCAGAAGATCATGTGCTAGACAGCCCGATCTCAGCAAACATTAGTCTTGGTCGAGTTTACGCAGCACAGTCTCTACCTTCTCACATATGGTCTTGGAACGGTGAGTCTCACTATGCGCATATCAGTCATTTACGGGAAGGAAGATGCGAAAAAAGCAGTGCAGACTGTTCACTGCGGTACAGGAAGATTTTAGAAGACATGATGTGCACTCTGTCCGAAGTGAACTGTCATTTATAGGCATTTGCTACTCACTGACCATTTTGCTTTACTGTTTGTCTGCTACTATTTCAACTCCTAGTTCAACTCTTCAGAGTGTGTATGCAGCATTACTTATTACTCTTGATCAACTTGACGAAATCGCACTGAGTTCAGCTGTCAAAAAACCCAGAAGTGTACAAGATTATTGGCCCTTCCATTGGTTCCAACCATTAAACTGTTCAATCCATTTACAGAAGTACGATAGTGGCTTGTTTGTTTTCAAACTAAGGCCAAAACCCCTGTTCTTAGCCCCCTCCCCTGACAAAAAGCTTTCATCCCCGCATCATTTGTATTTTTTTTTGCTCCGAGATTTGATTAAGCAAATGTACATTTTATTTATTTATATTTTTAAAAGAAAAAATGTTTACAAGATATGAAACGGCAATATAGTGCCATTTAGTCATGCCATTGAGCATAGCTCATACATAGTTTGTGTCGACGGCGTAAGTTTGCAATCAAATATCTTGTTTGCGGCGTCTGAAAATCTCCGCCTTAACGTTACTTTTTTGAAGGATAACAAATTGACATCATTCCTCTAAGTTTTTGCAGAATTTTCTTCGCACAGAGAGGAAAAATCACAGCAGTTTTAAAGAGTTGCAGTTGAGTAGTTTTCCGTTTACAAAATAAAGTATGACAAGAAGTCTGCGAAATCGGAAACTGAGTTATGTGATTGCCGACTTACACTGTTGATATGTGTCACTATTATGTGCTAGTCTATGTCATAAGTATCTCTATGACCACAGAGGAAAAAAAAAGGGGTGAAGTGTTTGTTAATGCATAGGGTAAGTAGCTGGTGTTAGGTTCGTAATTTTTTACAGAAGAATATTGTGCAGCTGACAACAAGCAAACTGCAGCAATTTAGAAGTCACTCTACTTTCCTATTCTGCTGCATGGTTATGCTGACCACCTCTTAAGCCAAATCCAGTTGACTATAAAGTAACAGCCTTGAAAATCATCTCCTTAGATTCCTCTGAAAGTTGTAGTGCATTAGGCAATGAGAATTATTGCCAAAAATAACAACCAATATCTAAATGGATTTTTTTCCCTGAGTAAAATTTGTACTTCATTTCACAGGTTTAAAGTGTCCTGTTTGCTCCAAGTTTGTTCTCCCAGACGACATAGAATGCCACCTTGTCATGTGCCTAACCAAACCTAGATTAATTTATAATGGTGAGTTGGATTGATATTTTTTTCTTAGATTTGCCAAAATTTGCATAAGTTCTTTTGATATTTTTAAGGCTGGGATATGCCGAGCAAACTGTAATAACTTGTGTGAGTCTGACCCATGTCTGATTGTGAGACCTGTGAGTTCGAGTGTCAGTCAATAAATAGTTTCTTATGACTCCCAAGGGATGAAGTTTTTCCTATAAATGTCCTTGAAAAGACATTTCAATTCAATCCTTTTGGAGTTGTCCATTTATCTCTCGAGGTCAACTTTTTCATGATACAATAATATGTGGTGATTATGTACCATAGGGAATGAGAAACTAATTGAAGTGTTATGAGAGTTAAGCGCACTTTTTGAGGAGAAAGATCCCTGCACTCATCACAATACCACAGTTTCAGGGTCTGCGTTTGAGCTCTCAAGAAAAAAACTGCTCTTTAAATCATTAAGAGTGTCATCTAAATTAATGTCAAACAATGTCTATGAAATCACTTCTTTTATTAACCTTATCGGTCATATTTATCAAATTTTTGTAGAACCTTTTTCTCACCGATTTTCCAAATTGTTGATGCTTTTACACTGCGGCCGTTTCGAGCAACCGCTTATTGTTGGGTGTTTAAAAAATTTGTAAAAAAACTAAAATTATGGTACGCTTTCGCGATCGCGAGTAGTTCAATGGTTTCTGTGTTGGTGATGTGACTATCCAAGTCGTGTCCAAATAGCAAACTTGGACGAGGAACCCGAACGACTACTCTTGATCGCGAAAGCCTATCACAATTTTAGTTTTTTTAGAAATTTTTAGAGACCTGACAATGAGCGGTCGCTCGAAACGGCTGCAGTGTAAAAGCATCAACAATTTGGAAAATCGGTAAGAAAAAGGTTCTACAAAAATGTAATGTCTATGAACACTTATCAGGCTTTGTTCTTCTCCTGTAATGTCTCATAAACAATGAAATCTTTATTTTGCAGAGGATGTCTTAACAGATGATAAAGGGGAATGCGTGATTTGTTTGGAAGATTTAACTGAAGGGGACACCATTGCCAGGCTGCCTTGCTTATGTATCTACCACAAAAGGTTGGTGCCTGTTTCCGTTTCCTTTAGGTTTTTGTGTATTAGATAGATCTATGGATAACATTTAAAAATATATTGCATTAGCATTGCAGAACATGTTGAGCTTTTATCATTACCTACACAAAGAACTATTACTCCCCAATTTAGGAAAATGATGGAAATTTTTCCATACCGATGACTCTGACTTTAGATTGACTTACGTCTGAAACAAATTCATTGTCTGGAAAAGTCCTATTTTTAATGAACGATTCTCATAATCTTCATATTCACGCTGACTAACCCTGCACTACTAGCACTACTAGTAAATCCTGAAAATAGAATCCTTTCTTAAATTCATATAAGTGAGTAATTCATTTTTTTTTTTTTTCTCAGTTGTATTGACAAATGGTTTGATGTGAATCGATCATGTCCAGAGCACCCTGGTGACTAGAGGGCCCTGGATTTGTACAAAAATATGCTATTGTCACAAGACTGGTCACATTCGCGACGCAACGTTCGGCACTCTGCACAAGCTCAAAAAGGAGACTTGAAACTCTCTTAAAATGGAAGTCTTTGCTCAACAAAAGCTCATCAATCGGCCAAAATCGTTCGGCCCGCTGGTTTGAGGATTTATTGATTCATCGGTGAGGTCTAAATTAGCCTTTCATTTTAAGTATGTGGAGAGTGCTTCAAAAATTTCCAACGAGGAACATCATTCACCCATGGGAGTATCACCATCAAAGACCAACAACTCCTTTGGTAACCAAAAAATTGCATTTTATTCTTAGGTGAATTTTCACTCCATTTCTGAGTTTTTTGTTCAATTTCGTGCTTTCAAATTGTGTTTGCTTCAAGAAAAAATTCAGAACCTATGGTAGAATTCCCTCGGAATTTGAAGATTGTATTTGTCTCTTGAAAACCTCATAAATTTCACTGTGGTATAGACCTCTGGCATGCCCCAGGAATTTGCAATCCTTGGCAATGGTGCCACCAAATACCTCCCGAATGAACTGATAAGCTGAAAGAAACCATTCAAAGTTAAGGCTTTCATGGAGGGAATCTTTGACGGTTTGAGAGTCTACCTCTGTACCCAGTCAAACTCTCCATATGAAGTTCGAGATCAAATAGATCACTAGGGTTGCCGTTGCTGCAAGCTAAAAATTTACCATTTTGACCCTCAGAGTTCCCACACAAGATTGCAACCCTGCTGGTGTATTTGCTCCCCATTTGCTTATAATGTCAGACTAGGTGAGTCCTCTCATCATGCCAGGCATCTCCTCCAACTTTTATAAGCTCTCTGAAAGTTTTTTTTAAGCCTGAATGGTCATTTTTGCAAAAATGCTTGTCACAATTGCGTTACTCACAAAATTTTACATGAGATGAGGTATTTATATTACAATTCTTAGTGGCGTGTAAGAGCTCTAATCTAGCATCAATTTTTTTTCAAAACTGCCCGTAAAGTGTGTCTCTGTCGACTTCACTAAAGAATTCATAGAATTCAGAAATAGATCTTGATCCATGTAATTTTGTGTACAAAACCAAGTATCTTGATAAACTGTCATCATCATCCGAATGTTTTACTTTTTGATCAGAGTATGTAAGAAAATTTTCTACGCTGTTAATGCTTTACTAGCACAACTGTAAAAACAAGCACTCATATTATCCTGAGAGCCAGTGTGGCTAATGTACACAAAAGCAGATGACGCTAGAACATGTTCAAAATTGTTAAGTTTTTTGCGCTCTGCAAACTGTGGAATTTTATCATATTTTAACCTCCAGTTAATCAGTTCTATGACTTTGCCATCAAGGACCATTTCTACGTCTCATGATGCCAAGATTCTAACATTCATAATGAATTCAACTTGTGTTTCCCTTGAATATTTTTCTCTATAATTCAACAAATATTTACATTGATTGTGTCTGAGGTAAAAAATAAGTATCCAAGTTTGAACGATCTTTTAGAGAAATGTTTTAATCCTTCACTTACTATTCAGGCATTTTGAACGCAGTATGGAGTATGAGGATACTATTTGTCAGTATGTTCTGAGACACAGCCTTAAAATTAAGCCTATACATGAACACAAGGAATATTAAACGCAAATTACAATTGAATCACATTTAACAGATATTATGAGAAACAAAGAAAAGAAGGTTCCAGCCAGGATATATTGGCAGCCTCAAATATATTGATCTTACAGGGTGAATTTAGTCTTAAAATTCATCCATGTTTCTTGACTATACATATTTTTGGTTCAAGCAAAATATGCTAGATCTGTGATCACTTTCAATCCTAGTATTGCAAAAACTTTGCCACTCAACAGGAAAAGATGGTCCTTGGTTGCTTGGATGTGATCAAAATAATTTCACTTCATACAAAGGTAAAAAATTTAGATTTACTCCGTAGAATCACAAATATGCTGATCATTATGTTTTTAATATGTGCTGTTGTTGTCTAAAAATATCAAAGCATCAGTAAAACACTGAAAAATGAATATTCACAAATGAAAAATTCTCTCGCGAGAGCCCCTATGGGAAAATTTATTTTTGTTTAAAAGAAAGAGAAGTAACAGCCTTAGCAATTCAAGTAAAAGCTGTTGTTTATGCGAAGGCTGTATACATGTATACAAATGTGGGTTCTTCCACCATAGTGAAATTGACGTAGCAGGTGACAAATACTTGGAAAAACTTTCAGTGCGCATTAGATTTTTAAACCACCAAACAGGAAATAACTTCCAAATTAATATGTAGAGTCAGTGGTGCACATTAAGTATATTCAGATTTTATGTTTGAAGTCGGGTGTTTGTCCTTTAACTTAGGCATAAAATAATGAACCACTAGACAAGTATGAACTAAAGCATTATAATTCTTATTTTTTAATCAAAATTTAACAAAGAATTTGATTCGGATAGTAAAAATCGCTTCAATTAACTTTTAATTAAGATATTAACGTTTTCAGTCAACATTGGTCATAGGAAATGTGAGTTGCCCGCCCACAAGAAAAACATCACTGTTGGTGAGTCTTATCGCTGACTACAACAGATGTGGCAGGCTTCTTAATGAAGCAGTGTTCCTCTCCTACCATGTGTTGTGTACAGTGTAAACGACATGCAAAAACTGAACCAAAGTGGTAGGATTGAGGTTGTCATATTTTCATGCTGCAGAGACTATTATGGGAAAGTTTAGTGTGTGCTTTGACTTATATAAAGTTTTGTTTTTTCAAGAGCGGGAGGTTTGAGTTTACGCATTGAAAAACCTTGAGTATCTCAGATAGGAGTTAATTTAAGCAATTTTCACCGCTCAAATCGTGTTCTATGTCAAATTTTAAGTAAGAGAAATGAATCAGAATGCTTTAATTTGTTCATTTTCTTGCAGTTCATTTTGAAAAGCCATAAAGGAGATAGGGCTGAAGTAATTCCAGAAAGGTTTTTTATACTGTTTCTCAAAAGAGCACAAAAAGTGTCCGTATGGACTCATGGTCTGGGATAATTCTCTATCACTTTGGAGCTCTCTAAAGAGGTCTCTGTCTGTAATCTAAACCGATTATCATTTAATTAGTGTCACAACATCTTCGAATCTTCTCAGGCTCTGTCAAAAATGATCGTCGGCAATTTAAATCAAGAAATCATTATTTGTTCAATATTTAGAGTCTCATAATTTGCAAATTGACAAAAATTCTCTGGATCATATCTATTGTCATTCACTTTAAAATTGCATTTCTCATTGATTTTTGCAGGAAAATTTGTTAAGATTTGCATTGATAACTTTCTACGAATTCTTAGACCAATGAAACAGCTGAAATTAGTGAAGAAGGCGAAAAAGTTAATAGACAAATTTCACAACAATTGGATTTTTATTATAAAAGGCTCGGGGATTGAAATCATCTAAGGTAAAGGTATCTTTCAATTTTAGTCCATCATTCATTGGTTGCTGAAGCTAAAGCAGGAAAGCCACAGGAAGCAGCTCAATTTTGGTTCACAATCTGTAAAATTTTTCAACCTCTGAGCCTTGCTAATTTTGTGCAGATTTTTATTTTTCCAGTAAATAAAGTCTAGTTCATACGTTAGGCAGTGACATTAGAGCCCTACATAGAGTGCATCAGTTGGGAAAAAACAAAGAAATCAAATGTAAAAATCAAGTATCAACTGAGCGTCAAAAACATGTGCAACTCGATTATTATTTTAGTAAGTTTACTATTCTTCATTAGCTATTCGACTTACATGAAAGGAAGAAATGTCAGAAAATCTATAAGAAACTTAAGCTTTGAAGATTTGATTCACGATTCATATTTGAAGCAAAGTTGCTCACAATTGGATGGGTGGATGGTGGGACCTAAAAAGTCTTATTGCTTTGCAATTGCCTTTGAAGAAACATCTGTATTTTTTTTCTTTTTTTTTTACTATGTAATAATATTAATTATTTCAAAAATAAATTTTCACCATTTACTTTATTTGCAAATTGCAATCTAAAAGCATACGAAGATTTTAAACCAGAAAACACAAACGAAAATAATGCTACTTCTTGCAATTGTTACTTTCATGCTTTAAAAATTAGAAAGTCACAAGTTTTGAGTCAGCTGTGAAATGAAAAAGGTGGCAGTGTGCCTGCATCCATTTGGCATATGTTAATTTTTAAGAAAGGATAATGTAATATTGTATGGCTGTAACTGGGAGTGCTGTAAAGTATGTTCTGTTGAATTATTGTGATTTTATTTAGTTCTTTATTTCCACCCTATTGAAAGGGAAACTACGAACAAAGCAGGACTCATCTCTGCAACGTGTTTTGTTGCAAGTAGTGAGGAACACAACTTTGTTATAGTTATTTCTGTTTAATATTTTTACCAGTTAAGAAGACTGTTCAACGAGATTTGTTGAACGCTTTTGAATAAAACATTGACATTTTGTTTTTAATCCTATCTTTTTCATTCAGTCAGTCCTCATTAATTTCATAATATTAATCGTAATACACAATTTAATGTTGGTGGGTTAATATTTCTAAATGGATTAGCCTGCTATATTTGAACTGACAACTCACAGTCTCTGCAAATTTTTAGACCAGAATCGGAGTTGTTGCAACAGGAATAAACTAGAAACAGCAGGTGAGTAAGGAGTAGTTCAGCTCTGTGCGGACAGAGCCCATATGGATCCTTAAATAGTTGCATTTTCCGCTAAAAGAAGGGGCTGAAGCCAAGGTTTGGAGATACATGTTTTGGGGAACTATAAGCCAGAGATGCAAGTTTACATTTTTCGTTGTGTTTTAAAGCAACTTCCTGACTTTTTTCGGCCATAATCTCCAGAAGGCAAATAACATGTATCCTGCTAGTATACAATTTTGTAGCTAATTCAAAATCAACCTAAATGGAGGTATTTATTTTTAATATGTCATCTGCGTTGTAGGAATATTACCTACCTAATCGGTATTTTTCAAACATTGACATAAAGATATGCTCCATTAGAATTCAGTCCCCCGATTGATGCTCTTCTTTATACAATCGTGGCAATTATGTGACCGCACTAGAAATGAAAATTCTCCAAAATGAATTTAACCTTCCATGAAATTTCAATGATTTTTCAGAGGCTACATATTCAATCTGCAACAATTATACGAGAATTAGACAAGATATGGCACAGTGTCATGCTACGAAATGAAACACTTTCTTTTCTTTTTTTTGGAACTAAGATTTTACTGTTTGCATGTGTTTCGCTGTTTATCGGGTTCGATCACTGCCCAAATTTTAAAAATTGGACGAAATTGCGTAAAACTGCAAAATTCCGCATTATAAATATTCGTGAAAATTTGCATCGCCGGACTCTGCAACGCTGGTCGTGACGTCATAGAGTAACTTTTGCGTGACCTTGATTGCCATCGGACCATGCGTTCTGCCACCTGATAAGTAAACAAAGTCTGTCACCATGGTAACCGTCGAGTGTTTGTAAACAAAACCCATTTCCCGAAGTAAGGGAACTTCATTGACGTATAATACAATCTAGACCGCGCATTACGAAATTCAAGCGAGACGATAGGCAACCCAGCAACACACAGCAAGTGTACCGGCGAGACAATGGTGGAATTCGTGGAAATGCTAGTCTTGCCAGTGCCGTTGCCTGATACGGGTACACTTAGCTCGTATATCCGGCGGTATCAACTAGGCTGAAGGCGCGTCTTTACCCCCCTAGCTGTCTTACCTTCCCCGCCCAAAGTCGGGCCCAATGCGCGGTCTAGATTGTATTATACGTCAATGGGGAACTTCTTTTACATTTCCTTCTTTCGAAGTTCATTAAAGGTCTGTTCGAATATGCTTATATCTACTCTTCTTGCGGCCAACTAGAGAAATGTGTGATCTTAGGAATGTTGGGTTCCAGACTATTTCCATTTTCACTTTCTAATCTCTGCTTCTAGCCTTGCTGTAAGGGAAATGCAATTGAAACATCTAACTTCCGTTTCACCAGCTCTGGTAAGCTAGCTTTGCTCAAATTAATCTTTGCTTTTAGTCAGCTTTTCAGTTCAGCTCAGCTTTAGTCAGAGATTTAACCAGCAAAAAAAATCTGAGAACAGATAACACTAAACTCAAAATTCTAGAGTGCGCAAGCTCTCATACTTATATAAAAAAAAATTGAAAAAAAAAAAAAAACCTGCCAAAGCTTGGGATCTCTATGAAGTACTAAAAATCTATGTTTACTGGTGAATTGGATTGCCGATATGCATCAGGCATTTCACTTATATCACAACAACCAACTCAATAATAAATTCATTCTTTTTGACTAACGTCTATTTTTAAGAGTTAGTGTTAGTCCAAATTGTGCATCAAGTACACTTGTATGTTAAATGAACATATTCCTATCAAATAGAACTTTGTGTGCTGGTGGAAAAGATAAGGTGTGCTCGTTAGTCAAGGGCCGTAAGAATGAACGGGAGCGGCTGATGACAGAGTCGAAGAGCGACGATCTGAGGCATTAACTCATGAGCCCTGTCTGCCACTCTTTAGACACATATCGACGGTGAAACTACCAAACCACGTATCTCGGTTTGCGACGTCGCAGACTTCCTGTCATACTTTATTTTTTAATTGAAAAACTGCTTAATGTCCAGTCTTGAAAATTTCTGTGATTTTTTCTCTTTGTGCGGAGAAAATTCTGTGAAAATTTCAAGGAATGATATTGATTTGGTCCACTTCAAAAAAATAAAATGCGAGCGTAGATTTTTAAACACCGCAAACGAGATACGTGGTTTGGTAGTTTCACCGTCGATATGCCCATGGCTCATGAGTCCTGCATAGAGCACTTAGATCTGTTCGGCAAAATGTGAAATCCCCCTTTTCTAATTCAGCAAACGGTAGGTACTATGTGCCACCTGTATGGGAGACTCAAGAGCCGTGAGCATGTTACAAGAGCGTTGTAGACAGAGCTCATGACCCAATGTTTCAAATCACCACCCTTTGGCTCCGTAGTCGCTGCTCTTGTCACTGACGCTTTATAATTACCATTCATTCTTACGGCCCTCAACTGATGAGAACACCCCATCTTTCCCACCTGCACATATAGTTCTGTTGCGTAGAAATACAACCAAGTATGAGTGTTGGTGTTGAAGATGCATTTGGTGTACTGAAGAATGTTTTTCTCATGATGCTTTTCACATGAACTATAGTGCAGTCTTATCATGGATATTACAGTTGGTAATTAGTAATTCTGATTTATTAACCAGACTTTGTAATTCATTGTGTTCTCAGGAAGCTCAATCTAGTGTACTAGCAGTGGCATGGTCACCGAACAATCTGAAACTAGCCATTTGCAATAATGATCGCATCATTTACCTCTATGATGACAAAGGTGAAAAGAAGGACAAATTTCCAACTAAAGCTGCTAGTTCTAAGGTTTGTTAAATTCAAAATAAGCCTGTACGCACCCATCTTAGTATCTTTTGTCTTGACAGCCAAATTACATATGGTGCTCAGATCAGGGGTGGCCTTTAGGAGTATCTTGGGCGGAAATACTCCCTTTGCCTCAAATCAAAGTTAGAGACAGACATGTTGACATTACATCATAGGCTTGCTATCATTGGCATGCTTGCTTTTGTAAAATAGTAATACTTATTTCAAAGGGGAAATACGCAATAAGAGCAAGGCATTCCCTCTCAGCACTATTTGATGCCTTGGGGCGACACAACAATCAAGAAAACAACTGCATACACATTGCAAGTCTAATTGCAGTGTCTGACAATCTCAGTCTCTATTTTATTTTTCGACATCATTCCTGGAAATTTTCGCAGAATTTTCTTTGTAGAGAGAGGAAAAATCAAGGCACTTTGTTAGAATTGCGGTTGAGTCGATTTCCATCTAAAAAATGAAGTATTACAGGAAGTCTGCAATGTCACAAACACAAGCCAAGACACGTCGTTGCGAACTTGCACTGTCGATAAATACTCAAAGGAAAAAATTCATTCATAGCAAATTTTCCCTTTCACAGCTGGGTTGTTTATTACCAAGTAGGTTCAACTGACCGTCAGAGAGGAATCTTGACAGTTCATTTTGTGGTTTAGTAGATTAATATTGATTGATTTTTCTCCCCTGTATCAGTATATTTTCATGATTTGAAAGGGTACTGGGGTGCTGATCAGTTTCTTGTCATTCTATTGGATGATGAAGTTATATCGTTTTAGTTTTTGGAACACCAGTCAATCGAGCTGGTGCTGAGCTAGACAGAAGCTTGACACTCGTGGAGGTGGCCTTGGAGGCCATCAGTCAGGCAGCATTTGGCTCAAATAGTCGTAGCTGTCCAGATATAGTGGACGCGTGGTTTGAATCACCCTGAATTTTATGCATAAGTGACGAAGAGACAATATTCAGCTAATTTGAAAGAGCTTCCACAAAAATTGACTGTTTACACATTTCTTTTGTCTTGCCTGACAGTCTCTAAATTTCCAGCAATATTTCCATGTAAAATTGGTTTTTCAGAATGGGCGAAAGAGTTATACAATCAAAGGACTGGCATTTTCGCCGGATTCTACAAAGCTTGCAGTCGCTCAATCTGACAGCATTATTTATGTCTATAAACTTGGAGAGGATTGGTAAGTGAATATGCATGTCATGTATGTTTTTTTGTTTTTTTTTTTTCATGTAGAATATTCCAAGTTTTGTTCGAGTTTGTTTTGTTTTTAAAAGCTTTAAAATTATCTTACCTATGTAAAAAGCATAAAGGAAGAAAAAGTTGATGACAATCAGTCTCTGCAGAATTTAAGCAGTTGGTTTACATGAGGTCAATCTTAGTAATTTTATAACTATTATATTTTCAATTTAACAATAAAATCTGTTAAGTTGAAGTTCATTACAATCGTCAGACTGAGGAATTAACTTAGAATCAAGATTTCAACAACTTAAAATTTTCCTAAATCATTCATCCCTGCCATTGATGATGAGTTTGCAATGGATAATAAAGAAGAAATAAGAAAGGATGGGTATTTGGAGCATGCAGCTTTCATCACCCACACGCCCTTCATTCAAGCGCAGCCCGAAAAGGTCTTTCCACAGATGAAGTCATGGAAATAATTTCATCCCCACAAATGTCAAGCTAATGCATAAACTCAATGTGAATAAGGTCAAAAAGTATGAGAACGTCAGATAAATTTTCTCACATTGATGGTCAAAGTGTGAAAGCACATATCTCTGTTTGCGCCATTGCAGACCTCCAGATCATACTTAATTTTTTCTTTAGAAACCTAGTCAAAGTAATTTCTTGAAAACTTCTCTGATTTTACTTCTCTTTCAGCAAAATATTCAGTAAAAATTTCCAGCCGTCAAGTCGGCTTTTTTCTCTTTGAAAAAATAAAATAGGAGCAGAAATTTTGAAACACTGCAATGGAGGTACATCGTTTCACACCTTGGCCTTCAATGTGTTGTTGCATTCAGCGGTCACAGATTTCACTGAAAAAAATTAACACTAACTGGAGCAAATCAAAATCTGACCGGCAATACTTTAACTTCTCTAGATTTTATATTGTGCAAAATCTCTTTTTCCTCATTCGTCATTTTACTGAAGAAATATTCTGTCCCTTACTGAGTCCCAATTTTTCTGTTTCAAACTTTGCAGGTCCGACAAAAAAGTCATTTGTAACAAGTTCTTGCAACAGAGTCCAGTAATGAGTCTTTTATGGCTATCCGAAGGTCCTATTATTTACGGCCTGCTTGACGGAAAAGTGAAGGCTGCGCACATCAAGGCAAATAAATTGCAATCTCTTTATGCAACAACATCTTGCATCGTGTCACTGGCTTCTAAGTTTGTATTTTTACTCTCTTTCTTCCTTGCCTTTCTCATCCTCTCTCTCAGGTTGTTCCACTAACATACCTCAATCTCCGAACATGCGAGAAATAACACAAAAAAAAATTGTCCGAAACCGTAGTAGAAAAAATCTGAGACACGTTAATTTTTTTTGGGAAAACAGTTTTTTCTATATTTGTCAAGTCAATCCTGCTTGCAAAGGAACTATAGTCTACTTGAATCAAATTGGCAAGAAAATTGATTTCAGTGTTTTTTACAATGGAATTTCTAAATTTTTTTATTTTCTTTTTATACTCTTATCTTATTTTATTTTTTATTATTTTATATATCTATATATATTTTTTATTTTATCTATTTATTTATCATTGATTAAATAAATGATCGTAAATGATCATATGTGCATTGTTTTATTATCTTTCAGTTTACGCGGAACTGGATTTCTCTCCGGTCATGCAGATGGTAGTATTGTAAGGTACTACATCTCGGATGATTCAAGCATGGAAGCTCAGGTAAAAGATTTAAAAACCTCCAAATTTATCATGATTTGCAAATAATCTCATAGAAGGGAAGTGTCTCAAATCAGTCGAGGAGCACAGAGAAAGGAAGCAGTCAGTCACATCAGGCCATTTCAAATAGTGGAAGTTCTGAATTTTCTGGACAGTATGACTCAAAATTTTAGACAGAAGTTTTTCTTCTTGCTGGAACAATCACAAATGATCAAGACCTCAGTTCTTTGAAAAAGCAAACTTAAAAGGTCCGATGATTTGCACATCATCTGATATGTCTTATTTCTATCTCTTCCTTAATCCCTCAGTTGTTACGTACATGTATATGTAAAGAAATCTCAATGCTTTAATTATGAAACAGTATTGTCTCAAGCCTCCTTCTTTCTTGAGCTTTTGATCCCTACAGCTGCTACTTAAGATTGATAAGACCTGACACATTCTGAGGGAGAAAGGAATATTGGCACCTCTATAATAAATCGATTGAAAAACGAAAGAGTATTTGACCTGCAAATATTTGTCTCCATAGTTTTAAGACCTAGGAAAACGATATTCACATTAATTTTGCCAAAAAAATTACTGTAATGGAAATTTCTAGACTGACATCAGCCCAAAGCTGAAGTAGATTTATCTATAAACTCTATGTTTTTAGCCATTGTGCACATATTTCAAAATATTCTCTCATTCTGAGGAAACATTACCTCTGAAGAATAGTTTTTCACCAGAGATCTGGAACAAGCACACTGTTTGATCCGACTTTAGTCACGACCAGTCAGGAAGGCACTCCTGGATGCGGTTAGATGCATTTCAAATCTTTTTGGACCCATCATCAGCCAGACCCGGGACGCGGCCCCAGTTGCCTTTCTAATTAGTTGTAATCTGTGTTATACCAAATAGTAAATCTTTGGAGGAAAAATATTTGTAAAGGGTGATGCTCCCTCTTAATTTTTTGAATGTTTCAATGTATGCTTGCCTGTCAAAAAATCTACAGTTTGTGTGACTTGTGCGCTCAAACTGCTCATGTTACGCAGGATTGATTTATTTTTCCGATTTCCAGGGGCGGATCCTTATTCATCGTGTGGCACCTTACGTATTAACATGGCCTCTTGGTGGATGGATTCTGGCAGGCGGATCTGATCATAGCATTTGTGTCTTTAATGGAAACAATGGCCAGTTGGAGAAAACTTTCGATTACTCATCCCCTCAGTTAAACGAAAAAGACTTTTCTGTAGCATGCTGTAGCCCTAGTGGTCAAGCTGTCATTGTTGGGGGATTCAACAGGTACTAAATAAGTTAAGAAACATTCTTAAGAATATTTCAAAGTAAAGACAAAGTAGTACAGAAACACCGCTAGAACGGTCATTATGAAAATTAATGGCTGAGGAGGGAAGTTAAGTGACTGGCAAAACACATTGCTCAGGAGTTGTTATGCAAGCATATTTGCTCTTTTAAAAAATTTAAGCTCAATGTAACCAAGCAATCCTTTCATAATAAACTGAGCGGGTCACACCATTCTGTAAAGGGTGTGAATTGTGCACCAAATTATATTGCGGATTTAAAAAAAACTGGAAAAATTCCATCCTCGTTGCCATATGTGAGAGATGCAAAGAGCAACAGGCACGAAAATATGATACATATAGTATGTTGCGAAAATACGAGATGTAATAACAGGCAGGCAACTGGCGAGGCCCAAGCTCAGACAGATCTGACAGAAACAAACCAGAGCCAATGAGGAGCAAGGATTAGAAGGCACCATGACAACTGGCAAGAGCTGCTAACCACACACACTCCACTCCTTTCCTCAGCCACCTCCTTTCAAAGTGCAAGGATTTAAAGCAAGAACTTTGTGAAACTACTCTAAAGGATACATTATACAGTGGCCGCTCGCTAATTCGAAACTCAAGGGACCGAGCGTTTTTTTCGTATTAACGGGTTTTCGAAAAATCGAAATTTCGAATTATAGAGAGCGGCAACAAGGAAAATTCGAATTAACATTGTTCTCAAGCAGCTCTTTAATTCGAAGTAATGGGCCCAAAACGCTCTATAATTCGAACTTATGGGACAATAGGAAAATAAAAATATGTATGTACGAGTTTTTTAAGGGCGAGAACAGGGACCCACCTCTCACTAGAGTGGGGTTTTTATTACATATGAGAAATTGTACATGCGAAAGCAAAAAAGAGAGCTCGAAAAATAAAATTGCAAGAGAAAATGCAAAATTTACGCACCCACTTTCACTGGCACACAATGCAATACATACTGGATAATCAGCTCATCTTCAGAGATGTCAACAAAGTCATTCGTTAGTCTAATCTCCCATGCCGGGCAAGCTTTTAGATCAAAACAACACCGCCGCGACAGATTTCGAATTACAGAGCGTTTCGGTCAGGCTCCTTCGAATTATAGAGCAGTTTGCTGAGCCGCTTAACCGCTGAAAAATTCGAATTAGCGAGGGGAGACAAATACATTGATTTTTTTCAAAATAAAGGGATTTTCTCACGGGGATCGACTTTGCCTTCGAATTAACGAGATTTTCGAATTAACGGGTTTCGAATTAGCGAGCGGCCACTGTAAAAAGACAGCAACTAATGTATGCAACTTTTTCTAAATTTCAGAGTAAAATTTTCAGTCTGAAGACAATTTTAATCAAGTTCAATGAAGTGAAGATTGCTTAATTAAGAGACTACATAGTTCCTTAATAACCATAGAGGACAATAGAGTCGCAATGCACTGGAGCGCTGATGAAGTCAATCCATGAACAGACCATTCCAAGCCCCTTGTTTGCCGGAAAGTGGGAACTACCTGGGAATCGTTCGGCATTTTTTAACATGGCGGCTTATGGGAGAATCGCAGGCTGCAAGTGGTTTTCGGGATTTATTCATTTAAATCAATCATTATCTCCGCGAGTTTTGGCAAATTGCGTTCACCGAAGTCATAACAAATTAAAAAATGTACAACACTCCCGGTTTTTATGTATGAAATGAATTTTATACCTGTATTTTCTGAGCGAAGACTGGAGCAGGGGCCCCGCGCATACAGCATCGCCAGTTGCCGCACACTAGTCTCAGGAGTACTGGAAAAAATAGCCTCAAAAAGTAACTTCATCAACTTAACATTGCGACTCTATTGTACTCTATGTTGCTAACACATTTTACTTGCTACTTCTGTCACCTGTAAACCCCATGCGACTATCGATTAATGTATTGAAATAAATTTTGAATCTGGTTATGTGTGTTTCAGAATATACATGTTTGTCTGGTCTCCAAATAAAAATGTATGGGAAGAAAAACAAGTAAAAGAAATTCCAAATCTCTACAGTGTAACAGCACTTGCATGGAAGAGAGATGGATCCAGGGTTGCATGTGGAAGTGTTTGCGGGGCTGTTGATATCTTTGAGTCAGTTTTGAAGTAAGTTAGTTCTTTTCAGTTCTTGAGTTATTTGCCATTCTACTTTATTTCAACTAGAAAACGTATACATAGTTTGAACTCTGTATAATTTCACCATTTATGACACACTTTCATGGTTTCAAGGAAAAATAGGTTTCCACTATACTTCGTAAGAGGCCCAGTAAAAAACCTCAAACCTGCCAGGTGTAAATGTCAATTTTAAATTATTTCTGGCAAGAGTGTCCTGCTTTGGTCCATTCAGAAGTAGTAGAAATGGAATTGTAAAAAGAAGAAAGAGGAAAAACTCTCTGCAGGGACAACAGAGACTTACATCAATCATGAGAAATATTTTATTTGAAAAATAAGTACACACACTTTCTTTTTTAAGTGTGAGCACAACTCAGACTCTAAGGCATAAAACTGTTGATTTGTGATTTATTCAGACAAAATTGCATTGTCGGAACTATTTTGAGAGTGGTAAGGGAAAAAATTCAATTTAATGGTTCGGATTTTGAAGAATTGAAAATACTTAGTACGTATCTGTCAAAAGTCGTCCTCTGCTTTTGACGTGTTTTCTCAATTCATAGTTCTGATTAATTTCATTATAATTTTTTTTTTTTTTTTTTTTTTTTTTTTTTTTTTTTTTTTTTTTTTTTTATATATGTTTCTCAACAGAAAAATGGTTTGGAAAAACAAATTTGAGATGACCTATGTTGGTCTTAGCCAAGTATTAGTGAAACCGATAAACCAGGATGCTCGAGGAGTAATTTTGAAGTCTCAGTATGGCTATGAAATCGATGATGTACGTATAGTTGGAGGTGACAGGTGAGTTTTAAATTCACTCCCCCAAGACTCTAAAGTCCGTGCCCTATTGTGAAGTATCTTCCTTAATACCCCAATTGCCAATCTGAAGAAGTTGGATCTAGATCTTAACCATGATGCTAATGGCTTTCATGCATTACACATTACTACAAAGTTAGGTTCTTCTCTCAGGGCATTCTTTTATAATTCAAAAGTTTTGCTTAAAATTTAATTCCTCTTTAAACCGCCTGCCCCTCCCCCATGCCTCACCCGCCAAATGGCCAGGTAAAAATAATCCACCATTCTTAAATTTCTTTAACCTTCTTCCACCAAAGCTGAAAATTTGTAAGGATTCCATTCAGGTCCTACTCCAATGGGAGCTGCCTGTTTGTACCTCCTTCATGATACCTTTTCTTTCTTGAAAATTTAAGTAATTCTGTTTTCCAGAAACATTTATTCTACTTAAACAAAAAAAAAAAAAAAAGTTTTACCCGTAAGACCTAGGCGTGTCAAATGTGACTTAGTTTATATGCTCACTATGAATTTTGCAAGTTACAGAAAGTTTCTTAGATTGTTTCACCTGCTTTTACCCATTTTTCGCTCTCTATTAATGCTTTCTGTCAGCTATCCATTTTATTTTAATAGGTGTTAAATGCTTTAGGTATTTGGTAGCACGCACTCCTGAAACGCTGTTACTAGGTGATCTAGAGCGTAATCTCTTGAGTGAAGTACGCTGGCCAGATTCAGACCGGAGAGAACGTTTTTACTTTGACTATTCAAATGTGTGTCTAGTATTTAATGGTGGTGAATTGAGTCTCATTGAGTATGGCAACAATGAAATCCTCAGCTCTGTGAGGTAATCATTTGTATTCATTTCATTTTATTTTATTTTGCAGTCTGATTATTGAAATTATTAGACAAAGCGACAGATAAAGAAGATGACTGGAAAATGGAGGGATCTTATCGTTTGAAATAATCAGTTGTTGTAGACTAAGGGGAAAAACTATGGGCTAACTATAGGGTCTTAAATAGGTTGCTGTTAGTCATACTGTTACTTACCCCCTTTGTCCATTACAACCACTTGCTGCCTGCTGCCACCAATAGGATTACTCCATTCTCCATTTATTTTCCATTTGTCTTCTTTAATTGTCTATCAATTCCAATAATCAGCCTGCTGATGAGACATTTACTCTCTTATTTATTCAGCCAAACTATTTATGCCTCTCAAGTTTATCTTATATTATTTTCCTCTATTTTCTCTTTCATATTGTTTATTTACAATAGTTAGTCGCATAAATTCCTTTTAGGAATTCTAATGGGATTTTAACTGTTTCTTACTCACTTTTATTCCTCATAATATTTCCATCAAACACTAAGAATGAAAAACATAATGCTTTTCGAACAATTTTATTTTTACTATATCTCTTTCCCCTTAGTCTTCCCCTCTCCCTGTTCTGGTGTGTAATGAGCCTCTAGACAACGTATAAAGTAAAAGCAAAATGTTACGCGATGCCTCCACAAAATTTTGTGAAGAAAGGGATTCTCTCAACAGAAAAGTTTGGAAATCAACTCCTTAGTAAGATTTGTATGTGCGCACTTAATACTAATCTACTGAAACAAAAATCATACTAATAACAGAATTTATATGTTTGCCTTTCAACTGGTGTTAATCATAAATACTTATAACTTCAGTAGGAGTTGAATTTCAAATTTCCAGTTGTGTAAATTATTTTCTGCATAAAATTTTGAAGGGAAAACACGTTTTTGTGTGTTTATTCATTCTATATATAGTGCCTTATTTTCATTAATGCATTCCTATTAGTTGTTAGCAAACTTGTTTCCATACCTTTACTTTGGGCTTTTGATCAAACCAAAAGGAATTGAGAAATCCTGATGCCATGCATTTGAGAGAAATTTTTACTCATATTGTGATTTTTCATTCGTAACTCTTAGGTTTCAGGGGAGAAGTACTGTTTTCCTCAATTTTCAGTTTGCTCTTGACATAGTTACTCTACATTATCCTTGTTATTAGTGCTTAACCTAGGTGCCTAACACATATCCTAAAATGAGCGTGCTGTGGTACCTAGTGGGATGGTGAAATTTTTGACATCACCTACAAGTCAATGATCGTGCTCTTTCACGGATTTATTCTTCTGACTTTGCAGGACTGAGTTTGTGAACCCGAAGTTGGTGAGTGTGAGACTTGATGAGCGGAAGCAGTTGAACTCATCTGATGCAAATAAGAAACTGGCGTACTTGCTTGATTTAAAAACGATTAGTGTGGGTAAGTTTTCACAAATCTTTCCATATCTCTGAAGCAATTATGAAACAGTTTGTTTAATTTATCTCATTATATGCAATTGATTAAAGTTCAGTTAAATTTGCTTTTCAGTTGATCTTGTCTTTGGTGTAACAATATTTCAGTTTTCTCATGACTCAAAAATTGAATGGTTAGAACTGAATGAGACCGGGCATAAACTATTGTTTCGGGATAAGAAAATGAAATTGATCCTTCTAGATACACGTTCTGGAGAGAAGCACACGTTGCTACACTATTCAACTTTTATCCAGGTACATGAGTTTTTCTCTTAGTAAGGGCTTTGTGTAAAGATCTGTTCGGTGTAATCTTTTAATTTTCTGAATTAAACTTTCAATGAGTTTTCAATATCTTCAAGGAGTTCACCTACTGATTTGAAAAAAGTACCCCTTTTAAAATAATACAAGCCCCCTTGCTTTTTTTGTCTCAATTTTTTTCCATCATTTAAATTTTTTATGTACGAATAATGATCCTTCTCAAACATCCTTCCTCTGTAAATGTAAGGAAAATATAAAAGGTCCTCTGCAGAAAAAGTAAATGTCTTAAAAAGGTGCAAATGTGTTGAAAAGCATGGATAATTTATGTGATTTTAATGTACAGATTTAATTATACTTGGGAGCTTTCATTTCTCATTACAATTTTTGTCAAAAAGCCTGGTTATTAATCAAAGTCTCTAAGATTCCAAACTCACTGTATTTACCAATTGTATGTCATCTTCAATCAGGTGCCAGCCAACATTACGAGTACTTTAGTGCACAAGGGCATTGATGTAAGGGCAACAGATATTTTAATTTTAATAGCTGGTTACTTTTTCAAGGTAGAAATATTAATCATACAGTAATCTTTTTAATTGAAAAGTTTTTCAGTTGCACCTGTCCTCCAATGTAATTATTAGCCTAATAGGTTTTTTTTTTTTTTTTTTATTACCAGTGGGTACCAGGAAGTGACGTTGTAGTTGCACAATCGAGAGACAATGGATGTGTCTGGTACAACATTGATACTCCCGACAGAATCAGCATCTTTCCGGTCAAAGGAGAAATCACTGGTGTTGTTCGCGATAGTGGAAAAATCGAGGTACCAAGTATTTAATTTTCAGTACTTCGTTTTTTTAGTGCAATGTGAAAAGGAGTCAGTAAAGGAATTTAAAATCGGACAAAAATTTTCCAAGACTCGAAAAAGCTGCTTAAAAGTTGCGATGTACTTGGATGAGAAGTTTTAGGAAGCACCTTTGCTGATTGCAAAACCTGATGGAAACACATACACTTAAAATTACACCAAAACAGAGGCCAGTTTTTAGCTTTTTAAACTCAAGAATTGATTTTGTCAAATAAATGGAGGCAAACAGTCGACCACAATTGGTGTCTATCAGGTGGTCCTTTGCCACATTCGGCAAACCTTACAGGTGTACTAAATCCTTCAAGAATCATCATATTCCGTCTACCAAGAAAACTTAACAATGGGAAAAAAGACAACAAATATTCCTTTGATGCTTTTAGGCAACTTACGTCCACTGGGAAGACAACAAACCACTCTTTAACTATTCACAAGTTTACGTTCAGCTCAATTTAGGAACATGTTAAGTTAAAAATTTATGTCAAGAAGTGGTCTCTTTCTTTTTTTTAAGTGTCTTTATAAAAGCAAAAAAAATATGAACATAAATAAATATTAAAAAGAATTGGTAAAAAATGTATATTTTTTATACAACAACAAATTATGTACGATATCGGTACGAAAAGTACTTGCAAACATTAAGCACTAGATGAATCATCGTAATGTTTGCATGTAATTTAATCATGTTTCTGTCAAGAGCAGATAATTTCTCAAGATGGAAATCAACAAAGGAGCTATGAGCTGGATAAAGGACTTGTGGAGTTTGGAACAGCTGTTCATGACAGTGATTTTGGACGAGCAATCCTGTTTTTGGAAGAGTTTTCTCATAATAACTGGAATTCCAAACGCTTGGAAGCAGAAGGCATGTGGCAGAACTTAGCAGAGATTGCACTCCAGTTACACAACTTGCGTGTTGCTCAGCGTTGTTATGCGGCCCTTGGAGACATTGCCAGAACGCATTTCTTACGAGTTACCCTGGAAATTGCAGATGACTATGCTCAAAAGAATGGTGAGTTGAATTTGGGTTCATTGGTGTCAATTTATATTAATATATTTGATTTTTAATTGTATTTGGCACCTTGTATAACTTTTATACGTTCCTTTATTTTTCCACAACTTATTCAAAGCAAACTATCTCCCAAAAAAGTTTTAGGAAGCACTGCAATTATACTCCACAGAGATTATACATCCCGCAAATGTGCAGGCCCCTTGTACCTATCAGAGTGGGCCTCTGTGTGCTGATCCAACTCTGGCAGCGCGCGTGTCTAATATGCGCGGCGAAGGGAACCCCAAATCTAGGCGTCATTCCATTGGTTTTTCACTGCTCATAATTAAGATATGTTTTCCCGAGCAGAATGATGTAATTTATTTTTTAATCAATTTTTATTAATAATATTTTTGATTTAATAATAAGACAAATTATTTTTTATCTCACTGCAGGTATGTCATTACTCATCAGTAAGATTAGCCTGCATCAAGGACAGCTGTTTTAATTGTGCAAGGATTAACTTGTTTATTTAAGTGCCTACTTGTTTATTTAAGTTCACTGTACTTTTGGTTTATGAAGGTGGTGATGGTATGGATTGCTTGGAGGTTTGGGCTCGCATTGCAATTCTCAACAAGCAGTACAAAACTGCAGAAACCATTTATCTTGAGCAGAATCAGCTCGACAAAGCTATCAAAATGCACCAGCGTCTTCACAAGTGGGACAATGGTACGCATTTTAACAATATTAATCTCTTCAAAATTGTTCCTGTACTCTGTTGATTACTTATTAGACATTACAAATTCCAGTTGAAACAAGATGGAACAGGAGGGGTATCGAAAATGGCCGTTTTTGGGCCCACCTTCGCTGAATTTCCTCAACTCTACAATTATTTGCTTATTGAGGGTTTATATTTTACGGCATGCATCATGATTTGGTCATTTTGGGTTTCTCTCCAGGTGTAATACTAACCTAAACATTATGAAGGACGATTTTGGCGAAAAATGTGGATTTTTTGGCGTTCGACCGCAAACTCGCGAAACTCTCATTTTTCGCCAAAATCGGCATTCAGACCCAAGTTTAGGCCAGTAAGAGACTCTAAAAGCAACGGATAATGACCAAATTATAATGCATTTTGTAAAATATAGGCCTTCAATGAGCAAAAAATCGTAGTGTTTAGGAATTTCAGGGTGGGCCAAGAGCGACCCTTATCGATACTCTTTTTTCATGAGTTTTTCTAAGTTTTGGTCGTGTAGGAATTTGCCAAGACAGTTTTTGGACTGCAGAATCTGCCAAAAAAACCTTTGCAGTGAAATTTTTCTTTTCATTCAAAGCATGATCACTATACTTTTCCTCCAGTTATCCCTATGTCTTGTCGTTTTTTTCTCTCATGAGCAGAAAACGACTATTTTTGGTAGCACCCAATGGGAGGTGTGAAGTTTACAAGCTAACCAAGTACCCTACAACAGTTTGAATGTTTACATCAAAGAAGTTAAAAGAATAAGTTCAAATTTGTATTTTTGAAGCATACCTATTAAACTTCAGGTCATTCAATTTTTAAAGAAAGAATTTTAAAGAACTTTTGACTGAATCTGAATAATTTTTACGTATACTACTGATCAATGCAAAAACTGGTGTCATCTCTATGATAGATACAACTCTGCAATGTATAGAAAAAAGTTTAAGTCCATGTAGAATCAATATTTTTCATATTGGGGGAAGACAAGTCCTAATCACTGCATCACATTACTGCTCCTTTTCCTTTTTTGCCTTCTTTTCACTATTTTGTTTTTTTTTCCTACTTCAAGTAGCCCACAAGGGCTGATCCTGCGCTTTTAATCCCATCCCCTTTTGTCCCTAACAACCAGTCTCAGGCAACCATTGTCTGAGACCATCAAACTCGGGTCGCCTGGCCGCCTGGTCTATTTGCCAACACAACGACAGTCGTTACATTTTTACATTTTGCTTTCAACTGTGTGAAACAGATTTCAATAACTATTGTATGTATCTCATGACATTTTAAATCATACATTGGAAATTTTATTCAGTGATTCCTTTTTTTTAGCGGTAAATCTAGCCACCCAAAAAGGGTCTCAAGAACTAGCAACGCGCTTAAAGTCAAACTACCTTGAGTGGCTCATGGAGACGAGGCAGGAAGGAAAAGCTGCCGAACTCAAAGAACGTGATGGTGATATCAAAACAGCTCTTGGCCTCTATCTTAAAGCTGGTCTCTCTCTGAAAGCGCTTAGGTATTAAACGGGAAGGTTAAAAATCAATTGATAAATTCAATTTATCAAAGTTTGATGTATATATTTTTTATATTTATAGCATATCATTTTTTTTTGCGAAATAGAGGCAATAGATGTATTTATCAGGGTGTCTAGCATCAGAATTTTCCCAATTCTATCAGGATTTGAGGTCAATCAGAATTTAATCCCGATTTCATCAGGATTTGAGGAAAAATCGGTTGTATAATCAGGATTTGAGAAAAGTTGGCCATCCGATCAGATTTTTTTATCGAGCTATTGTAGAAATTTTAATTTCTCTCTGCAAAAAATTAGGATTTGATCAGGATTTGGAAAAATTATAAAATCAGGATTTAGCAGTCAAAAATCAGGAAAAATCAGGTTTTCATCAGGACTGCCCAAAATGGAAAAACTTAGACACCCTGTCTATGTTATTTTGATTTATTTTATAATTCCTACATAAATGGCTTTAGGGGCTGCGTTACAAGTCAAAGACAGGAGGCTGGTGGACAGCTATTCATATCATCAGTTATATATCCTATAGGAGACCCGCCAACAGCTCATCAACAGAGTAGAAAGCTTAGGAACAAGGTTTAGGCAGAGTAGAAGTTCTATAGTTGATCTGTCAAGAAAGAAAACAATTGATGTGCTGCTATTTTTGAAAATCAATTTTTGTTGATGTAGGAAACCAATTTTTTTTTTAAATTTGTATTTTAAGATCATTTTCTTTAATTCTATTAACCATTGTTGTTTATTGTTGCAGAGTGATACAGAACAATCCAACTCTGTTTGAAAATGAAGAGCTGATGAAGCGTGTGCTGTCAAGCCTGTTGAAGCACAAGTACTTCCAACAAGCAGGACTTTTCTATGAAGCACTGCACAAAACCGACAAGGCCCTTGAATGCTATCGTCAAGGTCGAGTCTTCCACAAAGCTGTTGAGCTTGCCAAAACCATTGCCCCAAGAGGTTTGTCAACAAAAGTGCTGAAAATTTGCAGAAAATTTGCTATACTTTGATGATTCTAGAAGATTAAGTTGCCAAACTGTATTAAATAGGCAATTGCTCTCCCAATTTTGAGAAACTTACGTAGTACTTTAAGCAAGCTTTGACTTTGTAGGTAGGAAGACTTCAATGGTTAATTCTTAATTATCATGAATGTGGATTTTAGAATAGGATATATTGATGGCTAATTGCAAAAAACAGGTATCTCAATTGCAACGTTTAAAAATTTCTAATTATGTCCAATTTTCTTCAAGGAAAAGTAATCCAAATGTTTCTTTGAAATTTTGTCTGATTTTTTTTATTAGAATGAGTGAAGAGTATCCACAGAAAGTATCACTCGAAATTATGTGTTAATGTTTCTTTAAAATATAAAACTTAAGATGATACCAATAAAATTGCAATTTGAAGTATGCATTTTGTGACTTTAGCCATCCATATATTAGTGTCTACCTCCTTTTTCTCCTCCTAAAACAGAGACGTTTGGGGAAAGAAAATATTCAGGACAAGAAGTTGCTTTATTAATTGTTGGAAGTTGTTTCAGTCCTTCGAAAAACATTAAAAATATATTCAAATATAATGGTATTCCTCGAGTTTAAAATTAAAAATTAACACTGTTGGAAGTAGGAAAATGTTTAGAGAGATACATAATATGAGCCAGTGCACAGAAATTAGTTTTCCAAATTTTTTAGACGGTTTGATATGACCTACTGAAACAATCCAGGAATCATGAATATTTTTTAAGAAGTCATGGGGAAATTCGAATATGTAATTACGAAGACAGTGATTCTTTGGCATGGTGTCATGTGCTTACTAAGTGAGGAAAGTTAACTAGCAGGCCAATTATTAAAATTTGGTGTTTGTCGGATGGACACACATGACAACCTTAAAATGTTATTGGTCGGCTGCGTTTTATCAAGACTTTATCATGCATGTGTAGGGCAGAATTAATGACAAGCGGAACACACCTCCTAAACTCCCTATAGCATGATGTTAATTCTACAAGACATAGACCTGACAACACAACAATAAGACAGCTGACTAGTTGCTCCTATCAAGCCTTTTCACTTTTGTTATCCAACAAACACCAAATTTCAATAATCGGCCTGCAGGGTACTCAATGCTCTCTAGCAATATGAGAGAGTTCCTATAGTTTTATGTATATCCATGGCCAAAATGCGATATCTGGTATTTTCCTTTGTGACGTCACAAACTTCCTGTCATACTTTATTTTTTCTTCACAAAACAAGGCAATAAAATTTCTTGGAAACTTTCTTGATTTTTTTTCTGAGTTAGCAGAATATTCTGTGTAAATTTCATAGGATGAAGTTTTGCATTAATGCAGTCTTTCTAAGAATATTTGCAGCAAAAATGGTAAAGAATGAGACAATCATAGAGACTTCTACTTTCTTGGGTGTCAGTTTATTTTGAATGTTCCCCTGAGGAGAGACTGTGTTGCATGACCAGTGAAACTACCAGATCACGTATCTCAGTTTGCGACGTTGCAGACTTCCTGCCATACTTTAATTTTTAAAGAGGAAACTACTGAAAGTTAGTTCTTAAAAACTTCCGTAATTTTTCTTGTCATTGTGAAAAAAATTATGTGAAAACTTCAAGGAATGATATTGAATTTTTCTCCTCCTAAAAAATAAAATAAGTGCGGAGATTTTTAGACACCGCAAACGAGAAACAAGGTCTGGTAGTTTCAACATGGATGTATATTTTCTGATCCTACTTCAGTTTACCAAAGTTACAAAGCTTAGTAGGAATAACACAGGCGAAACATTAAGGAGGAGAGATGAAATGGTAAATGGTAAAGGAATGGTAATGGTTAAAAATAGGAGACCTGAAGAAATCATTCCCAGCTAGAGTAGGTGGATTGTGGCTGTGTGAAACACTGTAAGATAGCTGTCTTCAAACCCAAAAGGCTCTGCTTCTAAGATGATACTGTTGCTTTACTAAAATATGAATTACGAGTTTCATGAGTATTAGTTGGTTTACCACTTCATTTTTTCTACTTTATTTTCATACTTTATTATGCTTTCTTTGTTTGCTCTGCAGATGTTGTAGTTTTGGAGGAACAGTGGGGTGATGATCTTGTTTCTAACAGACAGTTTGATGCTGCAATAAATCATTACATTGAAGCTGGAAAAACATTGAAAGCTTTGGATGTGGCCATCCAAGACAAGCAGTGGAAGAAAGCTGTTGAGATTATTCAGGTAAATCTCAATTTAATGTCTATTTTTATCCCCCCAGTGAAAACAAGCAAGATGTATATTCAGAACTGCATTTATGATTTCTGTGCCGAAGGAGAACAATTTTTCCCTTTTCTTATGGGAAGTTGCATGTAGGGGACGAATACAAATATCTGCCTCAAGTCGGTCTTGGTCGCTTTTCTCTGGGCAGCTCACTTCATCAATGAGTGATTGGGACAGAAAACACCATTAATATCTTTATTTTTCAAAAATTTAGCCGCTGATGTTCTGTTTCTCAACTATTGGCTGAATCTCTCTTTGGAATGAACGACTGATAGGTCGAGGTTTGAAGGGGAAGGAGGTTCTAACTTTATGATGTAAAGTTTTGTCGCAATCAGCTGTTACATCAGTAAATCGTACAACTTATCGCAACGTATCGCAGAATCCATAGAACTTGTTACTGGTAAAATCCCGGAAGAATTCCTCAAAAGCATACTTGTCTTTCGTTCATTAAGTAAATTTTTGTCTTTTTTTATTTGAGCAAGGAAATTTCCAAAAAAATATCGAGAATCTGTCATTTAGAAAATATAGTTACTTTTAAAATTCCAAAATATGCATGGAGAACCTCAACATAGGTATTTTTATACAAAATACTACTTCTCAAGTTGTAGTGATAGAGTGCTCGAAAATGTATTCCCGTTTCTCCTGAAAAGTAACTGTCACACACCCAGTCCACATGCAAATCAATTATCGGGAGTAGGACACCAGCTGCTGTCAACTTTTTCTACAACTGTCAATCTATCCTAGAAAAAGAGAGTACAAAATGACAGTTCAAATCCTACCTGCAAGGCTCTCTAATAAGATTTTTTGTTGTCAAGTTATTTATTCTCTTGAATTGATTGTGAATTTTTGCAGCGTAAAAATTTTGTAATTTTTTCTGCTGTCTACAGGTTTTCACAGACAAAAGCTCTGTCCAAAAACAATACGCATTGCTTGCAAATCATTTTGTAGCGATGAAAGATTACAGTCAAGCTGAGGAATTTTTCAGCCAAGCCAATATGTACCAACAAGCAATAGATATGTATGTGCAGATCAGTAAGTAGATTATTTCACAGTTTCTCAGTTTGTCAGAAGTTTAATATTCTTTTGCATCTGAGCAAAAAGGCAAACTTTGCACAAATGAGAGATGTATTTTCTAGATGGGAACCCTTGTGTCCTGCTGAAAATTGTGCTGTCATATTACATAAAGTAAACTCTGGTCAGTATTGTCAGTTTTATTCATAAAATTATAATTGCTGCCTCTTAAGCATTTTGTAAGTACTATTTGAACCTGAGCTTTATCTCTTAATGTAAACTATGTAGAGATGCTCTCTTTGTTTAAGCTATTTTGTTATTTCTCTTAAATGCTAACTGAAAACTAGTTTTGTGGAATTTAAGGTTCTTTATTTGTTTTATCATCTCTTTCATCTTGTATCTATTACAGGAAAGTGGGACAAAGCATACAAGTTGGGTGCTGAGCATTTGGGTAAGAGTGAAACGTGCAAATTTTTGACAGCAGAGGGAAAACGGCTGGAGGAAATGAAGGAACTTGAGGAAGCAGAACTGGTGTATCTATCGATTGAAAAACCAGATCTTGCCATAACTATGTACAAGAACTACAAAGATTATGATAAGGTTAGGCGATAATGAGATTAAATTTTCTTCTCTCTTGTTGTTTTTATCTTGCTTTTTATCTTCTGCTGAAGCCAAAAATGAGCTAAATTTTTTAATCACTCACCTATGTTGTGGAAAAATTTGATTTTTAAAACCTCAAATTTTTCAAAAACGCTTCTCTTTTATACCCTCAAACAATCTAACAAAGTACTGATTTTTCTGTTTAAATCTTACAGTATCGCATAAGTGTTTACTTTGAGGGCTGGTTGAAAAATCATCAACAGATTTAGAGGCCAGAAATAGCCCTCCATTATTAGTGTGAATTGCATCAAACTCTGAAGGAGGTCATTGTGGTGGTTCTGGCGTTGGCGTAGGATCCTTTCAACCAAATATACACAAACCAAGTTAAAAAGTTCATTTGAGTTGAGACATTTGGAAAGGACTCTTGTTGAACCTTCGTGTTGAAACTGTTGATTATGGAATCATATGTGCATTATACTAGATAAACGAAAGTCTTTTTTTAACAGTATCTAATTTTTTTAGTCATCTCAAAAATGTTCAGTTAGAGATTATGACATTTGTACCATCTAGTTGCTTACCTTTGACTTTCATCCTCATGTAATCTGATTTTGTCCAGATGCTGCATCTGGTCTCTCAGTATCATCCAGAGCTTTTGGCTACAACACAAATTCACCTGGCACAAGAATGTGCTGAGGAGGGCAACTATACTGCAGCTGAACGCTATTATACTTCAGTGAATGAATGGAAACTGGCTGTGAAAATGTACCGACTTGTCAATATGTGGGAGGATGCATATAGGGTGATCCAAATTATTCACTTTTTCTTAGTTGAATTAATATTTTTATAATTTTGGTCAGTAAATGTTGTGAGCTAAAGTGCCTCATAAAAGTATTTCTAGCGTACTGGAAACTTTTATGTAAAGCATTCCTCATGGATTTTTCATTAAAGTGTTTGAGTTATAATTTTTTATCCTTCATCACTGTATGCTTTCGTTATTTGACATTTTCGTGGGTTTTTTTTTGGGGGGGGGGAGAGGATAACAAACATTTACAAATTTATAAAACCTTAACAGTATTACTATTATTTTTACTCTTGCCACCTTTCACATTTTTTTTCTCCTGTAATGCTCTCAGTAGAATCCTTTAAAATTGGTCTTTGCATCCCGAAGAGGTCTACTGAATGGCTCAGTATCATTTTGTTATTTGTGTTTCAAAAATCTTATGCTATTTAAAAAGTACCAAATGAAGGTGATAGCTATATATGAAGTGCATCTCAAAATTCTTCATATTTCGGAAATCTGATTATTCCCAATTGTTTTTTCATTTTATCATGGAAAACAGTTTTAAAAATGTTGAATTTTATAGGTATGTTATAATTTTTCTAAACTTTATTATTTTGCAAACAAATAAAAAGTATCGTTTATAGCATTACTCGACAGCAACCTTGAAAACCTTCGAATTTATACAATTTGATTTAAAAGTTTTTCAACTTTAGCTTTTGGTAGATGAAATTGTTCCTATCCTGCCCAGTACGTTTGGGTCTCTTCTGGTTTACAGGTGGCCAAAACAATGGGTGGCGATGAGGCTGGAGAACAGGTGGCATTCCTTTGGGCAAAGTCGCTGGGTGGTGAGTCAGCCGTACGGCTGCTTAATAAACTCAACATTTTGGATGCTTGCATTGATCACGCATGTGACAGTTACCAATTTGATTTCGCCCTGGATGTAGCAAACATTGGAGCTAAAAACAAATTGCCAGACATTCATTACAAATTAGCCATGGCCCTTGAAGATGATGGCAAGTTCAGCGAAGCAGAGGTCCAATTTTTCAAGGCTAATAAGCCCAAAGAAGCTGTTCTCATGTAAGTTGTTGTTTTCTATGAACCAGAGAAAAGCGTTCCATCTTTCGAGTTATGCTGAGTGATCGGATTGAGTTGAGCTTTTTTTAAATGAAAGATCTTATAAGGATCTGTACATGCCATCAGTAGGGGTAAAAGTTATTTTTAAAGCCAATTTTGAGCAATTTTTCGATATTCTGGATAAAAAAAATTTAATTTGCCATGTTTAGACATTGCGTAGTGACTCAAGCAAGACCAAAAGCAGTCTTTTAGATTCTATGCTCAATTTCCCATTAGGTGCAACAAATTGCATGTCGGGTAAACGTTTAAATCAGGAGTTATACCAAATCAAAGTTGCTACGCCTGTCTTTTTTACACCTGAGAGTCCAATGATGGGGTCCTCTTAGTAGCAAAGTTCAGTAACGAAAAGAAATACTTTATCAGGGTAAAAACTGCAGTCTTGTGGTGAAATCTTACATATTTTATTTAGGGAGGGTTTATGGGCCAAAAATATTTTAACTAGGATGGTGAGGTTTGACTTGGTGGACAATTATGGACAATCGCAGATGTACCCCCAAAGGACCTTGATTGGCCTTGCAAACATGCAAAGAGAATAATCAGGGTCTGACCATAAATGGTCTCTATACATTTATACCAGAAGAACAAATCCTGGTCAACTGAGTAGGGTAAAAAATTCACCACGTACTTGCTCAACATTTGCATTGAAATGTGGGCAAATTCAAATCCTTTTACGCCTTAGCTTGTATTCTCTTGTTTGTTTCTATTTCTCTAAACAAGAGGGAAAAATAATTCCTCAAATAGATTTAAACGTCATAATGTAAAGTTCAGACTTATTCACCAGGTGAAAACATTAACAAGTTGTTTCTCTCTTCAGGTATGTTCACAATCAAGACTGGACGAATGCAGAACGAGTCGCAGAAAAGTGTGATGATAGCGCAATGGAAGAGGTATTGGTAGCTCAAGCTAAACAGGAGTTTGAAAAAAAGAACTATCAGAATTTTCAAACGCTCTTGCTCCGAGCTCGCAAACCTGAAATAGTCATCAAACAGTATCAGGTAGAACTCTATAGTCCTAATCTGATGAATTTTTCCTCATAAATAGTATTAGTAGGTGCATGGCAAGGTATTCATCCTCGTCAAACTGGGCGTGTTCCTTATCTGTATTATTCTATGAAAAGCTATACTTATTTTCAATGATTCTTGTCGGTATCCTTTACAGAATCGGACCTGAAGCATGTTCTCACAGCGATTCAGTGAATAAAATTTCTTCTCCTTTAGATGGTCAAAGAAAACTCGAAAGTTAACGCAGCACAGAGAAATAATAAATTTGAAAAAGAGGCCACTGGCTGTACTCTCCAGTTGATCGAAAATAGTTTTGTAATCAAAGTTAAAAATTATTTCATTGGTCACACATCAATTGTGCCTTCAAATTGGCAAGGGGCACCATACCAAAGAAAATTATAATAATAATCAATGCCATGAATAATTTGCTTCGAGTATTTGGTATTTTTTATTTTCATATTTATGTTCTGATCTTGCTCCTTTTTCCTTTTTTATTTTGTTTAATTCATTTTCTCTCTCTAATAACTTACTATGACTCACTTACTTCTGCGAATTTCCTTGTATCTTGTTTTTTCGTTTTTCCGCAGTAAGACGTGAATTCAACAAATCTTCTCACAATCAAGTCTTTCTAGTGAAAGTAACATCTTTAATGTATTGAAAAAAAAGAAAGAAGAAAATGCTCCCAATTAATTCCTCCGTTTCGACTTCTAACCTGGATTCACCTTCTCTTTTCTCTTTTTTCTCTCCTTCTTTCCCATGTTGCTGTTTCCTCTTCGCTTTTCCCTTTTGATTTTTTCTCTCCGCTGTCCCTTTTTTATTTCCCCCCCTCCTTTTCTCTTTTTATCTTGTTCCTCACCTTTTCTGTTTGTCCTCTTGGCACCCCCTTTTGGCCAGCATCGCGTGCAGCTACTCCTTTTGCCCAAATGTTACTACAGCTCTGCTAAAAGTTTTGGGTAAAGTTATCATAAGTACTGAAAATGATAAAGACTAGTAAGAGTCATTCAGTTTGATGTATAAATTTCTAAGGATTATCAAAAAGTGTACCTGATCATTGGTTTGTAGGAATGTGGGATGTGGACTGAAGCTTTGCAAATTTGTGCGGACTATTTGCCGAACATGTTGCCAAAACTACAAAGAGAATATGAGGAGCAAGTGAGTGCCAAAGTGCCACGTGATGTTAACAGCCTTCTGCTACAGGCTAAACAATGGGAGCAGAATGGAGAGTTCAAAGCAGCGATTGACTGCTACATACGCATTGCCTCTGCAACTAGGGAGAAGCCCATTGTTGACAGAGTTCTGAATGAGGCTGCTACTCTAACCATCACATATCTCTGTGATGATGAAGCAACACAGACTGCTCGGACTCTTGGTAAACTCAATGAGGTTCTTTTGCAACTGCTGCACATGGGTTTTACTTTTCAAGCACCATCACTTTTCACCTACCTCTCTTCTTTTATTTCTAGGATGGCGATCCATATAAGGGTATCAAGAAGTGCAATAATCCCCCCCCCCCCCCCNAATCATGCAACTTTTCGATATTTGGTAGTTTATAACTTATCATTATACCCATGCTGTAATCTAAAGTATTCGAGCAGGTCCAAAACATTTTTTCTTTAATCAGCATCTAGATATAACCGCTCTCCTGAAATCAGTGCGTTACAGTAGACAAGCGCGTTTTCCCTTTTTATTTGGGTTTTTGGGATACTAAAATTTTTGGCCTCAAAATGTAGGCCCAAACTACAGCCTGGAAGTTGGAATTAGTGCAAAAACTGTAGCGATTATTAATATTAATGAAAATTATACATACATTGTCCATTTCCAAATACACATAGAAAAATTTGCAGGACTCCGGGAGAGGGCCACTTTTAGCCCTTATCAATGGAGCCGCATTTAGCCCTTTGCACTCATCTTACAAAGACTCTGTGGGTGAAACACATTTTATGAATAATCAATATTTTGACTGATTTAAACTTATAGGGATTTTTTGTATTCGAACTGTAGAGGATTGCCATAGAATGCCATGAAATGCGTCACTTTTTTATCTTGGTTAATTGGCACGGTCCAACCCAATCTTTTTGATCCAGTAGAACGCTTGAATTCTTCCTCATAAGTGGGTTGCTGGCGGTTACTTCCAATCTTAACCTCAGTCAAAACGCAGAGAATCAGAGAAGCCAATCTATTGTGTTCCATGGATAAAAAAAACCCCGTTAGTGACCTGAGGAAAACATATCACATGTCCAATTTTCAGTCTCTCAGTAATTAATTTAAATATCTGATAGTTGGCATATTATCTATTACTCAAACTCATCACAGTTTGCATGCTTTTTAAATTTTGCAGAAGTAGTCGCACACTAGATAAGGTATGAATTAAAGCATTCTGATACACGTTCTCTAATCATAATTTCACATATAACTTGATTCAGATACTGAAATTACGCAAATTAACTCCTAGTCCAGATATTAATGTTTTCAGTTGCATTGGCTCTGCGAAATTTGAATTGCCCACTCACAAAAAAAAAAAAAAAAAAAAAAAAAAAGATACTCTACTGAATCAAATTGCCCACTGCAACTTTCGAGGCGGGCTTCTTAATCAAGCCTAGGCTTAGCCTCCATCGCTACCCTGTGTTGTTTAAAGTTTAAACAACGTGCAACAACTGAGCCAAAGTGCTAAGATTGAGGTTGCCATATTTTTGTACCGTAGAGACTGGTACAGCAGTGTCTAGTGCGATTTGAGTTACGCAGAATTTTGTTTTTTCATGAGTGGGAGTTTTGAATTCACTCATCAAAAAACATGAATTATCTCATTTAAGAGTTTATGTCAGCAATGTTTGCTGCTCGAATCGTGTTCTGCATGAAATATAATTAGAAAACGTTTATCAAAATTCTTCAATTCGTACCTTATCTATTCATGAAAGAAAAATTAAATACAGACCTCGATCACTGTCCCGATATAGCTTTCTATTCTGTCACGAGAGGTTCTACAAAACCGCGAGTACGTAGCGTATACGAGTTTCATAGATTTTAAGTTTCTGCTACAAGGTTGCTCTCACTATTCAGAGGAATACATTATTTGTAGCTATCCATTTGTGAACTGGAGTTTTGAAGATGTCCATGGATTTTGTTTTGACAGGTGGCCGGCTGATTGAAGCCAAATTGTTTTCCAAGGCTGCTCAAGTTTTCCTTTCTGCAAATATGTTTAAAGAAGCCGTTGATGCTTTCATTTTGGCTGGAGAATGGTCTAATGCCAAGAAGTTGGCCTATGAGTATGAACCAAGGTAAAATTTTATTTTATTTTACGATTTCTAGTTTTGCTGAACTCTCAAATTGAATCCAAAATTGTTTTGAGACTTTATCTCAAGAAGAAAAATAACTTTACAGGAAGGTTACGGTAACTGATGGTGTCAAGGACCAGAGATAACTGGGGAAAACCGGGATTTATCAGGGAATGAAAAATTTTAGGGAAAATCAGGGAATCTGTTCCAAAACCGGGAATCTCTCCTTGGAATTTACTTTTGCCAGCTTGTTTTTGTTGTTATCAAGGAATTTCAATTATTTTGGATTCAGCCTTTTCAACTTGTTACCTCATGATCGCTAATTTACCTCTCAAGGTTAAGGAACATGCAAGACATGACGATTTGCAAATGAAAAGGTTAAAAAAAACACTAGATAAGTTTTTTGTCCTAAAATGATTGATGATTAGTTGTGCTAGTGATTCAGCTTAGGCAACAGATCCGTTTACCATCATTCATTTGTTGTAGTCTCTTCAGAACTCAGTTACACGGTTTAATGGCGCAGGGAATGTGTTTAAATGCAACCATCAATGACTAAATGCTTAATTTCTATTTTTTCAATGCTTTTTTTTGTTTCTCAGTCTTGAATCATACATCAATGCCAAGTACAAGGAGCACGTAAAGCAAGACGGGGGCCACGAGCAGATGACTGAGCTGGAAATACTGATGGGTCAAGGCCAGTGGGCCCAATGCTTAGAAAAAGCACAACTTGCTGGTGAAGAGACCCTTCAAAAGTACCTCGCTCTCCGTGCTTCGGCACTTCTCAAGGTGCGATAATAATTGTGTTCATTAAAAATATTCTTTCTTTGGCGAGACCAAAAAAACTAGCATCTATGAAGAAGTCCTGTTTGGAGTGATGGAAGTGCAGCAGTTTGAAACACTTACATACAAACAGGCTGCCATTTGGAAGCTTGCGTTACCCTTCCCTCCCCCAAGCCATCCGTGGGGAAGGCATTTTAGCTACACAGCAGTAGGATATTTTGTGATCCATTCTAATGTATTGGTACAATGTGTTGCGTTGATGCTTTTTTGCGATTTTAGACGTGTCAGGCTTTTTGATTCAGGTTATTTGCGCTTAAAGCTCTTCATTCAGAATATTTGTAAATCCCTCTCGCACTTAATTCTTTCGAGGCAAAATCAGTTGTTACCATTTATCAAAACCTTGCATGCTTCTTTGTTTCTCTATCAATACATTTTTGAAGATTTAGAGCTATAACTTTTATCAATTATTTTTTGACTTTTAGAATCCTTCAGGTTGTTCAACAAACAAACCTCTGAGAATTCTTAGTGATAGCAATCAGCAAAGAGGAAGACAAATCCATTCACCAAATGAAAAAGGAAATTAAGATTTATTTTCTGAAATAATAGATAATATTTTCCACTGATTTGGCTCTAGGAGCATGCAGCTTTGGAAGCTCTTGATTTGTATGTCAAGTATGGTGCATTGCCTTATCCACAAAATCTGAACATTTATCAGCGAATAGCCATTGAAATCATTTCGAAGCCAGGCCTGTGTACTAGCAACTTCTATCCACAATGGGCAAAACTCCGCAATATGCTCTATAAATTGGTATTACTCCACTCTTTCTTAGATAATGTTGCCATCATAAACTCACCATGAAAATGAGTCCAATTCTTTTAACAAAATAACTGATGATTACAGCATCTCTTTGAAATTAAAACTTTATGAATCCACGCTGAATAAGTTTATGCACTTTCAGAGAGTGATAGAAGATCTGCCTTCTTGATTCTTGTATTTACTTTCAATGCCAAATAGAAGACAGATTATCTTCTGTTCAACTTATTTGGCTTGGATTCCTTGAGAAATCGATCGATTTAATGAACTCAAGACTTTCGTCTACAAGTAATGTAGACTAATCCACTTCTGATAACACTATCTCAATAAGAGCAAGAGAGAATATTTTCATGGGACCCCCAGAGTTGAGGAACAGCTCATAGAAACTTGATTTCAGAAAAAGAACAATTTAAAGTAATATCTTTAATTAGATTTAAAAACAAAAATATCTGAGGGCTCAGATATTATGATCGTATCCAAAGTAGTAAATTAAAGATCCAAAGAAATTTCTTCAAGTTTGAAAAAAATCCTGCAAAGGCACACGATATTTATGCTGAAAGGCCATTAAAAAATGTCTTAATTTATGACCCATCATTGACTTTTTCCAGGTGGGCTCTTTCAGCAGTGGGAATGGGAACAGCCCAATACTTATGCTCAATAAGCTATTCAAAATTGCACACTACTATGCTGTAAGAGCAGCTTGTATGGACGTGGCAAGTTTGGAGCCTATTGTCATGAAAGTATCAATTGCCCTCCTTCGTTTTTCAGACATCATACCTGTTGATAAAGCTTTTTATGAAGCGGGAATTCATGCTAAGGTACTCATTTCACCTTCCTTTCTTTGTATACTGGCCTTATACATCTTTGCCATTTTTACATTCTCCCCGACAAACATTGCTCCCATACGATTACTAATCGTAACTGTGGCGGACTGTAACTGTGTGCGTCATGAGAACTTACTACAGTAAGTAATGTTTCTGAGCAAATCGAAGCTGGATCTCATCAAGGAAAGTTTTCCGTAACATTTTTGTAGAGACCTTTCCATTTAGTAGTTGCAACCATGATCTAGAACTCCTCTCTGCGGTGACTGGAACGTTTCTGCAACTGTTCCGAAAGGGTTACACAGAAATGCCACAACGCTGAGGAAACCTTTCTGGTGCTGAGGATCAGCAAGCCTTTCCAAACGAAAATGGAGAGGTAAACCTTTCTTTAAGGTTTTTCCCATTGTTGCAGAAACGTTTCCAAGAGGTTGAAGAAATTATTTTTTTCTATCTAGGAATAACCATTCAGTCAAAATAACTTTCTACATGATTAAGATGATCCTTTTACCTTTGAACTGCATCAAGATTTGATAATATGATTCTAAATTTTTGCATGCGTAAAGCATTGCAGTTGAGTGACAAATGAGCTACGGATTGCCTATTTAATATACCAGCAAAATATACCTCCATAGCTGGCAACATGGTGACATCTTGTATGATTTTTCTTATGCTGATACATCATTATTAAATTGCGATCATTTATTACAAGTTTTTTTCAAAATTTCTCTCTTCTCTGAAATTATGACCTTGCAGTTGTTACTTTGCAATTGCTCCTGGTCTATATGTTGTAAGTCATAACTTTTTGAAAGAGGGATAATCTTGTGAAAGTGAGATCTGTAAATCTTCTGGTGTTTTTGTAGGCTGTTGGAAAAGAAACAGAAGCAGTTGTGTTCTTGAATCACTTTCTGGATATTTGTGAAGCAATTGATGAGCAAAATGTAGAGCTCATTGACTTTTCAGATCTGTCGAACACAGATTTCCCTTTAGAAGTACCATTGCCATCAGTCCCGCATGTTTCACTGCAGGACCAGGAAGAAGTTCGTGAGTGGATCCTTGCTGTCTTGGTGAATCAAAATGTAGATCAGGTGAATATATAATCTAAATTCTTTCCTTTTTTACTTTAGTCAAATTCTGATCCATTTTGACTTTTAACCAACCAACCTTCTCTATGAAATTGTGACAGCTAGCCTTTTTAAGAGTTGTATTTGTTCAAGGTCTTTTTAATGAAGTGTTACAAAAGAGACTGGAGACTCTAAAATTCTTGAGATGCCCTCCTCCTTCATCCTGTCGGTCGCGGGGATACCCGGTACAGACCCTTCAAGAAAGATTCCCCCATGACAAAGTCTTGACAAAACTACACATGTTTCCCATCTGTACTTGTTCCTGAGGTATTTACAAGCATTCACACCTTTTTACTGCCGCCCTGTGCATACCTTTTTATGTTAGGAGCAAGCTGTTTAAAATGGATCCATTGTACTATTCTCTATTACTACCAATCCATGTAGTCGATCCATCTGAGTTATTTTTCTGGAGTCATTGGAAATTTAAAAAAAACAACTCTTTACATGTGCGGGTTCTAAATGTTATGACCACAGTGAAGCGTCCATTTCATGCACAAACTAGAGGTTTCAGTTCAGTTTGAGTTTTTGGAATGAAACAAACGCTTGCCCAAGTCTCAGGCTGGTTTTCATGACCTCTCGAGCTTAGTAACAGGAAATTCAGAAGGCTGCACTGCACTGAGGATTGGCCCAACAAGGCCGAAACGCATCTGCAGTTGCCTTCCTGAATGGAGGTAAGTAGTGTTGCTCCAAACAGCGTATCTCTTGGAGGGAAAATTGTGTGTGTGAACTTTTTCCCTCTGTAATGAGATATCAGCTTTAAGCTGAACATTTTACACACGTTGGCTATAACTCCAAGTTATATCATAGTCATTTTGCCACTCGTTGAAAATATTTCTGTTAATGATTTTAATAAAATTGCTATAGTGTAAGGGGCGTGAGAAGTAAAGATGTGAATAACTTGAAATCGACATTCTGGCACTTGGTCCCTTAATGTAAAAGTTTTCTGTTCTCAATATTAAGTCTTCAAGTGCTGTTCTTGCAAATAAATAAAAGTGTTTACATCTTCCTGCATTGATTTTGTCAATCTTTTTTTCTGAAGGTTTTGCCATGCGATAACCGAAATCTTTACGAATGCTCATTGAAGAGAAGTAAAACAGACGAGGATACCTATCCAGCTTGTGTGATTACTGGCTGGCCCGTCATGAGGAATCCAAAGCTTCATGGGGGAAGTGCTGCTGCCCTTCGTTCTAACGAGATAGAGTTCCAGAAACCAGGATATTATGCCAACAAAGATGACTGGAATAAAATTGTCTTGGCAGCTAAATCTTCTTCAAGAAAGTCAGATCTTAGTGACATTATTATTTTTATCACCGAATGGTGTGGTGACCCACCAGGCTTCTTTTTCCACTGAAATTACTTTTAAGCAAAATTGAATGGAATGTCTTAGGGCACAAATTGAAGTTTCGATAATCAGGAGGTCCATGAATATATAATTTCTTAAATTTTGAAATGTTACTATTTTGTTCTAATCTTAATATTTTGTTTTCCTCTTACTTCTTCTAGTCAATTTTTCGTACAAAAAATATTTATAAAATATATCTTTGGAAGTAGAGGCATTAATTTCGATGCTGGATAAAATGTACCTGTTTTATATACTGCCGTGCAACGCAAAAACGCCGTAAACGCCATTTTTAATTTTTTGTAAACAATGTATCATAGCAGAAAAACTTGTGTACCCTGGGACAATTTTTTTTACAGAATTTTTTCGAAAATACTAAGAAGAACTTAACCTGAAAATTTGAGGTGCATGGGTAAAACAGTTCCTATTTTATTAAGTGTCAAGTTCCAAAAAACGCAGGAAAATCTTGATGGATTTTCGGCGTTCTTGTTTAGCACGGCAGTATAGGTATCACTTCTCAAAGCAATTCGGTTGATTTAGAAAATTATCCACTTTATTTCTTAATTATAATTATTATCCTCCCACAATATTTCTTTAGGCACACCCAGCTATTGGCTCTTTACTGATTAGCGCCAACATAAAAACATACGTTGCCGCGTTATTTGAGCGGATACAGTATTGCAGATGCTATTCTAGTTTTTTTTCAGCTGAAGTAGGACTTTGTTTGTCTAGCTCAACATGGCGGTCAGATTGGTTGGATATCAAAAGTCTTGCAACCACAATAATTTTGCCCACTTGAGAGAAAAGATAAAATTAGATGATAAGTTAGGTTTAAGAATTTTAAACTGCGAAATAGCAGGAAAACACAAGTGAATCTTTAAAGGGTGAATTTAGTATTGGAAAATATTTCATTGAAATTGAATGCAATGTTTTAACAACATTCTACAGGGTGAACCGAAAGCCCTGCTCCACCAACACCAGGCATCACCCCTGTAGCTTTTGAACAAAATTGAATAGAAACTTGAAATTTTTTGAATGATCCTGGGTAAAATGACGACTTTTAAGACCCTCCAAAACTTCAAGGGGATCCTTCTAAAAAGGGGCAAGAACCCTTGGGGTTATTAGAGTGGTGCGAGACTTTAAGATCACCCTGTAGATACCATGAGAATAGGACTGTTCACTTTCAATAAGAAAGAATACAAAAAAGTGCAATGGGGTAGCTCTGATTCCTTGATGAAACCCTCTCTTGATAAAGAATCGAGAAACATGAATTAGATCAACAAAAAATAATTTATACTTTCATCTTTTAAAATAAAAAAAAAATATGATCGACATGTTGTAAAACTGAAATAACAATAATTAAAATAACTTACAAAAAAATACAGAGGAAAAAGTCACAAGGGGGATGATCACAGACAAAAGGAGAATATTTTCTTCAACATTCAATTTAGGCAAGTTGTTGCTGTTCAGTTGGATGAGGCGCATTTATACCATTCATGCAGTTGTCTCTGCAAGGACATCAGGGTGTTTCACTTTCCTGAAACATAAAAAAATATTAGCAGGATCATGGTGGTTAGAGTACCTGTATAGCGAGAGTATAGACAGATGTGAAACTCCGAAAATCCATCAGGTTTTCACCGATGCCTCCGCGAATAATGTTAGGGCCCAGAAATGCAGCCAACCTATGAATTTCAACTATCCAGAGCGATTTATTAATACAATTGTTACGAACCATCGTTTATAAAGCACGTATTTGACTTAGTTTTTGCATAAATTTACTCATTTTTGTGGAAGAACGCTCATTTATGTACTTTCTTAGCCATCTTCGTTAGAATTGGAATCTACAGACTGGCAGTGAAATTTTGTGCGTTAGAAGTTGATTAGAAGGGTGGCTGCACTTTTGGGCCCTAAACCCTCCATGAAGCGATCTGTCCATACTCTTGCTATACAGGTACTCTAATGGTGGTCAGACAAATAATGCACAGCACTGACCGATTGCATGGTTAGGAACAAAACCAATTCAATTTGATGAAACATTTTCATTTTTTTGATGAGGTTACGAGAGAATCGAACTCAGATGCTTGCACAGGATACTGTGTCGCAAGTAGTACAGTACAACAAAAATATTGAAATAATATTGCAATTTATTGCAAAAAATTTCAATTTTTTTTACCGTGAGATTGCAATATTTTTACATCATTGGGACACTAAAAGCTGATTTAAAACGATAGATAAAACATGTTCCATGTGCGAGAAAAGTAGGCAACCTGCAATACAAAAACAAATTTTAACATTATTTCAATGTATGCCATCATGAGAACCCCCTTCAATCAGCGAATAGACATCACTCTGACATAATAGCAATGATTTTACCATGAGATTGAAATTTTCTCCCTCCATAATACTCAATACTAAATGTATTCAAAATATTACTTCTCGACTTAGCAGTTATGAAAAGAGAATTTGTGCTGTAAGTTGAGCTCATTTTCTAAAAACCACTCCTCACTCAGAAATGAACCCAGAAACTGAAATGACCAGAACCAGAAATGAAGTAGAAATGAACCCAGCCGACACTCCTTACTCATTTTCTTTCAAAATGTGGCTCAGTTTCCACCTACTAAATCGGTCCATTTAATACAGCAAGGACAAGAGTTGTGGTTTTAGATCTTCTGAACTTGCTTAAACCAGTGGTTCGAGGAGATCAGTGTATAATTACAATACAAATTTTATAGAAAATGTTGATAAATTTAATTTTCATCTAAAAAATCCAACCTCCGCTGAATCAGCGTAACTTCAAATCTTGTGAGATGACACAAAATTGCCAAAAAATTATTCAGGCTTTCACTTCAGACTGAAAATCTCATTAGCCTGAAATGAGTCGACGTTTAACATGGACTTGTTTTTAATTTTTACCAATAGGATCAAGTGATAAAATAAAAATATTTTGAATACTTACACATGATTTTTCAAGACTGCTGACTGGCTAAAAGAACCAGAGCAGTGGTTGCACTTGTACGGCTTTATTCCTGTATGGGTTCGCTCATGGCGAATGAGATGAGATACATGTCGGAAGCTCTTAGCACAAGTTCCACACATGTATGGTTTTTCCTGAGTATGCGTGCGCATGTGAGCCTTTAGGTCAGACTTCTTGAAAAAGCATTTGGCACATATCTTACACATATGCGGCCGCTGATTGTAGTGGTCCCGTTTTATATGTTCCTGTAATCGAGCCATAGTTACATAGGACTTGTCACATGTCTCGCATGGGAACTTAAGCTGCTCATCCTTTACATGTGATGCCATATGTCGGCTAAGTGATGTTTTCCATGCAAATTTTTGATTGCAGACGTCGCACTGGTATTTACAACTGTCATTACTATGCAACCCTATATGCTGGGTTAAACTTTTCCGCTTAGAAAATGTTTTGGAGCAGTAGCGACATATATGTATCTCTTTGGGTACTTTCACCCGTTGAATTGTCTCTGCAGGAAGGTTAAGCAATTTTGAATGCTCATTCAATTCTTCTAAATTGAAGAAGGCTCTGTTGCAGTGTGTGCAAAGGTAGACCTCTTCCAATTTTGACGTAATCTTTCCAGGAAAAATTACACATTGGTTTGATGGCAAGTTCCCTTCACTATTTTCTTTCAGTGGATCCAGTGTTGTCTTTTCCATAATGAGTTCATTATTTAAATACAAAATTTTGTTTTCTTCTTGACTCTCATGGGACGAAGGGCTGGGAGCAAAGTTAATCTCAGAGAGTTCATCATTTTCCATTGAATTGTCAGGCATGAGAACGCTCCTGAGGAGACTTGATGATAGATTTTCACCATTGAACTGACCCAAAGCTTCCGAAAGTTTGTGGTCACCATCACTTGTACCTAGAATCAATGCCCTAGCATCATTGAGCAGGGCTTTGTAATCAAGGCCAGAGTCAGCGCCAACAAGTTTGATGATGTTTTCACTTGCCTCAGTGCTATCAAACAAGTCTTTTTCAAGCCTATCATATAAAGGTATCAAAGGAGGAAGCTTATCTGTTGTGGGTAGAGCTTTGCCCAATGAGGTAAAATCAGGATTTAAAATACTATTGATTGTGAAATCTTTACTAAAGTCTAGGTCTATTGTTACATAATTGCTATTCATCAGTCTCTCACTCATATCAGAATGTTCATTCGGTAAGAAATCGGCCGTTGTTGACAGCTCGATTAAATCTTCAGTCTCTTTCTCAGGTTTTCTTTCTGACAAGGTAGGAATGTCTTTGAGCATTTCCATTGATTTCAAGTTAGCGTCCAACATCTCAACATTCAGATCAAGGTTGTTACCGGCATTGAGTTGAACGTCATTCCGATTTTCTGCTGCTTTTCTTGTTGAGTCGCAGTTACTGCTATTGCTACTGTTCACCACACTACCAGAAGTATTTGATACCTTCACCACATGGTCTAGATTCATGTAGTTATCAATTTGATAACTTCCAGATGTAGTCCCTGTTTTTATGACAACGTTTGGGTCTTTACAAATTTCACTTAAGAAATGAGCTCCATAAGAGAGATTTTCAGATGCAGTTTCAGTCTTAGAAGTTGGCTCTTTGTCCTTCCTCCTTGATGGTTTTGATGTGTTCTCTTTGCTTTTAATTGCGCAGCAGTGTACTAGAAAAGCATCGAGCGATTGAAATTCCTGGGGAAAAAACCAAAGATACTAATTAAAAAACACCTACAGCCTTAGTGTGAAAGCTTCCATATGGAGAAAATTTCTCAATATCTTTTGGAAATATTCTGGGATAGCACCAATTTTGGCCATCATTTTTTCAGTCATCACCTTTAATTGTTAAATTTTCTGGGAGAGAGGAGGCAAATGGACATCATTTTTGGATTCTACCTTACTAAATGTACTGATCAAAACCTGATAATCACATGATGCATCCAAAGCTACTTGAATAATCGACCCTAAGAGATAATTTCCGTCACCATCTTGGATTTTGGTCAATTACAACCCACACATAATTTTGTCGGGCTGTAGAAAGTTCTTGACCTTGGAATCATTGGATTGCGATTGGTTGCAAACAAAAATCTAGAGGCTCCAAAACGGTCCGTAACAACGTAAGGGCTGTGCGCTCTATTGTAAAAATTGAGTATTTTCCAGTAATAGGAGGTAAAAATTATGTGTCCTTGAATAACGAAGTTCGGCCGACGTCAGTTTTTTTTTTAAATTTTGTGCAGGGTCTTTGAAATCCTAGATTACATTGTTCTAACTCAACTTTAATGACACTTCCCATATTATTTACATGAAAAATTATTTTTAGCTTCACTGATCTTCAAAATGGTAGATTAAAACCAAGTGCCACCGAGAAGAGTGGTAAAGTAGTTCAGGACCCGATTGTTTAAGCACATAATACTCTGTTAGTATGAGAAGTAAGTGATTAGATTTTCTTTTCTCTTCAGCTTATTTTTTCAGGAAAATTAACGATGATACTCACTACAAGTTGAAAAATGTCTGATTTTTCTAAGCAGGGAAATATGTAACGCAAAAAAAGAAATAATGGACTTTCTTACCTTGGAACATTCGGAGCAAGCTAAAGGTGCCTGAGGATTTGAGTGGACATCATACTGGTGTTTTTTTACAGCGTTTATGAAAGGAAATCTTTCACCACACACCTTGCAAAAGTATAGTCTCTTTTCAGCTGTTGTTTTGGTCCTCTTCTGCAAAAATAAATCAATTAGAACACCTAAGAAATTGTTTCAGATTTGCTAAATTTCAATGAAAGAATTGCAAAAAATTAAACCACCTGATAACAGCATGAAATTTATTTATGACAAAGCAAAGAAGACCAGAAAAAAATATCTCACACTGCTAAGCAGTGCATAAATTTTAGCTGGCCATTCATAAATTATGCAACACTAAATTTTTTGATCCTCCCTTTTCACTACGCTTTTGTTATGTAGGTTCAACACTAAGAAGAACTTGAGTCAATTTTCCACTCTAAGTTGATTACGGCAAATACTTTGACAAATTAGCTATTCTTCCAGAAAAATACAAGAAGATCCAACCTCAGGCAGCAAATACTACCCTCAGCAGGTGATAAAATTTGAAAATTGAACCAGAGTTTTAAAATAATGATATGAAATATATTTGCATCAAAGAAGCTTGTTACGCGCATTTAAAATTTTTGACCAATCTCAGGGTAATCTCTTAATTTACAAGAGTTTCTGTGACATTAGGTACATAATCTGCATTCCAGACTACCGTACAAGATTAGATAAAAAGCTTTTTTCAGCTGAAAAATTATCGAATTTAAATGACACTATTATTTTGGAATGAACTGAAAGAATGAAGCGAAAGAAAAGTTTAGAAGTATAGCATAGTTTGAAAAGAGTTACACTGTAAAGAAGAACAAAATCTAAAATGCAAAACGTGATGGAACAAATACCTCCAGGATACCATGGGCATCGAGCATGTGTTTCCGAAACAAATGAGGGGCAATTTGCTCGGAACAATGAGAGCATTGAATTGGTTTCGTGACAGCACGACAATATGCTTTATGGTCATTCAAGCTGGTTACTTGCGTGAAACGGCGTCCACAGGCACGACATATGTATGGTTTTATACCTATATAGTGCACAGAAATTAACAATAAAGTAGAAAACAAATTCATACAAATCCTGCTGTCTTTACTTTAGCATTGAAAGTGAATATAAGAATTAAGGTAACAGATTTGTCTCCATCTAAAAAAAGTGCAGATTAGTTCATAGTGGGGTCTACCATCTTTGAAAAAGAAACTTGAACAATAAATTAAAATATTTAACAATCAGTCTGAAAACAATTATCAGCAATTTTCAATTCTTGTATAATTCTTACAATTTCTAGAGGTCCTAAATTAGAATTCAGAAGAGGAAAAGGGGCTCTGTAGTAGTTTCATGTACACTTGGATTCATAGATCTTAGACTTGCTATGTTTAAGGGTGTCTTTAAGATTACCAGTGAGCAATTGAAACGACCTTGTTGAAGAGTAATTACGATAAAAGGACCTTTGCTAATAGCTATCAGAGTTTCCAAAAATAGCAAAAATAAGCTGTTGCCATATGCATCAGTTTTACCAGTTGATAGCTCAATCAATTGTAAACATACAGGGTACCTTTGACTGCAGTTCCATTGGTGCTGGCTGTTTCTAACAAAGGTTGCCTCATCGGAATGAATTGATACTATGGAATCAGAAGCACCAATAGCTTAATGATAAGGATTCATTTGAGCACCCCTCGTCATACCTTGCATTATCTCATCTATGAATGCCTATGGCTCGACCTAAAGACTTAAATAAGAGTCCCTGTGGAGCTGCCTATTTTTCTCAATAAGAAGAAAAAAGCCAGGACTTGTGAAAATAAAAAAATGTTTACTGACCAGAATGAACTCGTCGGTGCCGAATAAGATTTGAAACATGACTAAATCTTCTGCCACAGGTTTCACAGATGCAACCATTAACTTTCAAATGAATATTCAGATGCGTTTTTAAATCTGATGGTTTAAAAAACGCTTTTGAGCAGATCTGACATTTGAAAGACTTCTCCTTTTCATGAACACGCCGCCTGTAATTATTCACACAAAGTTTTTCACGTTGTGCCTGAGAATTTTTTTAAGTATTGAAAGGCAGCTATCGAAGACATTGAGAGAGAGAAAAAAAATTTGCCCCTGTACATTTACCATTTCAGCATAAGTTACTACTTCACAACAGTAACAGATGGTTTAGTGTTTGTGAAGAAGTTTCTTATTATCATTTCTTTTCGATTGCATGACTCACAGATGTTTTGAAAAATATAATGTACTTTTATTACCATTATATTTAAATATTTTGCAGTACCTAGGGCTGTTCTATCGGTTGTTGGTAAGCTACCAAAACAGTTCCGTTAAGAAAAAGTTACAATAAGAGCGCTCATGCTGATAGCAATCAGAGTTTTCGGAGCTGACGAAAATAAGCTGTTGCCATTTGTACATTTATTTTACGCGCCGCCGCGCCAGGCAATCTGATAAACCGACACACGGGGCAACAATGCATTGAGTGTGAGCTCTCAAAAATCCGATAAGGCCGGCTATTGTCGATATCATCTCCACTGTCGGTACTGCGCCAGTTTCATTAAGAGACGATATTGAAAGTGTTCCGGCAAGAATTCGTTTGAACACCTCTAGCAGTACCCCACTATTAAGTAAAAATCAATTGTGATAAAGTCATAGTACTTGAAAGGATTCCTTTCGCAGTGATCGAAATTTTTAGAGTAAAAATTTATATTTGCCTGTCGAGTGAGAAATATCTGAAGTCAGGGTAATGACTAGCCGTGACCACATTTTCACCAATTGAAAAATTAGGGGAAAACCACACAACAGCTCTACTGCCTGCAGGGTACTTTGCAAATTTCATGACGGTTCATCTTGGTCCCAGTGTTAGATATCAGAACCGACTTTTCCACACATACAAATCTGTTACTGTGCATGGCAAGTTCGAAAGTAATTCTATTTTACCAAAATTTTTAGATGTGTATTTTGGCCCTACATTGCAGAAACACTCGCCTAATAGTGGAAAAAGACAGACAGGTTTTTTGCTTTCCTGGAAATACAGAAAATTAGAAACCAGCCCAAGAAGAGGTAGTACTGTTTACAGCAAAAGCTCAACATAATTGAATCTAGACATAGTTGGTGATTTAGCCGAGTGCGATAAATTCAGTAAACAACTGAAACTCTGATTATAAACTCGGAAAAAATAATGCAAACTGCAAACGCTCAAAAAGCAAACTGTTCATAATAATTAAATCGGTCATTCTTAAAAAGACTTAAGTGCCAGAAACGAGAATTTAAAAAATAGTGAAACCTTGTAGACAGCCCGTTCTAAATCTTAGAGGTTAGTAAATGAATGGATGAGAAGATTTCAAAATAAAATCGAATTTTAGTTGTTTTGGAAATTTTACTACAATTCAAATAGGAAAAGAAACGAATTGATGCTTGAGTCTTTCAGAGAATGAACAGAATTATTCCGACATACTTTTCCCACTTAAAGGTTTATTTGTAGTATTTTCAGCCATAACATGCATGAAAACATTCATTTACACTTCCTCAACATAAAATACGATGATGACCTACTTACTGATGAGCGCTCATGCCTGCACAAATTTACTAAAATGTCAAAACCAGAGACAAATTTAGCCTGAAAGAACAAATATCTATCCTTCATCCTTGAAAATTTGAGGTAACTGAGTGCGGGATTCAAATCGAATCGTATCAAATCAAGGTAAGCGAGTTCTGTATAGCCCTTGGGCGCTAGAGTCTTTTTGGTAATGATAGGACTTTCCAGATGTTTTTTAGGCCATAAAAATACATTTTTCTACGAGTCACTTTGCAGAAGAATGAATCTATGCCCAAGCAATACCTAACCACCGAAAACTCAATTTTCAACTTTTTGGCGCTCAAGTTTTTTGGAGAATAACTAATTTTAATTGGTGAGCTACTAAATGGCTTAAACTCAGCTGGGCTCAATAGAAATTTCTGTTCAAGTCACCCTTTGATTGATACTGTGAGCAAAATAGATCATATACTTGGGACCTGGCAAAGAAATTCAAACTATCAACAAGTACTTACTAGCTTACTAGATATTAAAAACACATTTAAATCCCAAAATAGAGAGAAATTAAAGATATTTTGGAGAACAAAATTGCTATTCCATAGCACAGATCAGCAACTTCTTTCTCCTTTAATAAATATGATCAAGGAATAGGAGAAAAGAGCACTAACCTATGATAACTAAGCTGAGAATGTCTTTCAAATGTTTCATTGCAAATGGAACAAACGTGAGGCCGAAAATCTTGGTGGTATGTCCTCTCATGCCGTCGCAACTGATACTGGGTCTGGAATGAAGCTTTGCAGTGCTGACAAATCCACAACTGTTCACCTATATAATTTCATCAAACAAACAAAAAATTTGAACTAAAAGTGATCCTTCTTCTACCGTCTGGTAAACCTAATGGGTCTCACTGAGCAGAGAAAAAAAATTATTATACAATATTCCAAGATACAAAAGAACGAAACCTCATCTCAAAATTTGAAGAATTAGTCTTTGAGAGCTAGAATGAAGGAAAAAACAAACACGTCCTCTAAGTATTTTTTATTGCATTACATTTTGTCTCAGCAATTGCTTACTCAGAATACTGTAGTGATTTTAGTGAAAAATTCTCAAAGCAGCAAAATTATACAGAGAATTATATGAAATCTTATGCACTTTGCTCTCATTTAAAAATGAATTAAGATTGAAAAAAATTGATTATACCTTCAAATTGGACATAATCTTAGCTTTGATTTAAGCCCAAAAGGAGTGAGCCCAACAAGTAAATTTTCACCTGTGATGGATGCCTTGGAGAGGCAAATTTTTTCTCGGTACCTTTGCTGACTTTTCAATGAGAGCAAAATGGGAAAGATTTGGGACGACTTTGTAATAAGTTCACAAAGTTCTGACCTTGTATATTATGGTTGTTATCTTTGATAAAAAGAGGGTTAGTGGTGTCCTCACCACTACATTGGTGAAAGCCTATCTCATCAAGATTTCACACTTACTAGATTAAAATTTATCTATTTGTTTATAAAACAAATGAAATTTTGAAGGAATTGATATGAGGTTAGAAACTGAAGTTACCTGAATGTACATGAAGATGACCGTAATACTGTCGAGATTTTTCGAACTCCATACCACAAAATTCACAAGCGTACAAGGCATCTCCTTTTCCACTCTTCACTCTGCAAAAACATTGAAATTCAGAGGTTTTAATCAAACCAATTTTTCAAGTAAATTAATACTGATGAGGATGAGAAAGACAAGTGATGGAGGAGTAAAGAAAAACGGAGAAAGTAAGTATTTCAATTTCATGGAGGTAGCAGATGACTTTGGCAGAGAAATGAATATGAGGGGCGTTGGAAAAAGATAATCTTCAGTTCAAAAGTTAGAGGATTTGGAGCAAGTATTTTAAAGAGGGAAAATTCACGGAAAATACTAAATTATAAAGGAGACCGTTAAAAATTTTTTCAAAGAGGCATGGATAATTGCTTCAGCGGCCTGATTACTGAAATTTACATCAGCTCGACCAGACATCAAACATATATGTTACATGGTAAAAGCGGAGCTTCGTCTCATGTAGTCAACATAACTTTCAATAGTTTCAATAATTGGCTGCTGACTCCATGACAAGTCTTTAGCAGTCAGCGTAGCTCTTAGCTCATTGTTCCTCATTCTAGGGGCTAGTCCTAGATTTTGGTTAGGCTACTTACTTGCATTTGACAGGCTTGGTTTTTGGCATTTTGCACTCAACGATACTATTTTGGAAGACTTTGAGCCTCTCTTCAATGTAGTCTGGAGGCGGAGCTTCATTGGGCAGTGACTTTGCCGGGACTACATCCTCTTGTCCTTTCTCAGGTGGCTTCAGTTGCACGTTGAGTAAGTTGGGGAATTTACTTTCATTCAGTGATAAGGGCAATGGTACTGTGATAATGATATCATTGCTGAGCAGGTTCTTCAGATTCAGACTGTCTCCACTATTGAGGCTGTTTGGTGAATTATTCTTCAGTGGTAACAGACTGGAATCTAGGCTCTCACTCCCAGTCTCCAAGAGCAAAGGGTTTTCTTCTTCAAGATCTCTGTCAACAAAAGTCAAAATAAATAAAAAAAAACCCAAGAAAGGTTAATTTTAAATGCTGCAGTTTCAAAAGCACCTTAAAGTAATACGAGACATTTTGGAAAAAATTCTCATGGAGTGGACAGAATATACCAAACACTTTATAAGACCCCATCTTTTCGGCGAAATGAACTATTGTGTATTCAGAATAAAAGGCAACTATAAATTTCCTAAGAGAATGGTTTTTTATTTATTTATTTTTTTTTTTAATATGAGTAATCAAATGGAGATCCTGTAGACTCCTCAAAGACTCTATGTGTATTTTTTCAAGAAATCTTTTCTAATTTGAAAGCAAAAATTTTGTCAGACAATGGATAGGAATAGGAGGGGTAAACCTAAGAAATCATTTTAGGTATGCAGTCTATAACAAGTCAGAGTGGGCGAGTAGTAGCAAGATGGCAAGGTGGAAAAGATTTGGTACGAGCAGATAAAAGCAATTTCCTTGAAGAAGTATTTGTGGGGAAAAACAAATGAAAGGTCCTTGCAGTGAGAAGATTTAATATTGAGGAACAGAACATCAATTAAAAGGCATTCAAATCAACTCGAGCAGAGCATGATATGAATTTTGTGAAAATTCAGAGTAGGATAGTCTGAAAACAATAGGTGAAATCTTCAAGCACTTATTTGAATTTTATTTTGCATGATGAGGCCTGATTAAGAACAGAAAAATGTGTAATATGGACAGACTAAGACTTCACAACACTATCGGGATTCTCCATTAAATGAAATGGATTCAACTGATAACATGACCTTTTTCAATAATATTGATAGAAATTTTATAATAACATATATAGGTCTGAAACAGTTTATGATTCTTACGTGTAAAGGGGAATGATCTGTCCGTTGGCATCCAGCTGAAATGTGTCCAAGGCAGTGATATTATCCATATCCGATTTCAAGCTGGTTACATTCATATTTCCTGGGATGAAGAAGGATTGAGAGGTCAGTTCTGGCTCTACATTCGTCGCCATTCCTGTTGACAAAGGAGACTCAGACTGCACTCCATTGTCAGAATCGTTTTTAAACAAGATCATTACTGAGTCATTGGAGAGCGACTCACTTATAGTGCCTGAAAAGGTGAACACAACGTCCTATTAAAACAAAGAGTTGATATCCTGCAAAGCACTTCGAAGATAAATTGAGAATTTTTCTTTGAACCTAAAATGACAGAGTCAGAGCTATGAGAACTAGAGATTTATCCGTGTGTATCAAACTTCAAATTAAAATTTGCATGATGTTCAGACATGGGTAATTAGTCACAGAACATACCGACAGAAGGATCAATTTATGAACCGATATTGATTTTTAATTTGGAATTGACCACACTTTATTTGAAATTTAAGTTCCTCATGGCTCAGCCACAAAGTGAATACAAAGAGTTGTGATGGAATTAGTGGAGCTGAGGTCCATTTGAAGCCACTTGTGCACCAGAGATCAGTAGGCTGATCATGGAAACTCATCATAACTTGACATTGAAAATCGATACGTCACATTGGGAGTGCGTCTCAGTATACCGTGGTGGGAGTCTCAAAAATTGGCTTCCCATAATCACTATAAAAAGGCAGTGCCCGACGGCTAATGCACAAAACAGTGCTGAACAACCAGCACGGGCAAGACTACGACTTCATCAGTCTGAGCGTTCATTTGGCTTCCTCAATTTCATTGCAAGGCTCCATGTACTCTGCGTGATCAATTAGCAAGTGAAATTCAACCAGAGGCCATATGGAATGTTCAAAGAAAAGTCAGCCAGTAAAATAAGGTACAGTTTCTTCAATTCGGATATAATTTCCACAAACTCATCCACACTTACCACTGGGCCATGGTGTTGCGTTCTCCATTTGAAAGCAAATAAGTTCTGGGCAACAGCTACAGATAAAAACGCGTGAAAGTATTCATGATAATCTAACAAGCGGACACATTGATAAGAGGCGAAAAAAATGGGTATAAAGAGAGTTGAAACATTATTATTCTATGATTTAATGTTGTAAGCAGCGTTTTGACTTTTTTTTTTGAGCACTGATTACCAAAAAACCAAAACACTGCTCGCCATTTGCTGTGTTGCCACACTTATCTAGTTTAATGGAAGGATATTTGATCTATTTTTTCGGGCTTCGGGGAAGATAGGGATCAAAATTGAGTCTGTATCGAGAAAAATTATAATTTTTTGAGAGAATTTAGACAATAAAAGTAATATTTGATATAAAAAAAACTAAAATTAGTGAAACAAACAAAGCAGTATAAGAGCGGCAACAGTGTTCTTTACTGTATATAAACAAAATACTATACACATAACCTAACTTTTCTACTTCACTCTTCACTCCTCTCTCGACACCCTCGACCCCCTCAGTTCCTTGACCAATTTTACCAAATTTAGCAGTCTTTCTATTTATGACCATTGTTACTATTAGATCCATTATTTCGGCTTGTATCGTGTATTGTAAAAAATATCCTACCTGAACAACACCCAATCAACATCATCATACAAATGGCACGAACTGCTACCTAGTTTGAGAACCAAGCAGGGGCAACAGACGTGAGTAATTTGTCATCAATATTTAGCTTTGTAACGTAGCTTTTATTTAAGGGTCCACGCCAAAATCAGCTGTAGTCAGTTTAGTAATTAAAGCTCAAATCACATGCTGAATATGGGCAGCTGAATGTGGTAGTCATCAGTCCGTTGTTGAATGGTGCCCTGACTTTTGCGCTCGATGGCTCCTCAAGGGCACGGATGAGGATCAGGACTCAGCGGTCATCAGTTTGTCTTAACTAAATGAATTAGCTTAATACAAATGTGGATGAAACAGACCTAAAAGTATGAAAATTCAACCGTAGAGCAACAACATTCTGCTCCTATATTCAGCTGCCAAATTCAGCGTGTGATTCCAGCACAAGTGTTTTTTTTTTTAAATCTGGTACACGGTGAATTGCAATGAAAATCGTTATTTTTTTATTCTGTTCCTCAGCCGTGCTCCAAGCGTTCCAGTGGATCGGGTTGGAGCGGATTGATCCCTCTTCTGAAATGGGTTGAGATCGCGTTCCAATGTGATCCTAGCATAACTCGAGAAGGTTTCCGTCCTTATCTAGTTTTCTCATATTTCGTTATCACGTTTCCGACTTCTTGACATGGACCAAGAGAATAGATGTTTGTTAATATTTACTATTAATTATTTATTATTAATTATTATTTATACCATTAATAATTATTATATTAATTATTTATTAATATTTATTCTCTTGGTCCATGTTCTTGATTCAAATCAGTAAGTACGAACAAATAATAATAACAAATCAAAACAATAACCAATCAAAATAACCTTCAAGTTTGAGTTTTATTATCACTTGGAACGCTTTGGATTGGTTTAGATCAGTCTGGATCAGCTATTCTTCTTCTTTTGTCGGGCGTAAAATTGGATTGTGTGATAGTGACACAAGAATACAATAACTCGATGAAAAGTTGCAGAGAGACTTGAATGTCACATCACCTTCAACTTGCTGTCCAACTTTCCATCCGATCTGCAGTGCCAGTTGGACGATGAGTTGAAACAAAAACTTCCAGCCCACATCACTGAAGCTGATCTTCGCGAGCTGGAATCTGACAGAAATGCCCAAATGCCAATGTCTGGTACTAAAGCAATATCACACGGCAACAGTAATTGAATCTAAAAGTGTACTTTCAATTCTGTGGTCAGAAATTCTTGTTAGCGCTCAATCTCAGAAACAGCCTAACTGATTTTCCTTTGATTTTTTCGATGATTACTCTGGAACTATAAATGTGCTCTTGCTCACAGCCTTTGATTTTCCCATTCTTGCTACTGACAATACATTTTTAGTTTTCTTTCGAATCAACATCTTTTCAACTATGTGGTCTAACAGTTTAATTTGTTTGACTATCAAAACTATTTGACCAATTTTTTTTTTTTTTTATTTGTTTGAAGTGGAAGCTTTTAATATGTAGATGTGCCTACAGCCTTTGAGTTTTTTAGTATTGCAACTGATGTTACAAAATTCTATGATATTTACGGAATATACCTTTAATTGGATGAAATTAATTAATTGCTAGCTTCAGATCTCAGAACCTGCTCAACTACATTATACATCAGATTTTTAAATAGAGGCTCTTGATTTTAAGATAACCCTACAGCCTTCCATTTCTTTACTTTTACAACAGATTTTGTGATCTTTGAATTTAATGCAATATATTCCAATCTCCATTATCATATCCTAGTTTATTTTATTTTTTTTAATTTCTTACAACAGTGGTTGCAAAAAGAACCAATGGCTTTAACAGCATCTACACTCTTTAAATTGAGAAATCGTTCAGGTCATAAAACTTTCTAAACTAAATGGTTTAAAATTTTTTTGGAAGTTTTTTGAGGTTTTGAAATAAATAATGTCTTACCTTGGAAATTAGTGTATTTTGCAAAACCTTTGCAACATTTGCATAATTGAAGAACATATTCTGAAGAAAGCGCAATACATTGTTAATTTCTAAACAGTGCATATATTTGTCATTTTTCTGTTAGGGAATAAGTCATGAACAATTCCTCACTCTTGCTGAAAAATTCTTGCATACATTATATGAGTGATGGATATTTTGAGAAAAAATACATTATTATCACCAAAATGATTAGTATACAACTCAAAAATTGAGGTACCTAGGTGGAAATTTTTTTGGTTTGGTTCAGAAAAAATCTTACACCTGTGTACAGTAATTATAAGTTGTACAAGCATCTAAATTGTATGTCCTTCGGCAAGAAATTTTTCTAAATGTGATGAATTTTTATAGAGTACACACCAAAGTAAGTCATGGAAATGATCAAAGTCAGTCATGGAAATGATCAAAGTCAGTGTGATTTTGCTTTTGAAGTCAAACATTGTTAGCCTTTAATGGTGAACATTTATGTGTTTTTGTTTTTTGTTTTGTTTTTCTATTACTATTCATTCATCCCATTTCACAGAGACCTCTCTTCATCATTTTGATTTCAAGCTGCTGTTAGCTAACTATAATATCCGCGAGAAAAGTTTTCAAAGTTAGTTCATCATTTTGAACAGGATCTTTTGAGTAATTGTAATCAGAAAATGTTTTACGTTCTTTTTTGCTGTAGATCATATTCTCTACGAGCCCCCCCCCCCCCCCCCCNATTCCTCTCATCGCATTGCAGTGGTATGCTATGCTTCTCTTCCTTCCGACTACCCTCACCTCCTTTGAGCAAGATTAGAATTTCCTCTTTTTTGATGTTTTCAATAGATTTTTTACGTTTCTGATTTTTGCTTTTCAAATTCTGCTTTAGACACTTGCTTAATCTTTGCCTGGGTCTTCTCCTGCTGATACTTTTTCTTGCTATTCACTGAAAAAAGAGAAAAAAGTAAATTATTGAAATTGTCAGTTATTAACCCATGATACTATCATAGGCAGCATTGATAAACTGGATTACATTTTGCAAAAAGGAACCTAGAGCATTCCAACTTCGCTGAGATTGTACACATTTTTTTACTTTGCAATTATAAATTGATCATCTAAACAAGTTTCATCTTTACTCCCATTGAACTATGAATTCAAGACGAAAATTACCTTTGTAAATTTAATTTTTTGAATGATTGCAGTATTCTATCTTAAAGAATGTAAGTTGCACAATCCTAGCAACATTGGAATGCTCTTGGTTCCTTTTTGCAAAATGCAATTCAATTGTGCTATAATTGATTTTTTTTTTTTTTAAATTTGTCGAAACTTTTACAACTTTTTCTCGATATTCTACCTTGCTGAGAACCGTCTTTTAGTTTGTGGGTATACTCATCAATTATTGATGGGTCCAGTGAAAGGAGTTTCACTTGACCATGTACTATTTGGTAAGAATATGCAAGGAGCCCCTGCCATCTGTCTGCTTCTATTTTTGAATACAGGGGCATGCGGGTGGTTTCACACAGCATGCTCTTACTGCTCTCTTCGCTATCACGGCAGCATAATTCTCGCAAGGCACTGTACAGCTGGTCAAATAGGAAAGCCAATGATAGCCCGTATCAACGACTATGGGTCAGAGATGCACTCTCATGAAACTTTCTAAAATTTGTTGAAGGTTTCATGCGCGCCCCTGAAAAATCTTCGAAATTTCGTGGAGAATGAATTTTCAATTTTCAGCAAAATTGTCATTCCGTGAACTTTCTTTTTGCACCCCTGACTGCTGTGGCTGGCGTTACTGAGCGCAGAATTTTTCTGAGCATTTTTTCCGATTTTGACGCTATTGTTTTAATCCAGAACCGGTGGGTTGCGCTGGCAGTAGCTCACTCTTCGAGTGATCCATAATGTAACTACAACATAGCTGAGCAATGCGAATTGTATACACTGGGATCGAATTTAGTTGGTCCTTCCACCGTACTTAAATTTACTTAGAACGAGTCTCGACTGCACTTGAGTCCGGCTGAGCGCCTCTGATTGGCCGGTGGTGCGGTGTTGACTCAGCGATGGATGTCGCACTTCCACGTGAAAGAGCCGACAAAATTCGGCCCCTAGAAGACCGTGTTTCCTCCTATTGGAGGGGCTGGTCCACTCCACGGCCACCGTGACGGATTTTAAACTCTCCTTTAAAACATGCCATTACCGGAGCTGGAACCCGGGACTTCAGTGTTGACTGTAGACACCTAATTGTTTTAACCACTTCACCTAGCACCACCGATGCTGTCATATGCAAAGAAGCCCCCTAGGCTAGTCCACCCTTACCCTCCCATGGCCCTACTATTCTATTTTACGCATCAGTAACCCATTCCTGCGCGCACAAGCCTGAATTTCTAAATCTAAAATCCCTACGCCACTGACCGGTGATAAGTTTTGCTGGCGTATCCAGCTTATCGTGTTTGGTGTCGCTTGTAACGCTCACTTCATAGCCAACTTTGTAGATTGACAGTGGAATAACAGTCGATGATACTGGCAACAGATCTGTAACAAATGAATCATAAAGCAAAACTACTTAGACGACATTCATACCTCAAGTCTATCAAACTTTTCAAAAGAGTTCATGTCAAATTTTGGTGGAAGTCATAAACATTTTTAGATCAATCGTGTGAAATAAAAGTGGGTTGGCGCTGCGGAAAGCAGCTCGGACCCTCAAAGAGAGGCGATCTACTTGGGATAGTGTGTTAGGGCTCGACAAATAGAATAGGCGCAAAAGCTACCGGTGTATAGGCAGGGCCGGATTTACCTACTTGCCGCCCCCTTCTCATTCGTTTTGAAACATCAATAAAAACCATCAAGTGAACGTGCCGGAGGGGGAGGGGTACATAAGACGCGTTTACCTACTCGTGTTGGATGCATTTTTTTGCGGAAGCCCTGTCAACACTACTAGCAAAGTTTCACGAAACTTTGCGCGAAAGTCAAGTTCCGTAAACCTATTTCTGTGTGGACAAGGTCCTGCATTTATAAGAAATGAACCAAAAAATTATGAAAGAGCAAACATAAATGTGGTTTAATGATTTTAACTTGCGCCGCTGCGACGCGCTGATCGCACTGTGTTTGGCGCAATGCGTGAAGTATTCCTGCAGTCTTGAAGGTGCTATGCGTTTCGCGCCAACCGCTCCTGACCGCGCGCACTGTGTTTGGCGCAATGGGTGAAGTATTCATGCAGTCTTGTAGGCGCTAATATGTGTTACATGCCGACCGCCGCGCTGAGGGCTTGTCCTTCCTTTTCATCTCAAGTCCTCGTCATTCTCATCATTCCTCTCTACGCTGAGCTCCAGACCAAATTGCGTGTTTAGTTCCTCTCTTATCTCGACTAATTAAATATGCTGTCTATGTATTTTGTATCACCGAAAAACAACAAAATTAGAAATTACTTTACTCTGAGGTAAGAGAGATTTTGTCTCTTTTTCTCATTGATATTTTTTTTTCTGGATCCGATTTTTTTTATACACACACTTAAAAAAATTTCAAAATTTGCCGCAATGGGCCGCGGCCCATTAATCCGGCCCTGTGTGTAGGTTGAAAAATCGCGCACATTCTTCCTAAATTTTGCGACCTTCCTAGTTATCTGGATTGAGAAAAACGTTTGGAATAACGGAAAACACCGGCTTTTTATTGCTTGCAATTTTCTTAGAATGTTCCTCTTACTATAAGAAAAAGCAGGGAGGTTTTCAAGAAATGAATTTGAGTATTTCTTCATGTAGAAAATTAATGACAAGAAGTTTGCAACCGAAATTAGGCATGCATTTTCGGATCGAGTCACGTCATCGTTATGCTTTTTTCACTTTTTCCTAACTTTCACCATCCAAACCGCTGCGCCATTATGTGACACTCAAGGCACCGAAAAATTCAGTTTTTCCATCAGGTTGGGACCGCAAGCACATACGATAGTAGCAAATTTCATCATAACAGTAAAACAAAAATCTAGAGCACAAAATATATTAAAAACTAGTCAACGCTTTTCATGGGCGAAACTAGCATGGAGGGGGGGGAGGGGGTGCTCTTGGTAGAAATCTACTCGGTCCTTCCCAAAAAATGTGTGAGGCTGAAACGCTGGACCCAAGAGACTGCCTTACAAAAGTAGCGTCAAGGGAATATCTACCGAAAATACTTAAACACTCTCTGATTGTGCTCGAAAATATAAAGGGTCAAGTGAACATTCACTGAAAATATACAGCATTTCCGGCAACGTCAGCTGAGCGCCGGAAAAATTCTCTGAAAAACTAGTCAACGCGCGTAATTCATCAAACACTTCCTGGATTTTTCCTATCCATCAACAGAATGTTCTGTGAAAATTTCAAGCTATGAAGTTGGTCTGTTCCTTCTCGAAATAATAAAATATTAGCGAACATTTTGAAACATTGCCATTGCAATGGAGATACGTGGTTTCGCACTTTAGCCATCGGAATATTTCCATATAGTCCTCTGTAAGCTGCGTCCCCAAAAAACTTCGGCTCTTAAATGTCTGAAAGCGATGATTGCAAAATATTTTTTATTTCGCTGTGGCAATAAACTTGGGCCTCAAACGGCAAGGCTCTAGAGAAGTGAGGTGACACCGCCCTCGCAGTGGGTTCGCACGCGGGCGCGCGCGCCTCTTCAATATTGCGACGAACCAAATATGGTGTCCTCCACTTCTCAATGCTTACCATTACTGTCCTAGCTTTTCCACCCACTTTCCTCTTGCCGTATTTCACATCACTTGAATATGTTTCGAACGTAACGAGGCGCGCAGGTGATTCAATCAGCTAACAAAAAACTCCCCATCCAACGATTTTCTTCCCAATATTTAAATGTCACAGATGCATATCGACGGTGTAAGTCGGCAATCGCATGACTCGGTTTGCGACGTCGCAGACTTCCTGACATACTTTATTTTTTAAACAGAAAACTGCTTAGCGGAAATCCTTTAAACCTGCCGTGATTTTTCTTCTCTGTGCGAAGAAAATTCTCCAAAAACTTCAAGGGGTGACGTCAATTTGTTCTCCTTTAAAAAAATAACATGGAGGCGGAGATTTTCAGACACCGCAAACGAGTTATGTGATTGCCGACTTACACCGTCGATATGGCACAGAAAATGGTCCACTGCCCGGCTGCAGTATCGTTACAGCAGATTTTAGAATTTTTAGTGGTCAGAAACTCAATTCTACGAGTAGCTTCCATGTCAGACTCACTGGAGAACTCAAAAGCCTTAAAGCCGCATAGGTGATTTTTTTTTTTTTCCTTTGTTTTTTTATAAAATTATTTTAGGTGGTTTATTTATCTATAGCACGCTCACGGGTGGAACTAGGAATTTTTTGAGGGGCCAGAAGGGGATCTTATCGAGGAGGATCCTAGGATGGGGGGCACTAAAAGGTACCTTTCTGCCGTGCTAAGGAAAACCGCCGTATGAGCCTTCAGGCGTTGCCAAATTTCCTTCAACAAATCACGAGTTTTCAGGAAAGTTTGTGAATGTTTTTTCTCCAATATTTTAGAGGATTTTGTTCGTAATTGTATCTGAAATTTCTGAAAATTTCAAGGAGAAATATGCACAACTCTCTTGAAAAATACACGATTTATGCGGGGAAATTTGGCAACTCTCGAATGTTCATACGGCGTTCTTCCTTAGAGCGGCAGCTTACAGAGGGAAGTCTGTGGAGTGTGGACTCCCATATAACTCCTAGGAAGATTCGGGGGATTTCCCTAGCTTCAAAGAAGGTCCGAGGAAAATCTTGAAAAATTGACTCGTCCTATATAGGAGCAATTTTTAACAGTCTTCACCGGAAAGTTGATCCAGTCACAATTTCAATAATGAAAAGTTTTACGTGCTCTATCACAAAAATCCCTCACATTTCTTGGGAGGGGCTGAGTTGATTTCTAGGACCCCCCCCCCCTCCCTTACAGTTCCTCCCAACTCCCAAGCGTATATTTCTACCAGCCTCTCGTTTCTATAATGTTTAGCAAATCAGCCCCTCATTTAATCTGCAAGAACTTCTAGCAATTAGTATACCTATCGACTTCCTTGTTTACTCGCCTGTTTGTCTGGTTGGTTGTTCAATACCTCAGTTGTCTGGTTGTTTACCTCGCTGGTGAAACTAGAACAGAATTTGCGATGCTCCAAATTTTTCATTATAGGTATTTTATTTTTAAACTTTACACCTCAAGCAATGGTATTTTTCACAGTTTGCATGAGACATGACGCTTACTCTCGGTGTGGAAAATATTCCGTGAAAATTTCAAGCAATAAATCTAGCTACTTTTTCTTTGAGAGTAAATGGGACTTTAAATTAATAAAATCAGAGGGAATTTAAAACGCTGCGTAAACGAGTATTTAAAAGAGCGTTTTCTAATATCACCATAACTATCCAGCTAACATACTTTATTTAGTTCATACCGGGTTGAAATTTATCTTCCTCATTTTTTACGTAGACAGTAGGTCCTGCAACCACCGCATATACGACATTTGCCAAGATGAGCGTCACCCCTAAAATATGTGGGTTCATCATTTTCTTTCCTGTAGCCCTGTGAACAGAAACAGATAGTAAATAATACTTTCACATAGTTAGATCTTTAAAAGGGTATTTTTAATAGTTTTTCAGTGTCATCTTATGTGTCAATAAACATGCTAAATGTTACTTACATCGGTCTGTTTCCAAAGTTATTGACGGTGTAAGTCTGCAACCACATATCACGTTGTGGTGTTTGAAAATTCTGAAATTGGTTGTATCCTTTAAAGGAGAACAAATCTACACCATTCCTTGAAGTTTTTACAAAATTGTCTTCGCACAGAAAAGAAAAATCATTGCAGTTTTTAAGAATTTTCGTAGAGTAGTCTTCCATTCATAAAATATAGTATGACAGGAAGTCAGCAACGTCGCAAACCGAGATACGTTGTTGCGAGATTACACCGTCGATATACCCTTTAACTTGGTCCCTATTTGAGCCGAAGAATGTCGATTTTGATTGGTAAGTAACATACTCAAATCGATGGTAAAAATTGTTTGGAACGGTTGCTAGTCCCCATTCTCTCAAACGGACTTCTTTCCTACTCTGACGCTTAGTGTACCTACCTATGTTGGTATTTGTGTAGGGAAACTCAGCACAAAGAAAATAATTAAATTTTAAAGAACCTTTTAATAAGTTTTGTGACCAATTTGATATTGGCAGTCTAGTCAGGATTTATTTTTTAAAGGGACGTTCGAATTGATGAACACATGCGGTGCTAATTTTTCATAAATACGTTGTATTTAGAAATTCTCCCTGTATCCGCCGTGATCTACCTACATGAAATTTTGATGATGTAACGCGTGTCGTGATGATTTAATTTTTAAAATCCAGTGTTTCATTAAAAAGAACACGTAAACATCAAGTAAAAACCCGCCAAACGTGAAATTGTACAAAACTAAGAATCTGTGAGGAATAATCTTTTATCATTAAAATTCTCGAAATTAGTCTCCGTAGAAAATGTGCTTTACTTTTTGTACTACGTAGGATCAACTTAAACTATGCATTATCATGCAAAGTCCGGATTTTATATAATACTTTTACGGGCAAATGCCGAAACCTGGGCACATCGAGAAGTGTCCACAATATTTTCGGCCGACACTGAACTGAACGTTGACTTTGGGATTTGCCTGAGTGGATCACGATGATCCGAATTTTGTTGAAGTCTAAAAACCAATCATATTAATGCTAAACATGGAATAAAATACCAAATATGCAACATAAAATTAAAACATTTGAATTCATGGAGAAAAATGTAATTTTATTTAATTGCATTTTAGTTGTAAAATTATTTCAATACTTTTATTGCACTGTGCTATACTACTCGAAGCGGTAAACAAAGGGCCAGGGGGGGGGGGGGTGGTGGTGGTGGTTGTTGTTGGAGGGGGTAGCGTTAGTTCTCGGCGGGGTTTGAAGTAGAAAAAGATACAACGAAGGAGAAAAAGCTACTGTGGTGTTTCTACCTGGTAACAACATGTGAAGATGTTTTTCTACTTTTCTACTCCTGCGTTTAAGTCTCCGTGAATATGCACGTTAAAATAAGCGTTAGTGGTGAAATATATAATGAAGTATGTTCCCCCATGACAGTTCTACGTATCACGGCGCAGAGTGGATCGAGTCAATAGGACAGGTCGGACAAAATTTGGAAACTTTAAAAGCTTATACTCCGCTCAAACACAACTTTGAGGTTCTAAAAGTGGTTTCATTGGTTTTCTCGTGAGATTTTCTTCTGCATATATCATATATCCCCCGAGACAAATCCCAGAGTCCCATTGGCGGATCCAGATACTTCGAACAACAAACGGACGGGAGGTCCAGGGGGCTTTCCCCAGAAAATTATCGAATTTTAAAAGCACACGGAAAAAAAAAAAGAATTGCTGGTTCAGCAATTCAATTGCTAAAAACAGTAAGTGCAATGTTTCAACGCAGATTTTACAACAAAAAATGCTACTTTAACCACCCCTGTGGTTAAATTAGTTTACAATGTGGTTAAAGAAGCATTTTTTTGTTGTAAAATCTGCGTTGAAACATTGCACTCACTGCTTTTAGCTAATTGAATTGCTGAATCAGCAATTCTTTTTTTTTCCGTGCATCTAATGTGCAGTTCGAGTCCATTTCGTCACGATCAACTGCCAAATACAAGCGTCATTCCCTCGTATTTCCTCCGACCCTTCCGTCTTTCTTCATTTCTTTTTTTTTCCTCCTTTTCTCGGGCGTGTGCCAAGAGGACTAGAGGAGCCCCCCTTGGATCCGCGTCCAATTCGGAATTGGCCCAACGCAACGCTTCGTGAACACTTCGCATTTTTCCGGGCAGATCGCGATGCACCGAGGTTCCGGCATTTGCCCGTAACATATACTGCCGTGCTAAGGAAGAACGCCGTTTGAACTTTCGAGAGTTGCCAAATTTTCTTCAGTAAAATCGTTTTTTTTTCGAGGAAAGTTATGAATATTTTCCCTTGAAATTTTTAGATTTTTTACATCAAATTTCGAACAAAATATTCTGAAATCCCGGAGGAGAAATATTCTCAAATTTTCCTGAAAATTAGTAGTTTTTCGAAGGAAATTTGGCAACGCCTAATGGTTCATACGGCGTTCTTCCTCAGCACGGCAGTCGTATACTTAAACGTGTGCTTTCAATGAAGAAACTTAAATGATAAATGCAAAAACTTCTGTAAAAATTAGGCTTTATGACTTTAGATCTCCCCTGATCGTAAAATCAGTTTTCAAAATTGCATAATATTTCTATCACTAATTCCTTCATCGTTTATTTTCGTCTCAGTTATCTAAGGTAGAGGGAGAAATAAAGAGTCTAACGGAAGAATTATAGTGAATAGATAAGCATGCAGTTAGGCAAGCTAGGTGCGTACCTGAGGGTTTTCCTGTCGGTGCTAATCTGTGCGAGTGCGAATGATGAGTGGTCTTTTGCCGTTGCTGAGTCTTTACATTGGGTCGTGTACCATGTGTCTGCAATTCCACTTCGGGAGCTAACTCAAGTCGCCTTGGCCACGACGTAACGCGGCTCGGCCCACTCACATAGAGAGTAAAAATATTCAGCATACACACTCGTGAGTAGTGAAAGTCGTGCAATATTATAGTATCGCTTATCGCGGAACCCGTACCCTGTCGCTAGTCCCGTAACAGAGACTGATTTAGTGCTAGTGCACTCGCTACCGTGGTGATCTTCGTCGCAGCATCGGCAAAAGCTACATTGCTACATCCGTATAAGAAGTCTAATCCGTTCGTCATCTAAAATGTTCCGCTTCTACCCAATTGAGAATCCGTATCGATGGAGAGCTTGTCTCAATGATTCTGTGAGCAGGCTCGTTACTCTAAAACTGGAGGCTCTCGAAAGGAGGGTATGGATTCGATCAACACGGATCGATCGGAAAATAAAAACGTGAATAGATGGCCATAAACCGATCGACACCAATTCAACCGACAAATGGACGTATTTCTGTCAAACGGAACTAAGCGCCAATTTGAGTTCTTTTTGAGGAATTTTGAATGCCGGATAGCGCATTTTGTCAAACGGAACTAAGCGCCACGGAAAAGCATTGCGAATACAGGACGGAATAAGCTTGACGCCCGGATCCGCCGCCAATCCAAGTCCCCCTCTACCTTCCTCCCCCTATGGCGCTTAGTTCCGTTTGACAGAAATACGTCCAAATTATTGAAAAACCCGGTGTCGAACATGAATCGATCGAAAAATAAAAACGTGAACCCATCGACGTGATTAGATCGATTGAATCGGCATCAATCGAATCACGTCGAGCGGTTCACGTTATTTTATTTTTCGATCTATTCATGTCGATCAAATCGACGCCGTTTTTAAAATAATTTTTCGATCAAATCGGTGTCGACCGATTCACGTTTGTACTTTTCGATCAAATCGGTGTCGATCAATTCACGTTTTTACTTTTCGATTTGATGCATGTCGATCGAATCCATACCCTCCGCTTCTTCGAATCCATATCCTACGCTTCGAAAGGGTTCATTCGAAGGGTTCATTTATATTACAATTTTATGGTTTCGTTTAAGAATATCGTTTGCACCATTAGTTTCCTTATGCACACAAGTATTTTTACGGATAAGCCAGAAATTGTAGTTCCGAATAGCAAAATGTATATCATTCCATTATGTTGCGGAGCAACGAGGAGGCCTACACGTAAAATTTGTTTCACTTGTATAGTAATGAATTTCATTTATATTACAATTTTATGGTTTCGTTAAATTTAAGAACATCGTTTGCACCATTAGTTTCCTTATGCACACAAGTATTTTTACGGATAAGCCAGAAATTGTAGTTCCGAATAGCAAAATGTATATCATTCCATTATGTTGCGGAGCAACGAGGAGGCCTACACGTAAAATTTGTTTCACTTGTATAGTTCTATTTCAAATTATTTACAGAAATATGTAAATAAAGAGAAGAAAGTTATTTGGATTCTATGTAATTTTTTATCATTCGAAATGACAGTAAATCCAACTAACTTTACACAAAAACTTTAATATCCTTAGATGAAAACCGGTGACGCCGCAAGTTTGAATAATCGCGTCAAACATAGTGCGCGCGGCGCGGCGCGGAGCTGGCAACGCATGGTAGCGCCTTACATGACTGCAGGATACTTCATGCATTGCGTGTATATCACGGTGCGCGCTTCAGTCGTTGAAAAGTCGTCTTCTCTTGGCGTACACAATTTCCGAGCAGTGCACATCGCGAGCCTGCGATTCCATGATCAAAGGGTTGCAGAGATTTTGCAATCCTGTAAGTTTCCTGGTGAAAACACAATTTACGAGTGAACATTTTTCAAGTTGGAATGCTGTTATTACCTATATTCTATCGTCCGGATATCGTCGACTTAGCTCACTTCTAGAAAGAGAAAGTGGACTATTTTCTCATTACAAATGTGGTACAATTTCCAGGGAGATATCCTTGGTATCACATTCACACCAAAATTAACTGTGGCAATCGAGCCTAACTTCGGCAATTTTTGACTGTTGTCATGGACTTGTGCCGTTATCACGAGTACAAGTGTACTGCAAATATATTGACTTTGGCCTTCAAACGGCGATTTTACATATAGAACCGTAAATTAAATTTTTTGTTTAACATGTTTTCTCCTGACTTAGCATTTTTTCCTCCACAGGAATTACTGGAGTTCAACTCAATTTCTTCACCATGGTCGAAAGTTGCCAGGATGATTTCCTAGCCCATTACAAGTTCATAACTGGAAAATTAAAGAAGTAAGTGAGTGGACGATATTTCAAACCGCCTACAAGTACTTAACATATTAATCGTGTTCGTTTATAATGATTATATTTCAAATTTTGCGTGTCTGATTGTTTCCTCCATATGTACCATAATTAGCAAAGCACAATTAGCACAATGCAATGGGAAAAAAATGTAATGAACATTGCGATATTAATATAATAAAATTGCAATATTTTTACATACTTTGTTCAATGAATGCCGATTTTCAAGAAGCAACGTGATGTGTGCCGTGTATCAGAAAGATAGACATTTTGGATGCAATGAAAAATTGCAACTTATTTTAATTGCATTGCAATGAATCTCAGCATTGCTGAGACCAATTTTAGACACTGTACTGTTCTCGATTTTGTTCAGTTGAAAGTCACCGCAAAAAAAGCATACACTGGGGAAAAAACACATTGGATCTAGAGTCCAGACTCTTGAAAACACTGACAAGAAAACATACTCTTGATTCAATCAGATTTAAGCTTAAATCAGAAGGAAATCCGCTCAAATTAAGAGGCTTGGTTCTTGATTCAAGCAAAAATCCGAAGAGTATTTTTTCTTGTCGATGTTTTTAAGAGTCTGGACTCTAGATCCAACGTGTTTTTTTTTTCCAGTGTAGACCTCTGTTTAATGCAATCTAGACCGCGCGCGTACCTATGGATCTTTTGATGAGCCGATAGTAATGGGGTAGCTTGCAGGATAGTGTGATTCAGGGTGCCAACATATGATGAAAGTGCCATTTAAGGCATGTGCCTAGAATGATGATCAAGATGGTTTTGAACCAGAACATTCGTAGTAAGATCAACGCCGCACAGTGGATCGAGTCAATCAGAGAGGTCAGACATGAAATTTTTGACTAAAACTGCAAATTTTGATGTTTAATTCGTCACATTTTAAATTTCAAGGGGTGTTTCCAGAAGGAAATCTCATGAGAAAACCAATGAAACCACTTTTAGATCCTCTAAGTTGTGTTTGAACGGAGTATAAGCTTTTAAAGTTTCCACATTTTGTCCGACCTGCCCTATTGACTCGATCCACTCTGGGCCGTGATACGTAGAACTGTCATGAGGAAACACACTTCATCATATATTTCACCACTAACGCTTATTTTAACGTGCATATTCATGGAGACTTAAACGCAGGATTAGGAAAGTAGAAAAACATCTTCACATGTTGTTACCAAGTAGAAACACCATAGAAACTTTTTCTTCTTCATTCTATCTTTTTCTACTTCAAACCCCGCCGAGAACTACCCCCCTTCCCTCCAACAACAACCACCACCACCACCCCCCCCCCCCGGCCCCTTGTTTACCGCTTCGAGTACCTAGTATAGCACAGTGCAACAAAAACATTCAAATAATTTTACAACTAAATGCAATTTCGTAAATGTTACTATAAATTCCACCATTTTTTTCTCCATGAATTCAAATGTTTTAATTTTATGTTGCATATTTTGTATTTTATTCTATGTTTAGCAGTAATATGATTGGTTTTTAGACTTCAACAAAATTTTGACGTCAATTTTTTTAAAACTTTTTTAAACGTAAATTTTAAGCATATTTTACTGAAAGAGGAACAAAAATGGTTTCGTAATGAGTAATTCGTGCATTATTTTAACGAGTCATTTAGGTTTTTTGAAATTCCAAATCTATCTACCAACGCCACCAGGGACTTCTCAGGAGCGCGAGGTATTGAGCTGAGTTTCTCTTTCTTGCAAGGCGGCCAATTGAACTCGTATCTTCACTTTTTTTTTTTTTTTTTTTTTTTCAAATAAAACTATGCTTATTTCTACCAAGAGAAGAGAGAAGGCACCCATTGAAAGTCATATAGTGACGAAATTGACATCAAATTTTGCAGTGTTAGACCAAAATTTCATGTTCGACCTCTTTCAAAAGCTCGCTCCATCACTGAAAAAAAATTCTCGGCGTTTTTACCAAGGTCCGTTGGTACCTTTACCATCTCACTTTTTTTACCACTTATTGGTAATTTTACCTAAAACCCGGTATTTTTACTGTTTTTCTCAGGTAAGAATCCCATGTTTATTGGTAATCAATTCCCAGTAACTTTGTCATTTTATCTCGGTAATTCTACCACAGTCGATAAAAAATATTGGCGTTTTTACCAAGGTCCTGTAAAGTTACCGAGATTTATCGGTAGAATTACCAATTCCATAAATGGTAATTTTACCAAGAAAAAACTATGGGATCAAATAGAACCCTGAATTATTGGTAATTTTACCCTTTTCTTAGTAAATACACCGAGATTTTTTTTTTTTCAGTGATTGTGCGAGCGCGGGGTCGTACGCGCGGGGCGGGGGCGGTACTCGGTAATACAAAAATCGGTACCCGGTTGCGCCGGTTTACGTGGGGTGCGCATTTTTACCAATTTTATCCAAGCCTCATACGTGGTCAAGATTATATTTTATGTCTACGATCGAATTTGAACTGCACGAGGAAAGTAATTTTTTGGGGACATAAAGGAAAAATGGGCACGCGTTTGGCAGCTTTCACCATAGATATTTCCATCAATATCCCGTATGCCTTAAGTTGATGGTGAGAGCTGAAATTCAGGCTTATTAAATTGCTATAATTTTTTAAAAATTATGATATGTTGTCTTTAAATTGGACTGATCGCAAGTAAAGCACATTATTTGTCGACTAAAATAGGTTGAAAACATTTCAAATGAGAATATATTTGCACCTTTTTTCTGTCTTATTTTATTTACCCGAAAGTTTCCTCATATAACATCTCTTTTTATTTTTCTTTCAGGAAGTTTTTAAGGAAACCAAATGTCGCAGAGTCAAGTGAGCAATTCGGTAAAAACATGCATTTGCTTCTTTTTTTTTTTTTAATCATTTGAGGTTTTCCTTTATTGTTTCTCTTTGTTTCCCTCCTTATTTCAACCATTCTTCATCTTTATATTTTCAAGGGAGGGAACATAAAAAAAGAAAGAAGATAAAGAGGAAGAAAAAATTGAATAGCCATGTCTTGATTACTTGGGTTTACAAGGTGTCAGAGTGTCATTATAATAAAGGAGCTTGATGAATTTTTTATAAAATAGACGCAAAATCTAATAATTACACTAAATCAAAATCACTCCTGTATCTGACGATCTGACCAGGGTGCAGAAAGACATTTTCCCACCAACTAACACAGGTTTACAGGATTGGCAGGATAAGAACTTTTACAATCGAAATAATTTTTCAAAGCATGTTTAGGGCATGAATGTTCATCTCTCAAAAAAGTGGTACCAATGTAAACAATTTGAACTGATTTTTGTTTTTAGCAAATTTGGCAAATCGCTGCAAAGATGATGAACTTCCGCAATATGCAGGTTTGTGCTGGATGGCTGTGGCCAAGTGTGAAGGGTCACTGGAAAACCGGACAGAGGAGGCTGCTGCACTGATCAATGCAAGCAATCAATTCCTTGTTGCAGAAGAAAAACTCTTAACCTGCCATTGTGTCAGTCCTAATCTGGAGCATTTACAAGTGAGGCTTAATTTCCAGTTTACCCTATGAATATATTCAGTATTCATATTAATTGCCAATATTCTCTCTATTTGATAGCTCTGACAATGTGTGTTAGTTGTGTAGTGCTTATTAAAAATTCAAGGCTGATGTTCTCTCAAATTAGCGCTAGTCGCCGGTGACTGGGTACTTATATGCCCTTAATATTTGGATGGCAGTAAGTGTTAGTGCCCGACAGATGATAATCAGACTGAAGAGTGATAAATCTAGCAATTTATGATCTTATAACTGTAGAAAATGTCTCCGAAACAATCACATGATTTCTGACTCCAACTAAAAAATGAGCTTTCGTTGCAACATGTGTTGGTCACTGGCGGCTGACTGGATGTCTATTGTTTTTGTCAGAAAGTGCCTCCATCGCAAAAGTTTTAAATAAAATTAAGTTCATCGATCTTGAAAATGTATTAATAGACTTGTTTTCAGTAACACAACCATCTCTGAAGTTGTATTAAATATTCCAAATCCTCAAATACATTTTTCCCAATGTTATTGAACCATCTTTTAAATACCTATTTCTTGCAGGTAACTCTTGCTTCGAACGAAGTATGATAATTTTTAACAAGTGTTCGTAATATTTTTAGTAATGTCCAGCAAAAATTTACTACTTGATTTAATGTCTTTTAAGACCTACAATTGCGTTTATCAATAGGTATTTCCAACTTTCAAGACTTCTGAAGGGCCTTTTGTGGTATTTTACACGAGGCATGTTAACATGAAATAGATGGCTTTTTCTAACATTTTTAAACAGAGCCCATTAGTAACCTTAAAAATAGTTATTTGATGTTTGTAATCTTTTGAAAAACTGAATAATTTGCAAAGAGACCTGTTTTAATTTTGATATTTTCCCCTAAGTCTTGTTTTCAATATGTAATCATCGATGTTTGGAAAAAAAGACAATTTTCTCCACTCAAGACTGTAATGAGAGCATATTACCTACTTGATCACAATTTTTGGTTTTGATGAGGCAATACACTGGTGCAATTTATTAAGCATTATTATGCATTTCCATTATTTACCTTTGCATGTCGGAAGGTGAAAAAACTTTTAATTTTCAGTGTATTTGTTCTAGGCTGCAGTGAGTTGCATGAATCACGCACGTCTGAAATGGACAAAGGACTTGCCTCTTATGACTGGACTTACTATTCACACAGGAAAGACTCTGGAGCAATTTGGACTTACAAGTGAGGCGTCTCTTTATTATAGCCGTGCTGCTGATCTTCAAAGCGAATATCCTAACCAGAAACTTGAGTCCCTTTTTCTTTTGGCAACGGCTAGAATCAACTCAGGTTATAACTCTGTTGTTTGTACCCTTAATAAGTAAGCATGATATTCATTTTTTTTTATTTCAGTTCAGCTCATGGTTACCAATGATGTAGCATTCCTCATCGGAACAAAGGTCTTGTCAGTTAATTGATTTTTATCATACAAGTATGTTGACAAGAGTGTACTTCCAAAAATGAGTTCATCCTCTTTCTATTGCCTAGGAGCATTACTTACTGTCATCAGCCTGAAATGTTTTTTAGTTTCAATCGCAGTCAGTGTTCAATGAATTAGACTTTAAAAAAAAATTTAAAAAAAAAAAACAGAATTACTTCACAGAAGTAATTTAGACAGAAAGAGGAAAAAAAATGAATGGCGTTTAAAAGAATGTTTGTGGTTTGAACTTGAAAATTTTCAAACTCTACTTGACTCAAGAGTCAATCTCAAAGCTGAAAAAAATTTATAAATAGTATAACTTGACTCAAACCCAAAAAACTGAGCGAATTTAGCCCCCATTTATTTTGATTGGATTCATTAGTTGACAATTCACATGTTTTCATTGGTTTTTCCACATACAGCGCCAAGGTGGAAACTTAAGATAAAACTAAAGTGGAAGAAACAGTGCGCTTCTGCGTTTATATTACTGTAGTGAATGATGTCAGTTACTTTGTCTCTCAAAAAAACTTTACTTGTATGTGGTTGTGGATCCTAATATTTTTCGCCATTTAATCAAATTCATTCGTTGGCAAATACTGTATAACCAGCACCTCCTAACTCAAGAGCAAAGCATCATATTCATTGATAGTTTTTTATTTCATCATTAAAAGTTATTGTCTAAAGAGCTATAAGAACCAATGTCCGCTGCTCAAATTACTTTAAAAATAAATGCATGAAAGCATTCATTTTGAGATTCGTTTCCCCTTAAAACTGATAATTCTTCTAGCATTCATCTTTTGTGCAGGCATCTATCACAATTGAATTTGTCATTTATGAATGCTAACATTTCTGTGTTTCAGGTGACTATGATGGTGCATTGATAACATATAATGAAATAGCATCAATAGCCAGCCACTTTGTACCTTTTGGCACTAACTTAGACACTCTAGTCAGGTTCGTATGAATTTTCTAAATTTTTACCGTGGACTTTTTGCTAATTTCTACCAACTTTTGCCTTTTTGTTTAAAGCATCTCAGCAAATATTCGGTATATTTTATCTAGTTATGAGTTCAGCACTGTCAAAAAGTTGAGCGGGGGTCCATATTATTAATTATTTTTTGGCTATGTGTTGCCTCAGTAGGATTTTGAAATCTGCAGCGGATCTTTTTAAAACAAGGGTAGTTATACGATGTAGATACAAGAAATGATTAATTTCAAAAAAGCAAGATGCAAGGAGAAAGAAGAATTTTTTCAGATCATGCTTCCATGCCTCCATGCTTTCTTGCATTCAACGACAGGTTAATGATTTTGATGTTCAAAATTCTAAAATATAATGGGACCTTATGAGGCTTGAAAAATTTAAACCTCTGTGATGAGACCAAGTATTTCAGGCCTCTCAGTTTATACTCAGACCGTTTTATCAAAACTCAAGGAGTCTGATGATCAAGAAAATCTAAACTTTCAGTAAAATGTCATCAATATCTTTCCATCCATTAGATAATCTATGACTGAATGTGTTGTTTTCTAAAAAGAAGTAAGCGACTATGAAATTATTGAGAATGTGAATAAAAGCAGGTACTTTTGACAGATAGAAAAAAACTGCTACTTGCAAGTGATTATGACCTATCATTAATGTAATATTTAAATATATACCTACCTTCTTACAGATGTGAAGTGACGCGGATCTTGCTTCTTTTAATTATGAAACCAGCTCCACATCGGCATGCTCCAACCATGCTTGAGAAGTACACTTGGATTGGGGATTCCTCAAAGTCTCAAGGTAAATGTCTAAAGTCAAAAATCTCTATTTTTTTTTTTTTTTTTAAAGAAAAAAGCAAAATTGTAATCATGATTCCTGTATCTTATTTGTGATACAAAAGATAGAAAAAAATCACCATGAAGAATTTGTATATATCTGAAATTTGATGAATTTCTTAGTCAAATAGGAGCCACTGAACATGCCAAAGGCAAATTTTTGCGAGTGAATTTAGTCTTAAGTTTTTAGCTCACTGCCAACCCCTGTTATAACAAAACGAAATTCCCTACGGGCGATGGTGCGCTTTGTCTGACAACTTTTTACACTGTGTAGAGCATTAAACTTATTTCTCTGAGGTTTGGTACCATTACCAGGGACTTTTCTGTGAATAGATATAAGGGGTTGTTCATAAAAAGTCAGCGCTGATAGTAGTGCGGAAAAATACAAAGAGGTTCATACTCGGCTTCGACACACAATGGCAAAACAGGTAAAGTCGTTTGTAAACGTCTTTGGCAGGTCAAAAGTTATCGAAATTGTTCACTTTCTTTTGTCATTAGTATAATGCTCTCAAAATAACATAATATTCAGGTATTTGTAATTTCTCCCTCTTGCAACTGTTGCAGTTCCATGGATGTCTGAGGAGCTCTTCTTCTTTCTACAATCTCTAGTCATGTCATGCCAATCTCTTGACTTTGAAGCTTTGTTAGAGACGGAGAAGGAGCTTTGGCCTCTTCTGTCAGCAGAACAAAAACAGCTTTTGCGTATCCTTGTCCAATCAACGGCCAGAATATGAAAGCCATCCAACTCTGTACTACTTTTCCAGGATTTTGTTTCCATATTTTTTAGCCAGCTCCTTGCTTTTTGCTTGCTAACAATGGACTTTGTTCTCGTGGGTGATACGTACAGCCCTTGCTGACGACCGAAACCTAAAGTTAGTGCAACTACAGAGTAATTTAATTATTGTCAGAATAATGATATCATCCTCATTCTGTAAGACAAATTGACTTAACTGAGATCTGGTGTGAAGTTGATCTAATTCTTTTTCAGAATGACTTTTTTCAAGTTTTAACAGATTAGAGTTTAATTTCAACTCTTTGATTATGAATGATGATAATTTAAATTATGAACTATATCCAGTGACAAAGGAGTTTTATTTTCATTTGAGTTTTAAGATTTAGCTCAAATGCAAAGAAATCAATTTGAAAAAATCATGGAATTTTTTGATGTCGTAAAATTCTGACACTTCCAACTCTCAAAAATCATTACAAATACTTAAAAAAAATTCTAAATTTTTTTAATGTTTCTTCTACCTTACATGAAGTCAAAACCATTCAATTTACTTCTCTTTAAAAATCCTTGTGTTAAGATTTAAGACTGTCACTATTTTAGGGAGTTCAGAACCTCAACTTCAGAGGAGAAGCTCTGATAGAGGTAAATATCTACTCATGAAATTTTAAATAATTAATCATTTCTTTTTTTCAACAAAAATAATCTTGTTGGCAGAAGCTTATTTTTTTTTTTTTTTAAAATTTTGGGATGAACCCAATTTTTTCTAAACTAATTAGATCACAAAACAATCAATTTCAAGGTTCTACTTTGTAACATATGAATCCAATAGCAAGTAAAAAATTATTTAAATCAGAATTTTAACCTTTAGAGGACCGTTGGAGACCATACAACGTTTTGTTAAGCTCACAAACAACACTTTTACGATCAACATTTTGATCCATAAGAACACCCTCAGGCACTTCTATGGAAGCAGGTTTGTCCAATACACTGTTAAGAAAAGCAGTCTTGACATCATGGTATTGCTTACTCATTCCAATCTCTACTACAATGGAGAACAGGGCACGAATTGTCACCATGTGGGCGACTGTCGAATATTTATCCAAGACATCTTCTTGTTGGTAGCCTTGTGTAACAAGTCTAGCATTTTCACTCGATCACTTGTCTTCCCTAAAAAAAAAACCCCACTTGCTACCAATGATATTTGCATCCCTTGATCTATTGGGTAAATTTTCTTGAATTTTTAGTTTAGAAAATTTTTAAATCATGAAGGATGTATAACAGTTTCAACGAATTACATACATTGTCTTTAATTGCATCGTATGAAATTCCAGCGGAGATTCTGGGACTATGCATCGGAAAAGTCCCGTTTCTGCACCTGGCACTTCAGTCATTCACTTCAAATTAATAGTGTTAACTTTTCGAACAAAAAGATTTTAATCTGATTCTTCAACATCTACAAACAATCTAGGAAAGTCTCCTTATGCTGACACTTCTTCTGTGATTTGTTTCTCCCGTTTATCCTCATTATTTCAATACAATGTATTTCTTTTATAATTTCCTTGGTGTTTTTTTTTTCTTCTTAGAGATTCTGTTGAGTTCAATAGGGACTTCATTTTGCTATACTAACCTACAATTCCTGGCTCATCTGTTAAAACACTTATGTACGTAGAGAAATTAATGGTACATACATTGTTTCTAAACTAAGTCAGTTATTGTTGCTCTCCATGGTGTCTAGTTTTTTAAAAACCAGGAAAAACCGGAATTGATCAGGGAATGAAAATTAACCGGGAAAATCAGGGAATCTGTTGCAGGAACGGGGAATCTCTTCTCCAACCACCCATAGATTGTTTCGTTTTCAAATTTGGCGGTCTAATCTGACCGAGCGCTATTCGGCTACATCCGTCATCGTCAGGGAATGAGCTCCTGAAATTCAGGGGAAAATGAGGGAATGAGCTTTGCCAAGAAAACTAGACACCATGCAATTGCAAAATGTAGTCCATATGATAATGTTCCTTTTTCAAGTAGGAACATCACAAATATCTGAATGAAATCATTATTGAATATCTAACAATATTTTAAAGGATAAAATTACGAGTTTGTCACCTGTAAATCGTCTTCTGGCAATGATCAAACTTTCATGAACCATCCTCAAAAGTGTACAAGTTTTGTGGTATTTTTTCCTCTTTTATGCTGGGATTTTGTATTTCTACTTATTGTGAGTCAAAACCCTTTTCTGAAAAGTATTGTGTGGTTCTGTTTTGTAAACACACATCTGCTTTTTTTTGGTCTCATGAATCTTTGCAAAGAAGAAAAGCAAAATCGTAAAAAAGATGAGAAGTCTCCGAGTACCCACTGACTCTCAGAGGAATAATTTTAATTTTACCCTTCTAATTATTTTAGAAAATAATTTTTTTACATATACTTGAGTACTTTAAAAGAATTATGGCTGTAAAATTTGAGAAATGAGTTGCTTCACCAATGAACTTCCCTTATTTTTTTAAAAAGTATACCATCATTTTCATCATTTTAATTCCTTAATTAAGTACAGCAAAATTGAAAATCCAAAATCGCAACTTTGGAGTCTCCATAAATAGAGCCCTTAGAAAAAGATCTATATAGATTATTAGAAAGGTTGGATTTCTTAAATGCCAATACATTTTCTCAGTTATCATGCCTACTCAGGAATAGTTTATTCATTTCCGCACAAAAATTACGCTATTTTATATATTTTCAGCTTAAAATACCTACCTACTTTCCAATTGATGAATTCAACCCAATTTATGTTCTCTCTTTTCCTCCAATCAGAATTCTTGCCGTCGAGCCAAAAAAAACTATTTTCAATTCGAGGGAGGGGATAGGGGCTTAGGGCGGCCAGGGGATTGACGAAAAAACAACGTATGGCAGTACCTACTTCCCGCCCCCTTCTCATTCGTTTTGAAACATCAATAAAAACCATTAAGTGAACGTGTCGGAGGGGGAGGGGCGCACAAGACGCGTTTACTCGTGTTGGACACATTTTTTGGGAAAGCCCCGTCAACACTACCAGCAAAAGTTCACGGAATTTTAGGCGAAAGTTAAGTTCCGTAAACCTACCTTTGTGCGGACAAGGCCCTCCATTTGTAATAAATGAACGAAAAAATTATGAAAGGACAAACATAAATGTGGTTCAATGATTTTGACTTCCGCCACCGCGCAGACCGCACCGTGTTGGACGCAATGCGTGAAGTATTCTTACAGTCTTGTAGGCGTTTTGCGTTTCACGCCGACCGCCTGCTGAACGCTCTGTGTTTGGCGCATTGCGTGAAGTATTCGTGCATTCTTGTAGGCGCTATGCGTTTCACACTGACCGCACTGTATCTGACGCAATGCGTGAAGTATTCATGCAGTCTTGTAGGCGCTAATATGTGTTACATGCCGACCGCTGCGCCGCGCCGCCTCGCCGATGGCTTCTCCCGGAAAGCATGACGATTTACGGGGCGTAAGGCTCAAGTTTGCTTAGCCCATACGTCAGGGCCGGATTTAGGGGGTGGCCACATGGGCCGCGGCACATGGCGGCAAATCTAGGAGGCGGCAAATTTTGCAATTTTTTTAAATGTAGGCATAAAAAAAATCGGATTTAGAAAAAAATCACAAACAAGAAAATTCGACAAAATCTCTCATTTCCTGAAAGTATAGTAATTTCTAATTTTGTCGTCTTTCGGTGATACAAGAGACAGCACCTTCAATTAGTCGAGTTAAAAGAGAAACTGAACACGCAATTTGGCCTGGAGCGGCGCGGTGCAGATAGCGATGATGACGAGGACTTGAGAAGAAAAGGAAATGTAGTATCTGGTAGGTAGATTATACATTGAACTTGTCATCCTTTTAGTACAGCTTGATTCGAGGTGTCAAAGACAGAAATAGATATAGGTGATCGTTCGGAGAGAAAACCCTATAAATAGATTCACTCTCTGCTCCTACAGTGCGGTGGCCACGCGGATGCAAAGTGGAATAAAAAGTGTGCTCCAGCTCTGAAATTTTTGTTATACCTCTTGCCACATTTCACATCGGAGACCTTGCAGGTACTTACCTTGAAAAGTGATAAGTTCTCGAAAAATGTTCCCTACTATTTGGCCGTATAAACTCGGATGACTCAATCGGGTAGAGAGCCAACCCCAGCGTTTTAAAATTAAGAGAGTCCGTGGCTAATCCCTCCTTTCCTTCTTTGGAGCCATGTTTGCGGATATTGATGACAAAGTTGGATTTTTCCGGAGGGAACACATAAGACTGAGCAAAAGTCTCAAGGATGCAGAAATGAGCTCGTTTTCGTCCTTAAAGACGGACGCAGAGCGATTTGCATTCGTCCATTCTTTGAGCGATAAACTCGATCAATTCTCCATCATCGAAGCTGATGACTGTGGGAAGAACATGGAGATAGCAGAGCACTTAAAACTCGATGGGAATTTGGCTTTTAAAACAGGAGACATGTCAACTGCATTGAACTTTTACAACAGAAGCCTATTGAAACATCCAGATGACGGAGGTAAGATAAATACATACGTTATCTATGAATTATTTCTTATCAGTAAGAACTCGAGTACGCCAGGACATGTCCTAGTGCGCCCTCGCTTTAATACGCACCCCTTGCACCCTTAGAGCCTTATTTTATCGTCTTTGGGGTGGGAGCAGGCGGAGGGGGCTATTCTAAATGCATGAACAAGTTTTCAATACTGCCGTGCTAAGGAAAAACGCCGCATGAGCCTTTAGGCGTTGCCAAATTTACCCTGGCAAATCATTAATTTTCAGGAAAATTTTTAAATATTTTTCTGCCAATTTGTTAGGTAATTTTCTTTGAAATTTGATATAAAGTGTCTGAAATTTTCAAAAAAAAATATTCATAATTTTCTTAAAAAATAAAAATTTATCGAAGGAAATTTGTCAACTCTCGAATGTTCATACGGCGTTCTTCCTTAGCACGCGGCAGAATGGTCAAAAAATGTGTCAAAAATGGTTAGATAATGCAAAAAGATTAGAGGGAGGGAGGGGGCACATTCTCCCCCAACATGTCTCGCCCGTTGGACACCCCTGCCCGCAACCCCTGGTAAAAATTGGCAGTAGAATCTGTGTTCCAAAATACCATAGACCTACAGCCGGCTGTAAGATTTTCAATAGCTTCTATAGCTGGCTACACAATTTCTTATAGCCTTTTAAGGCCGATGGCGATTAAGCAACAGCCAGGCGATAAAGTGTATGCTAAGCGTTACTAATTATACGGATGCTAGGACTTGGTGAGTTTTTGGAATACTGCTCTCTTTTTGGGCCGTAGTATTTTGATTTATTTTGCGAGGAAATCTCCGTACTTTTGATGGATGCCTGCCATTACTAATATATTAGAGCGCCTTCAGTTTCGTATGATACTTTGCAATACCTCTGGTGTGAAATAGTTGCTTCAAGCGCCGTGGCAGGCGGCCAGCCAGCGCGGAACGCGCATTGGCGCCTACAAACCTAACAGGGATACTTCACGCGTTACGCAATGCGTGAAGTATCCCTGTTAGGTTTGTAGGCGCCGCCAGTGCGTCGCCGCTCCGCTTTGTGTTAGGCTCTAATATTTAATCTGGCGGAGTCAGCGTTATTCAACTCATGATTTTGAAATGTTTGCAAATTCTGTATGGATTATTCTGAATTTAATTAATGAAAAAAAATATGTACTAAAGGAAAATATAATGTGTGTTTTGTAAATATTAAGGTGGTTCCGTATCAAACTAAATGATTTCCAAAGCACACGAATTTCTACACAATTTCTTGTAGCCTTTTATAATCGATGGCAAAAAAGCAACAGCCAGGCGATAAAGTGTAAAGCCCGACGATAGGAACTATAGCTCGGCTGCATAATTTTTTATCGCTTCGTATAGCCCGGCCGTATGGTTTTCGCCGCATTCTACAGCCAGCTATATGATTCTCTGTAGCCTTCTTTAGTCGGCTATAAGAATTCCTATGGTATTTTGAAACGCAGCTCTTATCGCCAATTTTTACTAGGGACCCCATCGAAGAGCCGGTCCACCTCCGACTTGCATTCAAGTACTGATTGCAATAAATTTCACTGGGAAAAAAAGTTTCTTGGAGCCAGAGTCTAGACTCTTGAAAAGTTAGACATGGAAAAATAAGTACTCTTGACTCAAGATAAAGGAAAAATTGGAAAAAAGAAGAAAAAAAGAAAAATCAATGAGAACGAGCCTGGAAACGGAGGAATCTGTGAAAGGCTTACGATGTAGCACGAAAGGCCGAACTGTGCAAACGTTCTTACCAATGGTGCAAGAAATTTCCTGAACTAATATCGATTTGCCTGATAAATTTATACACTTCCTTAATTTTTCTCAATGACATTGAATGTCTAGATATTCCCCGATTTTTACTGATACCCACCACCTTATGTAATTTGTAACAGAGACCAGATCTCAATTGGCAATCGTCTATGCTAATCGCTCTGCTGCACTCTATCATCTAGGAGAACACGAACTGAGCATTAATGACATTGATTTGGCTGTTGAAAATGACTATCCGAAAGCCATGAGTCACAAAATACTTGAAAGGTAAGTCTTTATTTGAAAATTTCAGCACAGCAAATTTATCAAGAGAGCTTAATATATAATTGCCCATGAAATAAGGAAGTTGGCCCCGGATAAAGATATGGAAATTGGGGGAGGGGGGATGTGCACTGTAGACCGCGATATTACGAATTTTCAACTATGAAAGCGCGCATTGTAGTGAACGCGCAATGCGTGAAGTATTCCTACAGTCTCTTAGGCGCTAAAGTATGCGTCTACACGCCGACCACCGACCGCACTGTGTTTGGCGCAACGCGTGAAGTACTCCTGCAGTCTTGTAGGCGTCAAACCGGCGCGGCGGCCACACTATGTTTGGCGAGATTGGCAAGAATTGATACAGCATTAGATTTGAAAGAAACTGTAAGAACAGAAGAGAGAAAATACGTGTGAAGAATGGCTAGGTAAATTTGATGAAGCGGTTTATATGCAGAAGGCAGGCAAAACTATTCGGATAAAGAGTCCATCGAAAATTAAATGAAAACCAGAATCGGCCACTTAGGTAATGCGAGTAAATTTTCCCGCGTGAAAAAAAACTTCCACCGGAGTAAGATTTTGACGTAAAGAGACAGCGTTTATTTTGCCAGTAAAGAATTGCACTGAGGATTTTGAAAAGGAAAGAAGAGCAGATTCGCGCAAACAAGAAAATAAGTTCTTACCTAAGAAAGTAAAACTAAATTTCTTAAAGAATTTGAAAATCTTGATAAGATTGATTGCATATTTCGTGGCAAAAGCGCTACCGCAATCACAATTCGACTTTCCCCAGCCGCAGAGAACTACCGCGATAATATCTCATAAACCGGAGGTCACAAAAATAATAAATGTGTGGAGTTTCTAACAGAAAATTTTACGCTCCTTGTAAAAGGTTCGATAACATTAATTCGTATGATTGATTAATTTGAGATATAAGCGAAAAACTGGTCGCCGCGCGCCGGCGGCATATTTTGCCCCCCCCCTTTTTTTCGAGATGGTGGCTTCAGCGGACAGCCGATTCCGGTAAACTTTTGTTATGTTGTCTGGCAGCCTATTGCAACACGTTTCCGCAAAAAAACCTTCAATACATTGATTTTCCCGGAAAATGCCAGATTGACGGGCCTATTCAATACATTTTGATGTCTGAAAGTACTTATTGCTCGAATAATCTTAAAAAGTATAGATGATCTCTCCTATGATTGCTCGTTTTTTTCTTCCGAAGGAAAGCTCGATGCTTGTTGGCAATGAAACAACACAAATCTGCCTTAGATGCGTTTAGAAAGACATTCGTTGCTCTGGATGATGCAAAGGGTCCAGTAGAGGAACGGAGAAAGGCACAAACGAATATCCAAATAATGATTGCCATGATGACAAAGGATAAGAACATTTCAGATGGTAAGTATTTTTAGTATAATTTGCAAAACGTATCGAAACTACGAGGATAAGGACCTCTTTGCATACAGCTCCATTGACTCATTCGCCTCGAATGTATGCACTATAAGTATATTTAGCACGTCGTCACCCAAGTACCATTTCTCAACGGGAAAATCGCTATATATTGCGATTTTATCGGCGATAAAATCGCCAGGATCATCAATATCTGAGCGATTACCTTCGATCGTATCGCGATGAAATCGCGCTTTATCGCCCGACAATCTATCGCGATATTTTCGAAATAAAAATCGCGATAACGGCGAATTATCTCGATTTTATCTACGAAAATTGATCACGATTTTATTGAACTAAAAATTGCGATGTGTAGCAACTTCATCGCCATACCTACATTGCAATTTTTAGTGCGACAATATCTCGATGTATTGCCACCGATATAATCGCGATAACCAACCGATAAAATTGCTATTTATCTTGATCACTGCTACTTGGGTAACTCTATCCACGATCTGTATCAGTATGCTAATTGTGTACATTATTTTTTACTTTCTTCAAAAGTCTACGGGATTTTTTCCCACTGAGTAATATTATGGAAAAATAAACTTCAAAGCATCTATGATGCCTACATAATTTGCGGAGGAGTCACAGGATTAGCCTTCCCCTGGTAAAAATTGGCAGTAGAATCTGTGTTCCAAAATACCATAGACCTACAGCCGGCTGTAAGATTTCCAATAGCTTATATAGCCGGCAAAACAATTTCTTATAGCCTTCAGTAGCCGATGGCGACTAAGCAACAGCCTGGCGATGAAGTGTATGCATAAACGATACTAATTACGGATGCTAGGACTTGGTGAGTTTTTGGACTATCGCTCTCTTTTTGGGCCGTAGTATCTTGATTTATTTTGCGAGGAAAGCTCCGTACTTTTGAGGGATGCCTGCCATTCCTAACGTGTTGGAGCGCCTGCAATTTCGTATGATACTGTGCAATACCTCTTGTGTGAAATAGTTGCTTCAAGTGCCGCGGTACGCTACGGCGCGGCGCGGCAGTCGGGCAGCCAGCGCGAAACGCGCACTCTGGCGCCTTCAAACCTAACAGGGATACTTCACGCATTGCGCAATGCGTGAAGTATCCCTGTTAGGTTTGTAGGCGCCAGTGCGCCGCCGATCCGCTTTGTGTTAGGCTCTAATATTTAATCTCGTGGAGTCAGCGTTTTTCAACTCATGACTTTGAAATGTTTGCACACTCTGTTTGGATTATTCTCATTTTCATTGATGAAAAAAAATATGTACCTAGTAAAGGAAAATATAATGTGCGTTTTGTAAATATTAAGGTGATTCCGTACAAACTCAAGGATTTACAAATCGCACGAATTTCTACATAATTTCTTATGGCCTTTTATAGCCGATGGCGGAAAAGCAACAGCCAAGCGATAAAGTGTGAAGCCCGGCTGTATAATTTTTTATCGCTTCGTGTACAGCCCGGCCGTATGATTTTTTCCACTTACAGCCATCTATATGATTTTCTATCGCCTTCTTCAGTCGGCTATAAGAACTCCTATGGTATTTTGAAACGCAGCTCCTATCGCCAATTTTTACTAGGGTCAATTGGCAAGATAGGCAAAAGCAGCTCCTCAGGAGCTGCAATAGTTGTATATATTAACAAATTACCCGAGGAATAGAGCCGTAAGAAGAAAAAAAAGAGTTGGCGGCCAGCAAGGTTTCGTCACTACTTTAATTGAAGTGTTATATGATATACGCGTGGCAGAGCGCTATCTTATAAGTGTTTTCCCTTTTATATTTTTCATCTTCCTGATTTTACGTAGATTTCTAATTAAGACGAATCACGAGGAAAGTGTATAGTGCGTTGAGGAAAAGGAGCGCGATGCTTTTTATGAATCATTTTTCGCAGCCGATTTTAACTTCCCCTCCTTTTGAATTTCCGATATTATAATCAAGTACATGAAACCTTCTTTGAGTTAGGAAAATCATATTATCACGTGACTCGTGACTGTAATCTTGCTTCTAGAATGCCGAAAGAAAAAATCCGAGACTTACGAAATGGACTATGGAGTGAATCCAGCATTTCCGTCTGTGAGCGCAGCTGTCCACTTCAGGAAGAATGACCAATTAGGTAGATACGCGGAGGCAAAACGACGAATTGCAGTCGGCTCGACAATTTTAATAGAAAGACCTTACAGTGCTGTACTTTTGGAGGAGAACGCTGGAACCCACTGTTTTCATTGTTTTAAAAGGTAGGTGGGCACATATACCTAAAACCCACTGCAAAATCGCTGGGGCTAGATCCAGTGGCGGCGTGACGGCCGAGTTTCCCTGAGTCCCCATGCAAAAAGGTTTTTAGCCCATTGGAGAATCCAGCAAATTGGCAATATTGTACAGTAGAGTCTCGATTATCCGCGATAATTTGGACCGGAGGTACCGCGGATAATCGAAAATCGCGGATAATCGAAATTCGCGGATAATTGAAAATCCCGGATAATCGAAAATCGCGGATAATCGAAAATCGCGGATAATCAGAATCTACGCAAGACGACCGAAAAAAGTCATCGGAAAGACTGTATTTTAAAGGAATCAATAAAGACATCATGCATTAGAAAAGAATATACTTATTCACTAAGAATCAATAAACGTTACCTAAAGAGGTGAGACGAGATAAAGAGGAGAGGAATTTTAATGACCCCGAATTTCTCCGTTCGGTCCCAGACGCTTTCAAAAGAAATAGAAAAAGTAAAAAAACAAACAGTCCGCTCCACAGACCGCGGATAATCCGAATCCGCGGAGGAGCGGGTAATCGAGACTCTACTGTATTTTTTTCATTTAAACCTATGGAAATGTATCGATTCTTGGAGGGGCCAGGTTTTCTGACAAGGATAGATTATTTAGCATAGGTTTAAATGGAAGAGATCCGGTGTTGCCAAATTGCTGGATCCACCTCTGTTTTAGCCCTCCTCCTCTCCCACTACCATCAAATCCTAGAACTAGCCCCTTGCCCTCTAGCTTCACCTCCCAACCCCAAGGGTCCAGGCGAACAGCTTCATTTATGTCCGTAATTTTTAATTATCCACGATATAATATACTCCCACCAATTATTTAAGAACTGTCCAATGATATTTTTTCTATTGTTTGTTTTGACTATCTACAGGTTCCTTGCTACAATACCATGCAAATATTGCTGCGTCATTGCATTTTGTTCCAAAACTTGCCGAACGCAAGCACTGGATTCCTATCACCAGTATGAATGCAAAGTGTTAAAACAGCTTTGGGCATCCAAAGCATCGATTACATGCCTCATAGCTATCCGACTAATCATGCAACACCCTCTGGAGTATTTTATAAAAATCAAGCCTCTTCTTGAACAGGTAAAGAGAATAGAATCTAGTATACTTTTGAAAGGAAAAACGAGATGAGTACCAAGATACGTTTTAAAAAAGCGGGATGAGTGCCGAGATACGTTTTAAAAAAGGCACCTTAGTAAATTGTTTAAAATACCTATGCCTCCTGAGTCTGTACTGTCAAAAGCTTAATCTTAAAAACTCATGTATGGAAAATTGGCAGGAGCAACCCAAAAACAGCATTTTGAACGAGAGAGTTGGGACGCCACGGATGAAACCGACAACGTTGTGTTCCGAAAAAAATTCAATCTGGTCACGGTTGCGGAAAAAAATTGAAAGCGTCAAAAAAGGTTGTTTTTGAGGCAAGACGATATATCTCTCACATGAGGAAAGGAATGGCAACTTTTTTACACTTCGAATAAATGCACGTCTGGAAGTCTCGAGGGTTGCTGTAGTAAAACTTCAATGGCACATGCCTGATGTCTTTGCTCGGAGTGTCTACTAAAACTGCAGGCTGGCCAAAAATCAGTGCTTTTACGGAGTACTTTTCCAGTCCATTCCTGAGAAATTCAGTACCTCCTTAATAGAAGAATTCAGTACTTTTTCGGTACCTTTAATTGACGAAATTCGAAAAATTTAAAAAATTTGAATTTCTCTCTCATATTGCGAAAAAAATTCTGGACCTCCTTGCGGAATTTCCGCACTTTTTCAGTACTTCCGGACCGCTCTTAAAAAAATCAGTACTATTTCCGGAAATTCCGGACTTGTAGACACCCTGTTGCTCCATTCTGTAGAATAGACATTTTTGCAACGGCAAAAATCTGTTTTTTTTTTTTGTTTTTTTTTTACGATTTAATGGTTACACCATGTCCTTGAGCAAAAAAGTCGATTAGAGATGAACTCCACATGACTTTATTCCTACAGAAAAATACAAGTAATCGTCAGTATGTTTCGTGGGTACACAATGACAATTAATGCAATCGAGTAAGCTCAAATGAACTTGCAGGCCAGGGACTTCGGGGAGTCGGACAAAAACTCCGAGGCGAACTACTTGAGCGTTTATGACCTGGTGCGACATGACTCCTCGCGGACGGCCGAGGACTTTTTACACCGGGCGCACATGGCAGTTTTTCTTTTCAAATGCTTGCGAGCTGCAAAATACTTTCCACAATTAGGTAGGTAACCATCACTGATGTATTTTTACCAGGAAAATTGCTGCTTGTACAACACAACGAAACTTCACCAAGTCCGCGAATTGATAAGAACTTCTTTTTCTATCTATCTTTTCTCAGGATGGCTGGACTTTCATGGTCCAATGTTAGTTATCGACGGTGTAAGTTCGCAACCATGTATCTCGTTTGCAGTGTTTGAAAATCTCCGTTCCTATTTTATTTTTTTTAAAGGAGAACGACAAATCGACATCATTCCTTGCAGTTTTCGGAGAATTTTCTTCCCACAGAGAAAGAAAAAATCATGACAGTTTTTCAGAATTTCCGTTGACAGCTGGCCGGATTAACCTACTTGCCGCCCATGGACCGCTAGTATTTTGCCGCCTCCTTCTCATTCGTTTTGAAACATCAATGAAAATCATCAAATGAACGTGCCAGCGGGGGAGGGGTGCATAAGACGCGTTTACTGGTGTTGAACACATTTTTTGGGAAAGCCCTGTCAACACTGCTAGCAAAAGTTCACGGAACTTTGCGCGAGAGTTATTAAGTTTCGTAAACCTATCTCTGTGTGGACAAGGCCTTCCATTCATAAGAAATGAACGAAAAAATTATGAAAGAACAAACATAAATGTGGATTAATGATTTTAACTTCCGCCGCCGCGCCTCGCAGACCGCACTGTGGTTGACGCAATGCGTGAAGTACCTATTCACGCAGTCTTGTAGGCGCTATGCGTCTCCCGCTGATCGCATTGTGTTTGCCGCAATGCGGCGTGAGGTATTCATACATTCTTGTAGGCGCTATCCGTTTCACGCTGTCTGCAATGACCGCACCGTGTTTGATGCAATGCGTTAAGTATTCGTGCAGTCTTGTAGGCGCTAATATGTGTTACATGCCGATCGCCGCGCCGAGGGCTTCTCCTTTTCATCTCAAGTCCTCGTCATCCAGGGCTGCCGATTCGTGAGTAATTACTCACATCGTGAGTAATTTGAGCACCGGTGAGTAAAACGTGAGTAATGAGTAATTGGTGAGTAATCCGACGATCCGTGAGTAATCGTGAGTAATGCAAAATCCATGGGTAATTCTCAGTAATTCTCCATTTTTGGCGCAATTTGTGTGAGTAATCGGTGAGTAAAATTTAAAACGATGAGTAATCGGTGAGTGAAAACAATGTCAATGTGAGTAAAATCGGGAAATTGTGAGTAAAAAGTGAGTAGAATTGAGAACGGTGAGTAAAAGTGAGTAAAATCGCGATCAGTGAGAAGCAAGTGAGTAAATTTTAGATTGGTGAGTAGCGTGTGAGTAAAAAATTCGCGAAATGTGAGTCCGAGTATCGGCAGCCCTGTCGTCATCATTTTTCTCTAGGTAAGTCGCGCCGTTCCAGGCCAAATTGCGTGTTTGGTTTCTCTCTTAACTCGACTAATTAAAGGTGCTGCCTCTTGCACTGAAAGACGACAAAAGTAGAAATTACTATACTCTCAGAAAATTAGAGATTTTGTCACCTTTTCTCGTTTGTAATTTTTTTTCTAAATCCGAATTTTTTTTATACCTGCATCTAAAAAAATGCAAAGTTTGCCACCATGGGCCGCGGCCCATGTGGCCACCCCCTTAATCCGGCCCTGGCCGTTGAGTAGTTTTCCATTTAAAGAATGAAGTATCGCAGGAAGTCTGCCACGTCGCAAACCGAGATACGTGGTTGCGAACTTACACCGTCGATTTCCCTTCTGTGTCTATAAGGTATTTGAAATCACCTGGCCATGGGATGCACACTTTCCGGAGAGATGAAACAGACCTAGAAAAATCTGACCAGGTCATTGTTAAAATAAACTGAAGTCAGGAAATAAAATAGGATACGTATTTTTAAGCCCCCAAAGCTCAAATTTAGGGCATTATTTTTCTTGGAAGGGGATTTGGGCTTATCTTATTTCTCGAGTTTTTCAAACGGAAATGGTACGTCCTATCTTCGGACTGGATTAAACGGAGATTTTATTTTAAAGAAATTTTCTGATTACCGCTCCTTTGCTTTTTACTTTAAAATGAAAGGCGTACCGCTGATTTCGGGATTTTTCGTTACGTTTGATAACACTTGTGTCGAAATCTCTCCACTTTAAAAAATAAAAATAAAATACATATGTAAATTCAGGAAGAAGATGCCTTCAGTGCGAGTGGAAATGCTCGCTCATGTGAGTCATTCCCAGCAGTTGAAGTAGTTTTTGAGAAACGGCAACGAAGAAACAAAGATGCAAAAGTACTCGGAAACGTGTAAAATGCTACTTGACGCTCAGCTTTACCCCTATACTGCCGCGATAGCGAAGAGAGCAGTAAGAGCATCTTGTATGAGCTATGGTTAGCACATGCTTTTACGTGTCTCGAGGTTCATCTCAGTATGTAGGTACTTACTGCTCTCTTCGCTATCACGGCAGTAAAGTCTCGTATCAAGCCGCAACGTGATCGGAACAATCGCAACCCCGTCTCTTTAGGTGACGGAGGGGAGGGGGTGGGGGGTGCAGGCGAGGAATTGGGCTTAGTAATTTTTCTGCCACTGTATACCAAGTGATGAGCATAACGGGGCCTGATAAAATTGGATATTTGCTTTTCAGTGATTCCTTATGGTGAAAAGGGAGCATTAACTGATGACGAGACATTCATTGGCGGTCTCATACTCCGTCATCTACAACTTTTGCAGTTTAATGTCCATGAAGTCTCTGAACTGATCATCCCTCAAAAAGCAACACTCAACGACGGGCGAGGAAAATACCTGGGAGCCGCAATTTTTCCTACTCTGGCACTCTTCAATCATTCATGTGATCCCTCTGTTGTGAGGTAAAAGGATATCTTCTAAAAACTAATCACACTCTATTCAGGGGCGTAGCTAGGAAATTTCTCTGGGGAGGGCCATGGGACCACTTCTCGTGGTGAAGAGAGCGGGGGGGGGGAGGAATGGAGGATCCCGTTTCTCGGGGGGGGGGGGGGGGGGGGNCCCCCCAGGACCCCCCTAGCTACGCCCATGACTCTATTGTTATTTCTTTGCTTTCGTCTGGATGTTTGTTGCAAATGACGAAGTAATAATCTCTCGATTACTTATTATCCTACATGACACAATCCAACCCTACCTCCGATCACTTCCATTCTACTTTTGGTGGCGTCTATCAGCTTGGGGTCACTTAAAAGCCTTCAAAAAAAATAATAAATAAATAAAATGAAAAAAAAGTAAAAAAAAAAAAAGATGAGAGAAATTTTTCCTTCATAATTTTCAGATATTTCCTCCAAAATTTCTCGTCTCTTCAGATACCTATCAAACAGTCAATTAGTTAGAAAGTCAATTTTTACGTCATTAGGAAGCTGAAAGAAAAATTGAAAATTAGTTAGCTTACTATACTTCCCGGAGTATTTCCATTATTGTCTCACATGCTTTTTCCGACGAATTGCTAATGAATTAATTTTCTTGCAGATATTTTGATGGTAATAGAGTTATTGTGAATGCAATTAAAGACATGAAAAAAGACGAAATGGTAGCGGAGAACTATGGACCAATATTCACGAGAGCCGAGCGAGAGGAACGGCAGAAGACACTGAAAGATCAATATTGGTTCACATGTGAATGCATTGCATGCACTGAGAACTGGCCAACATTTGAAGAGATGAACGATGAAGCCAGTATGAGGTTTAGATGTGAATCAAAGAATTGCTCCAACATCATCGTTGTTCCATCTCAGACCCTCGAGTTCTTAATCACGTGTCAAGTGTGCAAGAAAGTCACCAATATTATCAAAGGACTCAAAGTATTACAGGTTAGAGAAAAACACTTTTGTTATTTCAAATTAATTAGCATGATGAAATGTGTGAAATTAACTGATGAACCTATGTTCCGGGGGCTAGAGCTTTCTTATCTGTGGGTTTTGGACTAAGTGGACCATCTAAAATAGCTGAAAATGAAGAATGTCAAACCATGCTAGGCTTGGCTGATTGAACTTAACTACTTTCGTGGTGAGGCTTAGAGTATCAGGCAAAAGTGAATGCGCATTACGCTGCGTTCTTGCAGATCATCTGTAGGTACAGCTCTTTACGATAAGAGCACTTAGATTCAAAATTGGTTTACATGCTACCTATCTGCTGATTGAAGGGGCCCCACCGATTCTTGAAACACATAGATGATCCTCACAATTAAAATTTTTTTAATTTGTTTTTTTATCTTCCAGGATACTGACAGTAAATTTACAGAGGGTCAACAATTTTTCGACCGGGGCAATGTGAAAAAAGCTTTGGCAACATTCCTTGAATTACTACAACTTCTTCATGATATTTTGGCACCTCCGTTCAAAGGATACATTCTCTGTCAGCAAGCCATCAAAACCTGCTTCCTGCACCTTGGTAATAAATTTGTAGAGCCAAAAATTAAATAAAAAGAAATTTTACAGGTTGACGGAAAATTATATACAAATGAGTTAAAGTTATTTCATCAACTTGCATTCAATGTGTGTTCCTCACAGGGTGGGTATCATTATGAATCAAGAATAGCACCCAAAAGGCGAGCACATAAATAGCTAATATTAATGAGGATTTAAGGCAGCCTAATGATAAAGCGTGCAATGCGGTGCAGCATCCAAACTCACATAGCAACAGTCCCTCATCTACATCAGAAAATGCAGTACGAAGCCCGAAAAGCTCCCTTTTCAACCCCGATTTCTTGACACTGGCATGTAGAGAGTTCGATTTTAAAGGCTCATCGTGTTCAGGAGATCGTGAGGAATATCATATCATGAAATATTGGAATTTGGGCGACACCAAAAGTATGGTATTTCAAGCATTACCCTTCGAGACGCAAATTTTTAATTTTAAATACAAATAAGTCCAAGCTGTTGTAATAAATTCTTTTAATTAAACGTTTAACTGTTCATCAATCTGAAATTTTAGGCAGAAGCTTCAGTTCTTAGTTTTGTCTTTTCTTTTGGTTTCGAAGATTGAATATTTTTTACTCCGCACCTAAGCCCTCAGTTCTTGGTTTATTCCATCTGAATATATCATGCCACTGCAGAAAGGTACTGACAACTCTGTTCAAGACTCAAAATGAAGTCAAATAGTTAAATTCTTTAAAATGCTTTACTTTATGTAAGTACTTCCTAGAGTAACTTATATAAGTCAAATAATGTTTGAAACTCTTGACAAAAAAAACCAAAATAACAGAAAACAAGAATCTCATGCAGCGAGACAAGTTAAAAATGAAGATTAACCAGCTGTGAGAGTTGCGTGTTACTTATTTACAAGTTTATTTCATATTTAGTAAGTACCCCTGAATTCTTCAGTTAGTGAGTAGGAAAGAATTATTAGATTTTGCATTCAACTATAGGGGTCGTATACTAGGTAAGTTTCCACATTGTTTTTCTCAGCAGCTGCTAAAGCTAAACAAATTGCAATTATACCATGATAAAGCTGCTACTGTTGACTATATAGCAATGTTTTTGTTTTTAAAATTTGAAGCAATAGGTCACGCACTAATTAAGTTTTACTTTAGCCCGTGCCAAAAATTTCCTGCCACATCTGACCAGTACTCATGATCAAAAAACGCACGGAATCCTGCCGGTGGATTTTCTAAAGAAAGGTCCCATTATTGACACTGAAAAACATACCAGACACAATTTAAAGTTGTCGAAATTGAAATCTTGCTAAGGTTAGTTACAGCTGCACAAAAATTCCCACCCACACGTTTTCGCCCTTGGAGGGACCACAGATCTGATCACAGGCTTTGGATGGTTTTAATTGCCTTTTCCACCATGCAGTTCTGATCTGATACCATTGTATTATCACTTCCTTCATGATTCAAACAAATTCTTGGAAGGCAAGCGATTCAAGACCGCTGAGGAGCTGAAAGCAGGTGTCATGGGCTTTTTTCGCAGTTTGGATAAAAAGTTTTCTATGAATGGGATGAAGAGGCTGATATCACGGTTTGAAAAATGCATCCAAATTCAAGGTTGGCTACGTTGACAAGAGCTGAAAATTAAAGTGAAATTTGGTTTCTACTGATTGTCAAACCTCTGTTTTGTGGTAAAGTTCCTGAGTGATTGCTCTTAAGATTGTTTTCTAGTAAGGAGGCAGGAAATTTTTTAACAAACTCATTGTAAAACTAATGTTGTGAGCAATCAAATGCTTCAAATACAAATAAAAAACAAATTGAAAAGAAAAGCTGAGGGCAGCAGCTTTTTACCGGGTATAATCGCAATTTTTCTGACTTAAGTAATTGCTAAGAAAAAAAATGGGAATCTTTTTTCGAACACGACCTTCTTAGATAACAGGTATCCTTACATAAAAATTGTCCATGGATAGCTCCTCAACTGAAGCAAACAACAGAAGACACCGAGAATATGTTCTTTGCAAAGTGCAAGTTAAAATATTTGTATGGTGTCGAATGTTTGTTGAAAGAACAGACAGAACGAACTGGCAGCTATTAATGGTTAAAATATTACAATGCGTCTGCATAATGCTTATGGTTCCAATTGTTAAAACTTTTCGAATCTTGAACAGAATACAGCCGAAACATCATGTTTCTTGTAAACAGTAGTTCCTTCCTTCTTAATACTGTCTCATTTGCAACTAAAATCAACTTTATGCAGAGGCACTTTGGCGTAGGAAATGCATGAATACTAACTGTGCCACAGAACAGCTTTGAAACACTTTAAATTTATAAGTGTTCAGAGAAGAAACCATAAATGCTGTGATGGCAAAGCCAAAATTTTCTTGGGTGGGAAAACTCATGATAAAAAAAAGGATCATTGAGAATAGAGTGGGGTTCTAAAACTAAAAAACTCAACATTTCCTGTCTCAAGTAAAGTCAGAGGTTGACAACAAAAAGTAAAGAACATCATAACTACTTAACATTGCTAGAATTTTAATTAAAGTAAGAAACCTAATAACTGAGGGACATCATATGAAACATAACCCGATTACTTACTATGTTTAATAATTAACTTTTACTTCGTTAAAATTTTATTTATTCAACAGTTTTGCTGTACACATTAAGAAAGAAAGAAGAAGAAAAAAGAGAAATGTATTACAGATCATGAGAGAGCAGCAAATGATTTCCTTTAATTAAGAAATATGAGAGAAAATCTGATAAATTAAGATATAAGACTTGAGCAGATGCAAAAATTCAAGCTGGTTCTCTAAATGGAAAAGAAGCGCTGGATCCAGCAATAGCATTTCTGCAGAAATATCTTTTCTACCTTGAATACACCTGTGTAAACCTCCCTTTTTTAACTGCCTTCAAAATTTGAACTTTATCCGTTCTTTATTTACTATGCTCAACACAGCATTTTTTATCGGATTGAGAAGCAACTAAAATTCCTCTTAAGTTAAGATGTAAACCATACAGTGTTATTGAGGATACAAAAAAAGGAAGAAAAATAATAACAATGGAATATGATTTGGCCAACTCCATTGATGCGGACATAAATCAATTGTTAAAGTGCACGGACCTGAAAAGAATATATTCCAAGAAATGCTGTTACTGCAGTCATTACCTCTTAAATTAAAACAATTTGTGGATTTTACCTTAAAAATAAAAAATAAAACAAACTATATAAACAAATTGAAAAACAGTCCTTTCATCTTAATTGTACATACATTTTTAAAAAGGAAAGAGAAAACTAAGTGTAACAGTAAATACTCATTCAATTGCACTAATTTGATGGTTAAAAGGGAGAATCAATCACCTGTCCCCCTGTAATGACCGATTTCAGTTTAAATGCTTTGGAAAGGAGGAGCAATGGCTGCTGAGCTAGTTTATTCAGAGATACAAGTGTGCTTGAAGACGAAGAACCCAACCAAATGGTGAAATTACTTCACTTATTAAAGGTGTTTTCACACACTGTCCTCTTGTGTTTGATTCCAAGTACTGTGCAACCAGCAACAAAGCTGCTGATGGTAATTTTCAACTTTTGTCTCTTTGGCATGGATGGTAGTCCAGGAAAACAAAAAGGTCTTCCAATTCTCCGATTTTCTCTTAATTCTGTTCCAGTTATCCATTCAATTCGTCAATCAAATGTCAGGTAGTGGTCCAGGCGTGGTGCGTAAGGTGGTATCCACGATCTACTGCCTCATGGTTATATCTGTTTTGACAGGTATTTTTTTAAATAATAAAGAATTGTATCTTTACCATTCATCGATATTGAATTTACGCATTACAATTCTACCTGCCGAATTCACTTTATCATTATGAGGCAAGAGAAAATCTGCAGTTCCAGTCCTAGTCACAGTTTTAACAACCAATGGAGATTTATACTTGTTCAGAAACTCTGAGAAATGATATTAAACAGCATCATAGTGACACTTTGCAGTTTCTTCATACAAAAAAAAAAAAAAAATTCAGTTCCTATATATTACGATGATTCTGGAGAGGCAAAGGTGTAACGTTGACAGGAATGTAATATTTATGCCAAAATGGCAAAAAAAGGCCACATCAAGGGACTTTTGAGACCACAAAAACACTTCTGAGGCTACGTCATTGTACTATGAGCATATTTAAAGCAAATTAAAGGCAGAAAGATAAAAGGTTCATTATATTTTCAACCTAATGACTTCTACGATTGCCTCATTTGTACAAACATGAACTATGAACGCACTGCTATATGGATAAGCAAACTTCACAGGCTCCAAAAGTTTCAAGGAGAACACACATCGATAGATTAAGTCGAAAAATTTCGAATATTCTCGACATTTAAGAATCTCTGATTATGGAAACACAAACAGACTATAAGAACACTAACCTAAATTTCTCCTTGCAACTTTCTGTGAATATTTTTGAACAATTTGCAGGAGCTGTCAAGAAATGGGCCAGTGGCACCCATTTTTTTAAAGTACGGAGTAAACCGAGCTTCTAGGAATTCTATCTTTAAAAACTCAAATTAGCAAAGAGAATCCGTTTTGAAAATGCCAAAAATGCGATCAGTTTAAAACGATATTTGGGAGAGGGGGGGCTCTGATGACGTAACAAAGCGGGGCAACAGCTTTTGCTGATTGGCTGAGCTCAGTTTCAGGTTTCGCACTGCTATATCAACTCGACTGTCAGCTTTTGGTTAGTCAGATTTTAATTAGCTTTTTTTCACCTCAGAAGTGCTTTTTTGAACTATTTAATAAATGTTTTTGTTTTTTCACAAAATTTTACATTAATCCTGTAAAACTTCTTTGCCATTGTCTCATTCTGTTGGTGAATTTTCTCTGGAAAAAATTAAACAAAAATAGAGATTCCCAAAGTTGCAGTTAGTGACTTGCATTTTTCTTCTTTAGCCATTGATGTACTTCAAGACTAATACTAGTTTTCTCTATGCATGAGTGTGCCAAATAAAAGTAAACTGGGGCAGACAATAAGTATTTACTGACCTCCAGGCATGGAAAATGAATATTTTACTGATAAAGGACAGTTGCTATCACCTACTCATTCACATAATATGTAAATAGACATGCAAAACTTTAAAGAGAGAACCAGAATCCGGTTATTTGTGAGAATACATTTTAGAAAGCTAACAAAATTTGGCAGCTGTCAATAACAGCAAGAACGTACGTACATCTAAGATGATTAAAATTAAAAATTAAATTGTCAAATAGACAAAATGAATTGTCACACGATAAACTTAATAGAATTAAAAATTAAATTACAGAAAACTGCCTTCCCTTGTTATGAGAGAGATCTTAAGTGGTTTTGACACCAGAGACAATGTATAGATGAGGGATGATGTAAGTATTGGAGATGTTGTCCATGTCGAACACTGATACACAATAAACAGATATTAGATTCGTTTACTTGGGTTTAAGTTTTGCTTAGAATGGAAAATATATTCTATGTTTCAAAATTCATTCCATCAGCCAGATAGCGCATATAGAGTCCGAAACAAGGGGCATGCCACATTTGTTTTGAGGTGTACACCGGGTGCATACTGCAATCTGTGAAAGCTAATGACAACAGTTCTGTTGTCGATGGAACATATGTCATCACCTTGATGCAGGATCTATAGAAGTAGACTTGATAGAGGAAGGAATATCACTATCACTCAAGGCAGCATTCATTCCAGCACATGTTCCAAAGTCTTGGAATATGCTCTCAAAATCTTAAAGGTACTCAAGCCATGTTAAGTTGTTCTTACATACCACTGAATTTGCTCAAACTGAAAGGAAGGGCCTCATATTAATTTCTCTTTCTCAGGGGAGTTCACTTGGTTCCAAACTTAAAGCAGACTCGGGTAAAATTGACGTAGATGACTGAAGAATTAATATTTGGGCTACCCTGGATTTCCCAGCGAACATAGGGAATTTAATTTTTTTCCATCTCAGTATCATCCAAGAAGAAGAGATTGCACCATTCCACATAAATATCTTGTTATAACTATTTATACGATCCGTAAAAGCCAAACCTCTAGGCTGTATAAAAAATATAGTAGAAAGAGGGGAAGACATAGAAGTTTGGTAGGGCATGAAAGTAAAAAATGTGTTGAAACCGATCATGATAGCTATCATAGTCCATGAACAAATTATTTCTTCAGAAAGACTCATATGATTTACATTATTACTGTATGAGGTTGAAGAAGGCCTTTGAAATAGATGTCACCTTAATACTGCCTTGATTATGATGTAAATAACATGGGTCTCCCAGAAAAACATTACTGTTTGGGAATAACTTTGAATCCAGCACCAAAAGATTATAAAATCTATTTCGAGCAAGATTTCTTGAAGGGTCTGCATGGATCATTAGAAAAAAAAAAGTAAGTTTTATCAATTAGTTTAAATCAATCAATAAGTTTTAATTCTTAAAAGCTATTGAAGCTCAAAAATTCCGGACCTGTAATTGAAAGCTTATTCTTAATCCTTTCAATTGTACTTAATTCTGTTTTCGTTTGCGACCAACAAGACACTCAGAAAAAGAATTTTTCCGGAGCCGTCTCAAAAATATTCCCCTACCTCATATACTGGTCGCATACTGATTGCCAAACCTACAAATTGTTTTTGAGAAATTAAGAAAACTTAGCTCATTATAAATCCCTTGACAAGAGTTTTATCAATGGATTCAGAACTTATGGTGCAATTAAGAATAGCACTTATTAATGGATGTGGTTTCTTGTTAACATTTGAAATACGCATGGGTAGGAGATCGGCAAACCTGAGTAAAAAATTCTGTAAACCGGGACAGATAACGTAGACCTTTGCTCCTGAATTGAGCACAGTCACAGAGGAATTCGCATATTCACGAAATACTCGAGGGAACATCTAAAATTGGACTGCAAGTAAAAGTTTAAAATTGCCTAGATTGTGCAATAAAAAAGATGGGATGGAGGGCAAATCTGAGTTTAAAGAACAAAATATGATTATAAAAAACAGCTCTGAAACACAGTACAATAATTCATCTTTAAGAAAATAAACTCCTTTATAAAATTAAAATCCTAAATATAAGAAGTATTTGGACGCTTACGGAGACAAAGCGAAGAGGAGCAATTCGAGAGAAGTAGCAGTTTTTTGGTAGGAGTTCTTCAGACTTGATTTCCTTTAATTGTAGCCTCTACCAATCTTTCTTGTGTTCATCCATTGACACACCACCCGGACCACGTAGCACTATCATTAACAAACCACCAACCACAGAAAACGTCTGAAAGAGGAAAATACATGCGTTAGCCTCCTGACTAAAGGAAATTACATTTAGATTTTTGCACCCAAAACTCAGTTTTTGAATCACTGCAACTGCAAGCCAAAAGAGTCAGAAATTTGTCATAGTAGAAGCAGCTGTAGTATACTTTCTTATGCAACAATTTTCGTAAAAGGACAACACTTTCATTTGATAAGGTATTCCTTTTACTTTTGGTGAGCCTCTAACAGACAAAAATGTCTATTTCAGGGGCTAAAGAATAGCATTCATCAGGCTCTTCATTTTGACTCTATCAAATACAGCTCATGCATGGCAACAATGGATTCTTATGGCTCTAGATCGGACTTGTGAGGCTGATACTTGCGAGTAGTCACCGACTTTAAAGTACGTCAGCTAACAACAACTACGTACGAACCATGGGCTGAACACTTTTTTTAAAACCTAGTTTCAATTTTCACCACAGTTTGCACTATTTTTGGCTTATTTTTAAAAATTCGCTGGAATAAATGTTAAAAACATGTTGACATTGAGTATCTTTAAATAAAGAGAGAGACTGAAGACTAAATTTCCATTATAACAGATCTGTGTATCATTCAGATAATAAAAAATAGATTTAAAAGTGATCTGCAATTTAATTCAGGGTTTGAAGGGAAAATATGAGTTACATAGTCTTACTGTTATCCAAAATGTGTGTCAAAACCAATGAAAGAATAAAGACCAATAAAAGAGTCAGTAATAATAATTTTTTAAACTTTCATTTTTTGCAACCAATCAACCTCATACAGGTTGAAAAAAAAAAATAAGGAAAAATATTGTTTATAATTTCTTTTGGTCCCTGACAAAATTAAAATTATTAGAGATCAGCCAACTAGATAGTAAATTTGGGAAAGTATTTCAATGTGTCCATCTCCTTGCACGAGCACAGAAATAAACAACCTTGACAATCAAGCATCAAAATCATTATTCGTGCGATATGATTTCACTTAAAAGCTTCAGAACAACAAAATTATGTGCAATACATACCTGGAAAAAGTCGTACTTTAGGAAATCTCGGAGAGGTTTGTAAGATGGAACATTCCACCAAGCATTATGATAAAAGTTGAGGAATGATAAGAACCCAACCAGCAGCAAAGCACTTAGCTTTGTTTTATAGCCAATCATTACTAAAATCATTAATGCAGAGCTAAATAAGTCTTGCAAAATCTGGAAAAAAAATGAAAATGAAAGAAATAATCACACAGTTGTTAAAGCGAGCACACACAGTGACCCAAAAATGATTGCAACGTAGAAAAATGCGTATTTCAGACTGCGTTATTGAAAGTCTCAACTCATCTTCCCACAGAAACGAACGGACAATTTTTATTGAGATTTCCTGAGAATTTTCCTCACTTGTTTTGAAATAATCACACAAAATTGCAAGGAGAAATTTTGAGTTGTTTTCTTTGAAAAAAAAAGGATGTGATAGGAGATTTCTAAAAGTAGCAATTGAAGCACTGGGTGCAGAAATGGCATTTCTTAATTGCGCTGTTTCAGAAGTTCTGTTAACGCTTCATTCACTATGATTGAAGAAAATGTATGGAATTCACTGAAATTTTCACTGAATTTTCTCTAAGATTTTACAATACTGAAACTGAAACATTTCAGAAAATTCACCCAAAAATTTCCCCTCTAAGATATGTATTAACGGTGGAGATTCTAAAACACCGCAACCAAGAAATGCTCTTTTTGCACCCAATGTCTTAATGGAAATACGCATTCTTTGCACTTAGCCATTCATGTAAAATTTTAAAGAATATATGACTCTGGTCAGCACAAAATAAACCTAAGCATTAAAGATTTACCAGTAAAAGGCATCATGAGCATTTACAGTTCCTTTTAGCAGACATTTGTTTTTGGGATGACACATGTAATTTCAGGGTTGCATTAGGTCCACAGTGAAGTCTGCAATACTAAAAATGCAGGATCCGGGCATCCTCGATTGAAGGTTGTTTAAGGCAAGATAAGGGTAGGTAATTGAGGGGGTAAGAACTAGGGGGTCTTCATTGATCTGCAATGTTGCAAAATTTTATTTGACAATTAAATCTTTTGTGACAGTCCATGGGAAAAGGGACCTTAAGTATTCCATAAACAAAATCGAGTTGTTCTACAGACTTAATTATAATAATTTTAAGATACATCAGATGTTTTTTGACCTTATGGGTGAAGTAAAAAGTATAATCATTGATACTTACTTGGAAAAATGAGATTTCTAATCTAATTAGGGTAATGAACATGAAAGCCAAAAGAATTCTTCCTCCAAGCTGGAGATAATTTTTAGGTTTATTCGTATCTAAAACAAATGCAAAATATAAATTATGAATTGAAATGAACATTAAAAGACTAAATAAGTATTTAAATCACTCACAATACAAGATCTGTCTGGAAAAAATCCTTAATTTCTCCTTTTTTTGGGGAACTGGTCCACATGGATGAGCTATAATAAGGATTATAATTAGGTTTTCTTGAATTTATTTGAATATTTGAATGTCTCTTGAATATATGTCATGATGGCTGCGCAGCATTAAAGTCTCTCTTTAGTTTTCCAATTTTGTTGGTAATGATGGTGCAAAATTCAAACTACACATAATCGAAATTTTTAAACTATTTGCTTTGAAAACAAATTTCAGGCTCAAGGACAGGCATATAAATCAACTCTGATGCATAAATTGGTCTCCACTTAAAATATCAAAGGAAAAATGGCAGTTGGAAAAATTTTGCCCCACTGTGCAGAATTTGGCACCAAACTCAAGACATTTGGACTGTTTGACTGTTCTAGGTGAATAGCAAAGTATACTCTAACTACAGCTGCAATCTTTGAGCTAAAAGTGGATAAAAACACTGGACTGAGATTTACTGACAATGAATAGAATTAGTGACCAAGTTATGACATTTGAACAGTTCATGAAATCCAGGCTATCAATAAACATTGAAAAACTTACCTAATGTTGGAACACCAGCCAGCAATGTCCTTGTTTCAGCTTTGCTGTCAGCCAGAACGAGGAGTAGAGCACCAATTAAAGCTAGATTACGCAATAGGAAATGCAGATCCCAGAGAATATCATACGCAAAAGTCTGGAAGGATCAATAAAATATAATTAGCCCGGACCAAATGGAATGTTCTGGAGGACCAAAATAATTAGACTGAAAAGTTTGGGGAAGCATTGCCTTTAACTACCCAGTAGATATGGTAACAAAAAAAAGAGAAAAAAACCTTTGGTCGGTTTTATGGCCATTGCACTGATAATAAGGTAATATAATAATGATATGTTAGAATCTTTAGATATGAGTGGTTCTATATTCGCATGATTAAATTAGAGTGTAGGTGCTTAGTGCTTCGACAGCAATTTGAGAGACATTTATTGGAATGTATAGAACTTGTTATAATTTTACACTCTTTCATTACTTCTTATCTCAAACAAATTAAAAGGTGTATGAATGGCAAAAAAAGAACTTTCTGCTGCTCAGACAGCAAAGTTCCATGTAGTTTAATCGACATATATGTTGCAAAAATGGCAAAACTGATGCATGATTTGTAAAAAGGACGTACAGTATTTTTCTTTGACAAAAATAAAAAAACGTGGAAAACAAAAAGAAGATGTATGAAGGGCATATCAACGGTGAAACTACCAAACCACGTATCTCGGTTTGCGACGTCGCAGACTTCCTGTCATACTTTATTTTTTAAATGAAAAACTACTTAACATCCAGTCTTGAAAATTTCTAAAATTTCAAGGAATGATATTGATTTGGTCTACTTCAAAAAAATAAAATGTGAGCGTAGATTTTTAAACACCGCAAACGAGATACGTGGTTTGGTAGTTTCACCGTCGATATACTAGACACTCAGTGTGTCACTTGATGCCTCTAAATAATCAATATTTCAATGTTCTCTAGACTTATTACAATGTTCACCTCACTGTCATTGGACTTACTATCCAAAGTACATCATTTTATTGCCCGCTAAAGGTGCACATATGTTCACTTGAATTAATGCAACCGCCTGACTTACTTTCACAAGAGCAGACAAACATAGCACAATTGCAAAATTCTCTTGCTCTAGTTTGAAAATGATGTTTCTTTTTTCTTAACGTCAGTCATGCTACTTTGGCTGAAATATGAGAAAGAGGAGTAATTACCTGTAAAACTACGATGAAAAAGAGCACACCACACGCAGCAGGGACTTGCTTCTGAACTATAACCAAAACACAGCCTCCTAATTGACCAACTAGATTGATGAATACAAAAAGAGTTGCTAGAAAGCTGCCACAACCCCATGACATGTCCATATACTCCTTTTGCTGTGTCCACTGGAAGTACATTCGCAAACCATCTTCGATGAAAGTTGAGATGAGACACAGTCTTGAAGCAGTTGGAAGGAATACTTTTGTCTTCTTATAAACCTGAAAATGGTAAAAAAAATTAATTAGAGCCCATTAAAAAAAGTTTATTGCATCGAGGTTTCCATGAGAATAATACTAAGGGTCTTGGTGTAAAAATCAAACGGTATTCAGGCCACATCTATCCATGATCTCTGCATGTAGACCACCATCTGTGAGAACCCCAAAAGCAGGGCCAGATTAACCTATTTGCCGCCCAACGGCCGCCTGTATTTTGCCGCTCCCCTATCATTTGTTTTAGAACATCAATAAGAACCAATAAATAGTCGTGCCAGAGGGGAGGAAGGGGTGGATGCATAAGATGCATTTACCTGTGTTGGGCGCATTTTTGGTGAAAGCCCTGTCCGCACTAGCAAAAGTTGACGGAACTACACACGAAAGATAAGTTCCGTAAACCAGAGCTCCTCTTGCCTGCTGGACAAGATTACAGTATTGACGTGTGGCAAGATGATAGGAACAATCATCACCACTTGATTACTTATTTGAATGACAGATCCAAGATCAGTCAAAGAATGCAGTTCATTGATGGTAGAAAACTGATAACTCCTGCTTTCAGGTCAAAAAACCCTGCCAATCAACTTTTCAGGTGTCTTACGGAGTCGCAGAGCATGAAAATTGATTACATTTTCATCCAAAGAGCCATAAGCCCTTATCCACTGTTAAAAGTGGTGATAAAATCAAGATAGCACATAGTTCTTATGCGTTAAAGATTTATCAATCAGTTTTCCTACTTGTCGTCTGAAGAGCCTTGCGTAATAGAAAATCCAACACCGACAAGTTGTACTTTAGCGCTTGATATGGAAAGCTTAATTAAAACAGTGGCCTGGGTTATATTTTGAAGACTCAAAAAAAGGGCCGAATTGCAGTAAATTCCCAAAAAACTCACCAAGTCAGCAAAATCCTCAGCCTTCCGGAGGTATTCATTTGGCACAACTTGATCCATTGCACTATAAACCATGTTCAGGCCAAAATAATAACAATTGGAGGGGCCAGTGTGACACACTGGCAAACTGATGGCAGGCTCTTCCGAAGTAGAGAAATTAAAAAAAGGTGGAATTAAAAATTAGACCAGATTGATTAGATGATGTGGAAGAAAAGGTGTCAGTGAAGTTAACCTGTCAACTCGGGGAAGAAGAAAACAAACGACACGAAAAACGACAATTCATCGGTGTCCAACTTCTTTGATCAACAAAAATCAGCTAGATTGTAAATGTAAACATAACCTATCAATCGTGACCAGTTCTCATGCCTTCTTAAAAATTGTTCAAATTCATCTAATTGTAAGTGTTTAAAGAAAAATGTCAGTATCCTATGATCAAAATGTATTTTTTTTTAAGTTTGCAATCCCTTCATATCTTCTCAGATATCACAGATTTATTATTTTCTTCATATCTTAGTGTCAAAGGTTGGACAATGCTTTCGCCATTTCTACGATCTCACCCAGCATCATGGTTCTTCCGAGAGTGTCACAGATATTCCCAGTTCTTTTTTATCGGTAAGTTTTCAAACTTTCGTAGCCCTAATCCCGATGTTAGTAATCATATTTGCCATTACCTAAATCTTGAATAAAAATCATCAGTAGCGAATGGGCTAATATTGGCGTAAGATGACAACTCTGACAGACCAGATTCACGTGCGATCCCTAGGCTGTAGGCCACGAGTCCAGTACGCGCTGGCGCACTAACTCACAAACGCTAACCCTATACATTACCTCCATAAAAGTGCTAAATACCACAGTCGGTAGATTGCCTTAAAACCGTCCCGAAAAAAAAAAAAAAAAAAAAAAAAAAAAAAGTGGTGGGTTGGGTGTTAGAGTGACAATTGTTGCAAACACCACCCCACTACAGTTGTAAAGGGTATGTAATACGATAGAGAGAGGAAAGAAGGTGCTTGTATTTTGAAGATTGTTTACCTCGTGATGTAGGTCGGTACAACCTGGCCAGCAAAATCCGGAATTCGAAGTATGAAAAACAAACCATACCATCCGATTTTTTTCAACCCATTCTAAAAATGTGTTGGGTACGCAATTTACAAACAGCATGTCCCCCCTTCCCCTCTAGCGCGGCGACAAGCCGTAGGGGTGGCAAAATCTTGATGGCCTAGGGGCGGCAATTACATAAATCCAGCCATCGGTCTAAGGGCGGATTATGCCATTTAACCCGAAAAATTTTGTTATAAGACCCAGCGTGGAAAATTTTATAGGTTTGCAATGCATGATTTCCTGTGCAGGTATTTGGGCTGCTGAATTTGAACATCCAGGTCCGCCTCAAGGGGGGGGGGGATATTGGGTCCAGAGGGGTCCGTGGCACACTACTTCGAATTCACATGTAACCCTTGTCAAGGCCCGGACCTTAATACTGGTGCCAGGGCTTGAGATGGGATGTGGCAGGTCTGTGAACATTACCCTGGTTTTTCTACAGTATGCAGAAATAGAATTTTCCCTGGTCCGTAGATCCCGTTTTTGAGGAAAATTGGAAGGTGAGGTTAAAAATCAGAGGTCATTCTCGGACTCCACGCCAAAAATTACTTATAATTGGTATGGCTGTCCCATCTCGAGCGTTGTCTAGGAAAAGATTATTTTGCAGACCAGTGTAATATTAAGAGACGTCAGGGAATAAAACAGTTCTGCTGAAGAATTTGAACTCAAAATCGGGAATCATACCCAATTCATGTCAAAAAATCGTTGCAGTTACGTACTTCAGAGTGCATGAAGGCAGATTTTTTTCAATCCTAGATGAAAAACATAAACATTGAAAATGCGCAGCGAGCAGGAGAAAAGTGTGCTTCGAAAAATTCACATTTCTCCTTTTGTGTGATTATCCCATTTGGGATGCCCATAAAGGGGAGTTTTGGAACTTTTAAAAGCATCTGATGTTACCACGCGAAAAGAGGGAAAAGTGTGCCTATTCAAAAATATTCATGTGTCTTGGAAAATTTTATCATCAACTACCTCTAAGAAGGGCTTGCACTCAAGATAACTACAAATCGTTTTTTCTGTACTCACACGGATCAAAGTCGTGACCGATTGATCTGTTTCAAGGGCCAAAATCCAAAACGGAGGTTTTTTAAAATTGGACCACAAATTTTATTACGCCACGTTAAATGTATGTTACAATTTTAAAGCATTTCTCAAATTTTCAGTTGTTTAAGCAGTACCTATCATATTCAAAAGAAAGGGTCTAAAAGTGAAAGAACGGTTTTTGCGGAAGTGAAATCCTCAAAATAACCGGCGTTCCGCTAGGCTCCGCGCCGGTTTTTTCCTAGGGGGAGGTCGGGGCGATGGGGGGGGGCGGGGGGCTATGCCTTTGAAGCTCCCCTCCTGGGACGTGCGCGTTTTTTCAGAAAATAATACGGGTCCTATTTGTGCGAATATACTTGCATTATTTTGATACGTGCATACTCCTCATGAAGCATAAATGCCTCATGAGAGGTGAGGGATGTCAAGTTGAGAAAGCAGGGGGAGGCAGGAAATAACCCCTTTGCTCTTGCAATTTGACCTATTTTCCGTGTTCTATTCCGTCGCTCCTTTGAAGTAAGGGCGTCTCTATTACCGCATAAGCCCCGAAAAGCATAAAGTCATACGCAGCACAAGGCTCACGCAAAAATTGAGGTACGCCTTTACGTCAGATTTGATGGCATTATCGGTTTCTTTTTTAACTCCCTCCCTCCTTTCAAGTAAATTTGATCTTCTCCTCGCAACCCTTGCCCCCTTCTCGCCCCACGTCTTAAGTTTGAGTGAAATGGCACATTTGTAAAAATTGTGGGACGGGTAGATGGAAAAAATTACTCGGGTGAGGCAAGGGCAGAGGAATCTGGAGTATTGGGAGTATTGGGTAGTCTGTTCCTGGCGCGTAAATATTAATGATTTAGCGTTAGACTTGGCAGCATGGATTGGAGGCTCCGCGCTGTCTACCGCGTCCACGCTCTAGCTCCTGATTTCCGAGCAGACAGGTTGTCGCCAGCCCGCGCCGGCCTTACCCTTCTTCCCTCTCCCATTCTCGCTTATCCCTCTCAAAGTCTGCTGAACCTATTCTTCGCACGTGTGCGTGTGTATGTGTGCGTCGATTCGGGTATTTTCCGTGTTGAAAAGATTAGAAGTCTCGAACGAAAGTCTCTTCTCTTTGTAATCAAGATAGCAAATACCCAATCATCTTTTCCAGCCGCCGGTGATTTTGTAGTCTGAATATTTTGTGTCTTTTTATATCGTATTTTACCATGTTTTGATTGTTACGTCTGTTGTTATCTTTCCCTATAATGGTAAGTTAACTACTGGAAAAGTTCTATCATCAAAACGCTTTTATATGCTCATTCCTTACATTCCATTGCAGTCTATTCTTCCACTGTCCAAAAGCTGTTGGTGCTATTACCATGCCCATTCAGCCCTGTGCCTAATGAATAACTCTAAGCTTACCTATTTGCTTTCTCTTGTCATAGTTTGTCTGAAGATTTTACACAATTAAAGGCTTGAATCTTATTGAAAAATGTTCAACTTGATTCATGCTCTATTGCTTCTTTGTACATCCAAGTAAACACCTCGATACCATCTTATATATGTACCTGACAACCAAGATCAGTAGTAATTTCCCCTAGAAAATTTGTTAAATACTTTGTTCAAGTTTGATACCTCTTACCTACAGAGAAACTCTAGGTATCTTGAAGAATTCACCAATCTTTCAATGTCTGATCTCTAGTTTGCCAAATGATTTCTCGAGCAGATTCTTTGCCATTGTCCTCAATGTCCTTGCTTAAGACTATAGGTCATCTAAGTATATTCTAACTTTTGTATTGGTGCGGCAGGTGTGGGTTCATTTAATCCTTTCAACCATAAATTAATGAAAGACATATTTGTAGTTTTCTTTTTGTGTGGTTTCATTATTTCTTCTTTTTCTTTCTCTAGGAAACCCTAAAAGGAGAGTTGATTACCTCATTAATAAATCCCAGTCAACTTAAATCATGGATGAAACCTGTGGATCCTGTAGATGTTTGGCTAGATCATCAAGGACTGTACCGGAAGCATACAGCTCGAGATGCATCATGCTTGTACCGTATTATAGCTGAGCAGGTATTTATTCTTTATATTTACCGCTCTCCTCAAAAAAATGCCTCAAAAACACAAGTTGTGACAATGTTTATATGCTCTCGATGTGAACTAAGTACACTCTGAATAGTGCATAGGGGAATAATTTTGAATGATTGATGCCTGAAGAAAAAAGATTCACATGTCTCTGTCTTTTGCACTTTGCAGTGAAATTATTACCAAAAATGTTTCATTTTTTGTTCCACTTGTGCCAATTGTCGATGTGAAAAGTTAGGAAATTTTGATCATATTGGTCTAGAAAAACCTGAAAAAGTGAGGGAATGTCTTCTAGCCGAGCATGTACACAACCTGAGAGAATGGTTCGTAATGGAAGTAGAATCCTGTGTAGGGAAGTTGTTCTCCTTAATTACAGCCTCAATTAAGAGGCTTGGAGGACAAGGCGCATAAATGCAATTACTGAAAAAATTGAGATATCGATGGTCAAAGTGCGAAACCTTGTATCTCCATTGAGCGGTCTCTGAATTTTCACTCCTATTTTATTTTTCAAAGGGAAAAAAGCCAGCTTTATAGCTTGCAAATTTTACAGAATATTCTGCTACTTTTGTAGAAAAATCAAGGAATTTTTCAAGAAATTACGTTGACCGGTTTTCAAAAGAAAAATAAAATATGCTAGGAAGTCTGGAAGGTTGCAGACGGAGATACGTTGTTTCGCGCTGTGGCCATCAATATTAGTGGAATAAATTTAGTCTTGATAAGTATTCCAAGAAAATTTCCTGGTTAAATCCAATTTTTAAGCATCAAGATGTGAGTTTGAACTCACTTTCTACCATGAAGCCTCATGTAATTTTGAAACTTCAAATATGCATTTCTTGAAATTGCAAAATCTGAACCTTTGCGCTTTGTCCTCCGAGCCCTTTATTTTAGGATTCGCTAATTTTACCAGCCTGGTTGATTGTAGACAAAACTAGAAGCACCGTTGTGTTTCTAGTGAAATTTTAGAATTGATGGTTGAATAAAATAATTCCTGACAATGGAATGGAATTTCATTTTTTCTCTTCCCTCAGTCATGGCTTGCAGCCACAAATGCTGTCCAACAGATCTTTATTATTCAACCTGCATCAGTTCGTCTTTTTTTACTTATTTGTCAATTACTTTCCGGTTATAATCTCTTTTACAGTCTAATGCATTCAGTCTATTAACATTACTTCTGCTGTAAACAGTTTTTCAAACTGGCCCTGCTCTTAAGGGGTGATTCATTCTATTTGTTAAATTAAAATTTATTTTCTCTTTTGTTTTACAGGTTTATCTAACCCAAATGTTTCATATGCATGTACGAAAACAATGCATCGAATTTTGTATCAAGAATCCAAAATATCTAAAAGTAAGGCAACAGTTCATTATTTGTAGTCTCTCCTCAATTTCTTTTCAGTTCCCTTTTCAATTTAGAAGTCCTCTCGGCACACCTGTCATAAGATCCAGAGCTCCAAAAATATGTATATTTTTCTGATTTACATTGGAATCAATAGGATGACGCTTAGTTTTCTCCTTAGTTCTAAAAATGGTTAAAACATCGTCACATATTTGATACCGGTTTAGGTTTGGTGCAAAGGTATAAGGAGAAAAGAAATTGATCCGAAAGTTTTTGTCGAAGTCTTGTGTTCCATTTGTGTCACTGTAGTAACTACTACATCAACCAGGACAGAATTCTCTATTCAACATTTTTAGAAGCATCAACATTTTTTCAAGTTGTCATTCCTTCAATAATCACAATTGAAAGAAATGTTGTCTGTGACCAATTTTTATTTTCTCTTTTGAAAACTTGCTTTTCCTGAGTTTGCTGAAGAGGGCAAGGGCTGTCTCTAAAGAAAATATGGTTGTTAAATTTTCAGAATGGAATTAAAATCAGTGAAAAACATTTTATAAACCATTTATCTCTCAAGAAGGATGCAGATTTACAGACTTAATTTATACCTCTTTATCAATATATTTTGATGTTTTAGCGTTTGAATTTTTCCTCTGAGGATGTAATTGAGCACCTCCAAAATTTACGGGAGCCAAGTGGAGAATTGGAAATTCAGTTACTATCCATTATCCACAAGTGAGTAAAATTTAATTTTTTGTAATTTTTCCTATGTAGAACATGTATTAATTTACTTATTCCTTCATTCCTTCTTTCGCAGCTGTATACTTTTGTCCTTTGCAGGCTCCATACATTGTCAATTGGATCATACAATGTTCTTTGCCAAAATAATTAATATTCTTAAGACCTGTATGAGTGTAGATTTTTTTATTTATTCTCTCAGTGTAATTTGAGCCAATTCAAGGAAAAAAATCTGCAAGTTGAAAGTGCCAACACTATGTGTTGGCAGCGCTTGCTAATCATTTAAAAATGAATCAATTATGAAATTCTTATTTTCTACAATTGAATGGATGGTAAAACTTTATTGGCTTCAGTTGATGATTTGCACATAGTTTGATGGATTGAGAAAGATGAAGGTTAGATGCATGTAATCATTCATAGGAGAGGAAGTAAAAAATTCTGGTTGATTTGTCATGGAATGACCCAAAAGTATCTGATACTCAACAAATGTGGCCTAGGTTAGCCATAGGGTAAGTAAAATTAATATCATGTTTTATTTGCAAAAATATAAAAGTGGAGAAATTAAATAAAGAGAAATATATCCTGTTTTAGGTATGATTTTGTCTTACATAAGGAAATTGGCCACCCTCCGTCCAGTTTGACCAATTATGGTTACAACAAAGTAATCCACCTATGGGCCTCAAAGGACAGTCATTATGACTCAGTTCATAGTAAGCAGCACATTGCAAATGCAGCATTTTGTCAAGGTACTTATGCTCCTTATTATATTTGACTTGGAGTTCAACCTCCCACTTTTTTGCCCAATATCTGCAGGCCAAGCTCCTCAAATTGCTTAAGATGTCCATGCATACTTGTTGCTCTTGATGTTATAAATAAAATATTTTGATGTTGAGTTAACAATTGACGAAATCTCAAACTGATGACTTGACTTAATTCTACACGGTGATTCGTCATGAGATTGTAGGGGAAAGTAGTCGATCAATGTAAGGTCACCCTCTGTCCATGTCTATATGACTTGATTAAAACCTTGTGTACTATTTGGAACGCATCTTTAACTCCTCTTTGCTCCCTGCTATGATCAATACGAAAAATCAATAAATAAGTAAAAACTAGGGTCATGGATCAAATTTAATTTTTTTGCTCATTGTATTTCAGCAATAGTGTATGAAATTTTGTACAAGCGAGTTTTCAAGTTACAAGAAGTGGATTTTGCTGTCAATAAGATGTTGCACGATAAAGTTACAAGGTACCCTCGAGAAATCAGCAACAGTTATGGGTGAGTTATTATCTTTTAGGAAATACACTAACAGAAAACAATGAATAAGGATGTTCTGAAAGAGAGGAAGAGGAATGGCTCATACATTTATTTTAAGCCCCAAGCAAAAAAATTAAGCAATTGGAACTGAATTTTTTGTTTGTAAACAACAACCAACCTCATACTATTAAGACTGAATACTTAAGTATGTCGATAGTGTAAGTTGGCAATCACATGACTGGTTTGTGATGGCTGAAAATCTCCGCCTCTATGTTATTTTTTTAAAGGAGAACAAATTGACATCATTCCATGAAGTTTATGCAGAATTTTCTTCGCGCAGAGAAGAAAACTCACGGCAGTTTTACAGAATTGCCGTTTGTAGTTTTCCGTTTAAAAAATAAAGTATGACAGGAAGTCTGCGACGTCGCAAACCGAGTTATGTGATTGCCGACTTACACCGTCGATGTATTTAGTGCTGAAGAAATGAAGTACAGCCTGGCTCACCTCAATTTTAGCAATTAAATTTTCTCAACTATTTTTACTCTGTGCTTGCCTTTTTTTTCCAATCTAATCACTATTTTTTCAAATACTTCTTTTAGGTATGCAATGCGTCTTGAAATGAGAGAACAATGTCTAAATGCAAAGGAGCTCCTGAAAATGGACATCACACCATTTCCTTACAAAGTAGCAAAATCTCTCGACCCAAATATTTATCGAAATGTAGAATTTGATACTTGGAATGACGGGAGACGAGGTATGCGCTGTCAAGTACTCTGTTGTCTTTGCATTTTCAAGTTACTATCTTTTTAATACTGAAGGTATTTAATTTTGACTTTTAATACTTAGGAAGAGGGAGACATCTGAAAATCCTATCAGGTTACTTGCTATAACAGTTCGTACTGTTCTAATAGGACCTCAATATGTTGACTTTGTTAGGGACTTACTTTTGGTTGTCATGGCATACCTCTATTTCCTGCGCACTGAAACTAAAATTTTGCCCGTTAATTTTGCTTTTGACAGTTGTTTCCACTTTCCAGTGTTAAACAAATGTATGTGTCAAACAAGCTCCCAGATGCTCAAGAAGATTCACACTATTGTCATTGCAACATCAACTTTTTTCCCAAAACAATGTAAACCTGTGCTCTGATAATTGCATATTGTTTCAGGTTTTCGCTTGACTTATTGGAGCAATCGAGAATTGAAAGTGGGCGCTAAGTGTCTTGTAACTCTGAACCCAGAAACTGTCTATGTTGCCCATATCCAAAAAATGTCTGAAGACCATGGACCAGTTACCATTTTTGTTGAAGCCCTCGGACAAATGTAAGCAAATACTGCCACCACTTTTAGATGCACTATTTTGTACTTACAATTAGTTTTAAATTATCGCTTTTAAGACATATCACCCTTTTTGTGAAATTAAAAAATCTCACAGTGAGGGAGCAAAAATGCTTTTCCAGAAGTGCTGAGGTAAAGCAAATTGGTGGAAAATCTTCCATTTCTTCAAGCAATGCCCATTCATAAAATTGCATTTATGTGAAGATACTACGCAATAAAAACTTTAGAAAAAGCTGTCAATTTCCTAGCTAAGAAAGCATTTCTGTAGGAACACCATATTTCCGAATAACATCTCTCTTTCATTCCTTAGACGATAAAATTTAAGACACATTTTTCTCTTGTCCTTTCAATTCATTCTTGGTTTTGGAGACAAAGACCCTATATACTTTTTACATTTCTCTCCTCTTGAAAAGTCCATCCATTTTCCATGAGAGCTAAGCTTAAGATTTGGTTATTTCTTGAAATTTCCCTTATTCGCTCATGCCTCACAATCTGTCTGCTTCTACTTGTTGTCCTCAGTCAAGTTGAAAACTTCCAGATCACTCCAAAAATTAATCTTTTTCATCATTGCTTAAGAAATGCATCCCCTGATTATAGTTATGATTTGAAAATTAGACAAGCTCTTTGAATCCAGAGAGCCAGAACTACTGTGAAAAAACTTGCTATCCCTTTGAGAGTTCAATAAAACTTTAACTTCAGCTGATTGAAGAATCATGAATTCTGAAACAAAATTTTGGAATGCAGTAAATTTAATTATTTTCTTGAAATTTTTCCTGCCCTTGTAATGATCCAATTCATCTTACAGGTTGTCTGTGCCGTATGAAAAATTGTCCTTACTTCCTGAAATCCGCTCTTCTTTAAATACCTATCAAGAGAAGTGTCTCCAGTCTGGGAGTAGTAATGCACCATCTGATGAATGTAAGAAATGTTTATTAAGATAAAGCTCAGATGCACATCCTATAGCACAGTGTACCTCAAAAGGCCCTTCACTTTGGAATGGTTAAATGAAACTTTGACATGTAATTTTCATGCTCAATCTTCCTATCTTGATGAAAACTTTTTTTCGGGGGAAAGGGTCCTCATTTTTGGGTCCCCCTGTTTTTTTTTTTTTTTTTAAATACATCACTGTAACATTGTAGCTTTTACTTACATTGTAAGTAACAGCTAACAAGTTCAAGTCTCTATCGCCATTTCAAAGTGGCAGCTGCTCAAAGGTATAAAGTGGATATTTTTATACCTTGTTTAAAGATTCACTTGATATTTTGTTTTATGAGTTTTTTGACTCACGAAAAACATAGTGGAATTAGTTTTGACAATTATTATGGCAAATTTTAACTGAAAGCATTTGAAAATTAAGAAAAATCAATTTGTCTCCGAATCATATTTTTCATTTTACAATATACTCGCCAACGTATTGCTGTCTTAAAGAGGGTTGCTTATTTTGAAAAGTTAATGTCATTTGTTCTCTTGTGTCCAAACAATGCTCAGTTGCAAAATCCGTGAAAAATTGGATATAAACTGATTTTCGAACTTCTTTAAGTGCCGCCAGTTTGAATTTGTCATCGAAATTTTGCAAAAATAATGCTAAATGCATTTCATCTGACTTAAAAAACTTATGATACAAAATATCAAGTGTTTCCATCAATAAGGTCTAAAAATGTTCAATTTTCTTTTTTGAACAGCCACCATTTTGAAATAGTGATAGAGACCGGAATTTTGTTCAAAAAATTTTCTTTTCTGCATTTTAAAGGAAAGATTACCATTTGATAAAAAAGGAAGTTAAAGGCCCCAAAAATTTTAAACCTTTTAAGAGATGATTTTTTTTAAGAGAAGAACTTTGCAGAAGTTTCATTTCTCTGTCTTAATCATTCAAAAGTCAAGGGGAGGACTTCTGGAATACCCTATGATATGGTTATATGCTAGAAGGGTATCAAAGACAAGAATTTCATGATCATTTACAATATGTTCCTTTTTCCAATGAGATAAACCTTTCCCCTTCGAAGAAAGTTAAAAGGGATGGATGCTCTAATATCCAGTTTTTCATGGAGTTATGAGTTTTCACCTAAGTTTTAAATCCTACGTTTATGATACCTTGTTGAAATAGCAAGGTTTTAGGGAGGTAGAAATCATAGAAATATTGTGGACGAATTGCATTCAATTTCTAAGGATTCTCAAAAGAAACTTATTTTATCTAAAGGAACCTATGTGCTCGTGATTATGATGCAGGCAATAATGCTTTTCAGTGTCACTCACCATGGAAAGTGAAAAAATCAGAGGAAGGAATTTCTCCTTGTTTGCTTTACGCATGTTTAATGATCCTTGAATATCATGTAGGATGATCCAAAAGTCTTGCGCCATCCCTATAATCCCTTGGGTCTTTGCCTCTTTTCAGGGTGATCATTTTAAAGTTTTGGAGGCTCCTTTGACCTGGAAGCCTTCACAAAATTTAAGTTCCCATCTCAATTTGCCCAAAAGTTACAGAGGCTATTAGTTTGACGTACAAGACTTTTGGATCACCCTATGTAATTTTTCCGTAACTATAAGTGTTTCTTCTCTTACAGATGATGATGTTGATTACCCCGACAACTCTCTTTACGTTGGTCCAACGCCAAGCACCACCAATAATGATGATCCTCAGGTTTATCATGTATCCTCCAGGTAAAAAGACAGCATTATGGATCGTGATTTTTTCCCTTTTTTTTATCGGAAGTAGTTTCATTCAGTGCAGAATAATTTTTATTGTTTGAAATTAAGTTTATTTTCAATATTTTTCTGATGTAGTCACTATCACAGAGGCCATCTGTTTTATGACTGACGTAAGATGTCACCTGCTGATATGTTCTATCTTCTTGGAGGTCCGAGGTAGATTTTTTATGTATTTTGGGGAAATTATTTGGGAACGAGGTGGTAGAAAAAACGAATTTTTGCGGAGGAAATGCTTTGATATTAAAATGGTATGGCAATTGATTAATACATGCTGAGTAACTTAGGAAAACATAATTTGAGGGGGCATAAACCTGAAACTAGCCAAAATTAAATGTGGTCACATGGGAAGCAGTTTCATAATAGTACATTTCCAGCCGTAATTTAATCCTCAAAGAACTAAAATGTGGCTTAGCACTATTGACTTTAATCAAATGCTACTTGAAAGTATGATTTTAACTGATTATGCCAATCAAAGCTCACAGTTCTTCTTCTTCTATTTTTTCAGCAGCGATCATTTTTCAAAAGAGTGTGAAGAAAATGAAGAAAAATCTCATCAGTTTACAAATATTAGCAAGGTATGTCCTTCAAACTTAGAGGTTCCAGTTGTTCATTGCAAAGAGCAAGCCGGCAGAAATCGTCATGAAGTGCTAATCTGGTGTCGAACTCACCTGCTATGTTGTGTACTCCTCCTTTGCATTTGTACGCATGCAATACAAATACATAAGCTATTTCCAACTGAACAGCTGTGAATTCGCCAAAACCGATGAAGCTTTTGTCAACAATACAGTAACTTAGGACAATTAGGCTAACAACAAGTAGGCTCGCCTGGAGGAAATTTAGAATTGTCTATGTTAATCCTTTGATTTATTTTAGACAAAGGTCATCTTTTTTATAGGGCTCGCAGAATAAAAGGCGCTTAAATAATCGATCCAAGAAAATTATTACCATTCTTAACATGACATTCTTGTTTGTCATTTGGATTGTCTATCTACCACCTCTTTGTGAAAATTCCTCCATCCACCAATTGTCTCCCTCCGTTCCTTCAGCGTCTGTATCGAACTCTACGGGAGAGCAGCAAATTTTTACTTTTCCTCAAATAGTATAATGACTTTTGTTTTGCTTTAATAACTTGGAATAAAATCTAGTTAAGACAATTCCTTTCTTCAACCAACCAGTGGTCCGGCCCCAATCAACAAAATCAATCCGGACCGCCCTAGGAAAGAAGGTCCCCTTCCTCGATGTTCAGCAGCATGCAAACAGGTTTGTACCCCGACACCAAACCCCTGCATCCTGATCAAATGGGCTGGCAGCTCTCCTGGCAAAATTCCCAGCTGATCAAGACCAATCAGACTGTTCCCCTGTGGGTATGGCGGTGAACATACCATAGAATGGTAATTTATCTGTCTCAGTTTAGTCAGTTCGTATCAGCTTTGACCTTTCTAATATGAAATTCATCAATTCTCAGAAACAGGAGCCTCTTTCAACGATGAATGATTCAAAACAAGATTCACACAACCCAGGCGATGGCTACCACAACAAGCATGAGCCTCAACCAGCCTCTTCAGAACGAATTGAAAAAAATGAGCAAACCTCCTTGATGAACCTGATAGATGGTGTGTCACCAATCACCGAGTTTGCCCTACCATTGGCTTCAGACACAAGCAGCAACCAAACGTCTAATCCTATCGTCAATCTGTCTGCTCTGGAATCCGTCATGCACAATGGATCTGACCTTCCCCTTTCTGGTGCGTTTTCCCAGTGAATTCAGTTTCTATTCCTCATAATATTCTTTTACTCGGCATTATATTGAAAAAACTGACTGAAAATTTCTAATTCATCATTTTATTAGCGTTAGTCCAAACTTGCTCCTTGAATTTTTTTTTATTTGGAGCAAAAACATTTTTATTGAAATTGAGAAAAGAAATGCAAATCTGAAAGTGCAATATCTAGTACCGGAGGAAAAATCCAGGAAGTCTGGTCGCATTTTTCATCCAAACTCTCCTCTAAAGGGCTACCATTTAATATTCAAGAAATTTAGATTTTGATTCTTTGTCTCATAATATCTCTGTTATTCTGCATTATACTGCGAAAATTGTCTGAAACCTGTAATCTACACCCCATAGTCTATTTCTGGAAAGTGGGGAGTACAACAGAAATTTTTTTAAGAACTCCTCCTTCTACTCCTGACAATAATTAAATTTTCACTAATGGTTTAATTTCATTCCGAAACTCACATATTTTGATCTTTATGACCGAGACCCAATTTCAGTCACTTTCAATCGTTCTGAACCAAAATTGAAAACTTTGAATTCGTTTTTTCCACACCAGTCTCTTCATTATGTACCCTTTTTCTGGTCTTATCAATTATTTTTGTTTCGCTTATTTTTAAGCTATTTTATATTTTCATGAACAAGCTATTGATTCTTACATTTTTCTCTTTCACAGATATTCCTACTTTACGCTTCTTCTATAATTTGGGTGTCTCGGTAAGTTAAATACTTAGCTCATTGATTGATGCTTTTGTGTCAACTGTGACTTCACAATATGATTCAGCAGATTTTGCATTATATGCAGCAAAAACTTGAGCAAAAAACAAGACCTATGACTGAAAAGCATTCAAGCAGGTCAATCTTAGAATGTTTTTTTTTGTTTTTTTTCTACGTGTGAATTCTAGTCTCAATATCCCAGTTTTTGTTACATTACTTGTGAGTGTATAATTTTTTGGCCTGCATTTAATCAAATCATTTGCTTCTAATGATACGCTTTCCAGCGTTGCAGACTTCCTGCCATACTTAATTCTTAACGTGAAAAACTATTAAACGTCGTATCTCCACGGTAAGAATATTCTGTGAAAATTTCAAGCCATGATGATGGTTAGATCACCTGTTAAAAAATAAAATAGCGTATATTTTGAAACACCACAACTGAGATACACATTTTTGCAGTTTCTCTGTTGAAATATAGTATTGCATATTCTTTTTATGTGCCCAAGACAAATCTCTCTTACAAATGAATCTACATGTCGTCAACCAATGACATAATAGCTCAAAAAAATGAGTTCGTGAATGTAATTTTGTGTTATGAACACTAAACACACTGTTTGTGTTTTTGTGTTATTTCAAAGAATGACCTAGATTATTTAATCTTTAACTGAAAATTATAATTTCATGGAAGTTACAGCCAAAAGAACTACTGTTTCTTGACTCATCCTTTCATCTCTGTTAAAAAAAATGACTCTGATATTGTTTTTAAAATTTTGGTCTTCAAGTCGCTCATCAAAATAAAATTAAAATTTTTGTTTCAGTACCTTCGGAGCTGTAACACTATGATGTGTCCACCATCTCCATGCCTTCCATATTCTTTCTTCTGCAGCCCGATTCCAGGAAATGTCTCCACTCCAGATCCAGTCGGCAATTCACCATCATTACCTCCTTTCAGCTCTCAACACATCACACTTTCCTCAGTGACAGGTGAGAATTACGCTACTTCGTTTTATATGCTTATAGACACTCAAGGATCTTAAGCTACCAATTTTTCAGGAAAAGAGAGAGAATTTTGAAAATCCAATTTAACTCTCTAGTTGATCATGGGAGTCCCAATGAAAATGTTTTCGCAACCCTTGAACCTTAACCTTTTTAGAGGTATTATTTGCAAGGTATGTACTGCGTTATATCTTTGTAGCGGATCTCCAGGGACTGGATAACTTATTTGATTCAAAAAGAAATCTGGTAGTTAGAGGGAAAAAATACATGTTCCGTACAATCAAATATGGCATAGTTCACTAATTTAAACATGATCTTTCCAAGGTGAGCAAGGTAATGTGGTCTGACATAGCCAGACCCACTACAATCTTAATGCTAGAGCACCTGCTTTTTTAAGCCCCAAGTTTCATCGATATTTTCCTCCCCTTCGTCTTTGGGAGATTTATTTACTATTCTCCAGTATATTTATGTTCTAGGAGCTTCCATCAGACAAAGACGAGAGGCAGTCATGTCTAGTTCAGGATCTGTTTACATCCCAGAAGAATCGTGTCCCTCTATTCAAACCTTCGCAGGAATGCCTCAAAATGGTAAATATTAGTCAAACTTTCTTCAGTTTGGACTCTAAAATGTTCCATTGAGCTCATCTCACTAAAAAATTTTTAAAATACTGAAAATTTTTGTCTTATTTCCAAGGACTTCAATGAGAAGCTCTTTTCAAGTCCTGAATCACTTTAAAAAATTTGCAAACAAGACTGAAAGTATCTTGAGTCTGAATTTTTGAAAACAGAAATTAGTCATTAAATTTTTCCTCTTTGCAAATAACTGGTAAAATCCCAGAGGGGCCTTGCTTATCTGTGCTTTCTGCCTATTATTGGTTGCTTTCAGTTTTAGAACTTTATGGAAGATGTAGCTCTTTTTGTCAGTTTTAACATTTGAAATCAACGGTAGATGTCAAAATCACTTGATCAACTTTATTAATTTGCTCACCGAATCAGGAGGACTTTTATTTCACTGCTATATACTTTCTGTGACAGTTTTGACCTTTTTGATTGAAATTCTTGAGATACACTGCAATTTGTCACTTGGTGCCATTCTTTCACGTTACAATTCAGAGTGATGTTAACTTTGTGCTATGATAAGGATTCAGATTGTCTCATTTTTGACTTGTATCTTCGTTGTTTGCTGCCATTGAACACACATTTGAGCATTCAACACTCTTTTCTACTTTCATTCACAGCAAAAACTGTGCAGTCGACAAAATTAGAAAATGAACCACTCATCCACCCACAGCAGGTGACACGTCTGAGCACTCTCATGCAGTCGCAACCATCCACTCCTTCGTTGTTCAGCATGCCAGGAACTCCACCGCCGAATAGCATTATACCCCTGACCCCTGGTGGACTTTACTCCCCCTCAACCCCAGTCTATTATTCACCAGCTGAATGTTCAGACAGTTCATTCTATCCTCCTGTTGGTTATGTAGACTGCGCCTGTCTTCCTCCAGATACGCCATCTGGAATATACCAATCAGTTTACCCTCCTCAGTTTACATTCCCAGAACCAGTTGTGTATCAGCAAATGGTACCACAGTCGCCAACCGTATCAAACTCATTTTCTACTTAAATTTATTTTCTATAACTATTTTTCATGATGATCTCTCATCAATCAAGTTACATAAAAATCCTTGCCAACTAGTTTAGTATTCAGTGGTCTCAAGTTTTGTCAATGAGTAAATTTTTCCCTCAATCTCAACCGATATGAGAGTCTTAAATGTTGTTTTAACTAAAAGCTTTAAAATACAGATAAATGAGGATAAAAAAGAAAACTCCAAAACTGTCAACTTAACCTTATGACTTTATTTTTTTCTTCATCTGTAAATTGTTAATTCTTATTCTGTAAATTGGTTATGTTACGTTCTTTAGCTTTCTAACTAAGCAGTTATCATGACTATGGATTTTCCATAATATCCCAATTTTTAGTTTATCAATCTGAGGCTCTGCCTTAATGACTTAATTCTAATTCTGAAAATCTGACGCTTCATCCTTGGGAGCATGTATCTAATCTAGAGTCCATGTCAGATAACTTGTAGTTTTTTCTGTAATGCCTATTCTATACCCACAGCAAAAAGGACAAATTATCTGACATGGGCTCTAACTCATGCCCAGTCAGAGGATGACCTCTCGTTTTGCTTTACCGAATAAGTTAGAAGTGAGCCGTTACTATTCTGTAAAACCTGTAATTCTTGGTGTACTTAACTACCTCTTTTGAAGTCAAATACACCTGTGTAGATAAGTTTAACTGTCATGACTGAGGCTGTGCCACAATGACCTAATTTTTAGTTGATCAATAGAGTTCTTTTTATATTTGAGATTACAATTTTAGTTCGTTTGATCTAAAGTAAATTAACAATGCAGTTAATGAACTTAGTCTCCATGTTAATCCATGTTAATTTAGTCTTAAAGTTAATTGTTTCTTTGTGATAAAGGAGGGTTTTATACATGGTGTCTAGAACAGGGAAAACCGGGCTTCATGAGGGAATGAAAATTTACAGGGAAAAATCAGGGAATCTGTTCCAGAAACCGGGAATCTCTTCTACTGCATAGGGATCATTTCGTTTTCAAAGTTGGCGGTCTACTCTGACCGAGCGCTATTATTGACTTCTTGAATGACTCATTTTTAGCTTCAAATCATTGAAAGAATGGAGAAGCTTTCATTGACCAGATAATATAAACATCAGGAACGCTATCGGAATTAAAATTTTGAATGTGCGCCAAAGTAACGGCAAGATAAATGAAAATCAATATTCATATATATGGAACTCTGGAGACTTACATTCTTTTCCCTTAGAAAATCCCGGGGAAGTGGGAGAAAACTTCGGTTTCTCATCAGGAAATGAGTCTGGTCAAGAATTCTAGACACCATGGTTTTATAGTTTATCTGTCGAGATACAAACCCACTTTGTAGTATTTATCTAGTGCGAAACAAATTTTTTGAACTAGGTGAAAGATTTTACTCAAGAATCAAAACTTGTGCCTTGCAGTAATGTTTGGATGCCCTCCCAAACCGTGCAAAAAGAATTAAAATATGTACTTATAGGAAAGATACTTCAATATCTTACCACACTAAAACCGTTCAATAACTTATCTCTGGAATTTGTTAAAATAAAAAAAGGAAATTAAATTTTGTACTTAAGCTAAAATAAACTGTTATTCTATTCATATGCTGTCTACATGCTTTAAATGAATCCTAGTTATCTCCCTCACTTCAAGGAATTTCCCCAATAGAAACATTGAAAAGTGTCTGATGTTATAAACCTGCTACTTTAAGAGTTATTGACATAAAAATATCACAGAAAGTTGGAAATGTAGCCAACGTGCGATACAATTCAGAAAACTGAAAATATCAATTCAGATGGAAAAAGCTTATTCGAGCACAATTTTCCGTCAAAGAGATACGTTGTTTGGTGCAACATTAGTTACAACTGACTCTTAACTACATATCTAGTGTAGCACCAAACAGCATTTCTCTTTGAGAGAAAATCATGCTCGAATTAGCTTTTTCCCTCTGCACTGAGATTTTCAGTTTTCTGAGTTGTAACGCACACTGGCTACGTTTCCAACTTTCTGTCTAAACCACTCGTGTATTGATCTGCAACCAGTTTTTATTTAAGTATTAGGACTCAATTCTGGAAAAAATAGAAGACATGCTGTAAAGTCATAACTGAAACTCATATTTATTCAAGAATTTTTAGTTATGCAACACTTATTTTTGACAATAATGGAAGGTAGGTAATCCAAGGTAAGAAGTAATAACTATCAGTGAGGGTGGATGTAAAAGTCGATCACTTCCAAGCAAAATATGAAAAATAAATTAATAAATAAGAGACAGGAACTTAGGTCCAATTACACATGATCTACAAAAAATAAATTCCGAATGCGCCTAGGCTACCTCTGCAGATGAGCCACTACCTAGGTTATGATAGAATCACGAAAACTGAAAGGAGGTACTATAATGTTGCCGTAGGTTGATCAGATTTTGATCTAGAGGGATTTATTAATTGCATTGGTATTTAGTATCCAACTGACCGATAAGCTTCCGTTCGAGGATTGGCTGAGCATGTCTTGATCCATAGCTCACCTCTAGAGGATGATCCAGAAGCCCGCTCCACCCCTATAACCCCTTGGGATCTTGCCCTGTATCAAAATGGTCCCTTTCGGGGGTTCCTAAAAGTCGTTTCCTTTGACCTAGGGGTACTCACAGTTTATCAAGTTTCCATCTCAATTTGTTTTTAAGTTACAGGGGCGGTGTCTGGTTCTGATGGTGCTGGACTTCTAGATCAACCTGTGTAAGGAAATCCTGATTAGCTTTTAAGCCTCCAATAGAAACAGCAATTAGCTTGTTAGACAAGTTTGCCGTTTAAAGCCATCAGACTATTGAGCTTCTTGCTAAGGACAAAAAAACTGTTCTGCTCATCTGCAGAAAAGTTCTGCGTATCTGTAGACGCAAGCGGGAAAATTAATAGAAGCTATATTTACAAAAAAAAAGTCTCATACTTAGAGTGATCTTAAAGTCTAGACTTCCCAATACTAGTTTTACACGGTTGCTATTAGTTTTGAAACTTTTAGGTTTGTCCCTTGACTGAACAGAGGTACTTAGTGGAAGGATTTCTAAATTGAGTAATTCTTTTGAATAAACATGTATGGCTCTACACTGGGTAACTTAAGAAAGCGGCTTCTCTGATTCTTTGTACTCTAAGGTATACCCATATATTGATAGCCAAATTGCGAAACCACATAACTCTGTTAACGGTATTTCAGACTTTCGGTCATACTTTATTGTTTCTTGGGAAACTAATCGAAGTAATTTTTTGAAAATTTCCTTGAAGCAGAAAATTCTATAAAAAGTTCAAGCTATAAACTTGGCTTGTTTCTCTTTGAAAAAATGGAACAGACGCACATGGAATTTGAAACACCAGAATGGGGATACAAGGTTTCGCACTTCGGCCACCGACATATACAGTTTGCACTTGCTCACATTAAAATTCTGAATTTAGGTGCAATTTGAAAAAGTTAGCCATGTGTCTCGCGAGAAACGACGTAGATATAAAACCTAAAATACCGTAGGCCGATTAGTACTTCTCATTCATTAGTGACAACTTTTTAAATTTCACACCTTTAAGTTCAATCGTTAAAAAAGAAGTAGGAGGGGTTTTAGGCTTTCGGATCACTCTGTACAAAAGACTGAAACTTTGGACGATTTGCATGTAGAAGTATCCAACAAAAAAATTTTGATAAACTTAACAACTTCATAAAACATTTCAAAGGGTTCATGGGGCTTATATCACTCTTTTGGACAGTTTTGTTCATCCAAATTTGTAAAACTACAAACTTAAGTTATAAAGCATTAAAAAATGCGAATCTACTGAACATGTGATGAAACTCAATTGGAAGCATTCGTTTGAAAGAGGAGGATGAAATTTTGTCAAAAATTGGCAACTAGGTTCTTTCTTGAACTTCAATCACAGTCATTTTACAGAGCTATTTAGGTCACCATCTGCATTAGACATAACAGCCAGCTGATCTTGAATATAAATATCTAAGCCATGGATTAATAAATCAGGAGACTTGGGGTATACCAAATTTAAATAATCTGTTCATGCTTCGAGCGAAAAATGAGAAAATTTATCATCTTCTTCTTCAACTGCACATTGAAGCACACAGTTAGAAAAGCCAATGTGATCCAGTCCTTCCTAGTCCCTTTCTCTGCAAAATGAGAATGAGAGCTGATTTTCGTAGAAAACTTATGTTTCCAACTTTCTGTTTGTTTCTTTGGCACTTGAGCTGGAAAAAAAATCAGATCCACAGAGGATGGGGAACCTTAATTTTTGGAGGGAAAAAAGGACAAAACATCTATTCTGAAAAACTTTTCTTCATACGTCTTGGATTGCCTCTTTTGATCTTAATCAGTTCCCCTTAATAACTGCCTATCCATCCTAGGGTAGTAACGAACCCTAATTCTTTGATAACTAGAGAGTTTTTTAAATTCACTGGTATGTATTCTACCTCACTACAATCAATGGTTAGTATAGAACTACTGCTTAGTGATGGTTGTCTGCAGTTTTTTGAAACAAGCTTTGCAGGAGGGGCATTGCCTCTCGCCATGTTTTCCATCGAGAGGATACTCAATTTTAAAAACCAGCAAGCGGATATTTTGTTAACTTTTATACCGTTTGCTATGAATGATTCATATGTTCTCATTTGGATAGCTTCAAATACGGGTTCAAAAAGCTACAAAAGATTTCAAAGGTACATGCAAAATAGGTGCTAACTGGGAAACAGTGGATGTTGTTGAAATTTGAGACCTTCATTAAATAGGTAATGCTCCGTTTATAATTCTAAGACGAGTATGGGAGGAGGGAGGAAAGGTCAAAAAGCCTGAGAGGTAAATCTGAGTGGTAGACATGGCCTGTATTACGTGAGGTCATGCATTCCATTGCATGCATTTTGTTGACAATTCCACACTTATCACTAATGAAAATGCATTGGTATTTTAATATTTTACACAATGACAACAAGTAGCTCCCGCCACCTGCTGGGGGGGGGGTAAGAGGTAAGACCCCCCCTTAGCCCCCCTTTTCATTCTGTACCATCTGAATGCTTCAGCATTAGAAGTCGTGCGGCGTTATGAAATCCATAATGTAAGATTACCTATGAATGCAAGGAGTTATCATGCCTGTCAGATGAAAATTAGGAATTTATAAACTATTCTTTGCATTCAGAAAGAAATGTTTTAATTTTGCGAATGGTTTTTTTGTTTATTGAATCATATTTGTCTTTTAACAAGTCTGGTAGGGGTGAGATGACACATGTTTGATCACTCGGGAAAAATGGTATACCAAACCGGCATTCCAGTTTTTTTTTTTCCTCACTGTACATTTCGGCTCTCACCAAACTGAAGACTCAAAACTAACGAAAAACCGTAGGAAATCAGTCTCTTACTCCACTCTGTGAGGGCACAAAATAACACTGAAAATGAAGTTTGAAACCTTTCACATGCAAGGTGCGACTAATCTGCTAGTGTTCTCATGAAAACTGGCAACTTACAATGAGCTCAAGCAAGTAAAATTCAGCGGATGGGCATGCTGAACCCTAAATTTTACGATGGTGGTAATTAATCAAAATAGTCAACTCAACCATGACTTCAATGATGAAAAATTCGACTTGGCGAAATTGAGCCAGAATGCACCAGTACGGGTTCTTGAAAGTTAAAGTCATGGTTCAATATTGTAACATTCTTCCTAAAGGCTCAAGTTCCATTCCCCTTGCTTAATTCAAAGTCTTCGTCAGTCCCCTCAATAAATCAGAGGAAGCCTGAATTATCAGAAAAGGGGACTTAGCATGAAAAGGTGGACACTTTTTGGGAGTTTCTGGCGAAACTTACAGTCTACGCCGATTTTTGGCATGACTAAAAGGTAAAGACGAATGGTAGGAAGATACTTTTTCACCATTCTGGAGTTTCCGATAAATCAACTCGAGTTTAACTTGACAAAAGCCTACCAGAAAGCGTGTTTCTTTGAGAAACTCCTTTTAACTGAAACTCTTGGAGCTGTGAATGCATGTGGAAAGTCCATTTCATAGTGATTCTTCATTCTGGAGAAATTAATTCCTAAAATTGTTGTCAAACTGACACTTGAGACCTTGATTCTCCCTGCGTTATGATATATCTTTTCTCTCCCCACCCCGAGAAAATTATTTGAGCCTCAAAACTACGGTAATAGAAGCAATTTTTAACCTAATTTACTTTTTACTTGATGAATATCAGAAATGTCAAGAACACCCACCATTTCCGAGTTTGGACCTGTTTTGCACGTATCAGTTTGAAACTTGAAAAATAATGTCTCGCATTAGCCACAGAACTAGACATACGTACACTTTAATGAAATCTTCCTACATTAAATTTTCCAAGACAAGTAGAGTTGAGTTATAAAAGGGATTCAAATTACATTTTTCAACATTTCAAGAAATTTTTTTTAAGCATTGTCATGGTGACTTTCTTTAAAACATACTGCAACTATAAAAATACTAGCAACAAAAATTGAAGTTTCTCATTTTTCGACATGTTCCAAAGTCAACAAGTTGGGCACACAGGGACGTCTAACGAGTGAACTCACCTTATTTCTTAGCTCTCTGGTAACATGTGGACAAAACTGACTGGGAACATGCCGCGTGCCGACGGATCCCTTTCAAGAGCACCTTCCATCCAATTCTCATCTTCGGTTGATGTACTCATCACAATGATTATATCTCCCTCTCGGAAGGAAAGTTCATCTTCATTGTCTGCAGAACAATCATACAGAGCTCTACATCGTACCCTACTAATGGTGCTCTCATGCTCCAGAGGGCAATTGAAGTACGGCTGAAAGGAAAAGTTTCATTATCTTAGAAAACTTTTACTAAATTTGAGACAATTACACGTATATCAGTTGAATGCATAAAATATTTTCAAAAGCGATCTTAGATCTAACTGAAGAGAAAAAATTAGAAGTTTTCTTATTCTTTGCTCATTCTGGTGACGTACGTTAAAAGTTCAAAATCTTGCAAAAAATCAAAATTACTGCTGCAATATCAAATAGAAAATAGGTTTCTTGTATCCAGTTGGGATTTAACATTTAGAACTTGCTTCTATTAATTTTTTGAGAGAAGAGCAATGGTGTGGTAAAAAAAAAAGCTGTAGGCAATTCAGGAAGAAGAAGATATTAAAAGTTAACAATAGATGATGTTAAAATGGGAACCCACAAATATGGTTAAATCGCAAGGTGGCAGACACTGACTGATCGTGAGTTACAAAAAGTAATCAAAACAAAACACAGGCTGTAGTCTTCAGGTTAGCTAATTATTGCCCTGTGTTACCACATGCCTTATTTTCATGGATACCTACCAGGGAATTTCTTCAAAATCAAGGGTATTTTAGGATTTAGATGTTTACAAACAAATTCAAGAGTATCAAAGAAATGTTTAAACCATCACAAATCCAGGAGGTATAGAAAAAATGAAAAACGTTAATGTCGACATACTTACTTTTCTAGGAGGAGGAACAGGATTGTGCAGACTAGCAGTAATAGTTGAGTCAACATCCGAGGTAAATGATGAGATGCTTTCAGTCGATCTTCCATTGGAAAGTCTAATGCCTGTAGGTCCTTGTGGCGCTGGTGGAGGTGGGCCTTTAGGCCTTTGAACCATACCAGAATTGCTGCCTATAAAAATATTTTTCCATGTATTGATACAAATTTTAAAGTTACTCAACAAATTTAGTTATTCACACTGATATTTCGGTCAGCGGCAGGCTGAAATATTGAAATTTTGTGTTTGTCGGGCGGACATAGATAACAATGGTGAAACGACGTTGTGTGATGGGTCAGCTATGCCTCATCCCTGCTTTGTCGGCAGGTAAGCTACAGGTACCTCTTGAGTTCCAGACAGCATAAGCACAATAAAGCAGCAACAAGACATAGCCGGCCAATCACACTACACTATTTTTTTTTTGTCATCTGTGTCCACCCAACAAACACCAAATTTCAATAATCGGCCTACAGGTTGCGTAGACCTGCTATATATATAGTATAACTATTTTATTACGTAAGCTGTTTTTTCTCTGACTTTTTGTAAGCACGAAGAACTCCATAGCTCAGCAGAGGCAAATTTGAGGTAAAAATCATTCTATACTAGAATTAATCTGAAATACAGGACTCTGTAAGAGAACATTTTCCGTAACAAGTTAACTGCCAAGTCTTTCTTGGTCTCCAGTCTTGTGTGGTCATCGCTAGCACACAGGGATAGGAGTTACTCAAGCTGCGGTTTGATGACTTCAAAGAATTCGCTATCACTCCCTATCAGCTTGCCATAAAACGGATTTTCACCAAAGTATCCCATAGAGTGTACAAAAGTTGTCCGATCGGGATTTATCTAACGCACGCCAATTTTCTGCATAATTGCCTATCTTCATCCGTTTCTGCGGCCTCTTGAGACCCTTTTTGGAGCCTTTTTCTAAGAAGGCCATGGTAGTTAACATGTTGATAATACCTGTTTGCGTTATACAGAACATATGTACATCAATTAAACTGATTACATAATAACTTTTTCAGACAAGTCAAGAGCTATAATACTTACATGCTGAAGTGGATTTAAGAGTGGGTATTTCCCCAGGAGGAATGACAAGCTTAGCACCAACAAACTGAGAGGCTCTGGTAGATTCCGAGGAGGGGGAGCGTTTGTGGACATTAAGAGTGTGGTAACCGGGGTTTGGATCAGACGGAGACCGATTGTGGTTATGAGTTGGAAGGGTTCCGTAGTTAGTTGATCCAGTCAAAGGTATTGGAGCAATTCTTTTCTTTCCTCTCCCTACATTACTTATACACTCCTTGCTTGAGCCAGCTAGAGCAGAATAAAGAACTTGCTTTTATTTTAGAATTGGCTGTGGCAAATACTTAGTTTTTAATAATTAGGACACACTGACCAGATGAAGTAATGAGTGGCATGCACTATTTCTACTAAAGCTCTCCTAAGTAAGTAATTTGTGATTAGTGTAATCATAGCTCCGGTGTTTTGAGATGGTCAAGGACTGTTGCCAACCAATTTTAAAAATAGAGAAGACACTATCAATGCTGCAAGATATTATAAAGTTTGTAAAAAGCATTCGTAAAGTAAGTAAATAACTTTTAATTTCTCCAAAGTAATGAAAATGAATGAGCTCAGAAAAAAAACCTCCTTACTGTTATACACTCTCCTTTTCAAACCGCCTTAGACTCGATTATTTAAGTGCATTTATAAGGAGATAAAATTCAGTTACCTACTTGCCAGATGGGGCTATTGCATGATTTTTTGTAAATTAAATTTCTGCGACTTTGAGGTGTGCTGATTGTTAAGGTATTGTTTAAACATTTTCTGATGATGGGAACATGAAGAGAAAACCTTGAAAAAACAACAGTCAATGAAAACTGTTTATTTCCAACTTGAATTTGATGGAACCTTCGTGAACTTTGTTGAGCGTTAGGACTCGATTAAGGAATTTTTGATTGTTTTTCTTGCAAAAAGAGCAACATATTTTTTATTCTCAAATCTCTCACCCATGCGACTACTCCATTGCCACTGGGCTATAGACATAGCTAAAAAAATAGCTACAGAAAAAGCTAAAAACATAGATATGTACCTTTATAAAGAGAGTATGGACAACTCGATTTATGTAGCTTATAGGGCCCACAAGGGCGACAACGTGTAAAACGAAAATCACTAGAAACTTGCCGCTGCCAACCTGTATTTGAAAGATTAATCAATACGGCCAACAGCGCATTGTAAACAAGCGTCTTTAAGGATTAAGACTTTGAAACTGAGAAAATGTATGCAAAATCAAAGTTTTATAGGTGCTTTTATAATTTTTTATCAGTGTACCTATGACAGGTAGTAAGCAAAGTGGAAATTAGCACCACTGGATAATTCGAGCTCATAGGTTGGATGCCCTTTGGGGCTCCAAGAGCTACATGACCTTGTCGAACCAAACTTCCAAATTTTCGATTAATCCATACTCTCCCTTTGGAGATACTCTAGAAAAAGCTAAATGCAGGCTAATTATTGAAAATGTTGACATGACAAGACATTACACGTCTATACATTACATGGTAGAGATAGGGCTGTGCCTTGTCTTATTTTCAATAATCCGCCACAAAAAAGGCTTAGCCTTAGACATAGCTTTAGACATGACTTTAGATACAGCTATGGAAATAATAATAGACATTAAAGAATTGAGACTGAAGTTATAAATATTGGTAAGTACCTGAGATAGGAGTGGTTGGTTTTTTGTTTTGCGGGGGTGGAGGGGGAGGCATTTGACTGCGGTAGCTATTAGATTTCAGACTATCACATGTTGAGGAACGACTGCGAGGTGATTCTGAGTAACTTGGTGGTCGGGATGACTGTTTCCTTTCTGGGGTGATGCATCCATTCTAAAAAACAAAAAACAGAATAAGAATAATTTGATTGATAAGTATTATGTGTAAAATAATAAATATATCTTAGATTGGAAACCAACCCAATAAATAAGGAGGGAAATGATTAGTTGAGAAGATTAAGAAGTAGATAGATGGTTAGCTGCCATTCAAAGGTTATTACTCGGTTCACTTTCCAAGGACCTTGGTAAAAGACAAAAAAAAAAAAAAAGGGACTAGGATGATAAATGATGGTATTCTAGGAGGGTGCTTCTTGACAGTGCTATTGAACTGATGAGTTTGGCCTATATAAAATCAAGCCAACAATATAGGCTCATGCAGGTGAGCTTCTTGTGTTGATTACAGGCTACATTGTGGTCACACAGAAGGCCTCGGCAACAGCAGGCGCATAGCTCATGTTAAGCTTTTCATCAAGTGATGCATAACGCATTAAATAGTTCAAACTTGTTTATCACCTCCTTCTTATTATGCACTTCGAAGGTGTAAGTTGGCAATTACATAACTTGTTTGCGGCGTCTGAAAATCTCCGCCTCTATGTTATTTTTTCAAAGGAGAAAAAAATTGACATCATTCCTTGAAGATTATGCAGAATTTTCTTTGCACAGAGAAGAAAAATCACGGAAATTTTAAAGAATTGCCGTTGAGTAGTTTTCCGTTTAAAAAATATCGTATGACATGAAGTCTGCGAGGTCGCAAACCGAGTTATGTGACTGCTGACTTACACCGTCGACTTGTAACTTAGGTTGGAGTCCATTACTCAAATTTATTCGATCCTCAGCAGAGCCAACTCCTCTAAGTTTCATTAGGTTTGGAACTTAATTTGGCTCATAAAACTTTCACGCACAAAAAATATGAAGGTATTTTAAAATTTCAGCTAAAGTCTCAAGAGGGCCGTTAGCCCTCTCCCTCCTTCTGTTGCACCCTAAAAGAGACTCAGATTGTAAAGAAAACACCGAGGGTGGTGGATTCGTTTGGAGACTTGTCATTTAAAGGATAAATGAATCAGTGAGAAAGAAAACACACCAACTCTGTAGTTCGAAAATGCTTAATTTTCATTAAAGAGAGTCAATTTTCACAAAAGTAATTGAAGTTAGCGCATCTGTTCCAGTTCAGACTTTTCAAGAGTCCTTTTAGTCCAGTCAATCTAGCTTTTTACCTCGGACAAATTAGCACAAACTTTTCCTTTGGTATATAGGGTCTCTAGGTACCCAATAAGACAGAAAAAAAAGTTTACCAAAAAATTCCACCGGGAAAGTGGTCAAATCGCAGTTTTTCAAAATGGCGGCTAACGGCAATTTTCAAAGAGGACGTACATACGGATTTCCCTTTATAACTCAAAAATAATGCGTCAAACCAAAAAAATTTGGCATTAGTTTGAAAGACCATAAAATTTTGATTAAGAATCATATACAAAACTTAGGCTTTTCTTATTTTTTTCTTTCCGAATTTTAATATTTAAAAACAACAACCGGCAAAATCTGCTGAAAATTCACGATTTCTCGCGTTCTTGACCAATTTTAGGTCAAAATAATTAATTTAAGGTTAAAAACAACGGCACCACTGAAAAGTACGCTAAATTTTACATAGGTATACCCATTCATTTTACCTTTTCATCTTATATGACCTCATTGTGAGACGAATCATTCAAAAGCATGAAGTCAATATTCAACTACAAATTCAGCTGTTTTTTTCCGTTTCCAGCGCTTTTGATCAATTATTTTTCGACAAAAGTATAA